ATATATGTTAGATATTGCAAATTGCGCTATTTTCGAAATTAAAATGTCGTTTTTGTTGCAAAATTGGGAATCCTCTTTGTTAGCAAATAATTAGCAACGAATACCGCTGGGCAGATAGAGTAGCCCCAATCCGCTTGGTTCTATAATTTTGAAACACACGGAATATGAAGGTTCGGCTCCGACTTGTGCACGGCCGATCTGCACGGCCACCTCTTCCATGTCCCCTGCAACCCAGAATTGATCTTGGAGGTCTGAAGGCTTGAGAAATCGAGCACGAGGATCTAGGCTGATTACGGCAAGAACTGGCGCGTCGACCAGAACGACAAGGATTACATCTGGGGCAGCAACATCATCAAAAGTGGCCAAATTCCGGCCGCCGAAGCGTAAGTAGTTTTGCGAAGACTGTCTTCTGGAACTAGCCAATTATTGGTATTTGGCATGATATTTCTGATTTTTCAGCCGCGCCTTCCACCGATCCTTCAGAACACCGCGCTACGAATTGGCCTACGGTTGCGAGCATCTCATTACCCTGAACGAGAGAAGGAGACAGAGAGAGAGCGAGAGAAAGAGAAAGAGAGAGAGAGAGAGGGAGAGATGAGAGAGAAACGCCCAATTCATGGTTCCGAGACGGGATCCAACAGTAAAGGAGGTCGCGAAGCAGCCCCGCCTTACCCATGGTGCGGTCATACCCCCCGTTATCATATGTGCTGCCCATGGCATTTGATATATTTTTTTATTCAATAAAGAATTTCCATTACATTATTTGTCATCGAAATTAGTTCTCTGGGTATATTTTTCGACGCTGTATCGAATTACACTCGGGAAATTCCACAGTAATTGCAAATGTTATGAAAATAAGTGCCCAGTGTTAATTCCCCCCCCCCACACGTTATCTTATGTATCAAATATTTCTCTGGCCAGATTCGGAAATGATAAACGATATTACTACCGACATGAAAATGTTGCCGACTTTATTCAAAAGGCACAGAATTCGTACATTCAGCCGGGATTCACAAGCGAAGAGAAGAAGAAACAGGTAGAGGAGGACAGGTCAAGTTGTTGAGTGCAACGTGCCCGAGAGCTCCACGGTCCGCGTACCCGCAGATACTCGGGTAAAAAATCAACGCCGGGTCCCGCAGCACGGCGTATCGAACAGCGTTCTGAGCACTTTGGTCGTACCTGAAATGGAATTGAATGAGGAATACCGGCAAGCGGCAACTGCCGAGGGTCAGAAACGTGGATGCGAAAGCGATAACGAACCGATGGCAGCCCCTTTGCCTGTTTTCCCGCTTGCAGTAACGAGTACCGGCCGGTGACGCGATGCAATCCTTTGTTAGCGCGCACAACAGTAGCCTGGGGGAGATGTAAGGATGCCCAAATGTCAGGTTGAACAAAAGTTCTACAGGGTGTCCCAAACCCCCCCCTACCTAGCGGGCCGGAGACGTGTCAGATTTTTACGATTTTGGTATCCATCGAGAGCTCTCTGAAAAGCGAGTCCAGCACGCCTCACGAAATTTTGCCATTCCAGAATTTTTTGCCCAATTTTTGGTATTTTTTATGCAACAAGGAGACGCTTTTTTGGCAAAGCCCCAATTTAACCGGTTTAAGCGCCACCCAAGCTGTGTTTTTCCAAATGGTTTTCAAAAAGCTGTCTTTGCGGTTCCGGAAAAATCGTTAAAATCCATAAATTGTGATTTTTGTTAAAAACCCTTTTATCCGAAAAGCATCAGAAATGCAGCCCTTTTCGCGAAAATATTAGTAAAAGTAAGAAAAAATCCGGCATTTCAAAATTTCGAAAGGCGTGCTGGACTCGCCTTGTCGAGAGCTCTCGATAGATACCAAAATCGTAGAAATCGGACACGTCTCCGGTCCGCTAGGCAGGGGGGAGGGATTTTTTTTGGGACACCCTGTATGGCCGAGTAAAATTGTGGATAGCTCAATTCTGAACATGCGACACGCCATTTTGTAGCTCTCTGCCTGGGACGTTTCTGGAAGCGGTCCTCAGCCCCCAAAATCAAGGAGGGCGAAGATACAGGTCATATAGGAAATTTTTTTTGGAAAAATGAAGAAAACGCGTTTTAGCGAGTTACCTCCGCATTGCGCATGGAGCTACGGCTGTGTTTCAGTTTAACCCCCCCGCACCCAGCCGACTGCCATCTACTGTATCTCGACACCCCGTTGTCGTCGGGGCCTGTAAAGTATACCAAAATACTCGCACTTTAAGGGGATTTGCACATCGATACGGTGTTCCTCCTGGACGCCTGGGTCGGAAAGCCGCGAAGCGGGCTTTCAAACCTGTTATTTTACTATAACAGTTCTAAAACACTCTATTACGTGATTAGACGTTTCAAGACTTATACAAGAGGTAGCCTGGACATGGTGTTGTAAAAAAGTAGTTACCATTTGGCTGCCAGCTTTGTCGTTCGACTCGGTCGCATGAAAACGTGCGCGGCTCCATTTTGTTTTTGACCGGCCAGCTTCGGCGGATTCGGCAGATATTTGAACATGGCTGGAAACGGTTTGATTGATACGTGCAGGGCGTTCTAAAAAACAAACGTTTTTTAAACGTTTTTTTCGTTTTTTTTTAAATTATTTGCAAGCCGAAACCGCTAGAAACTAGATCTGACCATTTTAATAAGATGCCAGCAACTTTTGGTTGATCCCACATTCTGTGGCATTTTTAAGAGTTTGAAAGGAATTTAGCTCCTTTTGTTGCCACGAGAATTCGCCTCTTTTTGCGAAAACCAAAGCCCTTTTTTAAAAAGACTCTTTTTAGCCTTAGAGAGAATTTAGCCCTTTTTGCTTCAATCTTATTGTTAAGATCGTAAAATAAGCTAAGGAATACTTATTCAGATGAACCCTTGTACGCAAAACTTCAAAAAAAATTTGCCTGCGGCGCTTTGTGACGGCACTAGAAACCTTAAGGATGCACGGGCGCCAATCGGCAAAAACCACGCCTCGGCTGGGGTTCGAACTCGGGAGCCATGTCTTCCCAGTACAGCGTGCTAACCACTAAGCCAACGGGGAGACTGGCGCCCTGTCTTGGGGAAGCTAGACCCGCCCGCCCTGACCCGAGACCGGGGCCGCCAAAGGGGAGGGTGGCGCCCCGTATGGCGAAGGTTTAAAGTTATAATATCTCAGAGAAGAAGCATTCTTTCGATGCAATTTCTTCTTTACTTATTCCGGCATGGTCTAATGCATATTTGAGCAAAATTTCAGCCCAAACGGACATCACTAACCCTGGTTTTGACCGCAATTTAGCTTTTAAACTTAAAAATTAAATATAAATTTTTTAAAAAGCTATTTTGAAAAAAACGCTTCTTCCTCACCTTCATTTACATCAAGTCGATATATTTGGAAAATTTCAGCCCAAACGGACCATGGGAAGGCACTTTTTGACGACTACAAGGGTTTTGCGTACATACAGACAGACATACAAACGCAGACCCCCCCCTCGAAACGCAACTTAAATCGGCTGTTAAAATTCGAAATTTAACTTTTTTCAAATTTTAAAAACTTATAGTATGCAAAAAGTGTCGCCGGTTCCGATGGTGTATTCAGTTTGGCGATCCGATGCTTGGTTCTTTTTTAAATCCGGAAAAGGACCCCAAAAGAGTCGTATGGGGGGGTACCTCAAACCAAAAGGGGTTAGCGGGCTACGCCCGCTAACCCCGATTTTGCGCAGGAGCTGAAGATGATTTAGGCGTAGGCTTCCTTAGACTCAGGCTTAGGCTTAGGCTTAGGATTGGCCTCAGCTTACACACCTGAATAACACGCAAATTCTCCTTCGTCTGGAACCTGACGGACAAGTTATAGCGCGTCAACCCGGCGGGAGGTATCGTTTTCAGGCCCTTGCCGGCTTTCAGCTCTTCTAACCACATCATAGCTCGACTATTGGTAGTGTGGATTTGAAAGTACTTCTAAAACACGGTACATAAAGTAAACGAAACCCTAGAAATACCAGCAAAGTTCCGATTTGCACGAGCACAAAAATCACAGCGGCCATCGTGTTGCAGAAAAATGGATAGATGGCTATTACTAAAAAATTTCCATGGCTGCTAGAAAAGCTTAGGACTTATGAAACATTCCTATTAACACCGCCAGCACCGCTAGAGAAGCGCCAACGATCAAAAGTATCATAAAATATCGTCCTCGATCATTTTGCTCGTAGTCGGCGATGAAGAACGTGGCGAAGCTTCTGGAATCGATCCCTTTAAGTCGATTTCGACGCAAAAATCCATTTTGAATTTCGTTACAGTAATTACAGTATTTTAGTATTTTTCCGTAAAGCCTGCGAATTCGTGATCTACCGTTCTATGCATATTAAAGGTATCAAGAAGATAGCTGCCCCGGCCATCATCATACGCAGGTGAGAAGCAACTACGATAACGACGGGTTGGACTAGCGGTGACTCTAGAAATGTTTCGTTTTCCTGCTCTCTCTCTCTCTCTCTATCGCTTTCGCGCTCTATCTCGTTCTCTTTCTCTCTCTCTCTCTCGCTCTCTCTCTCTCTCTCTCCCTCGCTCTCTCGCCTACCCCATCCATAAATCCAGTCCGCCTCGAATAAAATCAGATACAGACGAGCCAAAATGCTGATATAGAAAAAGGAACTGATGTAATAGAGTATCCGTATGAAATTCCGCCCCAATACGCCGCTCTTGTAGAGCACTTTCCGGATGGAGATGAGCATGGCGGTGCCGAGGAAAACGTGCACCAACTCGAAGAAGCTTTCGATGCGCCAGATTGAGAGTAAGAGGACGTCTTCCTGAATTTAAGTTGAAGGGAGAGAGAGAGCGAGAGAGAGACAGAGAGAGAGAGTGAGAGAGAAAGATAGTACAAGAGAGAGAGAGATAGAGAGAGCGAGAGAGAGTAAGAGGACTGACCTTCACAACGTCCAAATTAGCAAACGATGGCACCAAAAACATCCAGGTTTTACCAAATATTTTTATGCCATAGTACATTAAAAGATCAAAAAATAAAGATTAGACCAGCAAAAATCAATACATCAACACGCCGACTATCACTACAGAATACGGAAAACGCTGTCTTTGTCGACGTGGCAGGTGCAATTCGAGAAGTGCTTGCTCTGTGGTGCTCGACAATATTTTGATGCTGAAATCATTTATTTTTACCACGTTTCCAGGACCCGTAGACTCTGCAAAAGCACGTTTTTCTGGTCGTCGTCTACCATTCAGCTGCGTAGTAATTGAAATAGGCTTGGGTCTCGACTTTTTGTTTTTCTCGAAGTGTCGTTGCATCTAGAGGATTGACGTTTGCGGTGCTAGCTCGACGATCGATGCCGACGAGGTCGAGAAGGGACTAAAAAATGTGGGAATTTATCTTGAAAAAATATGTTTTATTGTTAAAATATTTTAAATACCGTAAAAAAATAAATGTTGTAAGTTTTGTGGAAAACTTTAGTGCTTCCTGAGGTGGTCCACTAAATTTAAAAACAATTAAAATACCTCATAAAGCTGATGTCGCCACTCTCTGACGAGAATTCCAACAGTCGGGACCGAGAAACAGCCCATTCTGAATTGAAAACTGGACGTTTCCAGCTTGTTAAGGGGACTAAAAAGCGTAAAAATCGACCCCTTTATCAACTAGGTCTCGACGGTGGCTCAAACCGTTATACACGTATTCCAGAAGTAAATTTGAAATTCGAGAAGGACTCTGGTGGCCATCACACCGTTTTTTCTTTCGTGTTTTGGCGTCTTAGGTGACTGTCCAGACCTAGCTAAGCGAAGGAGTCGATTCTCTCGCTTCTCAGCCCCTTTAAACTAACATCGTCAAGAAAAGGTTGTAGGCGATGCACACGAATTGGCCCCAGTGTCCAAGGTCATCGGAAGCTAGGGCCGTGTAGCCGAACAGAGACCCAAATAGGGCAGCCCCCACCGCGAGGACCACCATGAGGCGCAGGATCTTAAAAATCGTCCTTCTTCAAAAAACCTATAAAAACTTCAGTTCTTCTCGAAAACCTATGCAACTCTTATTTCATACAAAAAAAACCATAGAAAAATTTGATACCAAAAACGTTTTAAGAAATCCAAATCTGCAACTTTACATACCCTTAACACCCTCAGATTCTGCTTGACTTGGTAGCGCACCGACAGGTTGTAGTGAGTCAGGCCGAGTGGCGGCAGGGTGTGCATGTTCCGGCCGGCCTTCAGCTCCTCCAGCCAGTGGAGGGCGCGCAGGTTGATGGTGAGGAGGATGAAGTAGATCTGAATATGGCATAGCGCTTCCGCATAGTTAGGCTTATGTTTAGGCTTAGGCTTAGGGTTGGGCTTAAGCTTAGGCTTATCCTTAGGCTTCGGATGAGGCTTAAGCTTAGGCTTACGTTTAAGCTTTGGCTTACCACAGTTGTCAATATCTGGGTAGTGGCAAATACGATTACGGAACCGATCACGCAAGGTGTAGTGTAGCGCGCCATTACTAAAACAAGTTAGATAATTGGGGGTTTAAAAATCCGAGTTTAAAAAGCGCCATAAACTCACAAAACATCCCCAATAAGGTCACAGATAAGGAGCCGAGACCGCAAAGGAATACGATGGTAATAAAACTGCCATCGCGTCCATTTTTCTCATAGTCAGCGATGTGGACCGTGGCGTAGATTCTGGAACGAATTGAGAGGAGGAGTGGGAAGATAGAGAGAGAGAGAGAGAGAGAGAGAGAAAGAGAGAGAGAGAGAGAGAGAGAGAGAGAGAGCGAGGGGGGAGAGAGAGGGTGAGGAGAGCAAACCTTTCCATGCAAATGAGTGGTATAAAATAAGCCGCCGTTCCGATCTGCATTAGCCGGAGCAAAGAGGCCAGCACTAATAGGTAGGGCGGGAAGATGCCGAGGCCTAAAAGTTTCTCTCCCTCTCTCTCTCTCTCGCGCCCGCGCAATCTCTCACTTACGCCATCCAAGCAGCCTCTCAGCCTCAAATAAAATCAAATAGGGACGCACAATGATGCTGAGCCAAAATGACGTCATCAAGAAGTATAGGATTCTGATGAAATTACGGCTGAATACACCCGTTTTTCGTAGAATCCGGAGAATAGGCAATAGCAGAGGGACTGATATTAATGCGTCGACGATTTCAATGCTGGAGCTAATCTCCCATGACCAGAGCAGGAAGGGATCGTCCTGAAAACGCCCGATTAGACTAGGCTTAGGGTTGGCTTAGGCTTTGGATGAGGCCTAGGCTAAGCCTTGGACAAAGGCTTAGGCCGATGTTTAGGCTTAAGCATAGGCTGAGGCTTAGGCTTAGGCTTAGGTTTGTTCTTACCCGGATCACATCCAAATCGGCAAATGTTGGCTCGAAAAATGCCCATGTTGCGTTGAAAATGCGTAGATGTATAAACATTATATTTTCCGAAACGAAAACTATACTTTCGAGAGGGTAAAATTGATTTTTCAGAGGACCCTAAGGCAGAGAATGCGGCTTGCTGCCCGGTGGCAGGTGCAAACGTGATGATGCCCAACCTTCCGAGGCTGACACTTGTTAATTGCAGGGATGTTTGCTTTCGGTAGTTTATCCTACCTTATATAATTTGGTCGCGTATGTGTGTGTGTGTGTGTGTGTGTGTGGATGTCACTTTCGAGGCCCGATTTGAGGGCCTTCCCGTGTATAAAACGCTCTGATTCTTCGTCACTTGGGGGAATCGACCCTTCTGTTTCCGATGGCGTTTTCAGAATTTCGATAAAATATAAGTTTACAAAGTTAAAGCCGGTTTTATTCATTTTTGTGGGCACCTGAGGGCTAATTTGCATAATGTGAAAAATACAAATTTCCTCATTCTTGCCAGTTGCACTCGCGCGTGTGGTCGCGGGGCGGAAGGGTCCGCAGGACCCGAGCTATCAGAATTCAATCTTTTCATGCAAAGGCCGCATTCCAGCGCCCAAGGCCCGCGAAGCGGGTTTTGGGCGCTGGTTGGGTGCAATAATTATACAGTAGACTCGTAAGGCCTTCAACACGACGGTTTTGACCTTAAGAAACACATTTTTACCCTCTTCTTTCTTAGTCGCTAATTTGATTTTGTACAGCTTTCCATTGATGCATGAATTTCAACGGCAGCTCTTCCGAACCTAAGCCTAGGCCTATGCCTAAACCTTAACGGGCTTATCCCTATGCCTAAAGCTAAGCCCAATCCTAAGCCTAAGCCTAAGCCTAATCTCTCCTATTTTGCTCACTTTGCTACTCTGCTCACCCTTTCGCTTTCACCTAAATTGGGCTCCAATCCGGGTTATGTGGCCTGTGGCGGCGCTGGTAGCGGGTGGCGGGAGGGCGAGAGTTTCCGGTACATTTCACTTTTGCGCTCTCTCTCTCTCTCTCTCTCTCTCTCTCTCTCCCACCCATGATTTGCATATGGAGGCATGCCATCTGGATGCCCCCTCCTGCTCTACCAGTCAGACAGCAGCCAACTGCCAGCAGGGTTGAGTGAGGGCGAGAGAGGCGGGAGGACCAGTTCTCGACAATGATCCTCACCATCGCCTCCCGGGTGGGTACATATAATACCAATCTGGTCCTCTATATATGGTCTCGACGTGCCGCCCTGTTTTTTGGTGCCCTGTATGGGCAGCTTTTCCCTTGCGCACAGCGATTTTTGGGGGAGTTTTCCGTCACTGTACTTTGGATAGCTGGTCTAGCACTACGATATGTATTGTGAAAGTGGATTCTCCCGATTACAAGAAAATTCTAACATTCCGAAAAGGGAAATCAGCGTAGCTTGTTAGCTTTTTCGTAAGCTTCGCATTGCGTAGTATATCGTAGCCTTGCGTAGCATCGCGTACCATTGCGTATCACTGCGTAGCATCGCGTAGCATCGTGTAACATCTCGTAGCGTCGCGTAGCATCTCGTAGAATCGCGTAGCAATGCGTAGCACACCATTTCGTTGCGTGATTTTGTGTATCCTTGCGCAGCATTACGTATAGTGACGTTGCGTAGCATAGTCCAGCGACTCCTGTGTCCTAAGGGGCATAGCTTATCGTAGCGTTTTCTGGTGAAGCTCACCTAGTGAGTCATAGCGTACCGGAGCGAAGCCTAGCGTAGTCTATCGTCTTTTGGCTAGTTATAGGTGGAAGCTTCTTCTTTTTTCATTGCTTCTTTCCCTTTTTACTTCCGACCATCTGAAGGTGCAAATCGGCTTGCAAAGCGTGTCGCGGGCTATTCCAAGGCTAGCCATTAGCCTAATCAGACCCGCCGCTTGTTGCTGCCAAACGGAATCACTCAACCATGTCGGAATCGTTCTTCTCAATTTTCACTTTGGGCCTTGGCCCCAACCCCATGTGTCAATTGCCATTTCAGCCCCAGCCTTGCTCAAAATGGGTATTCTCTACCTCCTCGTCTTCGTCTTTTTGATTACGGTAAATGGAGTAGTGGCAGAGAACCAGGGGTAAGTGGGTTTTGGTTTTTAGACGTTTTTCTCAACGTTTTGTTGTTTTTTAGTTTTTTTTAAACGGGCGTAAAAAAGTAAATTTCTAAAAATTCCAAAAAATCAAAGAGGAATTATTTAGAAACGGACTCGTCACGGACGTTGGCAGCTCCTTCAAGGTCCTGGGCAGCAACGAGGAGCTGACGGTTGGAGGGGACGAGCCAGCAGCAGATGATCGTGAGTTTTCAGCTGTTCTAGCCAAATATTATTTTTTTGCGGTTACTAAGGTACGCTTCAGAAAATTCAGAATCATAATCCAAGCTTCGTGGCCTCTTTTAAAGGGATTGACAAGTCTCTGGGCTAAAAAAATACGCATTAGAAACTTCAGAAAATTCGAAATAGCCGAAGTACATGTATTCATAAACCCGTTGGTATGTTAAATCTACGTAATAATAATATGTATATCCGCTCTTAAAACATCCAAATTTTAATGCTCTGCCCACGCTGACTTGCCAGATCCTTTAATACCGTTTTTTTCAGTCCCGGCCCGTCTACTAAATATGGACTCGATGCGTATTGCTATGGACTACCTGAGAAGGCAACGTGAAAAAGACTCCCTAAATTAAAAAACTATTCTGCCGCATAAAAATATTGACTATTTGTATTTATTGGGAATAAATATTGCACATAATTTGCGTAATATCAAAAAATGCTCAATTATTTGTGGGTCCCGGGACGCTGCAACAAGTGCGAGTTCATCCCGTCGTTGGTGATCTTCAAGCGGCCGTTCTGAAAAATAAAATTGTGTGGACAGAAGCTTATTGTAATCCGGGGCTACGTTAGCGTACTATAGCGTACGATAGCGGAATGTAACGTACTGAAGAACGTAAGGAACAAATATTCTATGAAAAATTGAAACAAAACATTTGTTTGACATACTGAATGATGATCTCCAATTTTTTACCTCAGATTTCCTTGGCGGGCCCTGGCTTGCGCACAAAATCCCTGCTTGTCCGTCCACTTCGAATACTACGTACATCGGAGACCTTCGGGCTACGGTATATGCCATTCCGTAGGGGTCCTCGAATATTCCGACAGTCCAATAGCCGCCGAATTTGGCCTCGAGGTCCTGCAGGAAAAAGTTATTTTTTTGTACTGTAGTTTGTGATGCAGTCATGCTTAAGTTACTAAAGAACGGGAGAGAGAGAGAGAGAGAGAGAGAGAGAGAGAGAGAGGGAGCAGAAACAGGGACAAAGACAAGGCAGGGAATTGCCAGTCAATCCCTAACCAACGATCATTTTTTCGCGGTCAACCACAAAATCAGGAATTTCAGAGCTACGTTCTTGGCCGGGATTTGCTCACCAAAGAGCTATCCCCTGGCGAGAGCCAATCGTCTTTCATGATCGTCTCTTTTTTGTGTGCATTTCTGACCCGTGACGCACCCCGTAACTGGTTAAATCGTGGATTTTAATGAGCTAATCAATTTTTAATTAGCTTTGAGAACAGGAGGGCCATATAGGCTTGCCGTAGATTAATAAAAATCAATAACTTACATCACCAATAAGGTTCGTGTCTCTTCCGGATTCCATGGCATGGCCAGTCAGATGAGCGACAATCGCTTTTTCCGCCGTAATCAGCGCTGCTTCATCCATTCCAAATGAGACGACGGCTTCGAATTTGAGCTCACGTCCCATGAGCGGAGAGTAGAAGTAGTGCAATCTGGAAAAGAGCTTTGGCTTACATTTAGGCTTAGACTTAGGTTTATGTTTATGTTTTGACTTAGGTTTAGCTTTAGCTTTAGACTTTGGTTTAGGTTTAGGCTTAGGCTTATGTTAAGGTTTAGGCTTAGGATTAGGCTTTAGCCCAGACGTTAACTTACTCATGCATGCCGTCGTGCTCAATCCTCGGCTCCCCATTCCCGCCAGTGGTGCCCTGGCTGCGATGGTGAAATTTGGATCGGCATTCCAGGTATGGGACGATAGCGGCGAGGAGAAATATCCGGAAGTAAGTGTTCATTTTTCTGAAGATGATGAGATTAAGTGGAAAATTGGCGAAGAGAGCAGAAGGTATAAAATTAAAAGACGAGGTGATAGATAACTGAAAGCAGGCGCATAAGCTTACCTAGGCTTAGACTGAGGCTTGGACATAGGCTTAAGCTTAAACTTACAAAAAACGCACAAAAAATCTCACAAAGGTCACTTGTTAGTCTTAGATTTGGGCTTAGGTTAGGGCGTGTGTTTAGCTTTTAGGGTAGAGCTTTGAAAATTCATTGCTGGAAAAAGGAAAGTGAGGTGGATTCTTTAGGAACGTTGGTATGGGGAAATGGGGACTCGAAACTGCTAGTAAAAATTGCCAAAATCCGAGTACAAAACTTTCCAATCTCCTCGAAAGTTCCACGTCCCAGAACCCCCAAAGTTTCAAGAAGGTAAACCGAAACGATCGACTCGAGGCGCTCACGTGGCCACGACTGATGAAATGACCACATTTTTCGACAAACCGACGACCCGCCGGGCGTTCCCATTAAATGGAACACCACGCGAAAAAATGCGCCCTTTTACGGGGGCCACAACCTCGACAACGACGCGTAGACGATGATCGAATCAGCCCCCCCGGCTGATGAAAATTGGCCCCGCATTTTTTCTGGAAAAATAAAAACAATGACGCTAGGTTGGTTGGTGCATAGTCACCGTCGGATCAGCCGGCTGTACAGACTATAAACAATCAGAAACATTGAAAATTAAGGATCGGAAATTAGATTTGTGTACAGAAAATTACAATTGACGGACCGAATTGGTCATGACGGTGGTGAGAACAAGATTTTTCCCAAACTTGTGGTGATAACAGAGATCCCGGCGTCACCAAATGTGACCTTCAACATTTTTTTGCGGAAAAACATCTGGAACGCAAACAAAGGGCTTAGGCTTAGGTTGGGCTTAGGCTTAGCCAGCGTGTCTTAGCCCTGCAAGGGACTTCAAAATTACGAAAAATCAGAAAACGGTGATCTCAACTTTTGCACTCTTGGCAATGCTCTCTTCTTGATATTAATGCAAATAGTATTTATTAATGGTTAAATCATCACTAAGAACAAAATACAAAACGAAGAAAAGCATAAGTACAAAAGCCAACTGTATATGACTAGAATCGAGGGGCTGACGGGCCATTTGGTGTGGGGGAAGGGGAACCCTAACTGGAGTCTGTCCATTGCTTTTTCTTTTTGGTCGCGAAGTCGCTTTTTGGGGGCAATTTTCCGGTTCCACCTTGAGTGGAGAGAGGGGAACTGTTCGTAATGGTTTAAGGGATCGAAGGGAACGTCGTGGACATTGTGGGAAAGGGCCAATTTGACCTTTTGAAAATCATGACACAGCGAAAAAATCACAGATCAAATCACCTACGGTATGTACAGGGAGCCGAGAGAGCGAAAGAAAAATGGAGAGGGAGAGTGAGAGAGAGAGAGAGAGAGAGAGAGAGAGAGAGAGCGCGAGCGAGAGAAGCGAACCACGTTTAGAGAACGGAAACCTTAATTTCAATCCAAAAAGCAGACAAGTACAAGCATTAATGGAAGTATTTTTTAAAGGAACAGACAATTTCGGAAAAGTCAGGGACTTCGCAAAATATTATTTAAGGCAAAACAGTATAAATTATTATTCAGAATCAAGAAAAATCACATCATATTTAAATTAGGATTAAAGGCACAGTGTAGACGGAATTCAAAAAATTTTGTTTTTAAACTTTACGGGTTCTTTAATGAGCTTAATCGTCTGACTAGAAATATTCCATTTTCATACAGTAATCGTGCTCACGACTTGCTCCTTCTCCTTCTTTTTCTGCTCCTTCTTACCCTCATTGTCCATCTCGAATTGCTGATAGGGTGGCAGCGTTGAGCCGGTGGTGAATTTTCGCATCATTTCCAGATTTTTACGCCAACTCAGCTTGCGGTAGCGATAGAAGCAGCCGCCGACGACGCACACCAGACAGGAACAGATCAGGATGATTGTCCAGAGAAGCTGTAAAAAGTTTTGGTCAAATAAAAACATTGGAATCTGTCAAAATCCGACTAATTGAAAAAGGCCGACGGACTGAAATCCTGACATGACAAAATACCGACACGAGGTAAGACCAAACTTGCGGGTGTCGGTATTTTGAATTTTTGGCAGATTGGCGTGTTGACTTGCGCCTCATTATGACGAGTGATAGTGCTAGAGAGAGAGAGAGAGAGAAAGCTAGAGAGAGCGAGAGAGAGAGATAGTGAGAGGGACGGAAACAGACATAGACAGGTACGCAAAACATTCTCTAATCTCCCCCAAAGCTCTATTCACCGCTCTTTTCTAAGAATTTGTTGACATCTGCAATCCCGATTTTCCAATCACTAATTGACTGACCGTCCATTTGACCTTTTCCGCCTCCTCAGCCGAATCGACATCATCGCCCTCGTGAAACAAGTTCATCTTCACCTCAGAGTGCGACATCACCTCAATGTCGATGCGTGTGCGATTGCAGGGCTAAAAATGGGATTTAAATCAGCAAAGTTTGAGGTTAAAAAAATTGAGGATCGTGGAGTAGATTCAATTCTGATAAAACGCTACAAAAAAAATGGAAAAAGTAACCTACGAGCCTCTCGTGCTGCTGAAGCTCTGTCAATTCCACCCGGATGTGAGTGGTGCCTTGATGGAAACGTCCAAGATTCAGTCGATGTTCGCAGTAGAGGGCTGTCAATTCGACGGCACCAACACTGTAAATTCAATAATCTAAATAAATGAAAATTATAAATCATGCCTTAAAAACAGGAACTAGAAAAACGCTTAGGAAGGACAAAAATTGATCTTCTAGTGCAACGGGTCGCCTGCCTCTCAAAAATTCGCGCGTCGCCTAGCTGACCAGACCTAGTAGTTAGAAGGGGTCGATTCTTGCGCTTTCTAGTTTCCTTAAACGCCCCAGGATTGCCGAAGCCCGTCTATAGAACAGCCCCCAGTTACTGCAACCCCGCCGAAACCAGTACTGCTGACCAGGAATTAGAAGTGGAAAAATGGTCATGGGTGTTTCCTTGAAGGCGCTGCTCACTGTTCTGGCGATGCCAGCAGCCACTTCCCCAGAAATCTGTCCCATCAATTATCATGGATATCGAGGAAGGGGGCTGTGAAAGGTGGGGGCGAATGGCCGAACGAGAATCCCCCCCAAATCATGTGAGAGCCCCAGTTTCGATTGATAATTTCTGATGGGGCAGGGCATCAAATGGTTAAAATAATTAAGGAGGGAAATAATAAATACACAAATATTATCATTTTCAAGGGACTAGAAAGACTCTAAGACTCCACCCCTTTCGGAAAACTAGGTTTCGACAGCTACGCGCCAAAACCAAATGACACGCAAGAAATATCGATGCCCTTTAGGAGACTGCCAAGGTATGCTTCTTGATCATTTTGCCTTCGAATGATAAAGATGAAAAACCGCATGCTCACATCAGTTCTTACGACGGAAAATCGACCACCTTCTCTCAGCTAGATCTCGACAACTGCGCGAAACTTTGGATTTTTTGACGTTTTTATCCTAGTTTGTTTTGAAGCTACGTGTGATGCCTCAAAAACACCGCAGATCACAGAATTCCGGGGACATTGCAGAGGTTTTTTAGAACTCACGCAAGCTCCAGACGCAAATTCACGTGATCCGTGTGGTTGGGGTCAAGCTCAAGGACATAGTGACGCTCCTCACCATGTAGAAGTTGCTCGTCCTCATCCCCGAATAGAATCTCGGAGAGATCAGATGCGAGATCTCGCTTTTCTAAATCAAGTTATATTTTTCAAGTATTTATAAAATTGACCCTCTACGAATTGCTCTAGTTCTTCTTTTTTAGAATTGCTATCAAACTTCGCAGAGTTAATTTTAGGGATCGCGGTCGTACTTATACAGGGTGTCCCAAAAAAAGGACCCATCTGGCATTTCGCCGGGTTACATCCAATCGATCCCAAATTTGGACCAGACGTGTATCAGACCCTAAATAACAACATTCCTGACTTTTAGCCCCGTAGCTACAGTAGTTTTAAAGTTGTATTGAAAATACTGTTTTTTCCGGAATTCTGAACAGTTTTATCCAGGCATGGCAATCGGCCGGGCCGATCGGCTTTTTCGGCTTGGATTTGAATATCGGCCTATTAGAATTCGGCCCGGCCGATCACTTCCGGAATCGGCCGTTCCAGGGCCGATTTTCGGCTTTCAGTCGGCCCGGCCGATCGGCCGAGCCGAAAGACGACATGTTAGTTACTAAGCAAAAATTTCTCGAAAAAAATTTCGCATTTATTTTTTATCGTTTTGCTTGAGAAAATAGAATGCCTACTGGACCTGAACGGCATTCTGAATTTTGAAGCGGCGAATCGTGAATTATCAATTCGTGATTTTGGAATCGATATTTTTACCCAGGCTCGCGTCTCAGTTATCGGCATTTTATTCTGGTGCCTCGCACGCGACAATACATGTCTAGCCCCTATCCATTATGGTTTTTCTTATTTTACATCACTTTACATGCAATTTACATAATGTCGGCCTAGCCGAATCGGCTCGGCCGATTTTTCCAAAAATTCGGCCGGGCCGATCGGCTCGGCCGAAAAAATTAGCATAGAGAAATCGGCCCGGAAGTGACCGAATTAGTCGGCTTTCGGCTCGGCCGATCGGCCCGGCCGGCCGATTTTGCCATCCCTGGTTTTATCGGCTTTTTTTTGGACTTTGCATCGATTTGCATCGACTTCCGGCTGCGAATCCCTAATTTCACTTAAGAACTGGGGTAATCTTGCGTTGTAAAAATCGTTTAATTAATTTTATTCTGGAAAAAATTTCTTCCGGTAAAGAAGGCCTACCGGATCATTTTCACGTAATGTTTAGGGGGTCTAATTGCACGAAAACTCTATGGAAAATGGAAAATAAAGTTAGTTTTTGCTATAACTCGAGCACGACTGTAGCTACCGGGCTAAAAGTCAGGATTGTTGTTATTTAGGGTCTGATACACCCCTAGTCCAAATTTGGAACCGATTGGATGTAACACGGCGAAATGCCAGATGGGTCGTTTTTTTGGGACACCCTGTAATTTGAGCGCGATAGATAAAGAGTAACAAAAAAAGAGCGAGAGAGAGAGAGAGGGGGGGAACGCTCGCAAAAAGCCCAAAACTTAGACACATTGCTTAAAATCGAACTGAGCCCTTGACTGTGTAACGTCTACCCACTTCTCCTCAGCCCCGAGTCGGACAGCCCAGCCTCCTCAGCATCCGCATCACTCTCCTTTGTATCACAATGCACAGATATAGCGTAGAAAATCAGTAATAAACATCCAACATTTCGCATTATTCCTTTACTAGTCGTCAAGTTTGCGAAATCAGCCCAGAATAGAATTAAGAAGCGCGGAGACGTCCAGCTGCCAGCTCGAAATCGATGCAGCTCTGCCCGGCGCACGGGGTCACATTATGATGGGAATCCAGATCGGGCCGAGTTTGGGAATGACGTCGGATCGTCTCTTTCCTCGTTTTTCACCCTTCTTTTTCCGTGTCTTAAGTGACACCCTATCATCAGCCAGTTTTTGGGGATATATTTGGATCCTGGCACGACGATGGGGTACAAACTTTGAGCTCGATTGGGGAAGAGAGAAATGGAGAGAGAGAGGAAGAGAGAGAGAGAGAGAGAGAGAGAGAGAGAGCGATATTCTTACGTCCACTAGCTCCTCTAAATTAGATTTTTCGACGTCAAAATTTTATTCGAATATTTATTCATCAATGTGGCAAGATTTTTTATAACGATCAGGATAAAAAGATCAGATAAAAGGCCCGATTTATCGCACCCGCCAGCCATAAGCCCGAATATAGTTGCCCTCGGTACCAGGCTTGTCTCTGGCTTCGAGAGCTTTCACCTTGTCGTCAGTCAGTTGGAATTTGTAGCTCTAGAAAAGATCATAGTACTTTGGCTTCTCTTTGCATCAAACTCTAACTCTCTCCTTGGAAAAATCACCTCAAAATTCTCTCGCATCCGCTCTTCTTTCGTCGATTTCGGGCACACTGGAATGTTTTGGCTGATGGCGAAGGCGAGGAGCAGTTGCTAAAATGGGTTGGGCTTGGAATTGGGCATAGGCTTAAGCTTAGGCTTAGGCTTAGGCTTAGGCTTAGGCTTAGGCTTAGGCTTAGGCTTAGGCCTAGGCTTAGGCTTAGGCTTAGGCTTAGGCTTAGGCTTAGGCTTAGGCTTAGGCTTAGGCTTAGGCTTAGGCCTAGGCTTAGGCTTAGGCTTAGGCTTAGGCTTAGGCTTAGGCTTAGGCTTAGGCTTAGGCTTAGGCTTAGGCTTAGGCTTAGGCTTAGGCTTAGGCTTAGGCTTAGGCTTCGGCTTAGGCTTAGGCTTACTCACCGCTTTATTGCATCCCATCGCCGTGGCCATCTTGTCGACGGCCTCGTCTTGGAAAAGTGAGGGTGCCATTCGGCCCAAAGAACCAAATGCCTAAACACGTTTTGTAAACTTGGAAGGCTGGTTGAATTTTAGCCTCATTTGCATAGACTTACCGAGAAGACGATCCCCCGCTTCTTGCAGGCCTCGTGCAGCTCCTTACGGATGAAGTGGGGATGGTATTCGACCTGGAAATTTTGGGAGTATGCGAGGCAGAAAGAGCGAGAGAGAGAGAGAGAGAGAGAGAGAGAAAACGTACTTGATTTACTGCCGGCATCGGGACATTCAGAATTTCGAGCTCAGCCAGGTGTTGCTCCTCAAAATTCGAGACTCCGACGGAGCGGATCCGTCCGCTTTCTAAACGCTTTTTTTAATAAGTTTTTTTAATAATAATTTTTAATCAGCAGCAACTTCTACCACTAGTACTTAATTACGACCGCTACTACTTACGAGCAATTTTTTGGAGCGCCAAATAGGTCTGTTTCCGCCGCTCAGCATTCATTGGATCCTGATCGGCCTCTTCAGAAAACACATCGTAGGTCGGGTAGTGGACCAGGTAGAGATCGATATAGCTGAAAAGCGTCTAGGTAAGTTTTCTGCTCTCTGTCTCCCTCTCTAGCTCTCCCTCTCTCTCTCTCACCTCGTCTTTAACTTGATCAAGCTCTCCCCAACGCCTTTCTCCACCTCGGCGGCGAAATTGTCCTTTGGAGGGAAGATTTTTGAGGTGATGAAAATATCTTCCCGTTTCAAGTTGTGAATCGGAAGTAGGGACTGAAACACGAAATTCGAGAAGATTCAAGATTTCCCCACCTCCAAAGCCATGCCAATATCCGCCTCATTTCCATACTTGATGGCCGTGTCGAAAAGACGGTAGCCAACCCGAAGAGCCGCATCCAGGCAGTAGCCGAGCTCTGCGCCCTAAATATAGATTTTTTTAATTTTGGCTATTGCCCTAATCTAACTTAAAACCATCTGTTTAAGATTATTTTTATAGTTGCAAGAAAAATGGCCTTAGCTCGAACTTAAAATAGGCAAAAATTGTGCAGAAAAATTTGCAGCAATTCTCCGCCCAAAATATTTTTTGTGATTTTCAAATATAATTTGCCAATTTTGTCGGTCAGTAAATGTCGAAAAACGGGTTAGAAAATAGTTTAAATTCTCCCACCCACCTCAGGCAACTTATAAGTTCCCAGGCCCATGATCGGCATGAAATAGCCGCTGTTCAGCTTCACCGAGCCGCCCTCGGCGTTTTCGAACGGTTTCGGCGACATTTCCTGAAAAATGTGGCATTAATTTGGGTTAAAAAAACGATTTGTGGGCTATTAATAATAGCACAATTCGAAAGCTGAAATGGGAAATAAAAAGCCGCCCTCAGTGTTTTGAATCGATTTTGGCCAAAAAAAATTGTTAAAGTTAGCTAACAAAATCCAGTCTAAATTTCAACATTCCAACTTTCAGTTCAATAATAATAGTCGGTATCCACGAAAATCAAATTCCCGAGCTAAACCGACAGCAATAAAATGGGCGTGCTCTTCTCCTTGCCGTTCCCCTGCATGTCTAGATGTAAACAAGCTGACCAAGGCGCCGACAACGCCCCAGAATAACAACCAGGGCGTTTGGGGCCGAATGTTTGGGCGTGATAAATCGGCGATGATTGTTAAAGTTTATACTAAAAGTGGAGAAAAATAAGAAAAGAAGCGCCCTTTTTACAACCACAAAGACAAAAAATATTTTTGAAGCGGAAATTTTATCGTATTTACAAAAAAAACTCGCTCGCTAATAAAAGTTGTATCAGAAAATAAAAGCTATAAAAGCCAATAACCTAGAATTATAGATTGCAAGTGCAAAGGCGCAAAAACTAAATGTTTACGTATATCACGTTTACGTATGGCAGTTTACGATTTTAAAATGGCCTGTCTAGAAAACTGGCTATAAATTCGGCCGTAGAAATATACTTTCTAACGCTTTCTTCCAGAAAAACCCCTTACCACGGGTCAAAAATAAAAATTTTACGGAGGTTTTAGAAAACATACAATTTATAAAAAGCCTTAATTTACCTTTATCGAGAACCGGTTATAAATGAGGTAGCTTAACAACACTATAGCACAGCCAGTAGTTAGCAATGCGGAGCTGAAAAAGCGTGTACACATCCAGTGATGAATCGATATCCCCGGCCACTGTTGTTGACCCCGTTTTTGGGGGTCACTCATTATTGCGGTACCGTCGCCTGGGGCTACGATTTACACCCCGTTACGGATTAAAAACGATTTTTTTCAAAGCTGTAAGATAAAATTTTACCCCTGAAAAAAACTTCTATTTTCTTCTCTTCTACTCCTTTTAATTCTGCAAAATTACAAAAAAGCACGGTCAAGTGAGTGTCGACGGGGGGATTCAAGACATTTGATAACCCGCCGACTCCGGACCGTTGCATACTAGCTTCCCTGGCTTCATCCTTATATACCAGCTGTTTTTTGGGGGGGCCAGGTGAGGAGCGTTTCAGGGGCGATGAGTCAGAGGACTTTAAATATTCTCTGACGCTAGAGCAAGCCTAGATAAAGGTGACTCCAAAGAACGAGAAGAATTTTTTTAGTTGTTTGAGGTGTGGTCGTTCTCTGCGGTCACGGTCCCGAACACCCCTTTCTATTGCACAACCTTACAAAACCCAGTCAGACTCACCCCCCCTGAAACGATGCCCAGCTGGCCCACAGAATATCGATGGGTATATAAGGATGAAGTATTTGGAAGGCAATAAGCAAAGGTCCGTAGTCGGCGGGTTATCACTGTCACTGAATCCCCCCGTCGGCATCCCTTGACCGTGCTTTTTGCATTTTTTGGGATGCACTAAGAACTGGGAAGAATTTTTAACGCGTCGACCACACTTTCTATTGTTCATAGACTTTCGCGTATTTTTTAAACGATTCAATCGCGATTGAATTTCGGTCTATGTAGGTTCAAGTCAGCCCTCAATAACGGCACTGTTCAAATGCGGTTTGGCGCGATTCCCTTTCCATAGGCTATAATTTCTTTTATAGTTTTTCTTTATCCCCCAATTTCCAACTTTGCCAATTGTTTTGCCTCGTGTTTAGGCGAGCCGCCATTTGTAGTTTGCCCCTTATCGTTCGGGTCACGACCGCTCGATTGAGAGGGTAGGGAAAAAGATAGCCGCCGTTCGTCAGTGTTCACGTCAACCGAAGAGAGCGCTAGACGAAAAACAGCGTGGAATTTGACCCCCATTCACCCGGAGCGCTAGATCATTACAATTAGATGCATGATACCATCTACCATTGTTTTCTAGGCTCGATTTTCTTTTTGATTAAAATTCGCAGTTTTGAATGCTTTTTTTCGAACTTAAAACTTTCAATTCCAGGTCCGTGGAGTTTGATCAGTACAATCAAAAAGTCAACCCAATCGTGTTTCGTGTTTTCTACGCTTGATTTCCATTCTACATTAAATTCTTGCTCTTCAATACTTTAACTTTCGATTTCAGGCCGCGCTCCATCCCACTTGAACGCTATTTCTTGAAGAATGGCTGCCAGCAAGGGTACGTTCAATTTTCAAACGCTTCAACTTGCTTTTTAGGTGTCTTCATCGTCGGCGCCAAGCGCACTGCGTTCGGTACGTTTGGCGGCAAGCTGAAGGGCGTCTCCGCCACCGATTTGGGAGTGGTGGGTTTATTTTGGAGCGGAATTTCTTACAGGCCTTCGGTTTGAGGTGATACCTCGATGTAACGGCGCTTATTCGATAAAGCTGAAAAATTCTTAAAAGCATCTTTTTTGAAACGCTGTAGAGGGCGGCTTTGAAAGAAGAATGGCTCTTTTTCGGTGTAAAAGAAGAAGTATTTGTTCGGACGTTTTGAGAAAGCTGCTACTGACTCATATTTTTACGCTTTATCGAATGAACTATATAACGTAGCACCGCTATCCTCGAAAACAGTTTCTTGTCAGAATTATCGCGAAAACTAAACTCTTCTTTCAGCTCGCCTCCCAAGCTGCCCTCCAGCACGCCAACGTCAAGGCCGATGCCGTTGATCACGTCATTTTCGGCAACGTCGTCCCCTCGTCCCGCGATGGTATCTACCTCACCAGGCATATCGGGCTAAAGGTAGTTTCGTTGATATATTTTTACCCATTCTTTTTCAGTCTGGCGTTCCCGTTTCCGCTGGCGCCCTGACCGTCAACCGCCTCTGCGGGTCCGGTTTCCAAGCTGTCGTCTCTGCCGCTCAGGTATCAATTTTGGGCTGTATTTCATGCTTTTTTAGCAAATCAAAGTCGGCGACTCTTCCCTGGTGCTTGCTGGAGGTACAGAGAACATGTCGCAGACGCCGTTCGTCGTGCGCAACATCAGATTTGGCACCGGATTGGGGCAGAAATACGATGTAAGGTTTTCTCGCGATTTTTTAGTCTAATTCACCATTCTCAGTTCGAGGATCAGCTCTGGGACTCGTTGACCGACTCGTACTGCCAGCTGCCGATGGGAATGACCGCCGAGAAGCTCGGTGCCCAATATAAGGTTTTGTATTCGAAAGTTTTACAAATTTTTGTAGGTTACTCGCGAAGACGCCGACAAGTTCGCCGCCCGCTCGCAGACGCTATGGAAGAAGGCGAACGACGCCGGCGTCTACAAGAACGAGATCTCGCCCATCGAGGTCAAGGGCCGCAAGGGACCCGAGCAATTTGAGGTATCGTTGTGTGGTTTTTGGTTACGCAGTGTCTATTAAAAACGCGTACCTTGACGTTTTTCTGGCCATTTTCATGTAGTTTTTGACCAAATTTCAAGAATGTCCGTTTTCTGATGGACTGTTGGTTTCAAGTGTGGAAAACGCGAAAAAAAACATTGCTAGAACCCACTAACAGTCCAACCGTCTTTTATCTCCTTCTTTTAGGTCGACGAGCACCCGCGCCTTTCCACTCCCGAGCAGCTCGCCAAGCTGAAGCCCGTCTTCAAGAAGGATGGTCTGATCAACGCCGGCAACGCCTCCGGAATTTCTGATGGAGCCGCCGCGCTGGTAGTTGCTGGCGATGAAGCCGTCACGACGCACGGACTGAAGCCGTTGGCTAGGGTGCGCATTTTTGACAGTTTACTACATTTTAGCTTGATTCATCTATTTTCTCTCATTTTTAGCCGCATTTACCTTTTTCTTTTCCAGGTGGTCGCGTACGCAGCTGCCGGCTGCGACCCGTCGATCATGGGCATCGGACCGGTGCCGTCGATTCGCCAAGCCCTGAAGCTGGCCGGTATGACGCTCGACCAGATGGACATTGTCGAGATCAACGAGGCGTTCGCCCCGCAAGCCCTCGCCTGCCAGCGCGAGCTCCAGATTCCCGACGAGAAGTTCAACCTGAATGGAGGTATCGTTTTGCGCTTTTTAGCGGCAAAAATGAATTAGTTTAATAAAGAACTAGGTTGAATTTAGGCTTTTTGGGCTTCTTGTTTTACCGTAAAACATTTTTCAGGAGCCATCGCCCTCGGCCATCCGCTCGGCGCCTCTGGAGCCCGTATTTCCGTTCACCTCGTCCACGAGCTTCAGTAAGTTCCTTTGCTAATTTCTATGCTTAGAATATAAAGATTAAATAAAATAGAAAGTAATTAGAAGACCCCTGATTCAATGAATTTTTTTAGCCGACGCAACCTGAAGTACGGCATCGGCTCCGCGTGCATCGGAGGCGGCCAGGGCATCGCCGTCATCTTCGAGCGCCTCTAGATTAATCTATTCTCCGCCATTGTTTCTTTTTTTTTGTGATTTATCCCGTGCCTTATCGTGAACATCGACTGTTCGTTGCGCGCTGTGAATAATATGCTGCTTTTAACCGATGATTTAATTAGGATAAAGTTGAGATTGACTTTTGCGCATGACGCTGAATGGCTGAATGTACCGGAAGCTTGCAGTTGATTTTTCCAAACCCAGGCTAGGAAATCCTAAAAATTTATCCCGGTACAAAGAGCACACAGGCGGGCTACGTAAAAACACGACACCTGAAGCAACAACGGATCACATCGAGCGGAAATGGCCACAGGCGGCCGGATAAAATCATCAAAGAGAAGGCGGGTGAAAAGCGGTGACAGCCGACTATCGACCCCGAGTAACAGAAAGTCAATGCGCCAACAAGAACTAATGTTACGCGCGACGCCAAGTAGGTGCACATTCGAACAAATCACTGGGAACGTCAGTTTAATTTCAAGAATCTGCAGTGAGGGCTGGGGGAAAAGCGCAGCCGCCGCAATGACATCGAGAATGCGAATGGATGGGAGGCGGAAGGCCGGTCGTTTTTTATGTACCTGTTTGCGTAGCGAGAAGGCTTTGTTACATACAAACAACAGTTATTTCAATAAAAGCTGGAAATAGCATAAGGTCAAAATGGCAGTCCTATCTTAGCTGATCTTACTCTTCGTTACTATGAATACAATTTTCTAAAAGATAACTACACAGAAAAGGTAATAGGTCACAGAGATATGGATGATATACTTATTCTGTACAAAACTGGAGTTAATATAGAAAGCTTCCTAGGAAAAATTTACCCAAAAGAACTAACTCGCGAACAAACTACTCTAATATCAACCTCTGGTAACTTCTTAGACCTAAAATATATCCGGAAAACAATAAACTACAATCAGAACTTTACAACAAATTAGCTTACTATCATTTTAGTGTTACACGCATGCCTAACTACCTACCAAATATCTCATACACAATCAAACATGGCTGCGTGGAAGGCGGAATTATCAGAATAGCTAGAAAATGTTCGAATTTAGATCAACAACTAATCTCACATTTAATTAAAAATGGCTATCCTATACTATACTTAATTTATTTATTAAAACTATGAAAAAACACCCGGGACTTAGCCTAAAATACGATTCTAACGTTAAACATATGATACATAGACTAAAACAAACAATAAATTGCTAAATTAATAATTTTCCTTTATTCTCCATTTCATTTGTTTTCTCTTTTCATTCTTTTTCCACTTTCTCCTTCTAAATCTTTCTTCTTCTTTTGTTCTCTATTATCAGTCCACCCAATTACGCTAGACAACATACCCATCCTATCAACGCGGCTTCTCAGCCCTCACCCATATCACGAAAAGGGCGATCTGATTAAACTAAAGAAATGAGAAAAGTAGTAGAAATATAGTTATAAACTAAAAATTATTAGAAAAATTCCATTTTATTAAACTCTTAACTCCTTACGCTCGCTTGCGAGTTTATACCCCTCGTGGGATCTTATGCGGGCTTCGGCTCGTTTAACTCCCCTGCTTGCAGTGCGAGACTTCCTTTTAAATTTATCAAAAAATTACATATCACTTAATACTTTGAATTTACATACATGATTTAAAAACTTTCAGTAAAGCAATGTCCGGGGTGCCGGGTCAAGTGAAAGGTGCGAGGTGGTGGTGGGGAGGATGGCGAAAAGAAAGGGTATAACAACTACGCAACACGTGTCGACTGGCTGGAAAATGGAGATGGGGGTAACCGTCATGAAGACTAGTCGCAGAAGGGCTATATTAAAGGGAACGGGAAGTCAAGAAAATCTAGAAACGGCTTCAAGAATTTGCAAAAAAAATTAGATATGAAAATCGAACACGAGAAAAGCTCAGCGGGGGCGAAAGGGTTGTACTTCGAACCGGGCAGAAGTTGTACCGGCGGGCGTCATCTATCTACAGCTCGGGGTGGATGAACGGGTTGGCGTCGGTGGCGTCGAGTTCGGCGGGGCACTTCTGATTCAGCCGAGCCATCGCCATCTGAAAGTAGATAGATTTTGGGAGGTTGTGCAATATCCAGAGACTGGTAAATTTTTTCTAGAAATGAAGCAGGCCTAGCAATGCGACAGGAATTTTGTATTGCATCTTTCTTTAAACTTAGCTTATGCAAGCGGAAAATTGTTTAGATAACTTCGAAAAATGCGTACAATTTTTTGATTCGAAGATCATATATTTTCGTTTTTCATAAAAAATGCAGTTTTTACGTTTAAGAATAACCAAAAATAGTTTATACACGCTTCCTCATCCTCTTAGAAACAGAATAGTTTTGTCTTAAAAAAGCAAACAAACCTCGGATATCCCGTAGTAGTGAACGAAGGCCGCAATCACGACGCAAGTGTGGAACAGCTGGTGGGATTGGAACTAAAAAAAATCTTTTTGAGACCATAAAAAATAGAAACGCACCCAAATATCACATTTTCCGGGGAAGAAACGCTCGGGGGTGCGCGTGGCGTACAGCCCGGCCCCGATCAGGTACAGCGCCGCCATGAGCAGCAGCCAGTGGAACGAGTTCTCGTTGAACAGTGAATGCACGCCGTCCGTGATGATGTAGTGCACCGTGGGCACGACGCCTGAAACAAACGTTTTTTGACGATTCAGAATTTTTTTTTTGAAAACCAAGTTAGCTTCAGAATTTCAGGCAAAATTTTTTAGATCGAACAAATTACCGGAGCATCCCATGGCCACGAACACGCCAGCTCGCAGCGGCCGGAAGCGAGACTCGGAGAATTTGTCCCACATCGAAACCGTGATCGCGGCCGCGCCGAGAATGCAGACCATTGCTAAAAAGGGGTACTTCAAAGCTTAACGAAATTCCCGCACCTATATACGTAATTTTTGGCTCCCGTCGACAGTAGAACCCGTAGTAGATCCAGGGGATGAACGACCCGATGATGAGCAGTGAGATACCCATGTAGTCAAGCCTGAAAAAGACAGGATAATTGATCGAAAACTGTAACTATAACACGTGGACTAGAAAAACCAGTATTTTCAGCAATTAAGAAGCTACGGTTAATAAACTTTACAATCCTCACTTGCAAAAGATTTTCACAACGCCAACGGAATGGCAGGACAGCGTGTGGAAGGCGAAGGAGAGGCCGAGACACAGGATGGCGCCCACGAAGAAGAACGAGAACACGACCTTTTCCTAAAAACAAAATAAGCATTTCGTATCTTGAAAAAAACCTGGAGCTGAATGTGATTTTCTGGGCGCGTCAGGAACCAGACGGCGAGCAAGAAGAAGGCGACGCATCCTGGAAATAGTTACGTTATTCCGGGATTTTTTCGCATGTAATTTGCCTTGCATGATTTTCCAGCTCCCTTTTTTGCAAATCGTCCAAAAAAAACGTTTCAAATCTTTAAATTATTTTTCTAAAGGCCGAAAACCCAAGTTCTTGAATAGGTTTTACTTTTCCGCTCGAGCAATTTCCTTATTTTTGCGCATGACTCATTCCCTATTTTAAACTTTCAAATTTCACTGCCCCCATTTGGCAGACGCGACCAAAACAAGTTGTTCGCCACAACCGTCACAACAATTATCCCAAGCGCTGTCAATTTGAGTTGGGGATTTTTTGCCAAAACGATTGTACCACGTGATAGTACCCAAATTAGCAGTCACCGCGAAAAATTCTCATCCAAACGAAAATTCCCAAGAATTCCCCAAACCCCCCGGATTATCGCAGCGCCCCGATCAGTCAGCCCTCGCTGCTGGTATAGCTACTCGATTTTTGCGGGCCACACCACGTGCCGGGGCGAGACCACGTGACGCGCCCCGACGCGTTTTTGGTCTGGCATTTTGGAGTGGCGGCAAGCAGAAGGGGGAGACAAAATGGATCACATGGGGCTGAAACGCTAGTCTAAGGCCCGGGAAACCCCGGATCATTTATCTAGGGAGGATGGAGGTCCGAGATCAAACGGAAATGGTCGTAAATTTTGTTCGCAGCGGCCTGAAAAAAATCCAGTATTTAAAAAAAATTTGAAAGATACTTCCAGCCACCGCTCTAGAAAATCTAAAATTTTTTTTGCAATATCGGGGAGGGCTGCCCTTCTTTGCCATTTCTAAACATCTTCTAAACAACTCCTCTAAATTTTACGACCTTTGAAAAAAAAAAACAGAATTTTTCAAACAGTTTGCCGTTTTTCCAAGGTTTTCAAATCGTTTTCGAACTGAAACATCACTAAATACTATAAAAAATACTAAAAATAATGTGTATCGCATTACTAGAACTGTCTTCTAGGCAAATAAATTTTTACCCTTCCCACGATACTGCCAAAGCACCCTAAATTTCTATCCGATACAACCCTATTCGCGTGTACACAACAACCCGGGGATTAGCTTATTTGGTCAGCTGACACGACCTGTCGACATCGGATTCGATTACGCCATCAAAATCGTACATCTAGGGCGTTTACATATTGCTCTCCAAAAGCGCCCAATCTTTCAAAGCGAAGCATCCCCCCTAACCAATTTGCGAACACGTGATGGGGGCAAAGGGCCAGACCAAGGGCATGTCTCTATCGCCACCTCCTTATCGGCGTCACCCAGTCAGATAGTAAAGAGTGGCAAAAAATGAGCAATATCGGCATAGTAAATGTACTATTTCGACGCTTAGGGCTTGTGGAAACCCTTTAGAGGAAATCCAAGCTCCTCAAAAAATTCTTCACCTAGCAAATGGGTCCAAATGTTGCCGGTCTCGGTGTGCAGACTCCAGATGCTCTTGAAACACTCGGCAAACGATGGCAGTGGTGGACGATGACCGTGTCTAGATAACATTTGAATAAAACACCTTGTAAGTCAGCTTACCGCAAAAACTCGTTATCCTGAAGCCACGAGGGCAAGTGCTCAAAGTGCATGACGGTCCATTTCACGTCATATGTCTAAAAGCAAAAGCTACGTTTCGAAAAAGAGTCATACCGTTGTAATAACGTGACCAGCCGCTCCGGACAGCTCCTCCTTGACGTTGACTTCCAGCTCATCCTCATCAGCCGCTGCTTCTTTCTTGATTTCAGCAGCTCCCACCTTCTTCCAGTCGCCACCGCGCTTTCTGAAAATTAAATGATCATTTTGCAGTTTCATTAATGATCAGTAGCCTCTTTCAAAAAATAAAATTTACCGTCGATACGTCAATTTGGTCATCCTGGGCCCCTCGTCATCACTTCCGGCAGAAAGCCTTGCCCGTATCGAGTGTGTGCGTGACCGGTAGACGTCAGAATCCGAGATTGACCCTAGAAAAAAACAATTTAACGCTTTCCATTACCAAAATACCAAAATCCTCGTCCTCACTGTTCGGCTGCGACACGACGGTAGTGCGACTAACTGTCACCTCGCATGGCACATCGTGGTTCGCCGCGCTTGGCCCATTTTTCATCTAAAAACAGAAATTAGTTATAAAAAGAAAAAATTTCAAACTCACTTGAACTGACGACGTCTCGTGAATGAGATGCGGCTCGTTCAGCCAAACCGAGCTCTTCTTGCGGCTCCGGCCCTCAATCACATCTCGGGCATGCTCGAGGGCGTCGCGAATGTCTCGGTCCATGCCCTATATTCAAATTGTATAGTAAAATATACCCCGGAAAGTCGGAGGAGGCAAGGGAAATGTCAAAAGGAGAAGGAGAAAAACTCGAAATAACCGAGGTACATCATCGAAAGGCGCAGAAACTTTCAAAAATGCGCCCCACCCGCACAACTCCATCATATAAACAAAAAGGTCTCGAGAAACGGGTTCAACTTTTTTATAGCACTGAGGCGGTGCAGCGAGCAAAATGACCAGAGCACGATTTTTTGCGGCCGAGACAAATGAGCCGGCTGTCGCAACGGGGATGTCTTTCGAGAGGGGCAGGAGAAGAAAAAACAGCATGATAAGGCGGAGTTTCGGGAAGATTTCGTGATGCCATATTGCAGCCTGTTTTATAAAATCAAGCATAAAAATTCATGCGTGGACAGAAACGAAAAATAGTGGGGCCAATACGAACAAAAGGAACGAGCGGTCGCGCGGGTATACGGTAAAAATCTGCCGGTCCATGGTTTAGGCATCGACTAATAAAGTCGGATTATCTAACGTTGTCAGATGTTTTTCATTGATATTTTCCACGGTATTTATGCTTTTTCTATGCGGAACTGTTAAAAACTGTGCTGATAATTGATTTTTGCAGGCAGTATTGATGAGAAAACCGAGTATGGGTTCCAGATTTTTGCGCTGCTAAAATGCTGAAAACGAATTTCTGTATCAAACAAAATTTTTTTTAATTTATGTTTTTGAAGTTACAAAGAAGTTTCTATAGAGCATTAGCGAGATTGAAGTAAGCGACATGCAACCAGAAAAAAACTAACAATGCAATAGTCAAAAAGTCAAAAGACAAGTCTTTTTCAAAAAAACATAATTTTCATTATCAAGGTTATCTAATTAGTATTTTCGAATGCGGAGTTTTGAACGTCCTGAAGATTTTGGACGCATTACAAAAATATTCAATTTTTAGGCTGACGCGTGTTGATTTGGCTTGGAATTACTACGTTTTACACAAAAAAAACAACAAAATTTAGTCGTTAGACATTGCGAAATTTTCATCTTCTAATGTCGAATGGGAGAAGCATTTTATGACGATCGATTCCAGACAAACGGGAGGAAATGACCCTGGCGAATAATAATAATGGGCTGGCCGCTGAATTAGATGTTGTGTTTTGCTATGCGGTAAGGGAAAGGGCTGACCGTCGGGGGGTGGTGCTGTTTCAACACTGGCCATCGGCTCCTCTGTGTCTCTGCCTGGCCGTAGAGAAACACGAGGAATTGGGGGTGGAGTATGGCTTTTTGCGAGTCGACAAGCCGGCAAACAGCCGATCCTCGGGCCAAATACGGACCCCGGGGCTTTGCGGGTGGACGGCCAGGATCGCGTTTCTGATTCATGCTTTTGGGGGGAGAAGCGAACGGAGCGCAAGAAACGGGCGAAATGGAGTGGAAAATGGAAAAAGTACTTTACGTAGCCTGAAAAGTGCAAATTGAGTTTCAGAGGAGACCCAAAAACTTTAAAATAATTTTTTTTATCAGGAAATTTAACCAAAGCAACCTTTGAATGCTCGGATACAAAGTCAAAGTTAAGAATTTGCGGAAAGATTTGGAAAGTGAATTATGAAACTGTGGAATACTGTAGGAAGTCGGATACAAAGAAAAGGCTTTTCCTAAAGCTCTAATTTCGGAATTGACAATGTTCAAATTTAACAAACAACCTTGCAATTCGAACTAAAGCCGAAAAAATTCGAAATCGCAGTAAAAGCGGAAACTGATTTTGACCAACCTGGTTAATCTTTTAAAATCAGCGCCAAAAGACAGAAAATGAATAATTTTACGGCCGGGTTTAGCAAGAAGTTCTTTAGAAATTTCGAATTAGCATAAAAGATGGAAATTGCATCATTTCGACGCCAAAAAACATTCCTGCTCATTCTCGACCCTTGATTTGATGAGGTACGGTCTCTCAATTCCTAAAATTCGCTCATTTAGTCGAGCCAAAACCCCGGAAAAAGCCGTCAGCTCGGGGCGCAGGTTTTGCATTGTCCGAAAACGTGGTATTTTCTCCCTTCTAGCGCTTCCTCAGCACGCGACAGCGACTCCGAAACGCGCAACGCGTACGTTTCGCGGTTCGATTCTGTTTCAAGGGCACGTTGAAGCCAAATTTCTTCAATTTCAGCTCCCTGCTCTCGAATCGTCACACAGACACTTCCAGCGCCGCCCCCGTCAGCGAGCCGCCCAGTGATGCTGGGTACGGTAGAAGGGGCGGTAGATGATCTTCTCCTTCCAGATCAATCGACAGTCCTGAAAAATGGTCCCTTCGCGAGGCGGCCAAGGTGGAAAATGCGTTCGACCTGTTCAAGCAGGTCAGAAACTAGGGCTTTGTTGCTCTCGTTTGACTGCTAAACCGCCCCAAGATGAGGGAAAAGCTTAACTGTTTCTAGAGTTCGGTGCCGTTCTTCATCGCTGGGCTGGTGTCCATCTCCTGCGGCCAGGTGTTGAGCCTCGCGTCCCGTTCCAAGCTTTTCGAGTGGGTTTTCGAATCGAGGAGGAGCTGAACGTCTTCAGATCTACTCCGGAACTGTTGTGCCTCTCCATACCGCTGATGGGGCTGAAGGGGAACATTGACATGACGTACGCGTCGCGGTTGACGACTTTGGTGGGTTGGCTTGGCTAGCCTTATGCTTAAGCTGGGCTTAGGCTTAGGGTTAGGATGGACTTAGGCTCAGGCTTGAAAATTTCCAATTTCCAGGCTCACCAGGGAGCCCTCCGTACCTTCGACGACCTGATGGACCGGATGCCGGCCTTCTTGGCGACTGTCCAGGTTTGGAGAATGCATAGATTCACAACGCTCCTCTAGACGCAAGCGATCCCGATGGCCATCTTCAGCGCGATGATCACCTACCTGCTGATGATCGTCGACCGGCTGCTGGGGTTGAGTGACCCGGATGTGGGTCTTTGAGAGAGGGAGGGAGAGAGAGAGAGAGAGAGAGAGAGAGAGAGAGAAAAAGAAATTTTGGTAAGAGTCTAGAAAACCCCCCCCCCCAGCCGGCACCAACTTTTGTATCTCGGCCCTCTTTTGTGCTAGCGAGCTCTAAAGTATATCAAAATGTTCGCCGTAGGCTAATTAGTAAGACTACATTGCAGTTCAGTCGAAAAAAGTAGCGAAAAATAAAAATAAGGGGGGGGGGGGTTTCCTAGACTTGAGCCGAAATTTTTAGGCCTCCCAACCGACCGAAAACATCCGCAACTTGCCGCTGATCGCCGGCACATCGCTGCTGACAATTTGCCTCTCTGCCGGGTTGCTGTGTTGCTTGACGGGGATGTTGGTCTTCTGCTCGAGGTGAGGAGGGCAGGGAGAACTCGCCACACTTGTCCTTCTAGAAAATGTCGCTTCAACCCCGACAACGTGACGGTGCCCCTGGCGGCGTCGACGGGAGATCTGGTGTGCATCGTATTGCTTGTAAGACTTCAAGAACTTCTACCTCAACACTTGTGAATTTAGTACGGTACCAGCCACCTGATCAACCTCATCCACCGCGCATACCACTGCCCGCTCTACATCCTGCTCGTCGCCTTCGTGCTGCTGCTACCGATGTGCGCGTACTGCGCGCTGAAGACTGGTGGGATTGGAATTCAACATTTTCGTGTAGTTTGTAGTTTAAATTGAGTAGCTTTTCTTCAGATCTTGGCCGGCGCACGCTGAAGTTTTGCTGGGTCAGCCTGACCGTCTCGGCGTTGTTGCAGTGGTACGAATTTAAGAATTTTAACGTCAAAAGCGATTTTTTTCTGAATTTGCCGAATTTTGGCAACAGAATCTTGCTGTCTCGATCCCTTTAAAACGCATTAAAAACACAAAAAAAAATGTTTTTAGCATTGGCGGCTGCATCCTAAACTACACGGCTCGGCGGTACCCCGACTGCACACTGTACCAGCCGATACTAACGGGTAATTTTTGGCGGAATTTCGTCATTCTTTTTTTTTGCTAATTTCGAGCATTTTTTTCTCGATTTCTGCCTCTAGGAATCGCCGGAAACCGGGTGGGCGTGTACGCGTCGCGGCTGGGCACCTTTTTGCACAGGTATCGGATGCCAGAATCTTTAAAACCGACTTTTTCAGTAAGGGCAACTTGAAGACGGGCACCTTCCCCGATCAGCTGCCCTACCTGAAGATGGCCAACCCGTTGAGGGTGTTCTACCGGAGTGGTGGGTGGCATTGGAAAATGGCTGAAAGTTGTCTCTGCTCCCTGAAAATTCTGAGAGAAATTTTTTCCAGATTCTGACGTCAAAGCCGGGCGCATCCTCGTCTTCTCCTCTCTGCCCTACCAGCTAGCGTTCATCCTGATCGCCTACGGCTTGGGCACCGCCTTCAGCACGTGCGGCTGTTTAGAAGTTCCCACACCTTTAGGTCTATTTTAGCACGCTGATGAAACCCCGCTTCCACTGGTCGTTTGCCCTCAGCTACCTGTGCTTTGCCGCCATTCAGGTGATGAGAGAATGAGAGAGAGAGGGAGATAATTGTAAATCTGAGCTTCAGATCACCCTGTTGATGATCTGGGGCCAGCTGACCTGCTACACGATGTGGGCACTCGGCATCGATCCGGACATCCACTCCATTCCGCTACTTACTGGCCTCGGCGATCTTCAGGGTAGGCTTCGCTCAGCATTAGGCTTAGGCTTGGGCTTAGGCTTAGGCTTAGGCTTAGGCTTAGGCTTAGGCTTAGGCTTGGGCTTAGGCTTAGGCTTAGGCTTAGGCTTAGGCTTAGGCTTAGGCTTAGGCTTAGGCTTAGTCTTAGGCGTAGGTTGAGGCTCAGGCTGACTAATCTCTCTTTTCCAGGCTGTGCCCTCCTCCTGCTCCTCTTCGAGCTCCTAAGCATCTACGCCCCCGAGGACATCAACTTCATCGACCCGATGGCTGGAGCGAGCACCACCACAATCACCTCGACCACCCTCGCCTCGATGATCGCCAACTCCACCACAACTGCTCTCCTTTAAACCAAAAACTGCCTTTCCCCCTGCTCTTTCTACTCACCAGTCGATTGTCTGTGATACGAACCCGAAAGTTTGCCCGTATCGTCGGCAAGTGTCTTTTTTCGTTTAAAGAATGACTGTGTTTCTCGCATGTGATTATTGACGCCATTTGTGTTCGCCTGGGGAGTAGATAAAGGTTTTATTCCGGGACTTGCGGCTGGACTGCTCGAAGATGAGGGATGGCTTATGCTTTGCAGGCCTGAAATATAGCGGGTTTTGAAGGGCTTCTAGGCCTTCGACGTCCATTTTGCTAACCTTTTTCTGCCGCTCTCGCGCTCGCTCGCTCTCTCTCTCGCTCTCGCTCTCTCTTTCTCTCTAACAAACTGACCTTCTCCATGTCGTCCCAGATATACGGCTTATTTCGGGAGATGAATTTGTCCACCGGGCAATAATCATCGAACGGGCACCCCGAGATGGAGTTTGTAATCACGTGGAAGTCCTCGTAGGCGCTGTCGGAGTAGAGAACCTAAAACGAGAGAGGTTGAGAGGGAGAGAGTGAGAGAGTGAGAGCGAGGGTGAGAGAGTGAGTGAGAGAGTGAGTGAGAGGGAGGGAGGGAGAGAGAATGAGAGAGAAAGCCAACGAGGGTTTTACCTTAATAGCCAAGCTCCCATCATCCATCTTCCACGTCTCAAAAAGCAAGGTAGCCGCGTAATTTGGCTGATTTTTGCCTAGTGCTACGTATTTAGCATTTGTCCCCAGCGTGTAGAGAATTGCCACGATAGTTGTGTCATGCTGAAAGACAGTTTTTAAAAATATAGGGCCAATACCGTACCGCCGAGTGTACATAGTACTTGAACGGAGCCTTCTCTGTCCAGGTGGATTGGATGAGGCTGAGCGCCGGGCCGCCACGAAGCCCGAGCAGGTCTTCGTTGTCCGGGACTCCGAAGCCTCCTGGAAAAGGGCAAATACGTTTGTATAAAGGATGACTAGTCGCGCAAAGTTAGTATAGTCAAGTACCGAGCCCGAAAAAGTAGTCCATCGTTTGCGACTTGACGTCCTCGGCCTCCCTGTAGAGGGAAGGGGTGATCCAGGCGGGGAGCGTTAGGTTGTGGTCTTTCTGAGGGTGGTGGTAATAGGTTAGTTACGGGATCAATATGATATAGGCGGGTTGAAAGTGCCAGTAATGAATTTTAAAACCAGTCCCACCTCGCAGACAATGGTGTCAAAGTAGTCGAACGTATCCTTGATGTGGGTTATATCGAGGCCGGTGTTCTTGGCGAAAGCGAAGATCATCTCCTGAAAGAGATTGGTTAGCTTCTCTCTATCTCTCTCTCTGTATCTCTCTCTCTCTCTCTCTCTCTCTCTCTCTCTCTCTTACCCAATGCGTCCCCTCGTATTCGATCAAATTCAGATTGATAGTCCGCTCCACTTCGAGGTCGCTGGCTTTTTGACATCCGCTACCCGGCTCGTACCACTAAAAACCATGCTTTTCACCAATCTATCAAACCTACACGATCAGGGCTTGGATTCTGGTGAATCGGGATCGGGGTGTAGTTGTTGGGCCATTTCTGAAAACCAGGACGATTGTGAGAGAAAGAAAAGAGAGCGAGAGAGGGAGAGAGAGCGAGAGAGGGAGAGATAGAGTGAGAGAGAGAGAGCACAACACATACTGGGTCCGTGGGATGGAAAGTCGATTGATCATAGAATCCAGCTAAATTTGATGCAGCCGACTGAAGGCAACGATCGATTTGGGCGGATTGGACGTATATCTACAATATTCCATGCCAAGTATTATCTAATTATAAAATAGGCACATTTTAGGGCCTGTAAGGTACCTCATAAGGCGAATAGGTAGCATTGACAAGCTTGTGGTCATCGATGTAGCGCTTTTTCAGACGAAGACCATTGGCGTATTGTTGCTCCATTCCCGTCTAGCAGAATACATGTATTTTAACGAAAAAGATATCAGAATTAAAAAATCCTAGAATTAGAAGCGTTTTTAAATGATTTACCGTAGTCAACGTCCCCCACGGGACACCCCAGAAGCCCTCCTGGTATGGATCGGTTCTAACGGTGGTGATCGGCGTCCTGTCGCCGTGCCGGAAGACCTGGAAGAGGTAGGAAGATAAATCGTCAAAATTTCATTTTCTGTACTACGTTTCCGTACGTATCTTTGCGTAGCCAAGCCTGTTTTAAAGCGGGCCTACAATTTCCGCAGGATACCAGAGCAGCGAGACTACAAACAATCGGTTGTGACGGAACCCAAATTTTTCCTAAATTTCTAAAAATGCCTAGATAGCATTTCCATCGTGTATTTACTAAAATGCAACTATATTTTAAGAAAAAAATAATTAAAATCGTCACAATTTTTTATGCGAAGTTTTATTGATTTCTCAGGTTTCTGTGACTTCTTGCAAAAAAAACTTTTGCCAGATTTTTTAGAGTTTTTCCTGAGGATTCCTATAAACATCAGGTACATTTATACAGAGGAGATGTAAAACACAATCCGTAGCACCGACCACATTGACATTCAGCAAAGCCGGAGCCGAAATAGCACCGCCAACTAGTAAAAAGCTCAAGCAGCCCCGGAACCACATGGCCAGGCGTGAAAAGACCCCAGCAAAGTGTCGACCTCCATTTCTATCAATTCAAGCAGCCGAGTTCAGCTTTTCCGATTTTTTAAGCGTCCTTGATAAGGGGATTAAATGTCGCTGTCTTTCCTGTGGCCTATCCTGGAGCCTGAATGTTTCGTAGCCGACAACTGGGAGGGAAGAGTTTATTTTGCAGTTTTTTGTAAATTCAAAATTTGTCCATTAGTGTGTACAATTGGAGGCTAGACGGCGGTCGCTTAGTGCTCATCAACCTTTCGGCCAGCCTGGTGCATCTTGTCGGAGGCCCAGTCCTTGGCGTCCTCCTTCTGAAAATGAGAAAATTATTGGGGTTTAGAGAAGGCTTTGCTTGGGTTTAGGCTTAGGCTTAGGCTTAGGCTTAGCCTTAGGCTTAGGCTTAGGCTTAGGCTTGGATTAGGCTTGGTTTAGGCAAAGCTTAGGCTTGGCTTTGACTTAGAGTTAGGCTTAGCTTAGATTGAGGCTGAGTTTTAGGCTTAGGCCTAGGCTTAAGCCCAAACTTATGCTTAGGCTATGGCTCGCTTAGGCTGAGGCCTACCTTATCGTGAGCCTTATCCTTGGTCTCCTCCCATGCGCTGCGGGCGTTGTCCTTGGCGCGGTCCTCGTGCGTCGTTCCGGTCATATCTTGGAACTTGTCCTTCACCTGAAAATTACAAAAATAGGGTTGGAATACGGTAGCTAGGCCACGTTTTAAAACTAGATATTTCTCGGATATGGTAGCTTGGTCCGATCTCAGAAAACCATCGAGAAGAGAAACTTACAGCCTCGGCGGCGTTGGAGACGGCGTCCTTGGTCTTCTCGTAGATTCCAGACATTGTTGATTTGTTGCTTTCTGAAAAAAATCGATCATGAGCTGAAGTCATCGTCATAAAAGCGGAATATGAAAATTTAGGACGATACTGTAGGACCGTCATGCAAAAAGAAGCAATTTTTTTGGTCCGTTTTCTAGCAAATTCTCAAATGCCTTAGGATGGCTCAGGGAGCAGGAGCGAGAGCAGCATATTAGCCTCAAATTTCGAATCAAGCTTAAGCAAGACCAAATACTGAACAGCAAAAGAGTTATAGGAGCAGGAGAACCATATAGGAACCATGAAACTACAGCACCCCAAACTTAGGTAACGAATGAAGGGCGTGCTGATTGGGATGCTTCCCCTCATCCGTTCGATCGGCTATTTATGCGCCGAAAATTGGGGCGCCACGATGCACTTGTTGTTGTTGCGCAGGGGCGGCGCAACTTTTTTCGCCTTTTTCGTCGAAATTCTCCCCGCCCCGGTGGCTAGGGCTACAGTCTCGATTTTTGGGGGCTTGTTTGGCTCACCGTATCTGTCAATCCGCCGTTTTCTCGGGCTGTCTGTGTCTCTCGTTCTCTCTCTCGCTCTCTCCTCCCCTCTCTCCCACTCTTCCCACTCCCGTCTTGCTCCCCGGCGCGTCACTATTGTTTTGCAGTTTTCTAAATGTCTGTCGGCTTTTTTCCGTTTGTCTCTCTTTTTAGCAAAATGTCTAAACCGAGCTCTTGCTGCCTGTCTTTCTCCCTCTCTTGCCGGTACGCTCTCGCTCTCCCGCGTATTCTCTCTCGCTCTCTCTCTCTCTGTCTCTCTCGCTCTCTCGCCCAGGTTATCGAACTTTAACCCCCTACACTTCTCTAGCTTAATCTCTCTCTCTCTCTCTCTCTCTCTCTCTCTCTCTGAATCTCTGTCCCTCTCTTTCTCTCCCCCTTATCTCCGCCCCCAAAAATGCTGTTTGCGAATGAACACCAGAAACAAGGCGAGAGGCGTACCTCCCGAAAAAAACCGAGAGCGACGAAGTGGCCGTTGGTGGCCACGGCAAAAACATCCCTACGCACACACCTTTTGTTTTTGTAGTAGGAGTCGAAAGATGGTATCTGTATAAATCTGCCGAATCAGCCTCGCGGCGCCAATCAAAACATCCCACTTTTCCGGGGGGCAATAACAACTTCCAGGTGTAGTCTTGCGATCTTGGCGGGCAGCCAGGTTGGGTAGTGTTTCGATTGAAGGGCGATTGATACTTTGAAGGTACCCGGTCTGGTTTTAGGGTATCTCGAACGTGTAAAAACGCGTTCCGAAAGGAACTAGGGCTTGAAACTATGCGAAAGCTTCATCGGTTTTTGGTCAGCGACAACAATTCCCTGCAGTGCTAGCTTTTCCTCTTTAGCTCGGCTTTTTTAAACTCTTTGGGGTAAAATGAATTTTTTCAGTTGAAAAAATCTCCCTTTGTCTACCAAATAAGCTTCGCAAGATACAGATACCTGGTGTTGAACGTTCTTTGCCACTACTTTTTGGGTTCTGGACGATGGCATGCTTGGAATTAAGCTCCACTTTTGAATTTTTTTTTATTTCCAGTCCACCTGACTGGGACACTTTGTTGTGAAAGAAAAATCTAAAATCTTTAAAAACGGGTTGCTCGGGCCCGGGACTTCATCGAGCTCGCTGAATGCAAAAAATTTCCACCCGCAACTTGAGATTTAGCTCGGGTCAATCCCGATATCATAACCTTTTGAAGTTTTCCGGTTTCCAAATCCAAATCAGGAATTTCATTTTCCCCTGCCTGACTCATTCGTCTATGCATGCGATCGGTTTTTGGGGGGTTTGGGAATAATATTTACCAACTTTCGGCCCCCAAATTGTGCCCGTTGCTGTGTAATGCAACCCTGCAATAACAATCCGGACGAAAGTTTTTGGGTGCCCTATACTTTGAGGCAGGGAAGGTCTCAAAAATCTTGACACAATTCATAAAACAAAATTTATTAACATTATGAGGATTTCCAGCTTTTTAAAGTTTTTTTTTCGGGTGTCCAGGCCTTGTGGGAAGAAGAAGAAAAGACTAACTACAACTTTTAGGATTTTTTGGCTTCAGACTTTTTCAAGGCGACCCCATTTATTGCAAAGCATTATGAAAAATGGGAAACACGTTTACTAGAATTTTCAGGCTATTTTTGAGACTCTAGGATGCTGTTGGGTTTGTAAGTAGTACAGTGCGTAATGTCAAATATTCGATTTGATGTTTTATTCCATCAGTAGAGTACACGTTTCGTAGATACATATATTTGCAATTTGGTGGTAGAAGGTAGGAGTTGATGGCTATTTAGTGCTCATCAACCTTTCGGCCGGCCTTGTGCAGCTTCTCAGATGCCCAGTCCTTGGCGTCCTCCTTCTGAAAATAGGAAAATATAATTTTATATATTCAATACAGTATGATTTCCTAGCGGTTCTAATCCCTTTAAAATCTCTCACCTTATCGTGAGCCTTATCCTTGGTCTCCTCCCATGCGTCACGGGCGTTGTCCTCCGCTCGGTCGGCCGGGGTGGTTCCGGTCAGCTCTTGCACCTTGTCCTTCACCTGAAAAAGCAGGAAATAAGTATTTGGTTACGGTGAATGGGTCAGAATTTAGAAATCTGCGGCTTGGAATTATCTTAGGACTACGGTAGCTGGGTCAAGTTTTAGAAAAACTTACGGCCTCAGCGGCGTTGCAGACGGCGTCCTTGGTCTTCTCGTAGATTCCAGACATGATTGGTTGGTTGCTTTCTGGAAAAATAAGATAAAAATAAAAATTTTAATGATATTAAACTGGAGAATTCAGAATTACATTAAGTTCGTCCTAAAAATTAATAAATGTGGGTTTCTCGAGGTAAAATTGATTCTTAAATTGCTAAATTAAAGTTCCAAGGCTTTAAGAGGTAAATTAAAGGAGTAGTGAAGGCAAAAGCTGACTGCCTTCCTCGAAGATGGGCCCGTATTTATACAAGTCCAGGCCCCGGCGTGTGGTTGCACTTTTGTTATGCACTTTCTCTGCCCTCCCCTCACCCCGGCTTCTCCTCCGCAATTTGTTGACGGCTGTCTGCGCCTCTCTCTCTTTCTCTCTCTCTCTTTTTCTCTCTCTCTCTCTCTCTCTCTCTCTCTCTCTCTCCCCCTTCCAGACAATAACAACAACCAACTCGACACTTGGGAAAACATTTACGGGCACAGCCACATGGCGATTGAGCCCTGGCAAAGTACCGTCACTGATTTTAGGTGATTTTCAGGGCAATTTTTAGGTTCTATACTACAGAGGGTGTATTTGGATTTCATAATCGTTATTTCCGGAGCGTAGGACTTTGTTTGCTTTGGATTTCGAGAGACTTTTCAATCATCGCTTAATTTCAAAAATTTGTTGCGAACTACCAGAAAAATAATGAGTCAAATGGTTGCCTCATGACTTTCTATTTTGAAAGTTCTATCTTTTGAACGCGCTTTCAATAGTAAATGACGAATCTGATCAGGTAAAGGCCAGATAGCTGAAGAAGCGACCCCTCTAGCGGATTGCAGCACCTTACGATTTGGCGATTTAGGTTAGATCCTTCGAAAGCTCTCAGAACGGTGAGAAAAAAAACACTGTTGGTTCCTCAATATAAGCATTTTGGTTGACGGATTTTAGGAACAAAAACCATGAAAACTGCAAATTTTGTTGCGAAACCCGCAACTGTTTGTTGCAGCTCCTGGTAACAAGGCGAGCTGGTTTATTGTTTTTTTTTAAGAAATCGATTAATATCGAGCGCGCACCAAAAAAAATTGTAAGACGTAAACCCTTGTTTTCTTGCCGTTTCCTGGGCTTTCGAATGGGGCAAAACCATTCCGATCTGGCTTTTTTCCGTGACGCTAGCGGGGATCAATATTTTTGGGGACACCCCGTACATATTTTCGGGTAATTCACGGAATCATCTGAAAATAGAAAGTTCTAGCAGTAACACTGTGAAGCAAAACATCTACATCCCGGGCTAACGATTACCTCCATAAGCACAGCCTCTTATTTGAGCTTTTCTGACCCTTTACCGGTTGGAACGAGATGCAGAGAGCCGTTTGGCGCAAAGTAGTATCGAGATGAATTTTAAATTTGAGGAAACTGTGATTTGAATCTCTTGTTCCAACAATAGCTAACCTCGACTTTACCCGTTCTGTTACCTCTTCATTTATATCCAAAGCCTATTAAATTTGTATATATCCAGTGCATTTGCCAATGTTGTGCATAGTACAAGGTAGTATCGGAGAAAATTTTTATTCCCCGGATAGGGTACACGTTTCGTAGATACATATATTTGCAATTTGGTGGTAGAAGGTAGGAGTTGATGGCTATTTAGTGCTCATCAACCTTTCGGCCGGCCTTGTGCAGCTTCTCAGATGCCCAGTCCTTGGCGTCCTCCTTCTGAAAATAGGAAAATATAATTTTATATATTCAATACAGTATGATTTCCTAGCGGTTCTAATCCCTTTAAAATCTCTCACCTTATCGTGAGCCTTATCCTTGGTCTCCTCCCATGCGTCACGGGCGTTGTCCTCCGCTCGGTCGGCCGGGGTGGTTCCGGTCAGCTCTTGCACCTTGTCCTTCACCTGAAAAAGCAAAAAAAATAAGGATTTGGATACGATATCTGGGACAGGGTTTAGAAATCTCCGGGTTGGAATTATCTTAGGACTACGGTAGCTGGGTCAAGTTTTAGAAAAACTTACGGCCTCAGCGGCGTTGCAGACGGCGTCCTTGGTCTTCTCGTAGATTCCAGACATGATTGGTTGGTTGCTTTCTGGAATTGTAAAATTAGGGGGGGGCTTACGGTAGGATTGGAGAGTATTTTAGAAAAGTTGAAAATGAGCGAGAGAAAGGTAGATGAGAGCGACGAGATGAGAAAAAGAGATATCGAAAACCTAAGAAGCGAGGAGAAGCGGAAGCGGAGCTCAAGTCAAAACCGGAGAAATGGCCCAGATATAGATAAAAAAAGTGCTCAAGCTGAAAGCCAAGGTAAAGCTAAAGCCGGACCCGGAGCTCAGCTCCCCAAAACCAGAGGAGAAACTGAAGCCAAGATGCCTCCCTTCCCAACCACCCGAATATATATACGAATCCTGGGACCCCGCGTGTTGCACTTTTGTTATTCCTACCTTTCTCTGGGTCTCTTGCCCTCATGCTCTCCCACCCCCGGTCGGCGGCTCCTCACAAACAAGCCCGTCTCTCTCTCTCTCCCTCTCTCTCAGCTTTACCCCCCGAAAAAACACAGCTAAACAGAACGAGGGGCCATCCTTAAATTCTGTTTTCGAGCCCGAGAATTGTCAATTTTAGACCTTGGGGGCATAGTACGAAAATTACAGCCTAACGGCCGACCGGCGGCTTGAACTTTCCGGTCACCATTATCCACCGGATATGCTGATTGTTTTGGACCCATCGGCTGTGGGGGTATTATTGTTATTTGGAGGTTATTTCGGGAGTTAGAAGTCAGGCACTCGTGAGACTCGCAGCCAGCTGGGAGTATTTGTGAAATAGATGAAAAAGGTCCCTGGGCCGATGAAATTTCTGGATTCTGGTGTAGATATTTGGCAAAAATGGGCAAGTGTTTCATCGTTCCGATCTGAAATTCTTAGTTGACATTTAAGGATGCTTCAAATTTGAAAAAATTCGAAATATTTTTTAAAGGGAACGGCAAGTGCTAAAAACGCAATTTTTGTTCTTTGCGTTTTGGAGTGTCGCGTAGCAGTCGAGACCCAGCCGATGGAAAGGGACGATTTTCAAGCTTGGCGATACGTCTAAAAGCCCTTTTTAATTTTTAGCGAGATTTGTCAGTTGGGAAAATACGGTAATAAACCAAAACTTTCAAGGATTTGGATTTTTCCGATCGTGCTGGCCGTTGTCACTTTCAAATTAGAATGAAAACGTCCGAATTTCATTAATTCTCGGCCTTCAAACCATCAGAAAAACCTTTGCCGACTTGAGGTCGTAATTTTTGCTTGTAACTTAATATTTCGATTTTGGCATTCTAGGTAATTTCCGGGTTCAAGGTTTTTCGAGATCTCCGATGATTTTCTGTAGCTAAGAGCCATTCGAAGGTTCAAACCTTACCGGGCTTCGTCCTTTGCCCAGTTCCCTGTTCTACGGTCTAGTTGGTGTGCTCTCGGGGGTGCCTCACCAAAAAACAGCGGCCCTCTCGACTCGCCAGACTGCCCTTGTTTTGGGCAAACCCGACCCTCGCGGCTAGAGCTCGCAAAAAAGTGGATTGCCCCACAAACAAGTCAAAGAACGGGGGGGCTGGGGTCCGGCTGGTGAGTGAAGGGTTCGTTTTGCGTACAGACTCGGAGAAATCAAGAGAGAAAAGTTTGGGGCGGGGATCAGGAACTCGATCTCATATGATCAAGGAAGGATGACGAATCTTCGAATTGTCTCAGTTTTGGCTTGGGTTTTTGAGGAGGGAAACGTAGTCTAGCTATGCATGAGCCTAAATCTAGGCCTAAGCCCAAGCCACGATTTCAAATTTTTTCATTTTTCGTTCTGTCCTCGCTTTTGTTGTGTTTTTCCGTTTGCATCATATCTGCAGAAAAATGTGCTACCAATCTTTTATTTTTTCATCGTGTTCAAAAACCCAAAAATCACATGGCAACAAGTTCCCTGGACATTCATGAGACCACGGGACCCAAACGGGGAACAGGTTTTCCAATCGAATTTGGCATCTCATCCAAGAGCAGCAAGCAAAAAAAACAGCGGCAAAAGATAAATGCAGAGTATGCAAATTGGGTAGATTATGCAAAACTACAAAATTATGCAAATTATGCAAAATACAGGACCGTACTGGCTTGATTTGGGAGTTGTTTTGAGTATCAAAAAGTTTTGACGAGATCGAAGTAGCAATGCTAAGGTAAGGTAAGTTTAGACGACTAGAAAGCTCTCAGCCTACATGGCGGGTGGATTATGGCATTTTCAACGGGTAGTTTCAGGCGCGTAATTGGGTGTACAACGTATTGTAGGTGCAGAGTACCGTAGAGGGCAGTTGATGGTAATTTAGTGCTCGTCAAGCTTTCGCTCGGCCTTGTGGAGCTTGGCGTCGGTGAAGTCTCTCACTTCTTCCTTCTGAAAATTTGGTGATTTAACCTTAGTTTTATGAGGTTTTCAGACTTTCCTGACCCTTTAAAATTTGATCTAGCTTCAGGAAGGCCCGGCTTACGCATTAATGGTCGCCAATCTTCAAAAATAAGGCTGAATTTTGTTTCACGAAAAACATCGCACTTTTTTCCATATTAGTACACTTCCTGTTGCGCTTCAAAATTTCTGGGAGCAAGCTTTGCGCATTAAGGAAAGGAAAAAATCAAATTACATCGAAAAGCTGCCAGAATTGAATTTAAATAAGGTTACGGTAGCTTTAAAGACAAGCTTTTGAAGCCTCAAAAGTCTAAAAACTGACCTTCTCGTGCGCGCGCTCCTTGGTGTTGTCCCAGGCCTCCTCGGCGCTCCCCTTCGCGTTCTCCCACTTTTGGCTGGCGGCCTCGGTGGCGTTGTGGTACTTGTCCTTCACCTGAAGAAGCGGAAATTAGGCTGGGATACGGTAGCTGGGCTGATTTTAGGCAACAAGAAACCTACAGCCTCAGCGGCGTTGCTGACGGCGTCCTTGGTCTTGTCGACGATTCCGGGCATGGTTTCGGTAGTTGGGGTGGGTTGGGTTGTTTGCTAAAAACAGGCGAAATGATAGATCGAGAGAGAGGGAGAGAGAGAGCAAGAGAGAGAGAGAGAGAGAGAGAGAGAGAGAGTGAGAGAGAAAGTGAGAGGGAGAGAACGAACGTCCGTTATTTCTAAAAAGCTTAAGAACGTCCAAAACGCACAAAATCGCGCATTTTTACCTCGAAAAATCGCGTTAGGACTACATTACTTTTGGAGCTACAGTAGCCTTAGGAAGCGTAAAATGCGCAAAAAAATATTTATAGAGTGGCTTCACTACCAAAAGAGTTGAAATAACAAACATCCGCAATTTTCTAGAAACTACATATCTTTCCAAAGAACAAACCTACAGTAATCTTCACAGAGAGGAGCAATAAATAGAAAACAACGTGCGATTCGGAGGGAGAAGCCGCGCCTTTATAGGCAACCCCGGCGGGCCGCGCGCCTTGCACTTTCTGTTGACGGCTGGGACACCCTAGATGGGGGCCCAACAACAAGAATTTTCCGGCGGACCACCAAAAAACAGCGGCGGGAGAGAGAGAGTGGGAGCGTGAGAGTGAGTGAGAGAGAGAGAGAGGGAGGGAGAGAGACGGCCAGAAGCTTTAGCCAATTCTTGTTGTGTCCAAGGGGGAAAACCGCTGGATGCCCTATTTTGAAATGGGCTGGATTGACCTTACGGTTCAGGAGATTCAGAGATCTGGCCCTACTGGTTGCCTAAAGTACATTGTCGGAATTTCAGGTTTATAATGGCTATTATTAAAACGTTGAGTGACCTGGGAAACGCTTTGAAAAACAGGCAAAATAGTGAAAAACAGGGATCGGTCTGGAAAACATCAGAAGCCTTGAGGTAATGTAATTCCAAAAACTATGATCGGCTACGACGGTCTACGCAACACTCCGCGGTATTTTTAACAAAGTTAAGCTCGCTTTGTGATCATTTTCCAGGCTTTCCCGACTAAATAATCATGCGAAGCATGCGAATTTATGCTTGCAAAACCCTGAGGAGCAAGGATTGGTATTAGAAACATCTATGGTATGATTTTTTGAAGTTCGAATCTGAAACAACAGACCTTTTGAAATTTATGTCAAAAAACATATTTATCCAGTCATCGATTCGGGAGGCTGTTGTTTGTCAGAATTTAGGGTCCTGCGCGTGTTCATTTGCGGGTTGCTATTCGGGGCATCAATATTGTAGCCGTCGATCCGTCGATCGCCAAAGTAGAACGCCCGGATGCGCTTGTTGAAGAGGAGGTACACCACGGAGCCAGGTGTCCAATTTTTTTTTGAGGTTTCAAACCTTCTTGATGTCCTCCCGATCCCGATGAAATAGTAGACGCCAAAGGAGTTTGAGTTGAATGGGATTGAGGTGTGCAGAAAAGCGGTCCAAATCGTGTAGGTGAAGCAGAGCACCGACCATAGCCAAAGCGGGATGATCTGAAAAAGAAATAGAATTTTATCTAGATTTTTTGGGGTGTTTCGGCTAGACCAGGCTTAAGCTAAAGCCTAGGCTTAGGCTTAGGATTAGGTTAGGCTTAGGCTTAGAGTTGGCTTATGCTTAGTCTTAGGCTTAAGCTAGGCCTAGACTTCAGAAACATACCATGAACGCCTTCTCCAACTTCGCATTCCCGAGTATGATCACGAAACGGTTCATCGCGAGCACCATATAGAAAAATGAAGCCACCACCCAGACACCGAAAGAAAACCGAGGTATCACTTTTTAACGAGAGTTCTCACCGAAAATAAAGCACCCCTCAATATACATAAATACGGGCGCCATACAAAAGACGCCCCCGATTTGAAACATATAGGCCCCGATCAGGGAGTTGCAGATCAGGTTGACGAGGTCGGCAAAGCAGATGATGACCATAATCTGAAATAGACCACTCTTCTCGCCAGGTCTCGACAAATACTTGGGACTCCCAAATATGCTGGCGACAAGTTACTTACCCGATAACACTGGTTCCTCACCAGCCCTGAACGGATCATCGCGTAGATGATGGGGATGTGGAGGAACTAAAAAAAATACGGGATGCCACGTTTACGAAAGTTGTAGAACGTAATGTGGCGGACTTTTTCTTACGAGATTGTACGGTCTCGTACATAATTAGTGATTCCGCTGGATCCTACCGTATTATACTGTGTAAGCACTGATACAGTAGCATCCGGCTGGAGTGGGGCCAGTACTGGAATCTTGCTGTATGCTACGTAGCGTATCTAAGCCTAGCGTGCGGTATCTTAACGTATCTTAGCTTAGCGTATCGTACGTTATCGTGCTATTCCGTATTGGTTTGGTAAAAAAAATATTAGTATCGAAATAGCGTCCGGTATCGTGAAGTTTCATACTTCATCCTAGTGCGGCACCGTTTCATTGTCAAATTTTGACGCTGTTTCAGGTACCTTGAGGCGCCATATTTTCTGTACCGTATCGTCCTTGTGGATTCCCAGAAAAACTCACAATATACAGCGATCCAACGAGCAACAAGATCGTGCTCGCCAGGGGCCACCTCTCCCCAGTGGCCATCCATTCATCGTGAGTCTTCCCTGAGCAATTGTAGTAATTCTCGGGGTAGCCGAAGAAAGCGCGAATTTTCTAGAAAGATTATTGCGATTTTTTAATAGCAATAATTTTATAAACGGATTTACTAAAATATTTAAGGTTAAAACTTTCGGCTTATCTGAGCACGGCACCATCCTATAGCTACCACCGTCGGGGAAACGCCACAAGCCCAAAGCAAGTTAATTTTTTAGGAACTCGTTGTGTTTTATTTGCTATTTCATGAATATAAAAAGAATCACCGATATAAACTTAAAGTATATTTACTTTAAAAACTTACATCCATCCCAAATCTCGTCTTCTAGCGCAGACATCTGAATACAGCTGAGATTCTGCCTAAAATCTGTATTGGGGCGTCGGACGTCCTATACCCTTTCCGCATGAAAACGCAGATTCGGCTCCTATCTTTTGTCATTTCATTGTATGTTCATAATTAACAATATCAGGGGTCTATTTGAGCACTCTTAATTATAGCGAAAAAAATTAGGTCCGCGCGAACGAGTTGCTGTCGTTGTTAGTACAGCTGCGGAGTCGGGAATCCTAACAAAAAGATGTCAAAACTGTCCATTGGAAGGAAAAGTAATAAAAAGACAAGCTGATGTCTGTGTTTTGTATTAACGTGATTAAATGGACCACCAGAAATTCTGAAAATCGGGATCTACGCGCTGAAATGCGCTTAATTAATGGAGTCGGTCAACTAGTAGGCCGGAAAATTGTAAAAACTGACTACACAAGTGTACAAGTTACGGATGATTTCGAGAAGATGGCGAATTTCTAGAAATCCGGAAACCGGGAATTTTCGAAAACGGCGAGTTTCAAAGAGCTTCGCCGGACTAAGCTCGCTAAATCCAGCAATTCTGACGTGAGGATTTCCGAAAACTTCCGTCCCACGCCCGGCGCTTTCGACAAATCTTCAGAAGGCACAGATCCTGTTTTGGGCCTGTCCGTCTGGCCGGATGGCCATTGGACGTCAAGAAGGCTCAAGTCCGAGATCGACTTACAAGCTTGTTAGACGGCAGCTTTGGCTTTGACTTAGGCTTAGCTTAAGTTAGGTTTGGCCTAGGATACCGATTAGACTTGGGCTTTGGCTCTGGCTTGGGCTTAGGCTTAGGCTCAGGATCCGGCTCAGGCTTGAGAAAGAAAAGCTGCCCGAAGTCCCGATCTCGAAAGTCTATCTCTGACCAGGCCTGGGCTGACAGCGTCAAATTCTACTCGAGAAACCAGTACCAATTAATCGGAATTGCACTATAGATTTCTCAGCCTAAAACACAAGGTCCCACAGTTTCTGGGGCATCTCGATTCCCTGGAGACGTCGGAGCAATACAGGGTGTCCCAATAAAAAAGGTCACGCTGGCATTTTGTCATTTCAAATCCGATCGACCTGAAATTTGCAATAGAGCTGTGGAAGGGAATTTAAAATGTTCACAGAAACTTTCAGCCCGATCGGTACAGTAGTTTTCGAGTTATAGCAAAAATAAACTTTATTTTACGTTTTTAAGCTGGATTTAGCCGGAATTGAGCCATGGAATGTATGGCAAAAATGAAGCGCCGACCCCTTTTTACCCCAGAAAATTTTTTATTTCATAAAATTCGTTTTGGAAATAGGTTGTTTAAACCATTTTAACAAGAGGTTATCATCCTCGATGTTAAGAAGAATGAGGGATTTAGGGTCGAAATTGATGGTAATTGATTCAAAGTCCAAAAAGATAGCCGAAAAAATGAAGCAAAAGTGTTGAAAAAGCAGTCTTTTTGTTATAACTCCAAAACTACTCTACGGATCGGGCTGAAAGTTTCTGTGAACATTTTAAATTCCCTTCCGCAGCTCTGTTCCAAATTTAAGATCGAACAGATTTGAAATGGCGAAATGCGAGCGTGACCTTTTTTATTGGGACACCCTGTAGATGAATCCTCAGAAATGCTCCGAAATAGGGATCAACAGCGATGCTCAGCAACAACAGGATTTCTTGAAATCTCTGGTTCTGAATGTTGATTTCTGTGTGTTCAGCCGTCAAGTGTAGTCACTTGGAGCAAACCGCCTGAGGTGCGATAATTTTATTTGGGCGCCACCCATTTTTGCGAAGGCACAAAATTGCACATGGATTTCATGAAAATAGGAATGGAACAGCGTCATTGGTTCAGATATGGAACACCGGGTTAATTAGCAATTAAGAAAGTAAACTTAATAATAGAAACAGCCGGTTCTGTCCCATTATTGGGGAGGAGGGGAATTTTTACCGTTCATCCAGAAATGACCAATAAGTATTTTAATACCGTCTTTGTCGTTTTATAGTTATTAATAATTAAAGTACTAAAACTATCTGAAAAACTCGGAGATATTTTTGAAAGTTTGAGACAAAACAATTTGTAAAATTGGTAGAGGATAGCCAGATACCGTTTAGGGACGCTTTCCCCATTCATTTAAAAATTTGATTTTACGAAAAATTTGGTTTCCCCTCGGGCTCTCCCCCGATAATGCCAAGGTACCAAAGGTAGTGACGGCTACAGTGATTGAGCGATTACGGGGTACCGGAAGTTTTAAAAACATCACAAAATCATGGAGGACTGTCGAGGATGTCAAAGGCAAAATTTTGAAAATGAAGAATTTTTTGAAAATATCCGTCTCTGGACGATCAAAATTCACTACATTTACAAAGAGGGACTTTTCACTAGGTAATACAATCAGGAGTACATGTAATGCCTATTTACAGTCGACTGGAGACGTCGTAAGACCCGTTCTTTTCCATATCTAGCACTTTTCCGTTGTCCTGGAAGGCCTGGATGACAGGCGGCCGGCTGGCGATGTCGCCGACTTTTCGAGCCTCCTCCTCGGTACTGTGGCTCATGCCGTAGAAGAGGTAGATGGCCATGCCTGAAAAAAAGACGCATTTTGTCTCTCTCTCTCTCTCTCTCTCTCTCTCTCTCTCTCTCTCTTGCGCTCGCTCTATATTTCTTCACCAACCTATAGTCATCCACACAGCTAACCGGACCCAGGCCAACCACGGCAAGTTCAGCATCATCATGGTGTTGATGAAGAGGGAGAGGGTCGGCACGAACGGCACGAAACGCACCTATTTACGAAATTTCCATTTGGGGCGTTCGATCAGACCTTAAAAGCCAGCTTCACATTATTTTGCTTGCACACGCATATCCAGAGGAACATCACCAACGACATGGCCAAGGCGAGTACCGCTATCACGATCGCGAACCAATGTCCGATGAGGCCGGTGGTGAACATCAGGCCTAAAAAAATCTCTAATATCGTTAAAATATCAGTCTCTGGCTCTTTCTCTCTCTCTCTCTCTCTCTCTGTCTCTCTGTTACGCTCTCTGTCTTTCTCACGCGCTCTCTCACCCTCTCTCTCTTTCTCTATCTCTCTCTCTCTCTCTCTCTCTCTCTCTCTCTCTTTCTTTCTCCGTCGCGGCTGACCCACCAAAAATGACAAAGCCCAACACCATAATTGGAAGTGCAATGTTGATGCCCAGCTCAATGGGCAGCTTCTCCAACGAGGCGCTCCCCGGGAAGTTTATTCGGAAGTAGTCACCATTATCTTAATTTTAGGAGGTGAACAAGACTAGTTTCACGCACCTTCTTCAAGATCTTGAACCTCTCTTTGATATCGCAAAATGATGACGCAGGCGGCTACTATGGAGTAGGCGAGCAGGGTTCCTGAAATTCGTTTATTCAGGCTTGGATTTCGAGTTCGACTGTCTCTCACCCACACTCGCTTGCTCTCTCTCTCTCTCTCTCTCTCTCTCTCTTTCTCTCTCTCTCTCGCTTACCTAGCGATAGAAAATCGACCAAAGTTGTGACGTCTACAAGCGAGGCAATGATAGCTGTCATCAGGCCGAAGACGATGATGGCGTTTAGAGGCACCTTAGAAACTAGTTATTGCTTTTCTCTCTCTTCCTCTCTCTCTCACTCTCTCTGTCTCTCTCTACTACCTACCCGAACTTTGCCATGGACCTGAGCCAGCCACCGGAAGATGAGGCCATCTTGCGCCATCGCATACACACAGCGCGGTAGGGAGAACATGGAACCGAACTAAAAAGTAGGTCTATATCTTACGCTCTCTCCCTCTCTCTCTCTCTCTCTCTCTCTCTCTCTCTCTCTCTCTTTCTTTACCATGCTCGTCGTCATCCCACAAATCGCCCCCAGCGACACGGCCCACTTGGCTATGGTAGAACCACGTTGCTGGAAGGCGGTGGCGTAAGCGGCGTTTGTGTCGATCTGTAAGCAAAGCTTTGGCGTTTAAAGGGGCTGTGACAGCATGATTTTTGCAATGTTTCACTTACATCTGTATATGGAACCATTAATGCCAGTCCGGCAGCCATGGCTACGTACGCAACGGTGACGATGGCCATGCAGTAGAAGGTGGACAGTGGGATGGCTCGAGATGGATCTGAAATTTTGGGCATTGGCTTGGTATTCTTAGGATTGACTTAAGCTTAGACTTTTAGCCTTCGGCTTAGGCTTAGCTTTAAGAAAACCCGCTTTTAGCCTCCTCCCCAGCAGTTGCCAACCCGTCAAACCCGACAAAGGCAAAGAAGCATGAAGCGGCTCCGGCCAGAGTTCCGGCAAAACCGAAGGGGAAGAATCTGAATAAATAATATTTAGTAACTCACACTCTACAAACTACAAAAACCACAAAACATGGAAGGTAGCTTACTTCGAAACTCCGGCAGGTGTAGTTCCGCTCCACAGCGAAAAATCAGCATAGCTGAAGGCGAAGCCGACGACGACAACGATTACCTAAAGGTGTTTAATTTTTCGATTAAAGATTTTACACTTTTCCCACAATTGCAAACTTTTGAAGTGCGAATTTCGACTTCAGGCTACGTCGAATTTCCCTCATTCGAAAGATCAAGGAAAACCCAAGTAACCCACCCCCAAATTGAGCAGCGTGAAGAAGCTGTTGAAGTTTGTGGAGCCCTTCGAGCCAATGGCCACGCAGAACTAGATAATTTTTTCAGTAGAGCACCAATAGCGCAACTTACCGCGATGAAGCAGGCGACCAGGAAGGCGACGATGTCCCAGTACTCGCCAAAGAGACCAACCTGGAAATTGAGGCTTTGGAGGCGAGTGGAAAGTTCGCAATTCAAGGGGCAGTGAATGGACAGCTACATGCTGCCAAAACAAACCAAAAAGCTCGAAAAACTCCAAACGCACAGCTGCAGTTTCACGTTAAAGTAGCTTAGCTATTCGCTTAGCTCGATTTTCACGATTTTTTAGCTGTTACGCTGCCTTTAACGCAAACCTTAGAAACCAAAAAACTTACATGAATCCCGCCAATCGTATTTAGCGTCGTATTCCGGATCCAGTCGTTGGACAACGCATTCAAGTAGCCGGACCACGATCTCGCGACGGCTAAAAATCATTTTTTACGCATTTTAATCTATCTAATTATTTTATCGTTTACATCCGCGTAGAATGCAGAGTGTATTTATCAAATCTTCCGCTTACGAAACGTCTACGAAAATTCAAAAGTACCTGCTGCCGACAGCATATGCTCCAACACCACATTCCATCCGATCACAAAGGCCCAAAATTCGCCAACACCGACGTAAGCGTACGTGTAGGCGCTTCCGGCTTTGGGAAATCTGCAAGCCCCTTTTTAGCTTGCTGCTCAGACAAATGATTTTTTTGGATATATGGGTTTTAATTGCGGAACTCCTGTTCCAGCAACTCACCTCGCCCCAAATTCTGCATAGCAAAGTGCGGAGAGCAGGGATGCAAATCCGGCAAGTGCAAAAGAGAGCACGATTGAGGGACCAGCAATGTTTTTCAGGGCGTGCCCTAAAATTTGCATATTTGAGTGTTGCTGGGCTTTCCAAGAATTCATCAAGATTCTCTGCTAGCTTGCCATCAAACTTTCTTAGCTATTCTTTTTCATTTGTTAAGCATTAGCAGCATAAATGAAAAAGAGGGAGAAAGGAGCGAGAGAGAGAGAGAGAGAGAGAGAGAGAGAGAGAGAGAGAGAGAGAGAGAGAGATAGAAAGAGACGGAGAACGGGAGAAAGCGCGAGAGAGAGAAAACGCATACGCCCGACAGATAGACCGGGAGAGAGAGCGGCTAAGAGGGGATAGAGGCCCTATAGAGAGAGACCCTTTAAAATCCTTGCAAATTTTTCAGTAATTATGCTTTCTAATTTTTCTTTTGTAGTTCTATTTCTATGGTTGCGGAATTTTCGTTTCTTTCGCAACAGATCAAAAAGTTCTTGTATTCCCCCAATTTCCCGGAATCGTTCTATTTATTTGTGCCTGATTTTCGAACAGGTTTCTCCCAGGGGGTAACGTTTGGCCTTGATATCTGTTCGACGAATTGGCCATATCATTTATTTTGAATGGTTTTTATCGCAGGGCAGATTCGTTTGATACCTATCGGGTGGGAACGCCAGCCGCACATGGTTGGGCCCGATCTTTAATGATTTCCGCGTATCTGAGCGGCTTTTTTTTGGTTGGTTGGTTGGTGAACATTTTTGGGGAATGGCTGGCACGTGATAGGTTCTCAAAAAATCGGATATTTGAAAACTGGTTTTGGTACTGGTTCCGGTTCGAAATTAGGAAAGTAAGGGAGGTAGAGAGAGCAAGAGAGATAGAGAGCGAGAGATAGAGAGAGAGGGAGAGACGGAGAGAGGGAGAGACAGAGCGATAGAGAGCCACAGAGAGGTCGACAAAGCGCGTTTCCGGTCCCCGCTCACAACCCGATCCCGCCGAACTGTTCTTATTTTCGCAATTTTGACGGCCTGGCCACTTTTTGCTCCATTTTTTGACCGGATTGCATACGATTGAGGTTTGCCAGTACCACTTTCCGCACTTGTTACCAACCGGTTAGCACATAGATTCCGGCGCCAATCATGTGCCCGACGCCGAGCAGCGTAATGTCAAATGTGTTTAGGCATCTAAAAATAAAAAAATGGAAAATTTAGATCATCGAGGTTAGGTGCTTAAGCTTAGGCTTAGGCTTAGGCTTAGGCTTAGGCTTAGGCTTAGGCTTAGGCTTAGGCTAAGACTTAAGCTAGACCCTCACCTCTTCATCTCTGTTTCCAAACCCCCAGCCGGCAAATTTTTTGTCCGGAACATCCGTTCCCGAAACCCTTGGAGCTTCATGTCTGCGGTTTCTTCAGTTTTGGCTCAAAAAAGCTTTCGGCAGTTGGTGAATACTTTTTGGCTCTAAACATATTTCGTGGTGCAATATAAAACAACATAAAAGTCCAGGAAATAGGAAAAGGTTGGCAGGAAACGCGGAAAACAGCAGGTTAAAGGTTGTGTTGTTGACCGGAAGTGCTGAAAAAGTATTATCTATCATCAAACCGACTACAAGTGCTATAAAATCCGGGTTTTATCGCAGTAAAATAACAATTTAACAGCTGAACATTTGATCAGGGCATCCAACTGCAGTGAATGACTTTTACGGTGCCAATAAAAAAGGTAAACAGTATCTTGGATATCCCAGAAATGACTATGGCTAATACGCCATATTTATAAGTGCCTCTATTGGTATGAACGTGCGGCAAGAATTTGCAATCAAGTATATAAAAATTTGCAATAAAATTTTAGATCTACTGAAATACTAAAACTGATATAAACTGGTACAAAAAAAAATAAAGAATTTCTGGTGATGTTTGGCGGCTAAGTTTTGGCAAGGTCCACTTGCCGAACCCTTACAGACATTTGTGAGAAATTTTGATCTGATTGAAATCGAAAAGTTGACGCATGGGTCTTGCCTGGGCGTGGGTTGTTCGGGGCGTGATAGAGAGATCGGGGGTCATCATCATTTCATCAATTTCTTGGAGCCAGCCACCCCCTCGGCAGCCGCTTACGCCATTGAATCTTGTGTTTTGCCGGCTTTGTTTGACAAATCAGAGCGTGCTACGCTTAAGATACCTTGAAGAAAGGTAATTTTTTGAAGTTTTTGTCAGCCAATGACTTAAGAAATTCGATGCAAATTTTTGCGAACAATTGCGTTTTCGATTTTCGAAGCAATAGATCCCAAGTTGTCTTCTTGCGAAAAGCACCACGAGTCCAAAATTAAATCTGTTAAATCTTCTGATTTCTAACGATCACTCATAACGTCTCAAAGAACTAAGATGTGACTTTTCAAAAGAATTTCCGGCCGCATGCAAGGGCCAAAAGCTCGTGCTCAGAAATATTTTATTTCGATGGTCCGATAATTCCAAGAAGTACGACTAGAGTAGATGTTCGAGAGAAAGTCAAACCAAAAATCGACCTAGGGGTTCCCCCGGTCTATTTGATGATGTATTTGGGTGGGCGAATTGATAAAATTCGGGGGCGAAATTGGAGGACGAGTAGAGGGGGTGGGATTGGTGAGTGGCCGACCCCGACCGGGCAGGGTTGACGATTAAACGGGCTGCCCCCTGTAATCCACTCTGTTCTCATGCACATGAAGGGCCATGGGGAGAGAGACAGAGAGAGAGAGAGCGAGAGGGAGAGAGAGAGAGAGAGAAATCGTTGGCATCACACGACAAACCGCGGCGCGGGGCATGCCTGAGCGGTTTTTGGACTGGCCATCGGATCAACGCAGAAAAGTCGACCCGAAAAACGAGGAAGGAATGCAGGTGGCTGTGGTGTATTGTTGCGGAATGTTAGAAGGTCGAAACAGTGTTCGCGACCTTTAAAATAGCGCATCGGATTAAAAAAAGAATGCCGTCCAGCTTCAATTCAGGCTACCGTAATCATACCAAAATCGCTGATCAGCAAGTTGATAGTAATCTAGGTAAGTTTGGATAATCTGAAGGTACCTTAAAATCGAGAATTCTTATGGCGACAGTAGATCCTCGAATCAGGCTTTTCTCGACATTCTCTAGGCTTCGAAAAAAGACTGACATTTCGGTGGGCCGGAGACCCTTTTCTTCCGATTTTTAAGGGATTCCTAGAAAGAAATTTTCGTAGAAATGGAGCGTACTGGCTCCGCGCAGGCCGAAAACTGGGTATTTTGAAGAAACGACGAAAAATGTTTCCAAGTACCGAATCATACTTGGAAAGCGAGGCGGGTGGGGTGGAAAGTTACCGAGAACTTCCGCTACTTATAAGATCGTGCATGTAGTAAATTAAACGAAGCCACTTTCAGACGATGAAGAAGACGAATCTTGACATAGGACGACTTCAAAACACCGACATTTAAATTTCAGACACCGCGAAATCCGGCATGAAAAATTGCTGTGAAAAATGCGGTGGCGTTCTGGGCTTACTATTCGTTCGCACCGTGTCAATAGATTCGTAACGTCGGAATCTTAACTGTCGGGAGCGGAATTGGGAAATTTAGGCGCGAAAGCGTCGAAGAACAGCTCGATTCCTCTACCAAAATGTTACCAAGTTTGTTACCAACCAGAAATCAGGCGCCAGAGACATTAACATAAAATGCGAACAGGACAGCCGGGGTCGGGTCGAGCCAGTCAGAATCGGCTTAAAAACCGACGGCACATCGGAGAGGAGGGTTCCCCCAAACATAAAAATCGAAAACTCTGAGCGACGACTGGGTATGCTAATTAGGGAAACGCGAAGTGGCAGAAACATCCGTCGCAGAAAAGAGAAATCGAAATTTTGGGCGTGGAATTCTGGGCGGAACGCGTATGCTAATTATCTAAAGGCATCCGATCGAAGATTAAAACCCGAAAAATACTTCCGTCGGCAGATTAGGGAATCAGGGAAACATCGGTCCACGATTGCCAAGGGTAAAAAAACGAAAAATTCGCAACTACAACCCCGTCTCCTAATTGTAAGGAGCCTTGAATTTTGTGTAAGAAGCGGAAGTTTCTCGGAAATGAAAAAACTTTGTAGAAAGAGAATAAAGAAATATGTTTTCCAAGGCGGCTATCCGTTCCACGGCGCTACTCACAACAATCTGCCAACAAATACCCCTCCCCCCCAGCCTCTTGACCCGTTCCACATTGCATGTCGGAACTGACAGCCCGCAACCGGTTTGTTTTTCTTCCAGCAATCGGGCGATTTTTTGAAACGGCATATTTTTCGGTATTTTTGTCGGTAGTGGCAGATTTACGTACATCTAGGTACAGGTCTCGAAGCGCTATATGCGGGAACGTAAAAGTTCGTTTATCGTTGAAATTGGCGTAAATAAAAATGTGAACAATTAGTTCTAAGAAAAATTATATAGCAGATAAAAACAGCCACGGAAAATCGATGAGAAAATGATTGTCAAAAATGTCCAAAACTACAAAATCCAGCTTCTTCAAAATCAACGAATAGCCCCATAATCCAAGTTCGAAATGCAATAAATTTGCAGCCAGCACGACATGAAAGCCTCGTCCCGGAAATCGATTACGTCAATCGAAAGCGTCTGACCATTGGTAGTGTGTGGGAGTGGAACAGAAACAGCGTGTTTAACAAACTATCTCAAGTGTTTTTCCAAGTCCGACAACTTGTAAATTGGCGCATAGCGGAAGCTCGTAGAAGACAAAAAAATCGTGAATGTTTTCCGCCTTGTCGACACCTATTTTTCGGCAAATATTTTGGCCGCGAGGCGCTAGGAAATGTGCTAAAAGTTAGTATAGCATGCAAATAGAGGAAACTTATTTGGGAAATTCGCCAAAAAAATTTTAGAATTTTTTAAAAGCTAAAATGACGAGCTTCTCAGAGATCCCGAAACGATTAATGCTTCCAGGAAAACAGAAATCGTCGCATGGCTGGTTTTAACCTCAAGACTTATCAAAACTGGTCAACACCAAAAGATGTTTGCTAAGAGGGACAGAGAGAAAGAGCGAGAGAGAGAGAGAGAGAGAGAGAGAGGGAGAGAAAGAGGGCGAATCGGACCTCGGCAAATATTTGAAGGCGTACGATAAGTTTGACAACTGCTTAATGGATTTTCATGTGAAAGCCGGCAAGCTGCACATTTTGCGCGAAGCTTTAAAGGAACCGTGAAGCGCGAGAATCGACCCCTGAATTCGACTAGGTCTCGACAATTAACAACAGAAAATAATAAAAAAATCAAGCGTCAAAAACTTCGATCAATTCTTTATTCCCGTTCAAATTCCTTGATCTCAATTTCCTGCTCGTTGACTTTATTGCTCGGACGCTCCTTGCTATGCCGGAGACCGTATGCAAAATAGATAGCAAGGCCTGAAAACTGCTTCAAAATTATGCAAAATCAGCCTACCCAGGATCATCCAGATCCCAAACCGGACCCAAGCCAATCCGTTGAGATTGACCATCATCAGGGTGTTCAAAAAGAGAGATAGACCCGGGATTAGGGGTACTAGAGGTACCTTAAAAATATGTTATTTGGGAAACGTTGCTAATTCCGTGTCCAAAAAATAATTACCTTAAAAGCGAGCCCCTCCGGATTCTGCCTATGCAGCGCGATCCATAGTATAGACAAAAGAGCCAAAGCAATTGCAAATATTGCCAATATTTTTCCGAACATCTGCTCCCAGAGACCGCTGATCAAGCAGATATCTAAAATTTGGTACAAAAACTTTGAAAATTCTCTACCAGCAACAGCAAAACCCGCTACAGTAATCGTAATAGCCCATGGTATCGAGAATTTGGTAGCCAATGCTGCTGGAACCTTGAAGCGAAGCTGTTCTCGTTCTAAAAGCTTGATTTGACGACTTTTGCCTAGCTTTAATTTTGCTACCTTCCAAATCCCGATATCGTAGCAGCATTACACACACGGCCACCATCGAGTAGGCCATGATTGTTCCTAAAAACAGGATCTAAGCTAAGCCGAACACAAAGCCGAAGCCTAAGCCTAAGCCGAAGCCCAAGCCCAAGCCTAAGACAAACCTACCTACCGAGAGATAAAAAATCCACCAACGTCTCGACGTTGAAAAGCGCCGCCATGACGGCTGTGATTAAACCGAAGACAATGATCGCATTCACGGGGACCTAAATTTTGTTTTTTTTTAACGCTTAAAAGGCTTTACTATCTAACTTTTAATATGTTTCAATGTTTGATCCGAAGCTTACCTTTGTCCTCCCATTAACAGTACCCAGGAAGCTAAACAGCAACCCGTCCTGAGCCATGGCATACACGCATCGGGGTAGGGCGAACAGAGATCCGAACTAGAATTCAAGTACTTATTTTCATCTCTCACCTCTCTCATCTCTCTAGGTTTCTTAATGTTCATTCTCTTACCATGCTTCCCATCATTCCGGAAATTGCCCCAATAGTCACCGCTACCACGGCTACTGTAGAGCCTTTTTGCTTGAAGGCGACGACGAAGGCGGCATCGGGATCTACCTAAAATGTCATAAGAACTATAGGCAAGTACGTTAATCAAGTATTAAAGAACCAGATGGTTACAGTCGCTTCGCGACTGCAACCATCTGGCCTTCGGGCTACCCTGCATGTCCCACTCCACCACATCCTTTCCCACCTCCAACAATACCCCCCATGGCTGAAATCCCCTTCAAAAACTACCTAAATACTTTCCCGATGGCTTCAGATACCCCCCCATGGCTGAAATCCCCATCAAAAACTACCTAAATACCTTCCTGATGGCTTCAGATACCCCCCATGGCTGAAATCCCCTTCAAAAACTACCTAAATACCTTCCTGATGGCTTCAGATACCCCCCATGGCTGAAATCCCCATCAAAAACTACCTAAATACCTTCCTGATGGCTTCAGATACCCCCCATGGCTGAAATCCCCTTCAAAAACTACCTAAATACCTTCCTGATGGCTTCAGATACCCCCCATGGCTGAAATCCGCTTCAAAAACTACCTAAATACCTTCCTGATGGCTTCAGATACCCCCCATGGCTGAAATCCCCTTCAAAAACTACCTAAATACCTTCCTGATGGCTTCAGATACCCCCCATGGCTGAAATCCCCTTCAAAAACTACCTCAATACCTTCCTGATGGCTTCAGATACCCCCCATGGCTGAAATCCCCTTCAAAAACTACCTAAATACCTTCCTGATGGCTTTAGATACCTCCCCTAGCCAAAATCCCGTTTAAAAAACGAAAATAACGACCGACCGGATGGAATTAGAGAAAAAAAGAAATGAAATCCCCCGTGAAAATTTTCATCCACGAAACGCGCGCGACCTGGCTCACTATGTCCAAAATCAGCCCAACCTCCGTCCCCCACGCTTTTACTAAGGAGAAAACTTTCAAAGTTAATTTTAATAGGTTAAACTAAAACTTTTTCATAATTTTTTTATCAGTTTAGGGGTTTCTGACGGCGCTCTATCCGAATCCGAAGAGAGCTAAGCTCTAGCTCCTTTCCCCTTCGAGTTGAATTCGGCTTCACACGGACGGACAGACGGACGGAGACCACAGCAAAATTATTATAGTTGATTAAACTAGATGAGAATAAAAATATAAGTCATGATTCCAGAAGATGAAGTTAAAAAGGTGCCGGCGACGTCTAATTACGGACGTTTGCGGGATGTCGGTATGTAAAGTAATTGTTTGGATTGATTTTTATTCCGATTACGGTAGTACGAAGACTACCTGACAACGCTCGACACTTATCCTGAGTGCTTACCTCGGTATACGGTACCATCAACGACAGCGAGCCGGACACCAGAATATAGGCTAGGGTGACAGTGGCCATGCAGTAAAAAGTAGCTCGTGGTAGGGAACGAATCGGATCTGAAATTTGATAGAATTCATATTACTTGAATTGCAATCATATATAAATTTACGCCCGCCTTGAGCCTCACTTTTAGCCTCCTCCCCCGCCGTCGCCAAGCCATCAAATCCGATGAAGCTGAAGAAGCACGCCGACGCCCCGGCCAGGGTGCCTGTAATTCCGTAGGGGAAGAATTTGGATGAGCCATCTGGGGTGGTGCCTAAATCGTTGAATTTGCATAAAAGGGCCAGAAAATCGCGAAATGTAGGACTATCTAGAAGATTCAGAATTTCCTACCCGTCCAATTGCCCAAATCAGCATAATAGAAGCCAATTCCGGCGACGATGGCTAGCATCTAATTTCCCAGACGTTTAAAATGACTGTAATTTGCATACGGCAACATTGATGACCGTGTTGAAGCTGTTGAACGTGGTCGACCCCTTGGCGCCGATCATCATCAAGATCTAGACTTAAATGTCCGCTGTTTTTAGGGACTAAAGAGACTGAGAAGTGCTAGAATCGACCTCTTCCAGTGTTCGGGTGTCGACAGATACGCTACGCTCCACTTATCGCAAAAATGCTGAAGCCTGGACGCTTATTGTTAGTCTACTTCAAAATCATGCCTCATTCGGTCTAGTGTTTGGCTCTGTCGAGAGCTAGTTGGCCTAGAGAATTTTCGCGCTTTCTAGTCCCTTTAAAAACCGACGAAAATAGCTTACACACATCCCAAGCGCAATCAGGAATGCGAACACATCGATGTAGTCAGCGAAGAGGTTATACTAAAAAAAGATGAGGTGATTTTGAGAAATTAAATTTGCTTACATCTATCGATCCGAGGTACTTCATTGTCGTCTGCTTGATCCAACCCCCGAATAGGACATTCAGATACCCGGAAAGCGCTCTAGCAACGACTAAAATGTGATTAAAGAAAGCAGGACTTGTAGGACCGATCTATTGTGCCGACTATCTGCCGATAGTTAATTAATATTCTGATACACAGGCCGATCTGCCGGCGTATACCCCAGAGAAGCCTAGCTGGTCAAAATAGCATTGGTCAAAAGCCAGGCTTCTAGGATCATTTAAACAGTATAAAAATGCATTTTGGAGCAGCTGGTGGCTGCCGAGACCTAGCTGACACAGAGGGACGAAACTCTACTTTGGCTTCCTTGCTGTCACCATCTCTTTAAAAGTCGATACCTACCCGCTGCCGAGAGCATGTTTTCCAGAATCACGTTCCATCCAATGACAAATGCCCAAACCTCCCCACATCCAATGTACGCATAAGAGTATGCACTTCCGGCCTTGGGAAATCTTAATAAGAAGTTGGTGACGACCCAAGCAGACCCAAATTTTTACCCTCACCTAGACCCAAATTCAGCATAACAAAGTGCCGATAGAAAAGCAGCGATCCCGGCTAATAAAAATGACAATGGGACGGATGGGCCGGCAATATTGCGAATGACGGTACCTGAGAGTGGTCAGGCATAGGCAAAAGCTTGGACATAGGCTTGTGCTTAGGCTTAAAATTGGCCTTTTGAACGCACCAGTAAGCACATAAATTCCGGCTCCCATCGTTTGCCCGACGCCAATCATGGTAATATCGAACGTGGAGAGACATCTAAAAATTACATTTCTATCTCTCTTTCTGTTTCTCGCGCTCTCTCTCTCTCACTCTCTCCCTCTTCTGCGCACAGATCCTACTATATATAAAAAAATAGTGTCTGTGTGTGTGTAGACACTTTGCATAAATACCCGGGTTCCAGCCATAACTCGAAGGCGAAAGAAGTTTTTGGTCCGGTCGAAAGGTATTTAGGGGTTGTCGAGGGCGTAGATTACTGCACGCTTATCAGATTTTTACTAAAATTTCGTTTTATACCTTATTTTAACGTTTTAAAAACATATGGAAATAGACTAATTTGCATACGATGCGCTAGGAGCCTCATTTTGGCTTTTGTCGCGCTCGCGGCCGGTTGCTTTTGCTATTTTTTTGGGGTTCGCTCTAGCTCTTCGCCCGAATTATGCAAAGCCCAACTTTTAAGATCCCCGACAAAGGCCAGGGGCGAAAAGCCGCGTAGCGGCTTTTCAACCCTGGTTACTCCTAACGAAAAAATTATCATTTGAAATTTGTCAAAAATTACTTACCTTCTCAAGGAAGTATCAAGAGGGTTAGCTTCGAATTGTTTCCGGCGAAGGATGCGTGCCAAAAATGCGCTCATCCCGAAAAAGGGCAGAGCAAGGGAAAGGGTTAGGCAGTGAGGTCTAGACATCGTTTCCGGATCGCTCGCGTTTCTTCATGATCGATAATTTGCACACCCCCAGCTGCCCGCGCTCATTTTTGGCTTCTTGAAGGGTGAAAAGCGCAGGGCGGGTTGATTAATCGGGCAATGTACGGGTTGGAAAGGTCGGGATGGAGAAAGCTTTCTTGCTGATCGGCGCGCCTAAGGGGCCGTTTATGGACTGGAAACGCATTATTAGGTAAAGGAAAAGCTAAAATACCAAAATATACAAAATCGTGAGAACACAAATACCGACATTGAAAATCCGCAGCACGAAAATACCGACATGAAAACCCTAGCAACCGAAATACCAACATTCCAAAACCGTGGCACGAAAATGCGGACATTCCAATTGCCGAGGTCCAAAAGCCTTGCAGTTTTGGGTATCAAAATCTGGACTTGGGTTCTTGGCTGCTATGTATATTTATTTCTGTATTCAATTTGACGTTAAAGAAACGTCGTCGAATCCATCGTTGACTTTTGCTTTCAATGCCTTTTGCCTGGCCGTCTCCTCCAGCTCGTCGGCTACGATTTTTAGGTCTCTAAATGGAGAAATGCGAGCGCGACAACCTCGATTACCTCACTATCGTTGCCGAGCCTAGGCCATAGAATAGGATACTGGCCGCGCAGACGGCATTCGGGAATAGGAGAGCGATGAAGAGGGAGTGGAACTTGCCTAAAAATGTGAATTTTTGTCAGAAATTGAGCCTACCGCTTGGCGAGGCGTCATCACCGCGGATGAGATCGGAAATCTGGAATACCGAAGGTTTGATGCTGCTAATGCTACGCGTATCAATTTTGTTCAGAGAGAGAACGAGAGAGAGAGAGAGAGAGAGAGAGAGAGAGAGAGAGAGAGAAAGAGAGAGAGAGAGAGGGCGTGAGAGGGTGTGACAGAGAAAAGAGAGACATTGAGCGAGGCAGAGAGCGAGAGGCATAGAGAGTGCGGGAGTGCAGGAGAGGGAGAAGAGAAAGATAGAGGGAGAGGCAGAGCGAGAGAGTGATTGAGAAAGCAAAAGGGAGAGAGCGTGAGCGAGAGTGAGGAGAGTACCCTACCAGACCGACGATCCAAGGCCCCGGAGCATCACCCAACAAATGCGCAAACATGATTTGCCAAGCCGAAGCCACACTTCTTCGCTGCGGCGAAACGACTCTCTAAAAATGTTGAACTTTAAGATCTGTTTAATTTTCCAAAAAAAAAACGGAGATACAGTTTTAAGATCCTCAAAAATAAAAAATTACCAGGGTTGAAAAGCCGCTTCGCGACTTTTCAACCCTGGCCCCGTCTTACCCCCCATGCTTCATCACTGCATAAAATCCTGAATTCCTGGGAAAAAATGAAAAGCGCATCCTCTCCCCCATTATATAGGCTTCCCCCACTTCCGGTGCATGCTAATTAATTCCTAACAAAGAGGCCGAGCGCGATTTTCACAAAAACTTAATTTTAATATCGAAAACTGCTGATTTTGAAAAATCTCATATGCGTGCAGTCGTGTCATGACCATTACGCACCTAATGACGTATCATACGTACCCTTAACTTCCTCCCCTATTTAGATACGACTGGAACATACGGACGGAAGTTGCATGCAAATGCACACACACACACACACACACACAAACACTATTTTTTTATATATAGTAGGATAAGCTTTCTGAACCTACAATATTCATATGGGTGCTCAGCGCCCAGGGGAACGCCACTCCGCAGATCATGACAAAGAGGAGACAGTAGGTGACGATCATATGGTTCTAGAAAGGTGCGTTTTTACATTTTTAACCGCCTGAAAATGTATATTCCTTTCCACGAATAATATGGTAAATAATAATTATATTGTGCACTTACCTTTGCCATAAATAGCGCGACAAACATTGCCGGCGTGCCGATGATACTACCAAACATACAGACCAGGGGCTCGGCGCGGAGTCGATAGGGTGCCAAAGCGGAAGCCTTTGAATGTTCCAGTTTCTAAAATCTCACTAAAATTTGTTAAAATAACGTACCTGACTCATAACCGTGCCCAAAATGACGCCAAATAAACTGGCGGCTACGGTAATGCCACCAAATGTTAGGGTAATCCTAAATAAAAAATGAGTCGCAAAAGAAGAGCCGAGCTGCATCCTGAGACAACGCCTAAGCCTAAGCCCAAGCCTAAGCCTAGACGAAGCCTAAGCCTAAGCCCAAGCCTAGGCGAAATTCCAAACCTAAATATGACTTACTCGTCCTTTTCGGTAGATGTTAATTGATCCGTTGTGCTGAAGTCTTTATGAGCTGCCCTGGCATCTAAAAAGGCGAGTTTTCCATTTCCTAAAACTATTTTGTGTTTTTTGGGCTTATAAATTGAAAACCGGTTAATTGCCACAAAACTTATTGTAAAAATGAGAAAAAGATTAGTTAATCGCTTTTTTTACTCTAAAAACTCACTGAAAAACAGCGTAGGTGCCCACCAGGAGAGGGTGGCTGTGATTAGCTGGTTCATGATGGTCCCGATGGAAATGAAGAGGAAAGTCGGGCTGTAGTTCATAGCTGTTTAAGATCCGGAACCTACTTACTTTCCAAATAGATACACAACATCCTTCCAATATGGTTCTCTATTAACAACAGCGTCAACTTTCGTGACCGTCTTCTCGCTAGCGTCGTTGATCTCCTCCAAATCTGAGGCGCCTCGCCCTGGCTCGTAGACGACGAGGAGGACCAGGATGAGACCAATGATTCCTAGAGGAAGAAAACTTAGAAAAGCCTTTGTTAGGCTTTAGCTTAGGCTTAGGCTTGGGTTTAGGCTTAAGCTGCATGCTCGGAAACTGCGGGTATATAGTCGCGTCGCGGCCATCTAGACAGAATTTCATGGCGTGTACGCTCGTCTAGACCCGAAACACACAGGCATTTTTGCAGGAATCGTTATAAAAACGAAAAAATTCCCAACCTACGACCGGTCCAACCCGAATCCCCCATCGCCAATCATGAGCTGCATTTGCCACACTGGAGCCGACGACGAAGCCGAGGCCGCTAAACTTTTTTGGAGCCTTTAGTGGGATTTTTATTCATTAAAATAAATTGTCTAACTGTCTAACTGAAAATCTGAGGAGATTTTTAACAACTCACGATCCAACTCCACTTGCTATGTAGAAAACGGTCAGCATTTGGGCCCGTCTAGCTCCTCTAAACTTGTCTTTTGGGAGGAACTTGCTTTTTTAGGAATTTCAATAATCCGAAAATTGTTTCTCGTTTTTCAATCAGTTTTCAAGAAACTTACGTAAAATAATCACCAACAATGGTGGGAGCTATAATCGAGAAGCTGCCCTCCCCGATCCCGACGACCCCTCGGAGAAGGAGAAACAACCAGAAATGCTAAAATATTTCAATTTTTACATTTTTTTTATACAATTGACTGAAATTTTTCTGAAAAACAATAAATCACTTGAAAGAGCATCAACTCGAGCTCACCTACATTTGCCGGCACAAAGGAGCACCCGATGACCCCTAGATTCCAGATGACCATCCCGCAAGAGATGATGTATTTTCGATTGTACCTGAAAACCTTGGCTTAATCTGCTTTTGTAAATTAATTTGCATATTATTTTCTGCTTGTTTAATCACAAATCTGTTTTATATTTTTATTTTATTTTTGGTACCCAATTCTTGCAGTTCCGGTCAGAAAATTTAGCCCTGACAGGCCACGCGTTTGCATGTCATGTAGGCACTGAGAAAACGGAGCTGTTTACGATTGCTGTCTCTCACTCTCTCTGTCTCTCTCTTTCTCTCTCTCTCTCACTCTTTCTCTCGCTTTCTCTCCCCTTTCTGCACCCACCGATCGCCCAGATAACCGAAAAGCGGCGCGGCGAACATGTAAAAGCAGAAGAAGAGCGTCTGAATCAGCCCCGCCTGCTGATCGCTGATCGAGAAAGTGTCTTGGATGTCGGAGAGGACGCCTAAAAATTAGAAACATATCAAATTCTGAGATTTTTTAAATCCTTAAGGTGTTTAACCGCTAAAAATCGAATTTCTGGCTTTAGGAAGCAAGTACTCCAATTTCGGTGACAGCAAAATTAAAAAACAAAGCGTCATTAAAAAAATTAACGGCACACAAATTCAAAATAGATGGGCTCATTAATGCGTCAATTTCCGAAGCTTTTGATACATATTGGATCGAAAAATATCCCACCTGCCACCGTATTTCGGTCCATGAAATTCAGGCCATTGACGACGGTCAAGACGGCCACGCAAAAATATTGGCGCTTCATTTTTGGGTTTTTCTAAAGTTAACACTAAAAAGCCGATAAAAACTTTGAAAAAAATGAATCAAAAATCGCCACGCTGTTGTGAGAAGTGGGCTAAAAAAGCCAGTCCGAAAACCGGAAAGGGCTTATAAAATCAGCCTTGCCTTATCACGAAAATGGACGGCTTGGTGTACTTGGGAATAGAAAGGCAAAGTGGAAAAGCTTAGAAAATGCAGAACCCTTCAGAAAACAATTCAAAACAGTGTTTTCGAAATTCAAAATTCTACGCATTTTGGCTTTGCAAAAGTCAATCGAAAACAAAACCATAGCAGGGTCGGTTTTTCCCGTTTTCGATTGGCTCTAAAACCACAAGAAAGCAGCTTTTCCGCACCTAAAAACCCGGAAAAACCATTTTTTAAAACGAGTGCGGATGCCGGTCAATTCCGCGGCCGTACCTCGTTATCACCACCTGGCTTGCAGGGCCATTAAAAGTGCCTTTAGGACCAGAGCATGCGTTCATTCGGCTTGATCTTCTGAGAGAGGAATGCAACAAACAATATACAAAGCTTGGAAATATACTACGATTAATGAGAAAAGTTATAATTTGATAGCTCTTCCTCTTTCTCCCGCTTTTTCTATCTCTCTCTCTCTCTCTCTCTCTCTCTCTCTCTCTCTCTCTCTCTCTTTCTCTCTCTCTGTCTCGCTCTTCCCCTCTCTCTCTCTGGCTATCTCTCTCCCATTGCTAGCTTCTGTAACTTTAGCTCATGCCTTACTATGCCTTATTATGACGATCTTGTACCTGTACGCCTTGAAGGCGTTGAAGCGCAGGTATGGAAATTCTTTTTATGAAGGATTCCAAAGGGCAACAATATGAAAAAAGCCTACGAAACCTAGTGCTCTGAAGGTCAATGCCTTTAAAATTTGATTTCAGACGAACAAGTTCGGCAGGGTCATGCGGCCACAAGTCGCCAGGCAGAAAAATTGTCCCCTCCGGGGAGTTGTACCATCAGAATTTGTTGATGGTCTGGAAATAAGAATAAACCTGAAGTTGAATCTAAAAAAATCAAAAGAATTTACACTCTTTAGGCAAGGATGGCAATTTGTACTTATGAATCTTCTTGAATGTAAAATTAATCAGAAAAGACCAGTTTCTGATTTCTTTCCACTCCCTTCCGCCCTCCTCGTTCATCAGCATAATCGGTGATCCGTTTTGTGCTCCGGTTTCCCCCGAGGAATTAATAATGTTCACCTACAGGTGACTAGGACAGTTAAAAATTTGCAAAAACAGTGGGGACAGGAATGTCAAATGAACGTTTTGAAACCGTACGTCAAACATCTTCTCTATGCGCTTTATCGATCTAAATTTTGTTAGGGCGTCAGCTAGGTTAGGCTTAGGCTTAGGCATATCTTTAGGCGAAGGCTTCGGCCTAAACTTAAGGTTAGGCTCAGGCTTAAGTCTATGCTGAGGGTAGGTTTAGGCTTGTCAAAGTCTAAAGTTTATCTTAGGCTGAGGCTGAGGTCAAGCTTAGGATTAGGCTTAGGCTAAAGCTTAAGCCTAGATTTATGCTTACGCTTTTATGCCTAGGCTTTTTCTTAGGCTTGGGAACAGCTTAAAGGGATGCCGGCGGCATAGTCAATCGGTTACGCGCGGAAAAGAAAATGTCTCTGCGCCTCTCCCCTGGGCGCGCTCTCTCCCCTGTTGGCTACTTGCCAATTTGTTGATGAGGGGGGATCGACACATGCCGTCGGCAGCCCTTTAAGCTTCCACCTGATCTTTGAAACCGTAAATTTGTTACATTCGAGTTCAGACACACAAATGCACGAAAGCGACTCGATATCCCCCGTTTTTGAGGCCAAACCGTCAGAAAATGTAGTCGGCTTGGCCCTGTCCCCCCCAAAAAGCCGACACGGCCCCAAAACGCCGCTGTCTTTACTAAAGATTGACCACCAAAACGCCGTCCCGCACACCCTACAATTTTCGCGACTAACCTCACTTTTCGTCGACCTTTCCATTTGCAACCGAATTTGGAGAGGATTGTTATTAGCGAGCCCAGGGGGGCGACGTGGGTGCTTTCGAAGGTAAGATGAGCGGCAGCACCCAAGATATACAACCGTTCTGCGTGGCTGCCCAGCAGCTCGACTTCACAACATGGTGGGTCATAGTTTGCTTCGTTTTTGAGGGATTATTAAGCTAGCAAAGATGCCAATTTCAAAGTCTAAAAACATTTTCTTTATCAGGAGGAATCGTTCTTAAAAGCTAAAATTGGCTAAGCTCTCCAGTAATTTAGTTATTTAGCATTCAAGGATAAATTCAGGTACATCTGGCAAGACGCCGTGAAAGCCGTTTTGAATCTCATCGTGCCTATCGGCATCTGCTACATGTTTGCGCGGCGACTCTTCTGGGTGCACAATGTTTTTCATGTAAGTTAGTGTTACCGGAAATAAAACTGGACGGCTCTTTTGAGCAATAACAACGCAACAATAACTTGTTCCATGACCACGATTTCAGGGCCTGATCGCTCTGAAGCTCATCGTCGTCGCGGTATACGCTATAAACACTGCAATCACTCACGTAAGGCAGGGAGGGAAAGAGAGACAGAGAGGGAGAGGGCGAGAGCGAGAGAAAGAGAAAGAGCGCGAGGGAGAGAGAAGGGAGAGGGAAAAGGAGAACGAAGAAGGAAAATGAGAACGATAACGGAAGGACAAGGCGAAAGATAGAGGGAGCGAGTAAGAGAAAGAGAGAGAGAGAGAGAGAGAGAGAGAGAGAGAGAGAAAGAGATAAAGAGATAAAGCGAGAGGGTAAAGCAAGATTTATGAATTCAGACTCACATCATCATTTGGCGACTGGTATCGTCAAATCCATGTGACTACGTATTTCTGAGTAACAAATGCATCATATTCAAGATTATACAGGTAAGAGGATTTCGCAGGTTTCGTAATGATAGATGTCTAATTCCGCATTTTATCATTTCCGATAGCTTTCCCATCCCTTAAGAATCGATTAAAAGTCTAGAACCAAGAACTTAGAGTAAAAAAGATTCAAATTTCGAGACTTTGCGATTTCAGAGTTGCTGCAAATTTTCCATGTCTTCCACCCTCTTGCTTTTACTAATTGAGCGCGGCCTATCCTTACACCCCAAGGCTTCGGAGAAATTCTGTCGCTTTGTGACGCACGGCTTCATCTTTTTAGAGGTATAGTTCTCTATAATTTTTTCAAAAATTTGGATAAAAGAACCGTTCCTTTCAGCTCTGCGTGTTTATGTATATCACCTTAGAATACTACGCACTGGATGAAAATATTGTGGTATTTGTGCTGCATTGCCAGGAAGAGACCATGGTAAGCGATCTGCCGATTTGAACGTTCAGAAACCTGATATCCGATTTTTGAAAAACTGATTTTTGCACCTCTGGAATAGAATCCAGTTGCGCTACAAAATAAGCCTTTAGACAAGCATCCCGTTGACGTCGTCGATAGGAACGCTGTGTATTTGTATCGATCTACCGAGCGCGATACTGAGCCTGTTTTTGAAGTTTTGTTCGGAGTATCGGTTGAGGAGGTTGGTTTTAGAAAATAAATAACCCTAAAAATAAGCCTAAGCGCAAGCCTGAGCCTAGATCTAACCTAAGCCTAAGCCCAAGCCCAAGCTCAAGTCAAACCCTAAGCATTAGCCTTAGCCTAAGCCCAAGCCGAAGCCGCATCCCGAGCCTAAGCCTAAAAGCTTCTTCCAGAAAGCAGCACACTAACCTGCAGCTGACCTACAGTACCCGCTATTCTTTAACTATCATTAATGCTTTCCTGCCGGTCATTCTATTCCACACGACAATAATGGTGGTGAACAACGTTGGCGAGCGCTTCACCCCAACCGTCATGGCCTCGATGGAAAATGACGTCGTGGCCAAGAAGAATTTTAATGGATTGGCGAATGTAAGAACAGAAAAACGCGATGATTTTTGATTGGCGAAATATCGATATAATCAATTTTTACCATGAATGACATTTTAGATCATGCCTTATTACACTACGATAATGCCACTCTTGTACGTCTACGCATTGAAGAGATTACGGCTACGGTAAGGGGCTAGGGTTTAGGAGGTTGGCTTCGGAAAGATTAGAAAACCGGGAATTGAAAGCAGTTTTCGAGCTGTTCAAGGTTTTGCAGATCACCATTATTGACATTTTTAGTGTATTGTTTGATAGCAGCAATTTAAGATGCTTTTTGAAGTTTGAATAGATTTTAAAAATACCGAAAGCCTCGCAAAAGAGGAAAAACTTTCCATTTCAAGCAAATTTCTAGTTTCTCGGGCTGAATTATTTTTTTTGGATTACTTGGCGCAATCCGATTCTAAAACTTTAGTTAATACAGCTTTCTAAAAACAAGTGAATGCTTAATAACCTATTAGCTTAAATAGTCCTGTTAAAAATCAACTTATTTAAAGCGGATTTCGTATTTTTGCAGCTTTTAATTTGAATTTTTAGTCTCTTTCGTTAATTTTTCAAGGGTTTTTTTAGTAAAAACGTCTATGGCTTGGCAATTATATCAGATTGAGCTTTAAAAGATTATTTTTTCCATTTTCAGACGCAACCAAGAGTTCAACCAGCTGAAGGAACCCCGTGTCAACGGGAAAATCGTCCCCGACTCCGAGATCTACCACAGACACCTCCGGGACAGCTGGAAACTCTAAAGATCGAATTATTCTGAAAACACCGCGATTTGGAATTGGCGTGTGAAGCGTAAAGATGAAACCTTTGTCTCCCGATCGTTGGACGCTACAGAGCACCCCTATTGACACAACAGTTACATGGCGGATTGCCCCGGAAACTCCCAGCCAATTTGCTTCGTGCGCTAGCATCGGTTAACAAGCAATGATGGGGGAATGTCATGGATGTATGATTGGGTTGTTTTTCAGAATCGCGCAATTTTTTAATGACGGTCCATGTCAATAATAAAAATAAACCTACTAGTAATTGTTGAGTTTCCAAGGCGTTTTTGTCAATTAAAATTAAAAAAATTAATTAATATTAAAAATATTAAAAAAATAAAAATATTAATTACGGTTTAGGAAATTGCACTTTCAACTTTTTCGCTTAACTATAGTATTTGCTTTATTTAACTTTTTTCTTCAATTTTTTCCTTATTTAAATTTTGCCGCAACTACACCATAACGATAGTGTACTTCTGCTGCTTCTCAAAACACCGCCCCCCTGCAATTTTTCCCTTGACTTTTCGGCAACCCCCACCACTGGTGATACCCAATAATTGCATATGTCCCTGTCATACCCGCAGGGATTTCTCAGAAGACCTGGAATACCGTAACCAAAAATTAGGGTGGAAGAAAATCAACACTCAAAAACCTAACAATTCGCAATTCCCCAAGGCGGGCGAGCCACCCGGTTCATTTCTAAAGCCCTGGTGCATTACGTGAATTCCGCCAAAATACTGATGCCGATTTTTTCTAGTTATAATATAACTTTTGATCATAATATATTTTAAACCGTTACAAACCCAAAATTATTGCCAAAAATACTCGCAACTTTCCGCAAATTGCCTCTGCTAATTTTGGGTTGCATAGAGTAGTAACAGGAGAGAAAATAACCGGCACTCGGATGGTTTTGGTTTGGGCATAGTAATTAATGGTTTGGGCTTGGAGTTAGGTTCAAGTTGTTTTATTCGTCACGTTTTTAATAGTTTTATGATTAATACGCTTAAGCTTAGGCTTAGTTTGAAGTTTCGGTTTAGGCTTAGGCTTAGGCTTAGGCTTAGGCTTAGGCTTAGGCTTAGGCTTAGGCTTAGGCTTAGGCTTAGGCTTAGGCTTAGGCTTAGGCTTAGGCTTAGACTTAGGCTTAGGCTTAGGTTGAAGTTTCGGTTTAGGCGTAGGCTTAGGCTTAGGCTTAGGCTTAGACTTAGGCTTAGGGCATAGCTTTCAGGCCAGGCTTCGATAAATTTTTTAGGTTTGACGCTGCAATTCATCTAATCTGCATCTTTATATTGAATTTGTTTGCTTTACTACATTTTTAAATGCTTCATTGCTTCTGTTTTTAGAAATTCTCAGATTTGGGGTAAAGTTTAAAGTTTTTATAAAAATTTACAGATGGCCCAGGACATTACGCCATTTTGCGAGGCTGCTGGGAAACTGGACTTTAGCACATTGTAAACACTTTATTTACCGATCCTATATCTTTTTTTCTAGGTATATTTGGCAAGACATTTGGAAGGCTGTCATGAATGCGATAGTCCCCTTTTTCATCGCCTACATGTTTCTGAAGAGGATGATCTGGGTGCACAAGGTTTTTCATGTAAGTTTGCAAGCTTTCGATTTCTTGTAAATTTAATAAAAATTTCCTTTGCAACTTTGAAAACCTGAATTATGCTAATTTGTTCGTATTGCAGGGCCTGATCGCATTTAAGCTAATTATCGTCGCGATATACGCTGTTAATACGGCAGTTACACATGTAGGTATTTCTCTTCATTTCAGTCTCGAAGACAAGTTGTCAAGAGGTGAAAACACTGAATTTTTAGGGCCATATAATATTAACGCGGCTGATATCAAACGATCCCTGCGGCTCCGTCTTCAAAAGCAACCACTGCCTCATGTTTAAAGTTATTCAGGTTGATTTTCCATTTGCATATTTCATGAACAAAATAGGAACGATATACAGGGTGTCCCAAAAAAAACGACCCATCTGGCATTTCGCCGTGTTACATCCAATCGATCCCAAATTTGGACCAGAGGTGTATCAGACCCTAAATAACAACAATCCTGACTTATAGCCCTGTAGCTACAGTCGTTCTCGAGTTATGCCAAAAACAAACTTTATTTTCCATTTTTCACAGGGTTTTCGTGGAATTAGGCCCCCTAGACATTAAGTGAAAATGCTCCGGTAGGCCTTCTTTACCTTAAGAAATTTTTTCCAGAGTAAAATTAATTAAATAAGCTTCGATTTAAGCAATTTTTACAACGCAAAATTACCCAAGTTCTTAAGCGAAATTAGGGGTTCGCGACCGGAAGTCTATGCAAATTGATGTAAAGTCCAAAAAAGATAGCCGAAAAAACTGTTCAGAATTCTCTGAAAAACAGTATTTTCGTTATAACTCGAGAACGGCTTGAGCTACGGAGCTAAAAGCCAGGATTGTTGTTATTTAGGGTCTGATACACTTCTGGTCCAAATTTGGGGCCGATTGGATATAGCACGGCGAAATGCCAGATGGTTCGTTTTTTTTTGGGACACCCTGTAGCTATTCAAAAGAAAGAAAGCAAAACATTCAACAAGCTCCCAAAAAAAGCTTGCAAAGGGGCATATGGCGCGACAGATGCGTGGAATCACGTCGCGTAATTAAAATCGATGGAAATCGAGTAGTTTTTTAGCATGTCTGTGCATTAATCAATGAAAAAAATTTTATTTTATTTTTAGACGTGCTGCATGCTCTCAATGTCCTCAACCCTATTATTGCTCCTCCTCGAGCGAGCCCTGTCTCTGCACCCCAAATCTTCTGACCGTATCTGCCGGCTGGTCTGCCGAGCATTTATCTGCCTCGAGGTGGGTGTCAATTATGGAAATCGGGGGTGCTTCTTCCTAAAAGTACGAGCACGCGGGAGGCACCAGAAAATTTCTAAGGTCTCAGGAATCAAAATTTTAAAATTCGAGGGTGAAAAGTGGCTGTGTTTTGCTCAAAGAAAATAAACAGCTAGAAAAAAATTACGTTATCCTAAGCACATTAAGATACGAAAATTACGATTTACCAATAAAAAACCCGAATCAACGTTCAAAGAGGGAAGACTAAACCATAAAAAACCAAAAATAATTGATTTAGCTCACCGTATTCTCAGTTATTACGCTGCAATACTACGTGCTGGAAGGCGACCAAGAGTGGTATATTTTGCACTGTCAGGAGGAGACAAAGGTATGCAATTTACCTTAAAAATGGCCTCAAAAACGGAATTTTGTTTAGAAATTGCCTTTTTGATTTTTTTCTGCATTTTCAACACAAATGAATCGCCAAAAATCTTGAAAAATCAGCATTCTGCATGTTTGTGGTTCTTACTTTCTATTTTTACTCATTTTGCCTGTTTTGACCCCTTTTCCGAATCAAAACTATAATCTCCTATAGTTTTACTAACTCCTCCACTTCCGCTTTGTCGCTCTCGTTTCCTTTGGGCGCAAAAATCTGATCCTTGTGATACCCGGGTACGCTGCTCATCACGCGGACGAACTTAAATTAGAATCTGATGCACCCCAGGGACCACGATCCCGAAAAATCCCCAAAAAAATGCCGACGACTTCCAGACAACCCAACCCCTCACGTCGACCATCGGAACACTTATGATTTGCATCGATGTCCCGTCGGTGGTTTTTAGTGTTGCGCTGAAGAAGTATTGTGAGAGGATGACCAGAAGGTAAGGAGAGAGAGAGGCAAGAGAGAAAGAGAGAGAGAGAGAGAGGAGAGAGAGAAAGAGAGAGAGCGAGAGAAATGAGAGACTGTTTTTGACATCGCGAAGAATCACTGCTAGCTTACCAAGCCGACTATTTTCGAGATCAAAAGGAATAGCAGCAAGCTTGCTAGATCCTCGCATCAAAAATCCAATTTTCGCGCTTTTTCAGAAAGCACGAAACCTTGCTGAATTCCTATAGAATACGATATTCTCTCACCATCATCAACGCTTTCCTCCCAGTCGTCTTCTTTCATGGAGCAGTTTTGCTATACAACAACGTTATGGTCATCCTATCACCGGTCCTCAATACAAGCACTGATGTTGTTACGAAAAAGAATTATAACGGGCTGACAAATGTGAGTAAGAACAACTCGAGGATGTTCTCTACCAGTCCAGGCCTAGTAAAGGAAGGGGTTCGATTTTGATTTCTGGTTTCTTTAAAGGGTCTTCGAGGCTCCGCTAATCCTATTACTGTACGTGGAAACCAACATTTGTTTTTCTGGATATAGGGCTCACATCGATTTGGAAAATCGGAATCTTTCCAAGCTTGCCGACGTCACCTTCCTGGCGCTTTCGACGTTGACAATTTTAGATAATGCCCTACTACACAGTCGTCATGCCGATCCTATACCTTTACGCGTTGAAAAAGTTGAGACAACGGTGAGTGCCAGAGATACATTTTCGGGTTATGGCGCCGCATACTATCAAGGCTGGGGAGAGGAATTCAAAATTCCATAGATGCTTGGCACGCTTGCAGCTCCTTTCGGAAGTTTGAGAAAGCTTGTTAGCAATGATCTTTGATGAGGTGCAGCTTGGAATAGAGTCACGGTTGGCGGCAAGCTAGCAGAAATAATTTTGGGCGGGGTACAGGCGAGCTAGGAAAAATTACTATAGGACTATAATTAGGATCAGGGTTATGTTTCGATTAGAGGCTCGGCAAGCTAGCCGAGATCCTTGGAAAGTAAGGCTTAGGACCGGACCTATGACTCGGGTTAGGCAAGCTAGCAGGTTTATTTAAGGAATTAAAATAAAGCTTAATCGTTTGACCGTAGTTAGGCGAGTTGGCACAAGTTTTTATTTGGCAGGAGCTATCCTTTTCTAGAAATTCGCGGTTATCTAAGTTTTCAGACGCAACGACGAGTTCCTGTCGATCAAAGAACCCCGATTAAACGGGAAAATCGTGCCCTTCTCCGAGATCTACCACAAGAAGCTGCGCGACGCTTGGCAGACCTTGGATGCGCTTCCAAAACAACGGAATAGCAAATAACCCCTGCACTCATTGATTTTCTAAAATTGTTTTTGATGCATTTGATGGCCTGTGATTAATTTCTAATTGCAAGTTAGCTAGAGTTTGATTTCTGAGCCCTGACAAATGCACATCAACTAGAAAAAAGGGGCAAACCTGGTGGTTACGTGGGGAAATTGGCATCTTAATGGCCCTGTTGCCCCCATAGCCTGAATCTTTCGTCGCCGGCATATTTGTTACTGAATCAGATGGAAAGGACGAAGTTTTAATATTATTTTGATGTACCGGATGGTAATTTTACGGCCTTAATTAATTTAATTTGATTTGCGTTAGATGAAAAAATTTTATGCGTTCAAATTAGGTACAAATTGCTTGCGATACTTTTGAATTTGGTTTTTGAGGTGGTCTACGTCGGCCTTCCTAATGAATCGATTTTCATGTAACATTTTTGTACCTTAAAGGAACTGGGAAGTATCGAAATCTACCTCCTTCGATCGACTAGGTCTAACCAGCTATGCGACCACGTGTGCAAAAACCCTCTTATGAACTTTATAGGTTAGACCCTGGCGTCGCGTCAATAACCCAGATCCGCAAGCACGCGTGCATTGAAATGGCGCGTAGCTATCGACCTGAAAAAACGACTACGCGCCCAAACTACGCCCTGAAGGGGCAGATTTTGGCGCTTCCGGCCTCCTTTAAAAGCCGATTCCCTTCAGTTGTTATCGAAAATGGTGAAATAGCTTTTATTTTCCGCTTCGATACTCTGTATTTTTGTTTTCAGAGCCGAGCCGGGGTCTAAAGTTAATTTTCGGGCTGTGACAAACTTGGAGACCCCGAATCGAGACCTGGAAAACGTTAGAAGGCTATTTTGAGCAATTATTACTAAAATCTAAGGTGTCCCAAGCAAGCAAAAATTTTGATAATGATGATTTTTTATTTTTATTTTTGCTTTTAAATTACATTTAACATCCATTTTATTTGCTATTTTTAAGGGAGCAAATACACAAGAAAAAATTTTTAGCTCGATCCAAAATCAATAATTCTCGAATTAAGTTTCCACACGATATCAAAAATTTGCATCATTAAAACGCGAAGGCTAGCTGGTCCAAATTTCCCCTTTTCGAATTACCATAGTTATCAAAATCCCCATTCTGACTGTTTTTCAAAATGCCGTATTTACCGTTTCACCTAGAAAAATACTTCCTCCGGTCAGCCAGGCATCCTATTTGAGTCCCACGCCTTCCTAAAAACGCCCGGCTTCTTGAAAGCTCGATTGCCCGGAGCGTCGGGACCGCTCGAATACAATTTATCGCCCATTTCGGGGCCGCTGTACCCGGTTGGCTATCCATGAGGGCAATAATTTGGTTTTTTGGTATATTCCGTCATGGGCCCATGTGGGGTCGTAATATTATTGTCGCAAAATATTTGTATTTTTCGCTCTTCCTTACTCTTTCTCTCTTTATCTCTTTATCTTTCTCTCAAACTGGAAGTCTACGCGAATTTCTGAATTTTTTAAGGTTGTCTTTTTCGGTCCTCTCTCTGTCTCTGGCTGCCTCGCGCGCTCTCCCACTCCCACTCTCTCTCTCTCTCTCTCTCTCTCTCTCTCTCTCTCTTTCTCTCTCTGTCTCTCTCTTTCTCTTTCTTGCTCTGGTTCCTCTCTCACAATCAAACCGGAAGTCCAAGACCAAATTCCCATTTTTTTTAAGTTCCATGCCCTGCGACAGTCCAATCAAAACATCACCTCATAGGTGCACTTTTGCGCTCCTTCAAAAATTATTCTATTTTTGCTACAAAAATGGAGCCAAAACCCCACGCATCCCAAGGTTCTGAATTCCCCTCGGATTCCCCAATTAATAATCTGCATCGCAAACCCGGCCGACCAGTCAGGCTGCGGTTTTTCTACCGCCCTGCGCCGTCCATTGTACTAATTCGCTGTGAGTGGCGAATTCTTGTTATCTGCTGATACCGTACTTGGAATTGGGATAAGTTCCCGATTCTCAGCTGAATTTTACTAATTCTGCAGGTCATTGTAGTGGTTATAGCCGTTTATGGACTTTTTTTTGACGGGTCTGAAATAGCAGTTTTCAACCGTGATTTCTAGCATTAAAAATAGTTGTATTTTTCAATTTTGTGATTGAAAAAAGCGTTAACAACCGAATTTTCAAGTTAAGAAAATAGCGATTCTCAACTGCGGTTCCAGATAAAAAGATAGCATTGTTAATTTTTTGTGCTTTCTTAAAACTTCTTAAAAAAATTTTTAGTATTCGGGAATATACCGTTTATATGGCTTTTGTTTTGCTTTCCTATTGTGCTTCATTCTTTAAGAAGTATCAATATTAGAAAAGCAAGAAAAATCAAATTCAGCAACGATGACGGATACGTTGAATATTACTACCTACTGCGAGACGGCGGCCAAGCTGACTTTTGGGACTTGGTGAGCCCAAATTCCTTGCGGCTTGAATTTAAATCTTTATGATTTTTATTTTTATGTTAAGATATCAAGAATTTATTTAAATGTCGTTAATGAAAAGAGCCGCGATTTTGATTATGACATTTTAGGTACATCTGGCAAACGATCCTGAAAGCGGTGCTGAACTCCGCTTCTGTGATTTTCATAATTTACATGTTTGCCCGTCGGTTGATATGGATACATAATGAATTTCATGTAAGTTTGAAGAAGCTTATGACCTCATCAATTTATCGGTAGAATTACGCTCAATATTTTTCAGGGCTTGATCGGCTTCAAATTGCTAATCGTCGGAGTCTATGCCTGTAATAATGCAATAACACATGTAAGTTCAAATCGTTTTGTAAATTTATTTGGAATCTCATTAATTTTTAAGCTAGTCAAAAACCCAAATAGATTCTCTTAAATTTTTCTAATTTAGTGGCAGCCCATCATCGGCCGAATGGTATCAAGCGATCCCTGTACTCTAGTATTCTACAGCACTTCTTGTCTAGTTTTCAAGATTATTCAGGTAAGTTTTTAGCTTTTTTCCGTCTACATCTACCTCTCTCTCTCTCTCGCTCGGTCTCTCTCTCTCCCGCTCTATTGCTCGCTGTATAGCTCTCCCAGTGTTTCGTTTTTTAGAGTTGCTGCATGCTCTCCATGTCCACCACAATTCTCCTACTCCTAATCGAACGCACCCTATCTCTACATCCAAAAATTACGGACCGCTTCTGTAGACGGGTGGGCCGGATGTTTGTTTGTTTGGAGGTAAGCCTTTTTTGACCGTTTCGATAGCCATTATTGCATGTAATTTGAAGCACCTAAATTTTGTGTTTAGATCATCTTCTTCCTGATCATCACCCTCGAGTTTTGCCAGCACGAGCTCAACCAAAAGTGGTTCATTCTACACTGCCAGCAAGAGACGGCTGTAGGTCTTTAGGTTTAAACCAGGGTTGAAAAGCCGCTTCGCGACTTTTTAACCCCGGCCCAGTCTGGTCCCATGATACTCTTGGCTTTGCATAATACACCCGAACTGCGATGAAAAATAATGAAACTTTTTGTTAGGAAACAATTAGCATATTCCGGAAGTTACGGTAGCCTATATAAGGGAAGAGAGGCCGCGTTTCTCATTTTTGTCATCGAAAATCGAGTGAATTATGCAAAGGGAAGAATATCATGGGATCAGACGGGGCCAGAGTTGAAAAGTCGCGAAGCGGCTTTTCAACCCTGGTTATTTCCTAACAAAGAGGATCGCCCGGTTTTTCATGAAAAACTGAATTTTAATGTCGAAAAAAAACATATTTTGTAAAATCTGATATGTGTGCAGTCATCTCCGGACTCTTGCGCACCTAATGGCGTATCAAACACCCCCCTAACTTGCTCCCTTCTTGAGATACTACTGGAACACGGTGACGGAAGTTGCATGCAAATGCACACACACACAGACACTATTTTTTATATATAGTAGGATTTCAAAGCCCTGTCATTGGTGCGTAAAGCTCAAAAATTGAATAAAATTAAGCAAAAAATTGTTATTTCGTGGAACAGATTTTTATGAGGAGAATGAGCTCTACCTTAAAAAAAGCCAGCAAAAAATATTCAAATGGAATTTCAGACAACGGCTCCAGTCTCAAAGGTGATCAATATTATCGTGATTTGCATCGATATACCTACTTTATGCTACAGTGTGTTGCTAAAATTTTATTGCCAACGACGACTCACGAAGTGAGATTTGGCCGCTCTCTCTCTCCCTCTCTCTTTCTTGCTCTCTCTCTCTTTCTCTCTCTCTCTCTCTCTCTCTCTCTCTCTCTCTCTCCCCCTCTCTCTCTCTCTCTCTCTCTCCCCGCTCTCTCCACGTTAAAACCTTCGACCGCGCAATCCCTCCAATTCCAGCGAGCATCAAAGCCTCCAACTCACCTACCGTATCCGATACTCACTTACGGTGGTCAACGCCTTTCTACCCGTCATCTTCTTCCACAGCGCTATTATTGCTTTCAATAATACGCTTGGTTTTATCTCTCCTCTTTACATGGCAGCTGTCACGGATTATGTGGAAAAGAAGAATCTGGATGGGCTGACATTTGTAAGAGCAGCTCTCTGAATGCGTCAACGAAATTTTTAGATTGTTCCGTATTATACCGTAGTGATGCCGGTGTTGTACTTGTTCGCGTTGAGGAAGTTGAGGGCTCGGTGAGTTTAATGGTCTGGGCTACGCCTTGGCTTAGGCTTAGGCTTAGGCTTAGGCTTAGGCTTAGGCTTAGGCTTAGGCTTAGGCTTAGGCTTGGGCTTAGGCTTAGGCTTAGGCTTAGGCTTAGGCTTAGGCTTAGGCTTAGGCTTAGGCTTAGGCTTAGGCTTGGGCTTAGGCTTGGGCTTAGGCTTAGGCTTAGGCTTAGGCTTAGGCTTAGGCTTAGGCTTAGGCTTGGGCTTAGGCTTAGGCTTAGGCTTAGGCTTAGGCTTAGGCTTAGGCTTAGGCTTAGGCTTGGGCTTAGGCTTAGCTTAGGCTTAGGCTTAGGCTTAGGCTTAGGCTTAGGCTTAGGCTTAGGCTTAGGCTTAGGCTTAGGCTAAGGCTTAGGCTTAGGCTTGGGCATGGGCTTAGGCTTAGGCTTAGGCTTAGGCTTAGGTTTAGGCTTAGGCTTAGCCTTCCTTGCCTCAATTAGCCTAGCTCAGCGAAACAGTGCGCAAAACGTGCTGATTCAGAAATTCCGCATATGTACTCATTACTTTTTTGTATTTCGCTCGACTACACCCCTAATTTCTCGAGCTAATCGTACTAAATCTTCTATTTGTGCTTTTTTTCAGCCGCGAACGTGAATTCGACGACTCCAGGCGGCCAAAATTGAATGGAAAGGTGGCCCCAATAGTCGACGTCTATCACAATAAGATGCAATCGGAATGGGAGGGGCCTGCGGTACGACAAACTACAACTTGGACGATACGGATTGGGAGTTTTGCGTTGTGTAGATAAAAATGAAATAAAGGACACGAAAACAAACATTGAAAACAATACAGGAACACCAGCGGCAAAATACTTTGAACAGTAAACAGCTGCCTGAAACGATTTTTTCATCGCGGTTTGCCTGGCTTCAAGCTTTAGCAAAACGCATATTCTCGCTTTTTCGCTCTCTCCCTCTCTCTTTCTTTCTCTCTCTCTCTCTTTCTCTTTCTCTTTCGCTCTCTACCCGATGACTTAAAAACTTTTTTTAAAGGGGTACGGGTTTACACAGTTTAAGCGCGACATCCATCCCCCTTAAATAAATTCAGACTGTAATTTACCAAGATACCGTATTCATTTTCTGTTTTTCGTTTTTATAAGATAAACCATTTTTTTGAATGACGCGACTTCACGTCATGGTCTCGTTTTCCTTTCTCATTTCCAGCCCCAAAAACGGATCCAACCGACGCGAAACAACACACTATACAGTTCTGCCCGATTTGGCCAACCAGACTCGCCCTATTTTGGTGCCCTTTTTGCCATGAGACTACCTGAAAGTCTGTGCGTCTCTCTCTCTCTCTCTCTCTCTCTCTCTCTTTCTCTGACTCCAGTAGACAGCAAACAACGGCGCCAATATGGCTCGCAAGACCGAGGAGTCGGGCCCGGAAATAGGCAGATATCGCAGGGATGAGTCAGCGGAACGCTAATTTTTAGTTTTCGAAAACAGGCAGTAAATGTAATTCCTTTTTTTATTTTTTTCAAGCAATAAAAAGGTAAATTGAATGAACGCGGATGAAATTAAAAAAATATATTTTTTTTGAAACGTGATAGAACTAAAAATCCGAGAAAAATCAAAATTTTGGCGTCATTCGTAATTTTGCGTAATTTCTAACCCTTCAAAGTTTATAATTTTCGACGCCTGCCCTTCCCAAAACATTCCATTTGTATAAACGAATCTTGTTTTGGGTTGTTGTTTGTTGTGGGATGTACTTTGTCGCGGGGGGTGGCTGGGCGGGCATGGAATCATTGGACCGCGGCCACACTTCACATAGCCCACAATAACATTACGATAAATCGGGAGGTGTCCCTCCCTGGGGGAAGAGAGAGAGAGAGAGAGAGAGAGAGAGAGAGAGAGAGAGAGCAGGATTGTTTAGTCTGGACCTGGCACCTAGATGTTGGCCACTCGCCAACAAGTTCAGGCTAACAGAGTACAACCCTGGAAAGGGCTATGGGAGCAGAGTACAAAAAGTGTGGATTTGAAGGTCGTAGGCTCGAGAAGTCTACTAAAAATTGTTCCAAATAATGTTGAGGCAAGAATTTCAATTTTTGCGGCAACCTGAAGTCTGGTTTTTGTTGGTCTCTAAATTTCCATAAAAAAAATGTTTGAGTGGAATGGTCAAGCGTTAATGCAAATTTGGCGGGTTTCAGTCAAATCTCGGCATTTCTCAAGGGGCTGGAAACGCTGAAAAAACAGCTCAGCTGCTTTCCGCCACAAGGTACACTACAAACCTAGGCTAACTAAACCCAACCACCCCTTAGCTAGAGCACACATCAGCACGAGTTATCCCTTGTTCACACCCCATGTCTTCGACATTCACGATTCTTGCCCCGATGGCTGGGGCTGCTGGCGAGTCGGCATGGGGGGGGGGGGGGGGTTAGTCACATGTTGTGTCTGTTTCTACAGCATAGCTTGGTTTCTCTCTCTCTTTCTCTCTCTATCTCTATCTCTCTCCATCTCTCCCACTCCCTCGGCAAGTCCCATGTTTTTTCTGACCACATGACGTCAAGCCCGTTCTCCGCCTACCCTCCTCCAAGCACGTGAGAGTCAAAACCTCCTCGGCGGTTTCTGTTTTTTTTTTGTTTGGAACTGTCGAGGAAAGAGCAGTTTTTAGAGCGGAAGGTCGGAAAAAAAGCACATATCAGGTTGGAAGGTAAGTCCTGTCGCCGAGATTTCGACGAGCTGCCTAAAATCGCAGATTGCATCATTTTTGACATGCGATATGTCATTTGGTAGCCCTCGACCTAAATTTCTTCCGGAGGCAGGTCCTGGGCCACTAAAATAAAGGGGGGTCGAGATACAGGCCCGAGAAATTTTTGGCCAAATTTGGGAAAAGTGTTTTTGCGAGTTATCTCTGCATAGAGCAATTTGCATGCGATACCTTGAGCGCCAATCGATAGATCTCGATGAGTAGATATCGATGGATGTCGAGATTTTCGAAATTGGTCACTGGACGGCCGAGATATGGGCCTCTGAAATTTAGCCCATTTCTTAGAACTTTTCTCGAAATCCCATACATCAGGCAAGAACGAGCCAAAACTTGCCGCTCGATTTTTGTACACCACATGAGGATTTTGATAAAATGTATAAAAAAACAAAAATGTTAAAATTGTCTGAAGAACAAGGTTTTCCTGTCATCTCTGGCTCTCTCTCTCTCTCTCTCTCGCTCTCTCGGTCTCTTTCTATCTTCTCTATCTATGTAGTGCTTGCTCAGTCTCTTTCGCTCTCGCTCATTCTCCATCGCCCTTGCTCACTCCGATCGCTTGAATTGTTTATGCCGATGGTCGATCACCAAATATTTCAACTTCGTTAAGTGATTTCGGGCGTTACCATTCGGAAAAATCACATCACTCCGTTTTTGGCTGTGAAAACCTTGTAGAATTGTTGTCATTTTCCGGTGAATTTTTCCAGTTCCTTCCGGTGCCCGGACCGATAAAAATTTCCATAAAAAAAGCCGTTCCACCCCGTGTTGCCCAAGATTGCCTCAGATTTTCTCAGCAAAGAAATGGAATGCCTTGCAGCGAAATATGAATCATTTTGCGATAAGTTTTATAGGCATGTGCAAGGTTTTTTGAAATCTGAATTCCGGGCGGGACCTGCTGACGCCTTGGCGGGTCAGGAAACGCCAAAAAGACCAAGAAATGAGACAGGAAGGCGTTGCTGGTTCAAACCTGTCGCTTCATCTTTCGAAAAAATTCCGAAAAGCTAAAAAATACAAAAGAAAATTGCTCAAATTTTCATCATGTTCATGTTGGGACTGGGCGGTCGGGTGGGAGCTGTTCGTCAAAGAAAAAACATTTTCTGATTAGTTTCCGAGCTTTGACTGTTCAATGCTCTCTCAATCTCTCGCTCTCTCTCTCTCCCTCTCACCTTCGTTCTCTTGCTCTCTAGGCCCTCCCCACCCTCTTCGCGTAAAAACAACCAACACCGAGAGAGCGGGGCATCGTCCAGAGGCGCCAGGCGTACACAGAAAAAGGGCCGGGTCCCCCCTTTTCAGAGATGCTTTCACAAGGCATCACGTGGGGGGCAAGTCGAGGCGGGGTAGGCGGTCGGGCGGTGTATAAAGCCCAGCGAATTCGGCCCGTTCACCCCGTCTCCAAGTCAAGACCCCCAGACTATAGACTACATTTTACGCCCATTCCCACCGTACCCTACCCAAATTACCATGACGCTCAGCGACTGTATCCTGGCCACCAACGTCTCGCAGGAGGACTCTCAGGCGACGATGAAGGCTACCGGGATGTATGATGTGAAGGAGAGGTAGATATTTTGATTTTTTGCAGAGGTACGAAATTTTATGAATTTAAAAAGCTTCGGATTAGGAAACACGTGATTTAAAGCATCAGACAAAAGCGCAAATTTTGGCTTTCAAAAAGAACCTTCATGTATTTTTCTAACTAAAACATCGCAAAAATTCTATGAAAATCCAGAAATCAAGCAATTCAAGGCCGGTTTGCTGTGTGAAAATTCAGAAATTTTTGTATTTCCAAGACTCTTTCCATTTTTTATATTTAAATTTTAACTTTCTGAGTTTTCGCGAAATCTAAATTTTGCTAGGAATTGCCTAAAATCGGAGTAAAATAATGATTTATGGGAATTGGTGCTAAAACTCGGGCTAAATTTCAATTTTTTTCAAACCCTTTTTAAAGCGTTAACAATATTGTTGAAAATGCTAATTTGAAAATTCGATAAAAATCTTATAAAATTAACTTAAGTAGCAAATTTGTCCATTGGTTTCTTCGCCACGATTTTACCTTACAAAAAATTGCCTTGATCTCTCGCCTCGCTCCCCGAACGCCTGGCATGGCCCACCCAGAAAAGTGAGCAGCCGGCCGGGGGAGAAAAATCGAAAAGAAAAGAGAAGCTCCTCCCTTCGCTCCACTGCGCTTTTCTCTATTTTGCGATTTTGAACGAAATTCGAGGGCGTTCCGCTTTCGTTTTCTCGGCTTTGCTCAAACGGGCGTGCCCAAAAAAGTGGGGTCGGATGGGACTTTCCCGAAAAATGGTTAGGGAGAAATATAGAAAAATCTAGAAAAATGCTGGTCACCGGATGCGGGCATGGTATTGGAACGGGATGGGTTAGAAAAATAGAAAAAATGCAGGAAATCATTCTTTCTTCTAAATGATCGCGAAATTCCTTTAACTTAAATAAATTTAGATTTGATTTTAGCACGTTCAAAACGAATTGACGTTAATAAATTGAGCGATTGTTCAAATTTAAATAATCTATGCGAATTTAAGCTCATCTTATCAATTTTTTTTCAGTGGCACACTCGCCGACTTCCTCGTCATCCGCAACCCCGAGCAGCAAAAGACGAAGAAGCGGAAGCCGGCCAAGCTCAGCCAGCTTGACGACGACTGGGTCGTCGTCACCGACGAGCTGCCCACATGTAAATAGGAATCCACCGTACCCCTGGATCTTCATGATTTCGACGTTATCGATCGAAGCCCAGGAAATACCGACAAGCCCCAAAATGCCGACAACATGGGCTGGACCCGTTTGGAGAGCATCGATTAGTCCACGCTAGTTTTTCTAAAAAATACCGACATTTTTGGTATGCCAATTTTTCTAAAAATCCGTTTTTCAATTTTTCCATATGCTAATTATGCAATTTTTCTAGTCCACTGAATCGATAATAATAATTCCACTTCTTCGGCGCTAAATTTTTATTTCTCTAAATTTTCTATTTGTACATACCGTAACGATGTCCCTTTAAAATTCTATTAAGCCACAATTATCGAATTTGCATTCGATGCCTTGATATGTAAATTGCTCTCTTTTTCACTTTAATAATCACTGCGTTCAATTCTTATTTGATCATACGGCTAAAAAACGAATAAAAAGATCTCAAATTAGCTTTTGAACTACACGAGGATGCAAATCACATGGCTAAAATGCACTGCAAAAAATGGAAAATCAACAAGTGTCAATTAGCGATTTATCAGCTGTATTTTTACATTTTTTTGGGATGTATGGGAGAACAGCTGACTGCTTGAATGTACGCATTTTTGCAAGGAAAAACATTTTGATTAGCGGCGAAAAAGCGGAAGATAAGGGAAACTGGTTTTTGGCTTGGTGACGGAACGGCGAGCGTTTCGGAAACGCCACAAATTTGAAAGCTCCTCGGCAAGGCTTTTGAAAGCGGGCTAAAAAGCATAAATATTAGAAAAATGATAAAATAAATCTTCAGGTGGTCGCAGAAAGTATCTTAAAAGTGCTGAGCAACGAGAAAATCTACGGATTACAATCCAACTACACGGTGACCACACAAATTACGTAGTTACATGCTTCACAGGCACACCGAAAAACGCCGACTGCAAGCGTCGAGCTCTAGTTTCCTTCTTGAAACGAATAATAAATGTACGGAAAACTGGCTGGAAACGCGCGAACCCCCAAAAACCCCCTAAAAATTGTACCAACTAAAAATTTGCATAAATTGGCACCGGAAACTGGGAAAATTTCTGGGTTTTTTGGTGTTTGATGGATATTATGGCCACAAAGGTATCATGGAAGGGTTAATTTGGGTCCAGATCTCGTTTCCACCTGCATACTGCATACGAAAAATGACCTGAACCCCCAGTAAAAATTGGTTCTACTCTCCCAGCCACCTCCCCAAATTCGGCATGGCCACGGGGTCAACGCCCAACTCGCTAACTGATCTCCTCCAATTATTTCCTGGTTTTCGGGATGCTGAATGCAGGGGTAAATTTGGCCAAAAAAATGCGAAATTCGATATGCATTTAGAAAGCCGAAGCAGCACCCAGCAAAATGAAGGGAGAAAGGTCTAGTTTTGTCCATTTTCAAGCGTCAAATCGGTCTCCCTATCTTTCGCTCTATCTCTTTCGTTCGCTCTCTCTCTCTCTCTCTCTCTCTCTCTCTCTCGCACCACAACTTTAGCAAGTACCCCTCGGCTCGTGGCCCTACGTTGCTGTCTGCGGCCTCGGCGGATCATTGGCGTGTGGCGGGACCCATTTTGTGATCGTGCCACTCGATTTGTTGAAGTGCCGAATGCAGGTTGAGGCTTTCTGCTTTCTCTGAAGCTTGTGATTGGCCTAGGTTGACCCCAAAAATCATCCGAATCTCGCGGCTTCATTCAAGACTACGGTGGCTGGTGAGGGTAGGTCACCGAAGTTTGATGAACGTCGCAAGCCTAAACATGCCTAAGCCTAAGCCTAAATATAAGCCTAAGCCTAAGCCTAAACCTAAACTTAGGCTCAAGCCTGGCTCTTTCAGGAATCCGTGGACTTGCCAAGGGCTGGGCCCCGACCGCCATGGGCTATTCGGCCCAAGGCTATGCAAAGTTTGGATTCTATGAGGTAGTAGATTTCAAAGAATTTTTCTCTGCCAACGCTTGCAATTAGAAACTCGAGGTCAAAAAATCGTATGCTTCAGCTCTTCAAATCGAAGTACGGGGACATTGTCGGGGCCGAGGCTGCCCACCGGTACCGCGTGCTCGTCTACCTGGCCGCCGGGATGACCGCCGAGGCCATCGGGGATGTAGCGCTGGCGCCGTTTGAGGCTGTTAAGGTTGGCTTAGTGCTATGCTTAAGCTCGGGCTTAGGCTTGATGCTTAAACCTCCTTTATAAAATTTTCAGGTCCGCATGCAAACCGACCCGAAGGCGCCGGCGCAGATGAACGCCGCCTTCAAGTTGATCTACCAGAAGGAGGGCTGGAACGGGTTGTTCAAGGTGGGTTTCTCTGCTTGCTAGCACCATTTCTTTTAGTTTTTTTTTGTTAGTTTTTCAGGCCTTTTAAAAAATGAATGATACCTTCAGGGCCTGCCGCCACTCTGGGGTCGTCAGATCCCATACACCGCAACCAAGTTCGTTTGCTTCGAATTCGTCACCGAGTGGCTGAGGCGCATCTTCCCGGCCAAGAATGGTGGGGGCAGACAAACAGAGAACATCCGGCAGGCTCAGACCTAAGATTAAGTCTAAGCTTAAGCCCAAGCCTAAGCTCAGCATGCACAAATTCAGGCAAAGAACCCAGCCGCCTGCACCACATGACCATCACGTTCGCCGCTGGGTGCGTGGCTGGAGTGGTGTGCGCCATCTGCTCCCATCCCCCGGATGTCATCGTTTCCCAGATGTACAAGAAGGCTGACATGGACTTTGGGACGGCTTGCCGGTAAGCGTTCTCACTCTCTCTCTCCCTTTAAAACACTTCGTTTTCTAGCCACGTCTGGAAAAATGGAATGTGGGCCGGGCTGCAGACTCGCATGCTGATGATCGCCTCAATTGCCGCCCTTCAACTCTTCATTGTCGACGGCACAAAGGTTGACATATGCCTAAGCTGTGCCCAATCGCGTTTTTAGGTCTATTTCAACCTAGAACGCCCTCAAGCCAAATGAACTCGAACGCGTGACTACAGAATTGCTTAAAAATCTTCTTGAACCATTACTTCATCTGTGATTCTTGCCTGTGACTATTACTCTTAATAAATCATTTGTTTATGAAAATTTGATTCATCTGGTTGTCTGCCTATCTCTCTCGATCGCTCTCTCACTCTCTCTCAGTCTCGCTTCTCTCCCTCTCCCCCTCCCCCTCCCTTTCTCTCTTGCTCTTTCTCTCTCTCTCTCTCTCTCTCTCTCTCTCTCTCTCTCTCTCTCTCTCTCTCTCTCCTCCCCCACGGGAATTACTTTGAGTAATTTTTGATTGCGTTTGCGGCGGACCGGCTGGCCGGAAATTGCCGTTTTTCCGGGGGGGGTTGTCTAACTGTTCTGATCATTTAGCTTTTCAAGAGAATCAGAATTTTGTAAATTGATTCTAGGAAATTGCGCGTGGATTTGCACGTATTTTGGTCATCTTTGATCGGCTATCGGCACGCAATTTTTCAGAGATTTTCTTTTTTTCTTAGCAGCTGCCGTTCCGTGCGTAAGCCATATTTGCCTATTTGTCGACAGGTGCAGCTAGGTGGATTTTTGCTCACTGTCTCGATGGCGTTATGAGAACTTTTTGGATTCGAGCGTCTCTTCGAAGCAACCTAGCTTAAATTCCTCGATTCCTGGGCATCTAAACATAACTGATTCCAAATTGAAAATGCCAAATCATATGAAAAACCTCACAGAGGACATGATCGTCTACGTCATCGACCCGGGCATGGTCGACATCTCATCGTATCCAACAATTATGTTTTATTATAGGATTGCTTCAGGTGGGTTGCGAGGCTAGAAATCCGTTTTTAAAAGTTGTAAAACGGCTGGGAGCTAGAAAAGCGAATTTCACTTGACTAGGTCTCGACAGCTACACAGGGCCACAAAGACCAGCACAGACCGTGCTTCGGTCGCGAAATTTTCGAACTTGTGCGCGTCGCTTTGTCTCTCGCGTAGTGGGCGGGACCTAGTTCACTAAAAGAGCCGATTCTCTCCCTTCCTGCTCCTTTAAAACATCATATTTCAGTTCCTCTACTAGTATTCAACCTTTTTGGCCTATACCTAATTCACGTCGCTACACCCAGATCTCTCGGAAACTACAGATGGCACCTATTTGCATTGCAGGTAAGGAAAAGCTTTTTCGAATTTTTTTTTGGACGGAAAGCTTTCAACGTGACGTTTAGGCCTATCAAACAATCCTGGAAATCGGCTCGGCTTGGTTTGTAATGCCGCTAATTGCGTTACCTGCCAAAGCATTCGTAGCCGAGGGGCTACTAACTGATATTGGAATCCGCCCGTCTTGTCAATTGGTATTTTCCTTTCTTAACCCGCATTAGACACTCTTGACTAAAAATCAGAGAAAGCCCGCCTCGTGGCCCCAATTACTTCATAATGCTTCGATTTTTAGCTCGCCATAGCCTTTATTCTGGTCGGCACAGTCTCCTCGCTAGAATGCATCATATTTATCCGGCAGCAATCCGTTCTACCAGCTGGACACTTGTTCAAATTTGGAGATCAGTAGGCAACTAGCTTTTCTCTACTTCACAAGGTTTGCCAAAAGATCGACCTCCATCTAGCGGCCGCTGGAAGCTCGCGATGGTTTTTACGCCATTTGGAAGCTCTCGAAGAGGCGAACAACAAATTATTTTCATTTTTCACAATTTTGTAGACTTCGCTCGATACTGTACGATTTCCTAAGAAAGCGCCGATTCATTGTCGTGCTGTTGGCTCGAGACTAGCAAATAATACGAGGATTTCGCATAATTAGGCAGTTTCCATGAGTTTCGCCCCTAGAATTTGCAGTTAAGATGCCTAAATTGAAAAACGAAAAGCGTCGGTTTTCCCGCCTTTCCGAGAGCTTTCGATGGATGGATGGATGGGTAATCGTGACCATCGAACGTTTCTGCGGCCCGCTAGTGGCGGTCGATTTTTTGAGACAACCTGTCGACATCCCCATTCTTATGTACCTATATACCCCAATTTTTTCCAGGCGACTTGGCACCGGAATCGCCGCTCATCACAGCTTCCAGTTTTTGCTCACTGGCGCTCTGGCAATGATCGTTGTGCAAAATGACGACTTGAGGTCGTTGGAGGAGCTGAAGGAGGTCAGCTTCCTCTCAACAATGTCGAATTTACGTATCCGAATGCAGGACTATCCCCGCTTGTACCCCTTCTTCATCCAACGGGGCAGCTACGCAATCGGGAATACGGCTGGGGCGCAGGCGGTCGCCGTCCTGGGCGGCTTATGCTTGTTTTATATCCTGTATTTTTATTGTAAGTCAAGAGAATTTCAAAAAGAATCTATGAAAACTTAGTTTTGCTCATAACCACCCTGGTCACGGTCAAGCAACAAGAACAGTTGATGAGCACGAAGACGTTGATGATGCAGAAACGATGGTTGCGGCATATTTATGTTCAGGTAAACGCTTAGGTATAGACATGGGCTTAGGCTTAGGCTTAGGCTTGGTTTAGGCTGGATTTAGGCTTAATCGTAAGTTTGGGCTTTACCCCTTTCCTAGGTTGCCATTATCCTCATCCAGCTTATCTTCCCTGTGTTTTGGTTCTTCACTCTTTTCATATTTCAGCTTGAGGCACTGGCAGGTGAGTGCGGAAAGAGAGCGAGAGAGAGAGAGAGACAGAGAGACAGAGACAGATAGATCGAAACATAGAACGTCCAATTCAGCCTACTGTATCTGGCCAGTCCTTCTTGTCGCCACCCAATCCACCGTGTGCACCTGCTCAAACTTTTTCTACAGCTGCTATAAGGAGTATACGGTCCGGTTGTTTAGGCAATATGTTTTGAAAGAAGGTGGGATGCCTGAGATCGCTCGTTTCTCTAAGTTTCTGTTTAGAAAAGCGATCCCACGCTATTCGGCCCTCATCATTGCCGAGCCAAATGCCGCTCCCCAGTCATGTGCCTGAATAGACTTTTCGTAGCCAACCTAATACGTGTAATTAGCCCGATAAATTGAATACTAGCTTAACCTGCGCAGTAATAGCATTCGTACAATCTTTTTACCGGAAAAATTTGAGACCAAAGATGTAAAGAAAAAAAAAGAAAAAGAAAATGAAGACAGCGACAGAGAAAATAGAGACCAAAGCACAGTCTTTGCCATTGCCGATGCCTATGCGAAAAAGCGGACAGCCGGAAAAAATCGTGGCCAATTCTTATCATGCAATTTACAACCCCTCGCGCGCCGAAAACATTGATTCCTCATCCATTTTTCCGCGTTTTTCGCTTTCTGAACAGCCGAAATGTGGCCCCTAATTATTTTAGCGCTTTTTGGGAATGTTGCCGTAAGTTGCAACCTATTTCGAAGCAGCAAGTGATGTTAGCTAGCCGACGTCGACGAGTGCAAGGCGTGCACCCAGATGGCGCAATTTGTGCAGTACAATAAAGGTAGCTCGAGTGTAATTCGAGGCCTTCAAAAAACAGCAGATTGATTTCTAATTGAATTCATGAAAAAAATTCCGGAAAAGTTGAAAATTGTGCCGTCCCTGTTATTATGCAACACAAAAACAAAAATTTAGGCGGCGGCTACGATGCTGTCCTCAAGTCGGCAACTGACAGCCTAAAGTTGTACTCTCCGGAAGACCGGCAGTTTCTTACCACTGTACTCAGGTAACTGCTGTACTGTACTGTACTTTTCGGAAACCGTGTATTTTACGTCAATCTCCGGCTGGTTTGGTGCAAAATCCAAAGCCTAATCCTAAGCCTAAACCTCCTCAGATACAACTTCCGCAAGCTGTACCTCGATGTGAATGATGCGAGGGCTGGGATGAGCGCAGCGTCGACTTGTGCCGATATGGGTTACTGCGATTATGCCGTAAGTTAAGATTCAGTCACCTCCAGAACTAGCAAATTCAGAACGAATATCCGCCTCCATTCCCTATCAACAAGCAATTTGGGGATGTCTGGGACGAGCACTCTCAAATTAAGTAAGGGAGATAGAGAGCGAGAGGAGAGAAAGAGAGAGGGAGAGAGAGAGAGAGAGAGAGAGAGAGAGAGAGAGAGCGAAATCGACATTTTTCAGGGACACCCGCGACAAGACCATCATTGTGCTGCACGACACCGAAGTCAATACGATGAATGGCACTATTCAGGTGCTGAAAGATAGAGGGTTATCCGTGACCTATGCTGTCGACATCAACGGGGACATCTACCAATTTGTGCGCGACTTCAGGAGGGCCTGGCAGGCCGGAAGCGGGATTTGGAATGGAGATGGGTGCGTTCTTAGGTTTTGACTTAGGCTGAGGCCTAGGCTTAGCTCACGTTTAGCTTAGGCTTAGGCTTAGGCTTAAGTATGGCAAGCTATCTTCAGATGCAACGTCGCGGACACGAACACGCGCTCCGTCGGCATCGAGACGGTCAACCACGGCAATGCCCCATTCCCGCCGGCACAGGTTGATCGATTTTTTGAAAAAAAGAAAATACGTAGTTTTAGATTAACGCTATACATACATTAATCGATTACCTACGCGCCAAGTGGCACGTCGACCCGCAAAATATTATTGGTAGGTCCCGGCCCTGTCTGTCTCTCTTTCTCTTTCTCTCTGTCTCTCTCTATCTCGCTCTGTCTCGCGCGCTCTCTCTCTGGCTCTCTCTCTCTCTCGTCACCATATTTTTCAGCTCATCACGAGAACAGCCCCGACTACAAGTTCGACATTTCCGGCTACTTTTCATGGAAGGATATGTATGACGGATTCGGGGTACGAGACTAGTTTTTACTGTTAGAAGTTTCAAAATTCAGGTCTTGAAAGGCGTTTGGCAAACCACGGTATCAAACCCGAATGATGTCGTTTTGAACGCTACGATCCAGGTGGAGCCTTTTGAAGTACATCTAGCCAGAAAATCGGAGACTTTGTTTGCTTCCTGAAAAACGTTATGCCGAACAGCAACCCGCGGTTGACCGAGTTTAGAAGCGTTGCGTAGCTGTCGCGACTTAGGCCTGGGAGCGTGTTGTCTGCCACTCGTTAGCGCCCCAAATAAAATATTTTAGAACCCGACACTCCTCCAGCAGGTCCAGACGATGCTGTTCAAGTAAGAAATTTCGATAAACGCTTCAAAGTCCTTTCAAAGTCATGGCTACGGTACCCTGAAAATCGGCGAGGCGTACAACAACGGAAGCGTCACCACCGCCCAGGCTGTCCAGTCGTTTAACCGGAAATATTGCCCTGAGGTGGTTTTTGCGATATTTTTAGCGAACTTCAAGCTTGTCGATAGCCCCAAATTTGTGATTTTTCTGCCGCTCAGCCCTGGAATAGGCCTAATTAACTGCTATCTAGGTGTTCAAACTAGAGGATATGCGCCCCGATGGCACTCAAATCGTCTTGCCGGAAAATCAACAGGTTCGTCCAGTTTTTCGGGAAACATTAATGTGTATTTTTTAATTTTCATGTTAAAAGGACGAGTTCACGACAATGCAAAAAAATAGTTTAAGTTCAATAATGATTTTTTCAGGTGTACGCCCTAACCCTGGCCCGTCTGCAGTGGTTCCGAGATAATCAAGCCCAGCAAACCTGCCGAAACTATTAAAATTTGAATAAATTGCAAAACAATGCTTTTAAAATAGTTTTTTTTGCGTATTTTCAAGCAAAATCGAGTTCATTATGGTCTTTACCTGAAAGTTTTCCCTACCAAAATCGTGATTTTGATTTGTTGTTGGTGATTTTACTTATTAAATTGTCTAAAAACACGAAAGTAGACAGCTTCAAACCCGCAGCCAAAACCCAAAAATTCCAGGAGCAAAAATACTTGGTCAAGTGTCAGGCGGGAGAGCGAATTTGCAGCAAATTGATAACCCGCCGGCCCCGAACCAAGGTTATCTTGGGCGCCGGGCTTCTGCCCTATATACCAGCCATTATTTGGTGAGCCAGAAGCCGGGCAAGTCGGTGGCGAAGCTGGCGGTGCGTCAGAGCGTTGACTTTATCAGTGACTACCAGTTTCTCGACTTCAAAGAGCAAGCAAAACGGCGCTTTCAAATCTTCTCTTCCGATCCTTCCGGATTCTCTTCCGGATTCTTCCGTTCGGACACAGAAATTCCAAGAGCAAAACGTATTTTGTTGCTCCGTCAGGCGTATCTGTAGAGCGAATAAAATTTTTCGTAATTTTTTTGACATTTTAAAATGTTGCGTTAAAATAATTTATACCCCATATTAATATACATTATTAAGTATACATAAAAACCGGAATAGTCAATGTCTAATTGTTATGTCAATCATTTTCTAGTACTCGAACGCATAGCACATCACGTCCTTCGAGCCGTCGGCGCAGAACAGGGGTGATCGGGCGGCGAAGGTGGGCAGGGGCTGAAAATTTTTGAGTGACAGAGAGAGAGAGAGAGAGAGAGAGAGAGAGAGAGAAGGAGAGGGAGGGAGAGAAAAAGAGAGTGAGATAGAGAGCTAAAGATTTACCTGCTCGGGCTTGACCTCCTGGCAAAAGACGGTCCACTGGCCTTGCATCTGGCCGATCAGCGCGTGGTAGATGGCCTCCTTGGAGGAGCTCACCGAGGAATCGAGGTTCTGAAGGTATCATTTGGACTTATTAGGCTTAAACTTAGGCCTACCTCAAGAATCAGCTTCCTGGCTTCGGGAGAGTTGCACTGCGAGTCGTCAGAGTGGATGGTCGAGACGTTCGAGACCGGGATGGCTTCCCTAAAATGTTAATTTTGTATAAGGGAATTTAGTGTGCATTAATAGGCAATCTACGCGGTCTACCTCTTGAAGCGGAAGCACGGCTTTGGGGCCTGGAATGACGGTGTGAGGGGGTGCTGGAATCCGAGACCGAACAGGTTGCCAAAGTCGAACGGGTGGGCGCTGACCAGGGCGACGAGGGCCACGGAGGCGATGAGGAGGGTGCGGGGCATCTGAATCTTAAGATCAAATCAATAGAAAGAGCGAGAGAGATAGGGAGGGAGATAAAGAGAGAGAGAAAGTGAGAGAGAGCAAGAGCTAGTTAGATAGACAGAGAGCGAAAGAGATAGAGAGAAGACCGCTATCCCAAGGTTTTCTGATGTTTTAAAGGGCTAGTGACATCCAGAAATCGAGCAACTAGCTCAAAAATGCGCTCTCAGCTAGCAAGCTGAAGCTAAGACACCCAAATTATAATAATTTTAACACCTAAACTACGATACCAAACTATCCCCCTAACTGACCATTCCCCCTTCTACGCCCCTTAAATACTCCACAGCGATGCGATCAAGGTCAACAAACTTGGGGTTGTCTCAAGCCGCCTTCCTCGAAAAAGCTTGAGCATAGAACACCAAGAGCTTGACGGCTAGACTGTGTAAAAGTGTGCTCACTTACGGTTTCGGGGCCAAAAAAGTCAAGGGATATGCGTTAGTATGAACTTTATGCCATAAGAAAAGCGGGGGCGGCTGGTTTCGGTTTTAGTGGGTTGTACAGTTGAATGAGAGAGAGGGGGGGAGAGAGAGAGAGAGAGAGAGAGAGAGAGAGAGAGAGGGAGGCAGAGTAGCCGATCCGTACCAAACCATCGTGCCTTGACGCCATTAAGAGCGAGGAAGCCTTTTTGGCCATTCTTCTGAGACTAGGTGAAAATTGAAGAATGGGATTTGAACTTTAGCTGTGGAATTTCGGCAAGCGTACCATTTTGTTATACTTTTTGAGGTCATGCTCATTTCGAGATATGGAGTGAGGGCGAGAGAGATAAAGCGAGCGAGAGAGAGAGAAAGAGAGAGAGGGAGATGGATTCTAAAGAAATTTATCATAGAGAAACTGTTGCTCATGGAACGTCCGCAATGTAGTAAAATTGAACGATTTCGCGTCAGTTTTCAACTACCGTAATATTCAGAATACGACTTTGATCCAGAAAACGGGCTTTGAAGCTGCGAAACCACCAGATTGTTTTGTGCCCCGGGGCTACTCTCCTGCAACGACAGCTGGTTCCCAAAAGCGAGCGAAAACTGGTGCTCCTGGTCACTTATTGTACCACCCGGATGGTACCAAACTGTCGGGCGGCCAATTGAGCCACACGACCCATTGACCGGGATCCAGATTTACCCCGCCAGGGGGTCGCTTTTTGTCGGGGGTGGCCCCATAAATCTTGGTTCTCGGAAGTTGCAGCCAATCCGGAAAGCTAGAGGAAACTGGCGGGGAAGCGGATGCGGATATTGAAGATCTGGAGCTGGAGGTTGAGGTAAAAAAAGCGTCAGAATCGCAGGGATTTCTGAAGTGGAATTGTGTATAAAGTTTTTGAAGGGTTTTGCCTAAGCTAGGTGCTGATTTTCTGATCTAGAAGGCATGGCTAAGGATTTTTTGCTAGCGTTTTATGACGTGCGCACACAGGACAGAGTTCTAATGCATTACGCAATTAAAACATGAAAAGCGGAAGCTTGGGACGCGTGTCCGGACCGAAATACCGACGTACAAAATGCCGCCAGCCAAAATATGGGCATCGAAACTTTGCTAAGCGAAAGTTTATGCACAACGCAACGGCCCCCGGGAAAACTTTACAAAACTACCGTAACCCGCAAATACCCACTTCCCATCCCCTTTAGAACTTGGACCAGGACTCTAATATCAGCTACACCCGCTGCCTATATACCCTGGACCCAAGTGGCTCGGCACACGACACAAAATCCTGCTCCCTCTCGAAGCCCTTGAACAAAAAACACGCCCAGGTGTGCTGTACGATCGGCTCCGCGAGAATTCTTGCTCAAGTCTCGGGCTCCTCACCTCCTGGCAAATTGAGCGTTCACCAGGGAACTGGCTCTCGATTCCCGTCAATGTACTAGTGGCGTTTTCCTGTAAAAGCGGCTTACAAAAGATCCTGTTCCACTGCACGCCTATAGGCGTCAAGGTGTGTGTTAAGGGTGGTGCTCGTACACGATCAGCCGCTAATTTGTTGGTGCTCCGGCGGCTCGAGCTCCCCGCGGCGTGGTTTGGGGGCTTCAAGTGAACTGGATCGCCTCGGGGCATGTGTTTTCTGATCGAGCGCCTTCTTCTCTTTCTCGTGCTTGAGGGCCACCCCGCCCCCCTAAGCGACGGTACAAAAGCCGCGGGGTTCGGGGAAGTGTATAGTACGGTTGGTGGCTTGGCTTGAGCACTAGTTACTGGTTTTGCTGAATTCTTAAGATTTCAAGTATGCGCGCAATTTTACGTTGCTAAGCCTAAGCCGAAGCTTAAGCATCAGCTTATTCTTAAGCCTAAGCCTAGGCTAAGCCAAAGCCTAATCATATCATACGCCTAAGCTCAAGCCTATACCTGAGCCTAAGCCTAAGCCTAAACCTAGACAAAATATTTTTCATCTACAATGCCGTTTCAAACCTTACAAAACCCATAAAGTTGTTTTCCAGAGCCTCTCAACATGCAGCAGCTCATCCTCCTTTCCCTGTTCGTCGTCGCCGCCCAGGCCTGCATCGGCATGGGAGGCGGAGGTGGCGGTGGATGCGTAAGTTGTCATTTTTCCACTTAATTTGGCCTGAAATCTGGCCGTCGAGCCCCAGCCCGCCAGGCCGCGGCTTCTAAAGATTTCCGGCCCCTTTAAGCGTCAGAAAAAAAACACACAAAAGTTTCCATTTCAGTGCCCTCCTCCCCCGTGCCCGCCTCCCGCATCGTCTTGCGGATGTGGCGGCAGGAAGAAGCGGTACAGAATATAAAATTCAAGCCTAAAAATTGATTTTTTATAGATCCATCGATCTGCCAAACTTCACGGAACTATCGGCCACCTCGGCTGATGAGCTCTGCAACAGCCCGAGGCTGAAGGCGTTGCTCAACGAGGTAGCCATCATAAGGCCTCTCTCTTGCTCAAACTCTGTCGCGCTCTCTCTCTCTCGCTCTCTCTTCTCTTCGCTCTCTCGCTCTGTCTCTCTCGCTTTCTAAAACTCTCGCTTTCTAGAACATCTCCTCCGACCTGGTCGCTTCCAAGACGGCCCTCGCTTCCGCTGCCGAATCCTTGAACGAAAAATTCGTTGTCGTCTGCTCGGGCTGTAAGTTACCCGTTTTAACAGTTAATTTTGTTTTTTTTTTTAGTTTTTTTTTGCATTAGTTTTATGACTATTTTTTAGCGCCCGTCTCCTTCGCCACGGCCCAGGACACGGAATTCTGCAGCGCGCGCCGCCCGGGCGTCTACTGCGACGTCTTCTCCCACTAGAACAAGAAGATCGTTATCCGCCCTTAATAATTATAGCCATAATATCGGTATCGGAATTTGTCGGAAATAAATTATTTCATTGGATTTGTTCTGTTTGAAAGCTCGTAAATACGTCAAGCAGCAATCTTCGATGCAGGGTAGCATTAATTTTTGTCATCAGAAATCTTTTGGCTCGTGCAGTAGAATGTTTCTACTCAGGCTGGAACTTTAAAATTAAACCAAGCTTATTTTGCTTATTTTGTCCTGAATATTACGAACGAATTACAAACCTGTGTTTAAAAATTGCGCAATGACAATTTTGAAGCACTACAACGTAATACAATGATGCTACAATGTAAAAATACGCAAAGTTCAATGCCCCATAAAAATCGACAGGAGATGATTTCCAAAATGGTTCGATCGCGGGTTTTACTCAGAAAAACATGGACTTTCAGATAGTGCATGTTAAAAATTTGGAAATAAGAATCATCAGAAAATGTTCGGGTGCAACTCACAGCGTTGCGAACCAGAAGGTTTTGGCTTTTGAGGGTAAATCAACAGAATCTCGAATTACAAAATCTCGAATGACAAAATCTCGAATGACAAAATCTCGAATGATTAGAATCTCGAATGAACAGAATCTCGAATGAACAGAATCTCGAATGAACAGAATCTCGAATGATTAGAATCTCGAATGAACAGAATCTCGAATGAACAGAATCTCGAATGAACAGAATCTCGAATGATTAGAATCTCGAACGATCAGAATCTCGAATTTACAAAATCTCGAATGACAGAATCTCGAATGACAGAATCTCGAATGACCAAATCTCGAATGGTCAAAATCTCGAATGAACAAATCTCGAATGCCAGGATACCCACTGCTATCCTAATCTAGTTTCGTCTAGTTCGATCCAGCATAGATTTTTTGTCTTAGATAGAAGCTAGTAGGCTGTGAGTAGGCCCTGCCGAGGCATGGTCCTTTTTGAGCATCATCCATTACAAATGATAATGAAGAACATTAGCGTTAAGTCGAAAAATTTGTTCTTTCGACGCAAAGAGCTCAAATTCGTTAAGTCTTTAACTTTTAGATAGTGTTGCGACCGCTATTGATTACCAAAACCTCCATAGAAAAAATTTGGGTTCAATTACTAGGCCGTTAGTGGAAATTTTCATCCAAAGTGTGTTCTGCTGGATCGAAGTTTTGTTCATTCGAGATTTTGACCATTCGAGATTTTGTCATTCGAGATTCTGTCATTCGAGATTTTGTAAATTCGAGATTCTGATCGTTCGAGATTCTAATCATTCGAGATTCTGTTCATTCGAGATTCTGATCATTCGAGATTCTGATCATTCGAGATTCTAATCATTCGAGATTCTGTTCATTCGAGATTCTGATCATTCGAGATTCTGATCATTCGAGATTCTAATCATTCGAGATTTTGTCATTCGAGATTTTGTCATTCGAGATTTTGTAATTCGAGATTATGATTGGCAAGCCTTTTGAGTACGCGATTACATGCAAAATAACACACCTAAAAGCACAAGTTTTTTGCAGTGAAGGGTAAAAAGGTAGCTTGGTTTGCATTTTTGTCCGTCATGCCATCTTTAGATTTAATGTGCGTTTTATCGATGGCGCCACTATAAATCATAGCGGCAACCGGTAAAGTCAAAATCGGCTGGATTACCAGTCCTTGAAAACGACAAAAAGATATGCAGCTTGCTCTTACTTTGGCATCAGCATGCATCACAACAATGGATTTGTTCACCTGCGGCATAAAAGATGCGACATTCTAGGCCCTTACTAAAAGCACAGATCATCCCCGCATAGCTGACCTCCGGCCATGCACCACAGGGTAGTTTTCCCTGCAAAAACGGGCGTGAACTTGGAGATCCCAAGCGATAAAGGGGAGACGTGCAGAAACGGATACCGTACCAAATTTTTTGTGCGTCCTTATGTGACCCCAGTTCAGGGTATATAAGCTGAAGGCCTCGATGTTGGCACACGCCACTCAAGCTGCCTTCACTTCTCTTTTAAAAAAGCGGTTAAATTGATACTTTGCATTTACAATAATGCATCTCTTTCTATTTTATCTCTCTTCTGCTCTCTCTACCTCTATCTCTCTCTCTCTCTCTCTCTCTCTCTCTCTCTCTCACTCTCTTTCTGTCGCTTGCTTAAAGTTATCTGTTTCAGCATCACCATGCAGAAGCTGATCATCTTCACCCTCCTCGCTGTCGCCGCCCAGGCCTGCTTCCAGTCGAGCAGCAGCTGCGCACGTTTTTTAACCCGGAGCTTCGATTATAAAGTATTTTAACCTACTTTTCCTTTTTAGTGCAGCGCCCCCGCTCCCCAGTCCGCTTGCCCTCCACCACCCCAACCGTCTTGCGGATGTGGTGGCAGGAAAAAGCGGTAGAAGCCCTCCTCTTGAACATAAAATTTTTTTGCAGCTCGCTCGACCTGCCCCACTTCACGGAACTATCGGCCACCTCGGCTGACGAGCTTTGCAACAGTCCAAGGCTGAAGGCGCTTCTTCAAGAGGTACGGATGCCGCTCTTTCTCACTCTTTCTCTCTCGCTCCCCTTCTCCCCCTCTCTCTCACCCTCTCTTGATCTATAGCTTTACAAAAATTATTTCCAGAACATGTCCGATGACCTGAACACCGCCAAGACGTCGCTCGCCTCAGCTGCCGAGGGGTTGAACGAGAAATTCGTCATCGTCTGCTCGGCTGGTAAGGCATAAAATGGGAGAGAGAGGAAGATAGAGAGCGAGAGAGTGAGAAAGTGGGGGAGAGATCCAGAAAAATAAAAATAGTATTCTTAATGCAGCGCCCGTCTCCTTCGCCACCGCTCAGCAGATGGAATTCTGCAGCGCGCGTCGCGGTGACGTCTTCTGTGACATCTTCTCCGACTAAATTCCAGTTTTTTGGTTATATTGATTATTCCTAGGCATATCCATTAGTTTGATTTATGTATCTTAATCTATTGTGTGAAATAAATTATCTATCAGCAATTCCTTTTCAAGCCAAAATATACCCTAAATCCCCGGCTAAAAATTTCCGAGGGAACTACCTTCTAGCCTCAAATACCAAAAACCGCAAAGTCGCAGCTGTCCCAGGCGGTCAGGCTTAAAATTCAGGAACGGTTGTGTCGAAAAGACAGCTAAAGCGACAGTGTCCGGACCGGTCCAGATCGGGAGGGGAGAAGCCCTTTGCGTCCAGGCCTTAATCCGACGCCTCGGGCGCGCCAATCCCATAAGTCTGCCAAGGAGTCGCACTCCCCGGGCAGTTAGCCTTGAGGATTGGCAGATTTTCGAAGGGAGAGAGAGAGAGAGAAAGAGATAGGGAGAGAGGGTAGCCTTAATAGGTAGCCACGGGCTATATAAGGCATACCATCTTAAGAGGTGGAGTGCTACTGTACTTGTCTTTGTCTTTGCTACGCTACACTCCATGTTTGGTTTGCATATGGTTCCTTAAACGTACAGAGGCGTACGTTCATATTCCCCAAGCGAGTTTTCATAAAATTCTTGCTTTTTGGATAAATTTTTCTATAAAAAACTCAGCTTAAACTTAAACCTAAAAGTAACAAATATTTTCAAAAAAATGATACCATCACAGATTTTAGGGACATAAGCAGAGGAAAGTGGTTGCTACGAAGTATGATTCCCTGTTATAAGCGTTTCTTGAAATTCAACGCCCCGATGCGTAGCAAAATCGCAAATCCACTGCAGATACAAAACTTATGGCTTGTAGGATACCTAGGCAAGTGCAATCACGCTTACCTTAATGTATTGTATCGTACTACCTTTCTCGGTTGCATCTCTTTACTGTGCGATTCAATCCATTGACTTCTATAAGACCTCAGCTCTCATGCTGCGCTTTCTCTTCCTCCTGACGCTGCTCGGATTCACCTCGGCTTTCCTATTCGGAGTAGGAGGTGGAGGTGGATGTGGGAGTGGATGTGGCAATGGCTGCGGAAATGGTTGCGGTGGAGGATGCGGAAACAGCTGCGGTGGTAGTGGTGGATGTTGCTGCCAACAAGTCGCCACCGTGCAGCAGAATTGCTGTTGCCAGCAAAGTGGATGTGGGTTTAGAGGTTGGCTTTTGTCAGAAAACGGGCGGAGGGAGAGAGAGCGAGAGAGAGAGAAAGAGAGAGAGAAATTAAGTTAGAGAGAGTGAGCAGGGGCGAGAATCATACAGTTTTCAGGCGCCACTACCAGCTACGCCCAGCCAATGCTTTACCCGGCGCAAATGACTGATGGCAGCTATGCGACGTATGGCAGAAAGAAGCGATCGGTGAATGGTAAGATATCCTTTGATAAATTTTTAGCTTTTAGGCAATTTTAGAAATTTGCAGTTCTTTTGCTTTTTTTTTGTTTTGCAGCCCAGAATTTAGCTACTTCTCGCCTTGATGGCACAACTGAAGATGAGCTGTGCAACTCCATCCGGCTGAAGAGAATTTTGAAAACGGTATCAATGAGGTTGAAACTAAAAACCCGTCTTTTTTGTAGAATCTACGCAAAAACTTGGCGAAATCGAGGGAGAGCGTTGTGAAGGCGTTGGCTGATGACAGTTTCATGGTTTTGTGCGCAAGTAGGTTTCCAGAGTTCTCGCTCTTTCTGTTTGTCTCGCTCTCCCTCTCTCACTCTTTCGCTCTTCCTCTCTCGTTCACGCTCTTTCTCCCATAAAACTTTTTCTTAATTTTTTAGTGTCGCCGGTCAGCTTCTCGCTGGGCCGCCATGATGAATATTGCGCCCTCGAGAGGCATGGAATTTTTTGCCAAGTTGCCAAATTTACTGTTTAACTTTATTTTTGCTAAATAAACTGACTTCCTTCACCCCTTCGAATAATATTACCTCAGAAAAATACCTATTGGTTATGCGACAAACAATCTTGCGTTAACGATAATTCCAGGCTCCGAAAACGAACAGTTAACAACATTATAATAACATAACATTATAATCCGCGCTACCAGTTGCCGCGACGGTGTCAAGCCAAACCCAGACCTTGCCGCCTCCAGTCCCGTAGAGAGTGAGAGAGAGAGAGCGAGAGAGCGAGAGAGATAGGGAGAGAGAGAGCGAGGTAGAGAGAGCGAGAGAGAGACGACGGGAACAAACTCCCGGCTCGTTGAGACAAAACCGGCATTGGCCGGGGTGTTCTCGGCTTATGCTGACTCGAGAAAGGGCTAATCGCTCAACCGGTAATCTAGGTCTCGGCTAGGACAGGCTTATCCCAGGCGATATCCCTATAAATGCCCCAAGTCGCCGCTGACATACCTGATCATCATGCAATCCCTGATCCTACTCGCACTCCTGGCCGGCAGCGCCATCGCCTGTATTATGCCTCAAGCAAGTGGGTGTTCGGTCTTAAGTGTCCATTTGCCACGTATTTTACTATTCTTTTTCCAGGCTGCGGAGGTGGAGGAGGCGGATGCTGTGGAGGCGGAGGCGGTGGTGGAGGCGGAGGGGGCTGCTGCTGTCAGCCGCCTCCTCAAGCTTGCTGCTGTCCTCCCCCACCGCAGCCATGTTGTTGCTGCCCACCACCGCCTCAACCCTGTTGCCCACCACCGCCATGCTGTGGCGGAGGAGGAGGCGGATGTGGAGGGGGATGTAAGCTTTTGAATTGTTGAGCATGGCTTTTCTAGGTCGTAAAAAGAGGGAAGCGATTGAATCCGGGGACCCGAACTCGCTGGATGGTATTGATTTTTTTTAGGACCAGGCAATTTGCGAAATTCTAGAATTTGTCTTCGGATCGACGGGCGACGCGCTGTGCAACTCTGCCCGGCTAAGGAAGATTTTGAATGAGGTGGGAAATGTCTTGACCAAACGAAGCCTAAGCCTAAGTCTAAGGCTAGGCCTAAAGCCTCAGCTTACGCGTCAGTCCAAGCCTAGGCCTAGGCCCAAGCCTGCCTTAAAAGACTAAGGCGAGTAGTCAGAATCCTCAAGAATCTATACTAGCTTGCTGACGAGTTTTCCGACATTCTATAGTTTTTAAAATGGGGAAGCCAGAAGTCCTTTAGCATTCCCCTGATTCTCCCTGATTTCAGAATATGCGCCCCAACCCCACCGAGTCGAAAGAGCGGATTGTGGAAGCCGCTGGAACCAATTTTGCCGCTGTCGTCTGCTCAGAAAAGTTAGAAATTCTAGAAAATCGTTGAAAATAGCTTAATTCTGCAGCTCGCTCCTTGTGTCGATGCCCAAATCGGGTGAATTCTGCTCGGCGTCGCTGGAGGGAACAGTGTGTCAAATTTTCGGGTGAAGCCGCGCCATCGTGACCATTGACAATTTCTTTGCTATCCCGGGGGTTCTCACCTAATGAACGAACATTTGTATAAAATTTCCTGATAATGAAGTGCAATAATTTTGTTTTAAACTTTATTAAAAAAATCAAAATTATTGGAATGCGATTAGATTAAATTTGTTTGGAAGCCGGCTTGGAAACTAATTTTAACCAACTAAACTAACCAATTTCCAGGCTGAATAAATATTACAGGTATTCTAAATCTAAACTATCCATTTTGCAATTTTTTCGGCGTTTTTCGTTGGGATGCCAAAGACAGGAATCCGATGAAGAAACTGAAATGAGTCTTTCCGGTCGCTTCCAGTCGGGTCTAGCCTAAAAAAGGAAAACTCATAATGTGGGCCCCGGAAGATTGATATTTGTGCGGACGGGTCCGGGGAGGGGATGGGGTTCTTCTTTTCTCAAAGCTGTCGATTTGTCCCGACGGCTTCTTCTGCTTCCTCTTCACAAATTTCAAAGGTCCTGGCATTTATTTAACGCAAAAACTGGTGCGCTAGACGCTGCGGCAGCTTCCAAACCAAGCGGAAACGCCTGTTGTTAGCGTTTTTAAGTTAATTCGCTCGTGATATATTGTTTTTGTCTTGCGTTTTTAGTTTACAAACTTTGGGATTTTGGAAACATCACAAAAACTCTCTTAAACCCTAGAAAATTGATTTTCTCGCCCAACCGTCATAATTATTTTGGTTTGAATTTTCATTACTGTAGGGTAAAAAATATTTTGTGTTGAAATATCCCTAATTTGGGCCATCCAGAAAGAGTACTGGCGATACCCTTTAAACACCTAAGCGGCAGGCTCCAAGCCTACGATGCAAAAATCACGATGGTTCTTTTGCTGCGCTATCATCGATTCCTTACGATACGACCCTCGCTTTCAACCCATCAAATCAGATTTCCTAAATATCGTGCGCAAGGCTCCACCTGCCCTGAACTGGCCTCAAAAAATGAACCCCAGGCCGCAAGCTTCCGGAATCGAGACGCGGTTGGCCGATGAGAGTGCCATATTTTATTCATCCCAGGGGTGGACCCCCACCCGCCAGCTTCATGATCGATGTGCGTTTATTGCGGTGCCATTGGGGGCGCCCGCCGATTTGTGAGAGATAGACGGTGCTCCCGGAAATTAGCGAGTTGGGCACGCCCATTTGCCAGTCCTTTGGGGGCTAATTTTTGCTACGTTTTCGACTTGATTCTCAGAATTTTGCATTTTTTTACTTAGTGACAGTGTCCTTGCCGATTCTGCATCCGTGAAGCATAAATTGATCATTGTCGTCCGATTTTGAACTGAGAAATTTGTGCCCCGGCTTTTACATCGAGCAGATCTACCTGCCTGACAACGAGTCATAGACGATGATTGCATATACTGTTGATATTACTATGCTGTGATTTTGAAGTTATTCAAAAAATAAAAAGTAACAAAAACTATATCCCCGTCAACCTATGTTTTCGGATAGCGCCCCAAAAACGCCCTTAAAATTCCTAAAAATTGCTTCAAACAATTATAAAAAGGACTATTTGACGATTTAGAAGCACAATTAAATTCTAATCGAACGACTCATTTTGTCGACATCGATTTCAACCTTTCCATTCCTGACCTTAGCGTCTAATTCTTTGTAATTTGTTGTTTGTTCTCTTCGCCGCCTTTTTGACCCTTTAATTAGTGGCCGCCATTTGTCTTGTTCACGCCGCGGCTTTTCTAGCGGCATTTCTAGGGAGCACCATCCTTGCCACCCTAATTTCAGATGCCCCAGATACTGGCCGTGTACGCGGCACTGCTAGCGTTGGGCACGTTCCGCTTCGCAGAGGCTCTAGAATGCTACCTTGACGTCAACACGCAAACGTTTCATTCGACAATGGCAAGACGTAGCTCAGGCTTAGGCTTAGGCTTAGGTTTAGGCTGCTTAGGCTTAGGCTTAGGCTTAGGCTTGGCTTCGGCTTAGGCTTAGGCTTAGGCTTATGCTTAGTTAGGTCGTGCTTAAGCTTAGGCTTAGCCTTCGGCTTATGATGACCAATTTCAGCGCCAGAAAACCATGTGCGAGACAGGGTGCCAGTACTGCTTCAAGTCGGTGGCCAGGGTGGGTAATTTGAACCGCTCATTTTTGTTCCAATCCAGGAAGATGACATCGTGGCGGCCAGTTGGGGGTGCGGGTGCAGCAAGAAGATGCGAATCCCGTTGTGTGGTGTGAGTGTTTTGGATGGGAAACTTACGTTTCTGAATCATTAAAGGGGAGGAAAGCCCCAAGATCGAGCCCTTTTGGTGACTAGGCCTCGACAACCTGGATATACTCAAAAGCCGGGCAAGCATGAGGCGAAAATTCAGAACTAAAAAGTTAAAATCCGCGTCTTCCTGGCGTGTCGTGTCCAGACCTAGTGTAGATAGGAGGTCGATTTGCACACTTGCTGGGCCCCTTTAGCTCTTTTTCTTGCCAATATCTTGGAAACACCTGAACAAAAATGAACCAATTTAGACGCCCGGAAAGCGAATAATCCACGGCCGAAGCCAGCTTCGAACAGAGTTGGATTGCTGTGAGGGCAGTTTGTGCAATGGTTCGACTCGGAATTTCAGCTTTAATTTTGCCATATACTCTTCAATTTTCACCTTAATTTATTGTAAATTTTTGCATTAAGTTCGAACATTTACATTTTCCTCAATTGCTATCCTCAAAACCATTGCTAGTTGTTTTCACAGGTCTGTCATATAGGTATAGTTTTTGGGTCATTTTCTCTCATTTTCTTGCTAAATTTTTAGCATTTCGAAATTATATTTATTTGCCGACTTTGTAAATGAATTGTGTTTGTCGATAGTAAATTTGCGTATTGCTCTTCATTTCTTCCACGCCAAATAAATGCTCTGGTTCGATTTGCGGATTTTCATCTGCCGCATGTGGTTGAGGCGGACGTCCCGGATGGCAGTTTCGAGTCGTGAGATGAGAATAGGTTTTGGCGGGATGTCGGTTTTGGTGCAAACCGTTAGGACTTCTTCCTAAAAAATGGATGATTTTTTGAAACTGGAGTTACATTAAATTTTTTCGGATTTTAAAGGAATTTCAGCAAGACCTTTTTGGAGATTTTAACTAGATCGAAAGAGGTAGAAAATCTTTATCAAATTTGAATTCAGTTTCTAGGTTGGTTCAATGTCTTTAAATATTATATAAATCACTAAGCCTAAGCCTAAGCCTGAGCTTTTGCTCTTAAAAAAACGTACCGCAATCCTCGCTTCAAAAACAAAGCAGCTTGGAAAATACGCTTCGAGTTGCTTGGTCAACTAAAATTAGGTAAAAATACCGGGGTTGATTAGCACCTGAAAAACCGCTGCGCGACCCTTCTCCTTATAAACATTGTGCATGGAAATTGAGATCGTTCCTGTAAGTGCATTGCGAAAAATTAGAAAATAGATTTACCTCCCGGTTTGACCATATCTTGGAGGTCAGAGAAAATTAGACGGTCGCCTAGAGAGACATCTTTACGGCATAAGTCAAGGGAGCAGGCGTCAACAAGGATGTATGTGGATTTTTTGCCTGAAATGTTTGTTGACACGAAGAGAGGGAGAGAACGAGAGAGAGAGAGAGAGAGAGAGAGAGAGAGAGAGAGAGCAAGAAGCCAACCTCTTCGCCTTGAATCAGCAATATAATCGATAATATCCGCCTCCAATACCCGAGTCCGATTATCAGTAGGCTGGTTGAACCATCTAAACATAAAAATAGTTAAAATATTCATTAATTTACAAAATCAATAAGTGTTAATAATTTCATAAAAATAAACCTTTAAGAAGTTATACCTCTCATGAAGCCCGGCTACGACGTGGTCCCTATTAACAAGTTGAATTTGAAGGAATGGGAGTCGGGAGCGATAGAGCATCGAAACGGCCGTCCCGCCGAGATCCAAGAAATCGTTAGTCACTTTTCTAAAGATATTCTACATTATCTCTCTCTCTTTCTCTCTCTCTCTTTCCCTCTCTCTCTCTCTCTATCTCTCTCTCGCTCTCTCGAAACTTACAATGGTGGCAGCGAAAATGATCCAAACAAAAATGGCGGCATCATAGCGAGCCCATGAAAGTCTGACTTGGAGTCCAACGTTTCTAGCGGCCAACTTCTGGTTTCCGGATTTGCTAAAAAACAAAAATACTATTTCTTGAAGTACGCAAACTTACGCATTACTTTCAAAGTGACGGTAGAGATCAAGCGCTCCCCGGGCTGCTCGTAGAGGTATCGGGCAGCATGCGTTTGGTCTCGGAATCTTCTGGAAATAGAAAATGGGTGAGAACGCGAAGGCTAAGCTTAGGCCTAAGCCTAATCTTCAGCCTAAGCCTAAGCCTAAGCCAAGCCTAAGTCTAAGCCTACGCCTATGCTTAGCATATCCTACCTTGTCCAAACATGATCAATCACCGCATAACAATGCCCGGTTTTTGCAGTGCACTGCTCTTCTATGACGGTTTTCTAAAACGTGCTCGATAAAGTACGACCCAACAATCAAGGCGTACCCTTTCGTATACATTTTCAAAAAGTGGAAGCCGCTTGTGAAAGAACACGACCTGAAACCATTTTCTGAAAGTTCCCTAGGCTTACCAAATTGATGCTCAGAATAACAATCGCCACGGTGGTGGCCGTGCAGAATATTGTGATGTGCCAGCACTGCATATTTTGATATGGCTACATCAAGTATGGTTTCTGAAAAGATGATACTTCGGAGAGAGAGTTTCAGAAAGAGAGAGAGAGAGAGAGAGAGAGAGAGAGAGTGAGTGAAATAGAGAGAGGGAGAGAGAGAGAGTGAGAGAGAGAGAGAGAGAGAGAGAGAGAGGGTGAGAAAACGGGAAAGAAGGTGAGCGTTAAGCACGAGAATTCGTAGCAACGCCTACAAACAATGAAACCTGGAGGAATACACTTGAGGAGTGAAAAATTGGTTTAGCAGGACTGGCCGATATCTGGGCCCCTCCCCCGGGCCGGACCAACTTCCGGAGCAGAAAATTCTAGAAAACCATGGTTTCAGGAATTTTTCTCATTTTTTATAGGAATACTACAGAAAAACCCAGACCCATAAGAATGTCGACACATAAAATCGCAACTCAAACAAATATCGACACCTCAGAACGCCTACAGTATTCCCTCGATTTTGCAGGTTTCTGGTGAAGCAAAGAATTTTCAAATGGCCCAGAGCCTACTTTAATCAAGAAGCGTGAAAATGTCAGAGTACCGAAAGTTCCAGAAAGTTCCAAATATTTTTGGCTTTTTTGGTAGCTTTTTAGGGGTCGGTATTTTTAGAAAACGGACAAAAAAGCAACCGTTGAAAGAAACGGGGCCGGAGTTTATTGCTCCAATTTTCAGTGAGACAACTAAAATTCACTAGTTTTTATTATCCGGCTTAAACACCATGAACATGATTTTGGGCGAGGGTGGGTGGTATGGAGTAGCCCCTCCCAGGTGGAGGACCACCGGAAAAAGCAGCTGTTTGTCCGTGATTTATTAGCTCGAGTGATCAAAAGAGGGGGGGGATGGATCGAAGGGAGACACCGGGGAGTAGGGATCATAAAATGAGCACGAGCCCATGTCCTGGGCCAGATTTCGAGAAAAACCGGAAATTTGGGGTTGTTGGACCCTCTAAATGCTTTGTTTATAATTTCTTTGGGGTGCTTTGGAAGGGGGTTAATGGCTTTTGGGGCTCCGGAAAGCGGAAAGGGCATAATTGCTTTGTGAGAAATGTTCATCCTTTTCTCCACGCACTTAAAATTCTATTAAAATGAAAACTGAGACAAGTTAAAATTTCGAAACCTGCTTTTAAAAATTTGAAACTTGACATGCTTCAAAAAATCCATTTTCAACCGGCCTCAGTTCGTGCTCTAGAATCGAAATTTGCAGAATTCCATCCCTTAAATTCCAGAATTAAAAAATTCTACGTTTCTTAAAGTACAAGAATTCCAAAAATTGAAGAAAAAAACAATCTCACCCTGAAAAAACCCGCAAAAAACTTTCAAAAACCTAGAGAGCCCAAATTGCAGGTGTGCCAACTGCAAGACGCGTGCCTTTTCCGGACTCGGCTTGGTGAAAGGGCCAAATTTTCCGCCCGAAAGGAGATTCTCCTTGCAAGGAGGGCCAGAGGCGGCTTGGGACCCACCGGTGGGTCGGGTCCAAGGGCCCAGGTTGGCCCTCTATCTCCCCTGAAGGCCAATTTTATGGGGGTGGGACAACTCCGATCCAAAGGGCATTCCCCGAATGTAGAAACGGAGAGGTATTCCGGATTCTGCATAGACTTAGTCTTCAGTTAGTCTGCAGCCCAAGCTTCAGCTTACGCTTAGGCTTAGAGGCTTCGGCTTTGGCTTAGGCTGAGACTCAGGCTGCCGCTTAGGATTAGGAATAGACTGAGGCTTTGGCTTAGGCTTAGGCTTAGGCTTAGGCTTAGGCTTAGGCTTAGGCTTAGGCTTAGGCTTAGGCTTAGGCTTAGGCTTAGGCTTAGGCTTAGGCTTAGGCTTAGGCTTAGGCTTAGGCTTAGGCTTAGGCTTAGGCTTAGGCTTAGGCTTAGGCTTAGATTTAGGCTTAGGCTTAGGCCCGGGCTGCTTACATTTCGACACTCAATCAACAACCTTTATTCAAATTTACTCGAATTCCCCTTGGCTTCTATGAACTTCCGGAAGTTGTTCCGATGGTGCAGCTTCTTAGGCAAAAAGTCGAGATTTGAGGCGCCAGAAGTCGTGGTATTTTGACGAGGTGCAAATTCCGGAAATGGATATTCCAGCCTCACAAAATCTTGATAGTAAATTTCCGTCAATTTTCGGAGCGTATCGCAGTTGGAGTAGATCTCAGAGGTCACGTGGTCGCGTAGACTACTGTAGACGGGAGGTAGGCCGTTGATTTTTGTAGTTTGAAGTCGGGAGATTGCCTATAAAGCATCGGATAGAGAGAAAGAGGGTGCGAGAGAGAGCGAGAAAGGATGAGAGAGGGATAGGGCGAGAGATAGAGAGAGCAACATATCCTAAAGTATACCTTATCGACAATCATTGCAGGCATTCCTGCTTCCAAAAAATAATCCTTCAGCTCCGCAAAAACATCACTTTCGATCCGGATATTCCGCATTGTCTCTGGGACACAGTACCTTGAACAAAAAAAAGATAAGTTTTCGTTGGGCTAATTACCATGTCTGCAATCCCAAATGATGCGCCATAAAGTCTCCATATTTTCCGGGGAGTTTCGGCTCCTCCCCGTCCTTGTTGAACTCGTCGTAGAGGAATTCGACAAATTTGTGTACCGATGCTTGATGGGTTTCTTCGCAAACGTCGAGTTTTCTGAATGAGGAAATGCCCTCTGGAGCTGAGATTAGCTAAAAAAATCCCTGCGCGTTTCACGTAATTTCGGCACTTCTAGGAATGGTTGATTTTCCAGGCGTCGCATCCACGTTAAAAGGATCGTACCGGCTGCCAAAAAAGGGAAAAAAGCGCTGAATTGGACTGAACGCGCGTCACTGGATCTGCGCTTCCTCTTGTATCTCATTAATGCGCACCAACGTCGATAAGGGCTTTTTTTGGCGCGCACCATCTGCCACCTTCGACGTTTTTAACGCGGTTAAGTTAGAATATGAAGATTACATGCACAACATCATATACGCCGAGACGAAGCGATCGATAGGCTCGCGAGAAATAAAGACAGGTGGCACGTTCAGCTCGGATTCTGGCACGATTTTTTTTGTTTCCATGTTGCAAAACCTAAAAAAAAGGATTTCAACGATTTACTGGGTTCTTCTTACTTATCGTTTTCAGTGCCCAATTCCATAGCGCCATGATAGAGCTTGAATAGATCACAAATTAGTCTCATCATCATGCTGGACATATTCTTACGCACCAAGCAATATCGAAAGCCGAGACCGCCGTTGTTGGCGGCTCTCTGAAATACGGGTGATATCTCTCTCTGTCTCTCGCTCTCTCTCTTCCTCGCTCTCTCTCTCTCTCTTTCTCGCTCTCTCTCTCTCTCGCTCCCTCTCTTTCTTACTTTAAGCATGGCCAGCTCTCTCCAAAAATCATCCCGTATTCGGATTTGTCTGTCTTCCAAACTCGAGCCAACTGTGCAATTTTCAGATGCAAATGTTTTAGAGAATAAGCAGCAAAATAATACAATATAACGTGTCAAGAATAGCATCCTGGTAGTGATCCGTAATGCAAGGCGGCAACTTTCCTTTTATGGCAGCGCTGGCAGACCGGTTGGGCAAGCGGCTAAACGGCTAAGGATGGCTACTTGACAGGGTGCTTTTTAGGCTTTTCCTGGCCCGGCTTTCACCCCACCCGGATCCCTCGGATTTGCATACGTTCCTAGGGTGTTTGTAGTCAGAAAAAAATGCTCAGAGAATTTTCTCCTGATAGGAAATTCAAATTTTTGTCGCTCGACTTCCGGAATGAAAAGAGCTTGTGTTTTTGAAGTGCAGTAGCCGTCTCAATGCATAGTGTAACGTTTAGTCCTTTTTAAAATTTATGCAAATTGGTAGATCAACGGGAAAAAATGGTAAGATGGTAAGCAGTTTAAAGCGAGAGAGCGAGAGAGAGAGAACGTGAGAGAGAGAGAGAGATCAAACAGATGCATAACAAGCTCAAGCCATCTCGATCAGATCCTTCTTTTGGTATGCGGCGATGTGAACTTTCACGGGGCTACCAGGTAGAGAGCGTGCAGGTTCAGGCTTTTGCCTTCGAGTGCGGATGGTCAGGAAAATGATGATCATGATAGAGGTGAACGTCATGCTGCATAGAACGATCATCATTAGAATCCAAGCTAGGCGCTCCTGAAAGTTGGGATTCATCGTTGTATATTGTATTGGTAGAGCATCCCACTCCGTCTGTAGCTCTCTCTTTGTCTCTCTCGCTCTCTCGCTCTCTCTCTCTCTCTGATCACCAACCCGCTTCACTTCAGCCTCCGCCTGATAGAGATCCTGTCGAATGTCGGCAAGCTCATAAGCCGGATAGGCCGGCAAATCGGGACGGGGAAATATCGGGATTTTAGACATCAGATCTTCCATCGGCACCTCGTCCTAAAAATTCATAGTTTAGTTAGGTATCATCTAATTTTTCAATTCTTTTCATCCAGGATTTTATTATTAAGAATTTTCGCCTACAGCTTTCCCCTTCATGTATGCCACAATGTAGCGCTCGGTCTGGCTCTTGAAATGCTCCTTGAGGTCCTCGGGGAGGAGATTCAGATCGGGCATCTCGTTGTTGCGCAGGCTCTGAAAATTCTTCATGAAGTCGCAAAAGCATAAGGCTAGCCCTAAACCTAAGCCGAAGCCGAAGCCTAAGCCGAAGCGTAAGCCGAAGTCTAAGCCTAAGCCCAAGCCCATTCTTGGGTCAAAACATACCCTCACGACAGAATACGGGATATTCGTCAGCGGATACCCCTCGGGCAGCAGTTGCACCTTCGGCGCCGGAGTCAGAGGAGCCGTCACGTTATAGTATTCCTAATTTGAGCATGATTTTTGATCGATGTAACTCACCCATAGCTGCTTGGTCTTGTCGAAGTCAAGGCCAGGTAGGTATTTCCCGGCATTGGCAATGGCGAGCATTTGACTGGGAAGTTGGTCGAGTGGTGGCAAGATGCTTGGGTTGGGCTTCCAGGAGTAGAGGTTGACGTACTGAAAGCATAGACTTAGGTTCGGCTTGGCTTAGGCTTAGGCTTGGGCCAAGGCCTAAATCCTCACATATGCCTCGTCTGCCATGGTATCTAGCTGTTCTCGCAGTTGTCTCTCCGAGGCAGGATTTTTGCGCGTCTCGAAGAGTTCCCGAAGTCGGACTCCATAATCCTAAAAACAGGTAATCTTGGTAAGCTTCATCTCTTCCTCAGTCTCGCTCGCTCTCTCTCTTTCCTTCTCTGCCTTTCGTACACACACGCTCTCTTTCTTTCTCTCTCTCTCTCTCTCTCTCTCTCTCTCTCTCTCTCTCTCTTCCTGAAGATTCCTCAAGCCTAACTCACCGGTAGTATCGTTGTAGTCGGCGGTTCGACAGCAGCTTCAACCGTTTCAGCAAAAGACTCAATCCCAGAGCCCTCGAGCTCCTCGCTGCATTGGCAGGAGGCGTAGAGAGCCAAGACGAAAATCAGCGTTAATTCGCGCATCGAGTAATGCTGCGAAAAAAAAACAGGAGAATTGGTTAGACCGGACCAAATTAAGCGCGACGGTCAGACCAAAAATGACGCAGGCAACGCCCGGCTTGGCCAGGACCAAAAAGACACCTCGCATGGCCGGGTGCAACGGTTGCCGGCGGCAAGTCGACACCTGAGGATATGCCCTGGGTCACATTTGCGGTTCGTGTGAAACCATGGCGCTGACAGATTAGGGACAAGATTGGTACGATACCTTAATAGAGAAGAAAAGAATCGAGATTCAATTTAGAGTAGCAGTGGGTCTTCGGTAGTGTAACTCCGAAGTCTCTTAGAAGTCAGAGAACGCCAATGGGACGTAGAGAGAAAGAGAGAGTAAGAGAGAGCAGGAGAGAGAAAGAATAGATAAAAACCGTATTTTGCCATTCAGACTTGTGAAAAAGAACATTACAAACAACGAACCGGACAAACCGGAAATTACAACGTAATTTTTTGAACTTCAGACTTTTAAAGATCCATTTTTCCTATTCAAGAACGTAAGCTCAAAAGAATTTTTTTTGAAAAAATTAATTTGCGGAAATCCACGTTGTGGACAAAAACCGTGAAGCAAAGATTAAGAAACGGTACGGTGTTCCCTCCAGAATTCAGTGTTTTTGTGCTATTCTGCATTTTCCAAAATCGTATTCGACACGCTTTATTCGACGATTTGACGCACAAATAATTATTCAAGGAAATTCACATCCGCAAAAAGGCAAGGCACCGATCATCGCAAGTGGAGTATGGGTATGTGATTTTTATAGCGGGTGATGAAAGAACGGGTACACGAATCGATCAAAATTCTGGAGTTAACTTATTGTATTTTGGGCATAAATCCAAGTATGGAAAAAATACAGTAAATTTTACAAGGGACACATAAAAAACAAAAAAAAATACTAATCAGTTTCTAGAAGCTCGACCGGGGGAAAAATATTTACAATTGAGCGCCACATGGTGGGACGGGTACGTTACCGTACGCTACGCTGGGATACAGCGCCATACGGTAGCACAATTCGCAAAAAGGACAAGTAATCATTCAGAAAGGCACAAAAACTTTGACTGGAGCGGCTTGGGAGATGCAATAAAGTTCGACAGCAAACATTGGATAAATAGACAAAAAAGTACGAATCAAAAAGTTATGCGCTCTCGTCGAAACGTACAATTTGCTTCGGAGAGACGGGGCGGGATTGGGTCTGCGAGCTGCGTCTGAAATGGCATTGATAATTTAATTTTTAAAAAAAGGAACAGCTTAGGCTTAGAGTTCGGTAGGCTCAGGCGTAGGCTTCGGCTTAGACGTCGGCTTAGGTATCCCACCTGCTTGATCCCCTCCTCGTCACAATCGAGCCCTCGGGACCTTCGATGACAATAGTTGGGACGAGAATGCTCCTTGGTCTAGCCACGTCCTCCTCCGCCTCGACGATCTGCTCCTCGACGTTCTGCTCTAAGGAGAGGATGACGAACTCGTCGGGCAGCTCGTCGGCTGAGTGCAGGTTCTGAAGGAAGAATAGGTTTCCAAAGAATTCATACGTCTGGTCTAGGTTTTTGTCAAAAACTACCTCAACAACTTCGGCGTGGTCAAGAATCTCCTGCAGCTCGTCGCAAGAATCCGATGGAATTGGTGGCCGATCGGGGCAGAGAAGGGAGGAGGGCTTCTCTTCTTCTTTTTCGACGTCCAAGCTGTCCTCTTTCTTCTGGACTTTGGCTCGGATTCTGTCGCGAGCTTCCTTCATTCGAGATTCCTAAAACAAGCGTATTTTTGAGAGAATAAGAGAAATATAGAGAGAGGGAGAGAGAGAGAGCAGCGCGAAATAGAGAGAAATTGCTGACCTTGCTCGTCTCTGCGCACTCCGAAGGCCTCCTAGATTCCCGATCGGAACCGTCCCGATTCGGCGAGGCATCGCTGCGGAAGCTTCTCGACCTCGCGCTACTGCACCTACTCCCCGTACTTCTTCGCCTCGAGTAGAACTGGTCGATGACGTAGTTTTCGAGACGGACAACCTGGAAATACGAACGTTTCAGGAAATTGAGCACGACTTTTTTGGCTTCAAAAGGTTGAACCTCGAAAACGAGAAACACAGGTCATGCTCACCTTATCGATCGAATTTGCATACTGGATCTCGGAGAGGACCTTGAAGTCAAAGTTGTCGCCGTCGGAGAGCAGGTCACGGAAGTAGACGATCGTCAGATCATCCTGAAAAAATCGGTTGGAATTTTGCCGGAAACTAGCTTATTCCTAAGCCTGAGCATGAGCTTCAGGGTCTGAGCTTGAGCGCAAGCCTTATTCATAATTTTCGATTCCTTTTTCCTCCATTTTCCCCGAAAACTCGTCGCCAGGTCGTAATCCCCCATTTCGACTTTTCTTTTTGATGTGCCGTGTGCCTTGCGGGAGAGAGAGAGAGAGAAAGTAAGATAGAGAGAGGGAGAGCGAGAGATAGAGCGAGATGCTCTTAAATGTCCTCCTCCTGAAAGCAAGCCCCAGCAGTTGTTGTGCCCTGACGGCCCGAAACGACTCGTGATCCCGCACTCATCTTTGAAAGTCGAACCCTCAAAACCTGGGACGCACGCACGGGCGTTGTTCGTGCCGGGGGGATAAACGCGAGGCGAGCAAGATGGGCAAAAAGTTAATGGGAGGTTGAATGGATGCGATGTCTGAGCACCTCGACCTGCGGGAGGCCCAGATGGATACTAGGAGAATGGGGTTCGTGGACAAGGAAACGGCTGCGTTGAGGTGATAGGCCTGAACGTTTCCATCTTGACGTCGCGCTAGCTCTTTAACCTTGCTTGCACCGAGGCAGATTTAGGGATGGAAAAAATGCGAGTAACCGCTTTGTGAGAGTCTGGCTCAAAGTGGGTCGTAAGGCTAGTTTTCTCTACGCCTAAGCTTCAGCTTAAGCCTAAGCCTAAGCCTAACCCTAACCTGGGCCTGGGCCTAAGCGTAATTGTAAGCATAAACTTGTCCTTAAGACGCAGCAGAAGCCGAGTTTGTCGAATTTTGTTAAACTTCTGCCCCCGTTCATAACCCCTACCCGAAAATCCCTGATCTTTCAACACTCCAAGTCCATGCCAACTTTTAGGAATTCACCAGCTGACCTTCGGGGGAAACCCACGGTTGCCTAAAATAACACGGCTCTGGAATGTCGAGAATTCCATCCGAGGTCAACACGGTTCTGCCTTCAGTCAATTCATCAAATCGAGTCTCGAAATCTCGCTCTCTCTCACTCGTCTCTCCCTCTGCCCGTATGTAGGAGGTCCAGTCGGGCTGACCCTCACCTCCAAAAACAGCAACAGCTGCACGGTGAGGCCCCAAAGAAAAAAGGGTGATATGAATTACCCCAGTCATTTCGAGGATATCTCAGCTGCCCCAGTCACAGTTGCACGTTCCCTTGCAAAAGTCAAAAGCATGGCGAGCGAGAGATAGAGAGACATTTCCGGAAGGTCCCCTTGACGCAATTGTGCCCTGGGGCTATGTCCTCGGCTTGAAGACTGGTGTCGCTCTGCGAAAGTTGCGTAACCGGTGACGATTGTCTTTTATGTAATGGGTGCTAGCGACTAGAGCTGTTGGGAATAATGGGTTTTTTGTTTTCGGGATATTGGTGAAAATCAGAAATGCTGTTACGTGGGATGTAATGGGTATGGGAATGGTGTTAACGGCGTTGTTTTGAGAACCAAAGATTTTGTCGTTAAAATTTTTTGATGCTTGACCGAATGGCGCAACAAAAATCCCTACGAAATAACGGAGATGTCCAAAAATCACTAAAAAAGTGCTGAGGTCTGGGGGAACGAGCATAGATGCTTTGAGAGGAAATGCGCGAAATTTTCTGGTAGGCTAGACGGGTGATCTGCCGAAAGGCTAATTCTGAAGCACAGCTTTTCAAAAATTGTATGAATTCATACATTAACTATGGCTTTAAAACTCACCGGTACTTCCCCAAATCGCGTGCACAACACGGCAAAATCGTAGAAGACTCGCAAGCGTGATGGGTGGGTCGGTCGACGCCAAATCCGGCGGCCCATCAGGAAAATTTCCGCGTACTCGCGTTTCACCTAATAATAATAATATTTTTTTTTTACCTAAAAACGCGAATATTCACAACAACCATAAAAGAAGAAAATTCGAAATTCGTGCAAAAATGACCGTACCTCCTCCCAATGCCGTTTTCTCTCCTCGGCATCTTTTAACAAGGGCGCGAGTCGGTAGTAGCAGGCGTGCAGGGCGGAGGCGTACCTGGAAAAGTTCAAAAATTGGATCAGGGACTATTAACTTTTATTTAGTTATGATTAGGGTTTTCCAGCCATGCGGCAACTATTTTTAAGGACCTAAGAAGAGGTCAACTGAGCCCCTCCACTTGCTGGCTCCTTTAAAGGTCTAACGAAGTGCCAAAATATACCTCTCCCACACCTTGGTCACCTTGAAAACTACATTACACTACAAAAGACGCATGAAGTATGATCTAATTTGCAGGAATTCATGGCCAGGCTGAACGCGTTTTGGAGCATCTCGTAGCTCTCTAGACCTAGCCGATGGAGAGGGTCAATTTTTTTAGCTTCTTTGCATTTTTAGAAAAGCTTCGGCAGGGCTTAAGCCCGGTCAGCTATCGGCTCCCCAACCCACCAAGCCAGGTAGCAAAATTTCTTCTGGATCTTCTGCAACCGGTTGATCCAATCGTGGCACAGCTTCCGGCGCTCTTCCGGGGTGCCCTCCTCAGGGTCGGAGTACTGCAAAAGCCACTTGGCACTTGAAGTGGATGAATGTTTTGAGTTACCGATTATTCAAAATTTGCTAAAATTTTTACCCTGCACATACCTGAAATCTGAAGAGGTCATTTGCTGTCCAGTCATCGCCCTTCTTCCGCAATCGCTCCAGCTCGTTGGTCGGGGTGCGCTTCAGGTTGGCGGTAGCTTTTCGAAGCTTTTTGTCTGAAAAAATATAGATAGGCGGATACGAAGCTTCGCTAAGGCTTATAGGCTTGACTAGTAGACTTATGTTCCGGCTTAGACTTAGGCTTCGCTTTTTAGGCTTAGCGTTTGCCTTAGTCCAGCTTAGGCTTCGCCCAGCCTAAAAAATTTTTTTAGGCTTAGCTCTTGGCTTAGTCCAGCTTAAGCTTAGGCCCAGGCTCAGTCATGAGCATAGCGTTAGGGTCATGCTTTGGCTTAGCTTAGTCTCAGGCTTGTGCTTAGGCTTGCGCTTGTGCTTACAATTAGGCTTCGGCTTAGGCCTAGGCCTAGGCTTAGACTAAGGCCTGGGCATAGGCTTATTCCTCAGCTTCGTTCTCTACATCACATTCAAAGCGCGCTCCCAGCCCTTTTCTTCTTATCTACCCCTACCCATCCAATTCCGATCCCTCGAGCTCCGAATAGAGCTCCACTCTGCTGCTCTCTGCACCCCCTGGAAATTGAGTTTGCCGGGTGGAGTGGTGTGGCGTGGAAAGGGCCCAATCTCTGCAAGGGGCCCAAGCTAGCTTGCTAGTTTTCTTCTCGCCGCTCCCTAACCAATCACCTTTGCGGGATGACGCAAATCCAGCTCTTTCAGAGGGGCCCATCTCTAGGCCCAGATGGCCCGGCGGGCCAATGGGCCCATCTCACCGGGCCCTTCTCTTTCCGGGGCCCAGGTTTTGGGGCCTCCAAATTAATGGGCTGGGGGGACCTGGAAGTTTTGAGGGCAAAACCCGGCCCACCCCCCCGGCTCGAGCCGCCCAATGATGGATCGAGTGACCGCGATTTGTCTAGGCCATGTCCTGGTAGATGAACAAGTGGTCTGATCAGGGGGAGACGGACGACATGTTCCTGGCTGTGCAAAAAGCGCGGCGGATAATTTGTTATTTTGGGATGGACTAAAGAAGAGTTAAGGACCTCATAATCGGTTTAAAGGTACTAGGAAGCGCTTAAAATCGACGTCTAGCCTCCACTCGGTCTTGACATTTACAGCGACTGTATATTCTTTGTTTCACCATCATTTGAAGGTTTTCAAAAATTATACACGCCGGTTTGCAGATTTTGCAGCTGTCTAGACCCAGACAGTGGCACGGGTTGGCTGTCGGGTTTTCTGCTTCCTTTAAAACTCTTACCCGAGGATTAGGCGCAATGTGGGCAAGCTAGCAGAGACGATTTAGGAAATTCTAGTTTTTTCTCTCTTTTTGGCTCCAAAATATCGTATAAATTTAGCATTTTCCGGCAACCCCAATGTTCCGCATCTACCCTAAAAACCGGCCATCCATATTTCCTTGGTAATGAACACGGGCGGGAATCGAGATTTTGCAGCGGTTGTTAGGCAGCAAATTTAGTGTCTGCTCTTGAGATATGACCGTTTTGACGGGTCTTTGATGTTAATCCAGCCATAATTTAGCGTTTTAAAAATAAATAAATAAACATTTTAGCGAGGACGCAGCAGCTGAATTTGGGTCTTGGGCACAAATCAAAGCGAGGAAATGTCAAAAAAACCTATTCTCAACAAAGCAAAATATCTACTCGAGCTATACGTCATTTGGGGTACTTCGTAGCTAACATGGAGACTACGCTACGCTCCTCTGAACACTTATATTTTTGGCGCACCTTTCGGTTTGTTCAGTAAATCTTCTCCAAGTAATTTAGCGTTTTTCACCCGGCACGTAATTTCCCGGCAAACCCCACCTCGCCGACGTCGTTTACAACGTTGAAACACGAGTTCTGAGATGCCCATTTTTTGACTTTTTTTTTTTGCGAACGCAGCTGATGTTATGGGTAGGGGAGGGGGTGAAAGTTGAAGATGGGGGTGCAGAACTCGGGGCCGGAGTTGACGAACGAACACCTGATACCCTTTGAACTTCGTGAGAGGGAGGTGAGGAAAAAGTAAAGATGAGATGTTGACAAAATGGAATATTCACCTGAATTTTGCCTCTGAAGTAGCTTAAGCCTAAGCCTGTTCTACGCGCCTGGACTAAGCCCAAGCCTAAGCCTAACGCTGGATTAAGCCTAAGCTTAAGCCGCAACCTAAGCCTAAGCCCAAGCCCAATCTCACGCCAAGCCTAAGTCTGCGCCCCTGAATCTCTCGAAAAACCACTTTCCATGTCACCAGAATTGCTAGTCATGTGTTCGTTCACGAGCGCTACGGCTGTAGTGTATAGTTGTATTGCATATTACACCCCCGTAGCCCACCGGGCATGAGGCAGGCAAAAGCCGGAAAGACACGCGAAAAAGCACCCATCTCCCAGGCCGTGTGGCCGGGGGCTTGTTGAAAGCCGATCCCTCTGGTCTGCCTTCTCCGGGTCGTCGTTCCCTCCCTTTCATGACCCATCAAACGCAGTATATGCTAAGAGTCGACACCGGGGATGGAGGCGAGCTATTTTTAGGGCCCCCAACAAGCGGGAGAAGCCGCCTTATATCTGGGATTTTGGCATGTGGCCCCCAGAGTACGATGAAGGGGGTCGTCAAAATGTGTTCGCATGTTGGACCATTTGGGCCATTTGGCCGAACCAGACCATCCAGATTTTGGTCTATTTTTGGGGCCAACGACAACAGTTACGAAAAGCAACGGATGCCGTAAATAGCCAGCTCGGGGAAGCGCACCTGGAATCGGATTTGTATCGAGGTGGGGGGGGAGTTGGTCGTTCAAAAGAGCTAACAGATGGGGCAAGGAGGAAAGCCGTCCAAATTAACCTCCTTAACAATGTTTTTTGACATCAAGATCCCCCAAAAGTTCCATGTCACTCCTATCCCGGAACCTAGCCCCACGCGCTACTAGGACCATGAGCATGTGGCAGGTCGTTTTGTGTGGGGCGTGAGTCAGCGGCCCCATAATTCTTCTTCCTGGGCCCTAGGGCCCCACGCACAACAACAATAAAACGCTAGTCCGAGCTTTTGACCAGCGCGGGGGTTGTGGTAGTTGAGTCATTCACCGGAAGTGGGGGTATTGCGTAGTGAGTACGAAGGTTTATTCGGCTTGGGCTTAGGTTTAGGCGTAGGCTAAGGCTTGGACTTAGACTGGGAATTAGGCTTAGGCTTAGCCTCATAATTTCCGAAACAACAGCGCCATTTCGAAATTGCCGGACCCGGCCTGCCATCAAAACCGGAAGCTATTCACGGCTAGTCACGCTATATTTAGCCTTGGCCGTCAATCACACTCGGAGTACGCGGTTGTACACGGGGACGTAGTTGTTGGGGCCTGGGCTCGGGCTTGGCTCTAGGGGCAAAAGCTCCCCGGAATGACCATTAGTGGCTATTAGCCGATGAATGGGTTTGGGAGGGGCGAGAGGGAGAGAAAGAGAGAGCGAGAAAGAGAGAAAGAGAGAGCGAGAGAGAGAGAGAGAGAGAGAGAGAGAGACAAAAAGAAACCACTCTGGAACTAAAAAACTCTAGCTTTAGGAGTAGCCTATCTATAGAATTTGATGCATAGAGCCATAATGGCAGAGCTAGATGTTAGCACGTAACAAACGTATACTATGACTACGCCACGCACGTTTATTTTAGCCCAGTTTCCAAGTCTATTAACGGTAATGGCATCCTCGAAAAACCAAGGTTATCTAAAACCAACCTGGCAAGGGTGTCAGCTTCGCTTGGCTTCTCCTCCTCTCATACTCAGCTTCCGTGTTCTCCACCAAACATTTCTTGAACGAGAAAACGCAGCGCTAAATGATGAACTTTTGAAGGTACCACACCTTTGACTAACCCTATATCGCGTCAAAAACGCATTAATGACGTCGCTGCGCGCCTTCCGCCACTTTCGGCGAAAAAAGTTGGGCTTCGTGTGCATTTCCTGAAACTGGCAATGGCTGTTAGAAATGTTGAATTTCCAAATTAATTTATTGGGGCTTATCAATTGTTGTTTTTGCCGTGGGGGTTAGTGAGGCTAGGCGGCTTATGATTTTGAGGACTACATAGGGCGAGGCTGAAAACACGACCTATTATCGACGGAAGGCAGCCGATACCTTGTTTTATCGGATTAACCAAGATGTGGAAATATTGCTCGAGGCAATCAGTAACTTTGGGCAAAATCTACAGCTGCGAAATTTGACGCTATAAGCACATGTAAGCCAGAAGTCAAAGTTAAAAAAGCCGAAATTTTACCCTTTAAATACGTTGTGTCAAGGGTAGCTTCGAATAAAAAACTACGAAAAGTTGCTAAAAAACTGGCGAAAACCGCCATACCTTGCTAGTCGAGGGGTACTCCTGACTCTGGTGGTGCTCCTCGCCCAGGGGCTTTACCCGCCGCATCCGGGTGGGCAGAATAGAGTCTATGTCTCTGAAATATGGTTTTGCAAAGATCATTTGTTACACTGTGCTTTGAAAACACGAAAAATAGGCTTAAGAAAGGAGAAAAAAAAGACAAGGTAAGGCTTAGGTGCAGGCGCCGGATCTAAGGAGGAGCAGATAAGCTAGGAGCACGAGCAGGATTTTTGATAATGTGAATTTGGAAAAGTTCTTGATCAACTAACTTTTTCAAATTGCATTACCACGTCAAAGGCAAGACTAGATAGGCCAGGTAAAGCGGAAAAAAATGTTCTGTAAAGTTAGTTTTCTAAAAAAAACATTTTCCAAAAGTCTGGTATTGACTAGGCTTTGGAACGCACTGAAAATCAGACAAGGTGAGTCCGGGGAAGCGAAAACAACTGTCATTTTTCAATTGGTGTTCAGCTTTATGGCAAGCTTATGTAGTCGTTTCTTGGCGAAGGAGCAGAAGAAAAGTAGGAATAACGCCCGGGGGGCCGTATTTCAGGATGGCGGGCTGCTCTATAAAGGCTCCGCCTCGGCACGCTGACTCAGCGCGCTATATTTTGGGCACTGATCGGATTTCAGCAGGAAATTATAGTCTAAACCACAGTGATAACGATTTTTGAAACGATTGATCGCGGTGAAAATTGACGAGGGAAGCTAGCAGCGAACATTGTGGAATCAGGCCATTTTCTGCTGACGAGAAAGTCAACTAGAAAAACCACAATATTATCCAAAAATCACCAATGAACTTCTTAATGGTATTTTTTATTTAGTTTTAGACGAGCAAAAGCCGAATTTTTGGTCGAGAACTGCTCCCTTAAATGCACCAGATTCCCCTAAAATTTTATGATATGAACGTAGACACATTAGGCCGGAGATGCCGAACCCACCAGGTCAAAAGCATTAACATAAAAATGCGAAAATGGGAAACCCCGTCAAGGCCATCAGGGAAAGACGCATTTCGTGTAGTGTTTTGGGATTCGGGCCATTACGTCCATTATGCCCATTAAAATTCCATTAACGAACGCATCGCGTTCCCAAAACACATGAGTATCTGGTGGGGTTTGCGTAGATGGGTCAGCTGGCAGAGATCATTGGTCGGGCGAGGCCCGGAAAAAGACTTAACTACGTAGCGTAACGGAAGCGTCAGTAACTGTCTGTTTATGCGTCAGAATTACTGGCAAGGCGGCGTTAAAATTAGAGAGCGACGGAAAGGTGACGACGGTCGATAGAAAGTCTAGAGCATCTCCTAGTGTCTCAGCATTTCTAAAGACAACGTCTACGCCTATAGACAAAGCACCATGTCACTCCTTGACGCCGTCTAGGTCGGGAGAAAAGCCCATTTCGGCGCCATGAAATATTCAGGGTTGCTGACGGTCTTTTTGTGCGCTTCGGGGAGGGAGTAAATTCCCAAGTGGACCATACGAATCGGCCCGGCAGTGGGGAATGGGTTTTTCGGCGAGATCTATGGTTTTGATTTGCGAGAGAGAAAGAGAGAAAGAGAGAAAGAGAGAGAGAGAGAGAGAGAGAGAGAGAGAGAGAGAGAGAGCGGTCAAAAAACAAAGCTTGATCAAGACATCCTGGAAAACACTAAATCACTTTGCTTGATAAGGTTAGGCTTGGGCTTTGGCTTAGGCTATAGCCTACATATTAGTAGTGGAAAGATGTGGATTGGGAATAGACAACAGCCTCCCTCTACCCCTGCCACTTCACGCCATGCCGCGTTATGTCTTTAGACGGGGCCCTTGGGGAGGAAGAGGGGCCCTAAAGACAAGGGAAGGCTCTTTCTTGGAGAAGCACATCTCAAAAATAGTACGAAAGTGGGCTATTCCTGGGTTGGATCCAAGATTGGTACATGCAAAATCATGATATCTGGAAACAAAGCGAGCGAGAGAGAGAAAGATAGAGAGGGAGAGAGAGAGAGGGAGAGAGGGAGAGAGAGAGAGAGAGAGAGAGAGAGAGAGAGAGGGAGAGAGAGAGAGAGAGGGAGAGAGAGAAAGAAAGAGAGCAGAAGCAAGAGAGAGCAATGGAAGGGAAGTAAATTCAGGAAAAATCTAAGAATTTTTTTGCTTTCCAACGTGCCCAAGAATTGTAGCTGGGTGGTGAAATTGCGGATCGCAGCTATGGCACGCGTGAAAGCTGGTGCTATGTCTTTTGCCAGCGCTGTGAAGTGGGGTAAGCTGAGAGTTAAACAGAAAGCTCTAGCAAAACAAGCGATAATCAGGAAGACCAATAATGGAGAACGCGGAAATCCCGACACGTGCAATCCGGACAACGCAAATATCGAAATTGAAGATTTGGACCGAGAAAGCCCGAGAAATCCCGACATGAAAACTTTCAAAATCGAAAATCCCGATAACAAGATGCTTGGTATTGAAAATCCCGACAAGAAAAATTAAGAAAAATGAAGATACGGAAATGAAAATCAGAAAAAAATGGTTGCCTGATTTGGCGTTCTAACTAGGGTTAAGAATTGCAAGAGGAGTAGCTGAATGAAAAAGTTGTGGTTATCGGTATTTTTATGGCCAAAATCATACCCGGAATTGGCTCGGGCAACAAAACCAAAAACATAGTAGCAACATCGAAATCCCAAGGTACCCCGGGGAATCCGGGCTTACGCCTAGCCCCCCAGGGGGCCAAAACGTAAGTTGTTGTTAAAGGGACCGCCTCCTGGGCCTCGCGGCAAAAAGGGAAGGAGGGAAGAAGAGGAGGAACCGGGTCTGGGCCCCCCTGAGCCCTTGACTCGTTTTCTTGTGTCCCCGCCCATCCTCATCCTCCCCCTGGATAGAGCAGCTGCCATCCCGGGCCTGCCACGGTGACGAATAGGTCCGGGGCCCGGGGAGTCATGAGCACGTCTCATCCCCCCGTATTTGCGGGGTCCCTCGATTTTGCTTTAGGGCCCGGGCCCCGGGCCCTAACGTCTGTTGGACAACCGCGTGGCCCGGGCGCGGCCGGAGATCCGTAACCCACGCCGCTGCTCCCCGACAAAGAGCGATCAGTTTCGGGTGGCTTTCCGGGATCGGTTTGACCTACCTGGCCTCAGGTTTTTCCGTGTTTTGCACTCGGGCAGGGGCACGAGGTGTGAAATATAGTGGGTCAAGAAAGGTTCAAATACGCTCCGAAACTGCCCTTGACAGCGATAAATCTCGACATCCAAAATAACCGACAGACAAAATCGCGCAAATCTAAATCCCGGTCACCAAACCCACCCCCTCCCCCCTGAAAAAACCAAAATACCGACGGCACACCAAATCCGGAAAGCGAAAAGGCCGACATCCAAAATTCCCGAATGAAAAATACCGACAACAATATCCAGAAAACCAAAATCCCGACAGCCCGGCTCGCATATAGAAAATACCGACAGCCGAAAAGCCGACAACCGGAATCCCGCCATGCAAATCGGCTGTGGAAAAGGAAGGACCCTAAAGCGAGCCCAAAGAATTTGTTGGGACTTGCGATGTCGGGATTATCGCGGTCGGGTTCTAGCTGCCGGTATTTTGGTCGAAATTACTAGCCCAAATATGGTAAATTTTCTAAAACGCACTCCGGAAGGGACCTCGGGGTACGCCGGACGGACGGTTCGATGCACTAAAACGAGCTCAATTTGACAGCTCAACAACACTGCGGGAATGATAGGCGGTATAATCTCTCATTAGTGCACTGCATGCTAGTGGCAGAATGGAGGTCAGCCGAACTTGCAAGGGAGTACGTTTTATAGCCCGAACACCCCTCAGACAAGCCCAGAAAGTTCGGAGTTCGGCATTTTGTGGAGTATCTGCGCTTAAAGATTTTCGAGCACTCGGGCTCCGTAGGGATCTAGTAAGGCGTGTATAGCTAAATATCTTTTCAAATGACTCCAAAAAGTTCGGGGTTCGGTGTACCTTCGAGTACTAGAGGTATCGTTTTGCCAGATCTACCAAATAGAGAAACCCCGAAAACGAAGTAATTTGACACCCAAGCGTTCGGATCTAGCTGTAAAACGCAGTGGACGCTAGAACATCAAAAATCTTCGCCAGAGAACGAATCGAATTTAAGGTGGGAAGAAACAAAAATGGGAAACCGCCAAAACGTCGACAGCCCAAAATTCCGACAAAATTTAGGTTGTCGGTATTTTGAGGTGTCGAGGTCGGGGTATCAAGATTTGTCGAGATTTTGACCTGTCGGTAGCTTTTTTCTGTCGAAATTATGGCTGTCGGGATTTGGTGGTGGACTAGGATGTCGGGATCCAGAGCCTCAAGACTTTTGACTGTCGGCATTTTAAATGTCGGGATTATGTCTAAATTCCAGTCGACAGTAGCGCATGAAAAGCCTCCATCAGAGAATGAAACACCCCGTAAGGAAAAAAGAAACGGAAAATAAGGCCCTCGCAAGGTGGGAGAGTTTTTTCAAATGGACTCGTAATTTGATCGACTCTCAAGTGGGGGAAAAGAAGCGTCGTCAAACATCTCACCCGGCCAATAATACATGTTTCGGTGGGGGGCGGGGTGTCGGCTGGGGGTCAAGCCGTGGCCGCCCTAGCCAACCCATACATTTTTCTGTTTATTCTCAGTGCCCCGGACAGCGCGCGCGTCACTTTGGGCGCTAGGTGGAGCCGCCGCTGGTGGGTTTGGTTAATCTTTGTTGGACCTGAGCCCAATGGTCCGGAACCAAAGGGCGAATTTTTTTGGAATCTGGGAGTTGCTGGGAGCTGCTAGGAGCTGCTAGGAGCTTCCAGGAGCTGGAAAACCGAACTTCGCTTTGTACTTCAAACTCCACCACGTGCCAGAGTACAGTGCGGGTCAAAATGATAGGTCCACATACTTTTTCGCAATTTTCTCGGGGGAGTACGATTTTCAAGCTAACAGAAACAGCAGGTCTTATAGCCCTTGAAAAGACACATTTTTTCATGTATTCAAATTATCTCTACAATAACGGATCGCCGATTTATAAAGCAAACATTAAAATAGTGCCAAAAACCGATGTGTCAAAATGATAGGTCCACTCTTTACATATGATTACAATCAACAATGGGTATGAATATTAGATGCTGATCGGGATGCAATGTAGAAAAATATGCATAATAGCAATATTATCTGGAAAAAGTCAACCGGAAAATGATTACCATAAATGGAATATAATTAGCATCTAATATTCATACCCATCGTTGATGGTAACCATATGTAAAGTGTGGAACTATCATTTTGACACATCGGTTTTTCCCACTATTTTAATGTTTGCTTTATAAGTCGGCTTCCCATTGATTTCAAGGCATTTCAAGTAGATCAAAAAATTCGTCTTTTTTAGGACTACAAGGCTTATTATTTGGGTTAGTCAGAAATTACTTCTCCGCCGAGAAAATCGACAAAAACTAGGTGGACCTATCATTTTGACCCGCACTGTACACCCATCCAGATGCGACCATTTCAGGGAAATGAACTTTCGCCCAACCTAATAGCCCACCTCGGAAAATTTTGGTAAACAAGCGTCCCCTCCGGATTTGCCCTCGAATCAGATTGTACTCCAGGGGAATGTGATTTGGGAAAGAGTAGGCTTAGGCCTAGGTTAGGTGTAGGCTTAGGCTTAAGCTTGGCTAGGGCTTAGGCTTATGCTTTGGCCTAGGTTTATGTTTAGGCTCAGGCTTAGGCTTTGACGTGGGTTTACGCCTAGCCTTAGGCTTAAGCTTAGGCTTAGACTTAAGCTCATTCTTAGACTTATGTTAGGCTTAGGTTTTTTGGCTTATGCTGGCGCTTAAGCTTAGGCTTAGCCAGGCTTAGGCTTCGCTTGGGCTTCGACTTAGGCCTAAGCTTAAACCAAATCGTATATAGCAGAAAAGCCGGCGTTTTCACGGCATGCCTTCTTTGTTCGAATCCTCCACCAGATACGAGCCGACGATAAATCGGGGGATTCCTCGTGCCTTGGCCTCAGCAGAGGAAAAGCGGAAAAAGGAAGAGCCCTAAATTCGGCCCGTGCCCGTTGTTTTTAGGCGCTAAATCCTGGAGGCCGAGAGATTTATGCCAAGCACCAGTTCCTGATTCGGAACGGCTAAAGACAGGCCGTTTTGGGATCTTTGTTTTTTCGTTGTGCCCACTCTGTCAGTCTGACTGTATGTTTTTCTATCTCTCCCTCTCTCGCGTCCACTCTCTCTCACTCTCGCTCTCTCTCTCAGCCCATAGAAAATATTTATCACGCATGCCGAGTACAGAACGATACGAGAACGGGGGGGGTGGGACACGAATGGAAGCGCGTGGATGCAAAATCTGTGTCATTGGCGCGGGAAAGGGGGACATACGAGAGAATGGACAAATGGAGAGGGGGGCAAAAAGGGCAGTAGATGTCAGTGGGGTGTACTGTAGCGGGGTACGGTAGGTGGTAGCTGGACGGCTAGACGACTGCCGACATGCTGCTCGCTGACTCGGGAGTTGAGGTAGTGTTCGTTGCATCGGGGGTGGAGGCTGAAATACAGGATTTTCTCTCTCGGTCTTCCCTTTCTCTCTCTCTCTCGCTCTATCTCTCGCTGCATTTCTCTTCGTTACCGTCAGCCCTTCCGAACCCGACGTTGAACATGTTGTCGAAGAAGCTGGACGTCTCGAGGCCGGCCTCAGCCTCCTTGACCAGCCGCTTGTATGACGGGTGATTTTCCTGGGGGCGGAACGCGTCCCCGATATCCTAAAGGTAAAATAGTAGGTACTGTACGGTTAGCGGGGGAAAGCAATTTTTTCCCAGTACGGTCCAAAATCGAAAGCCCCCCGCTAACAGTCCAGGACCCACAAAATCCCACCCCAGACTGCGACTTCCTGATGATGTTGCAGACGCCGACCAGCGGGATCCAGCACACCACCAGGATGGCCATTGCGATGCCGAAACCGCGCTTCGCCCAGATGTCGGCTGAAATTTGGCTTCTGCGTGACAAAATCGCTTTAAGGGCTCACTTTCCGACTCGGCCTGGCTGCCGAAGAGCCGCTCCTTCTCGGCCGCCTTCGCCAGGATGATCGGGTTGTCAAAGTCGCCGGTGAACGAGAAGATGATCATCAACTGGAGATTAGCAAGTGAAACTGAGAGGCTGAGAGTGCTACCAGTCCCATGACCGGGGCAATGGCCAGCCAGTCCATGAAGAAGTAGTAGCCGGTCTGGCCGAAGTACTTGCCGAGCGTGCCGGACGGCTGGCCGAACATTGATTCGAGGTCGTGCCGGAAGTTTTGCCAACCTGGAAGAGGTGTTGGAGAGAGCTAGACAGAGAGCGAGAAAGAGCGAGAAAGAGCTACGTACCGTACAGGTAGCTGACCCCAACAATCTCGGAGAAGCAGATGAACGTCAACGCCATACCGGTGTACGTGTCCCAAACCTCTAGCCAGTGGACGCCAGCCTGAAAAACACTTGGAATTAGCTTTCGCTCTCTTTCACGCTTGTCCTTACTCTCTCACTCCGTCTCTCACTCACTCACTCTCACTCACTCACTCACTCCCTCTCTCTCTCTCCCTCTCTCTCTCTCTCTTTCTCTTTCACAATTACCATACCCCAAAGCACATGATGAGCCCGGAAAGCCAGCCGCAGATGCAGATGGCGACCAGCATCGGAGTGCGATGCTTCTTCATGACAGGCCACTGATCTTGGATCGTCGTCGCCACCGTCTCCATGTAGACTGGAAATCAGACTTTGAAGCCTCGGTATTTGTTCATCTACCGCTGTTTCTACTACTACTTCCAAAGCCTTCCCACCAATTTGCGTACTGATCCCGAGCAAAAAGAGCATTAGGAAGAAGAGGCCGGCCCAAATCGTAGCGCCCGGCATCGTGGAGATGGCTTCCGGGTAGGTGACAAAGGCGAGGGTCACGCCCGACTCGACCACGGCGTCCACGTCCTGATTCTTGATCGTCGCCAGGTGGCCAAGCACCGAGTAGACGGCCACACCGCCGAAGATCGACATGAAGATGTCGGCCCCGGCGACGAACGCCGCGTCCTGAAGATGGTCAGAAATTCTAAGTGTTACCGGCGTGAAGAGAGAGAGACGGAGAGAGAGAGAGACGGAGAGAGAGAGAGAGCGAGCGAGAGAGAACGACATCCTACCCTCAAAGCGTTGTGTCTGCGGTCGTTGTACGACGCCATCGATTGCAGCCCACCCATGCCGACGGAGAGCGAGTAGCACGCCTGCGCCAGCGCCGCCTTCCACGTCTTAAAGGAGCGATGTAAGCAAGCTGTAGCTAGAAAAACCTGTGGATTCGCGATGTACTCCATCCTCGGCTGCAGCAGGTAGAACTGGATGCCTTTTCCAGCGCCTTCCAGCGTCACCCCTCTCAGGAAGAGGACGCCTAAAAGTGAGAAATACCTCGATGAAAATTCGAAAAAGCCGAGGCCTAAGGCTTAGGCGTAGACTTTCGAAACGCACCAATGATAAAATATGGAAGCGTGGCGGTGACGTGGGCCGCCCAGCCAATGCTCTCGATGCCCTTGTAGAGCACGATGCCCACGATCAGCCACATGACGAAGAGGGAGGCGGCGTTCTGAAGTCATGCTCAAAGGGAATCTGGAAGAAAACAGACCTCATACGAGAACTCGCCGAGGTCGGTGAAGCTGTCCGTGCGCAGTTGAACCTCATATCTGCATGGGAGGAAGTTGGTGCCGCTCTCACGCCATTTCCCTCTCTCTCCTGCTCTCTCTCTCTCTCTCGCTCTCTCTACTTACTTCAAGAAAATCTGGCTGGCCGTGAGTGCCACTCGCCGCTCATCATCTCCAAACACCGTGCAGTTCCCGTGATAGTAGTTCTGCCCTTTGGAGCAGGGCGGGTCGGCGTTGGCGGTATCGGCGACCGAGTAGCAGACTGCAAGTTTGGCAAGCTCTGTCTAAAAAACTTACTATCCTTGTACTTGCCGGCGCCCTTGCACGTCGTCCAATCGTCGATGCGGTACAGGGCAGCAAGGTAGCGACCGATCCTATGGAACGAGGGGGTCGAGTCGGAGCGTAAGCCTCGGCCTAAGCCCAAGCCCAGGCCTGAGCCTCAGTCTCTGCTTAAGCCTAAGTCCTACCACGCCACGATCATAATGTAGTAGCCGCCGATGAGAAACGAGATGGCAGCCATCGCCCAGCCGACGCCCTGCAGGATGGGCTTCATCTTGTAGAAGTTCACGCTCGGGCAGGTCTAAAAAAGCCATTAGTGCTTTTGAAAATCCACCTGGATATATTGGCCCAAGCTGAACTCCATGTACAGCAGCGGCATGCCGAAGAGGATGTTGCAGCAGATGTAGGGGAACAGGAAGGCGGCTGAAAATCATTGATTGGTCAGAGAGCGAGAGAGAGAGTGAGCGAGAGTGAGAGAGAGCGAGTGAGAGAGAGTGAGAGAGGACCAACCTCCTCCATTCTCATAAGCCAAGTAGGGGAATCGCCAGACGTTGCCGAGCCCGACGGCGTACCCGATGCACGTCAGCAGGAAGGCGCGGTGGTTGTCCCAGTTCTGGCGCTGGCCGATCTGGCTCTGGATTTCAACTAGAAATGAATAAATTGTCATTAGCATCCCAATTCGGCCTACCATCGCGAGGGGCCGTCTTCGGCGCGGCATCCGGTGGGGTTTCAGCCGCCATCTTGAAGGTCCAATTTCGGGAATGAAACGTGAGGGGTTCCCTTCGCCAAGGGGTCCTTTGATTCTTGAATTTTTATGCTAATCAGAGTTGTTACTTGCATACGACATTTTTGAATGTTAAATCGACGGGCTTCATCCCCGAACACCTCACCGCAAAAAAAAGTCATTTTGCGGTGGTGGGACTTCGATACGAAACGAAACGAAACGATGAAAGTAAACCTTTTTGTAAAATATGCGGGGAAGACAAACTTAATGCCGCTGGAATGTCAAAGGCGTATACTTGGGAACCATTTCAAAATTCGAAAACTTTTCATTCTGACTATTTTGCATTTTTTGAAAAGTTTTGAAATCAGCAAAAATTCCGCGCACGATAGGCCATAAGTTCCGTTTCGAAGCCCGACCGGAGCTTGAAAAGCTCTCTGGTTAGCTAACTCTTCGGTTTCGCGGTTCTCGATATGCGATTGCTTTTTCGACGAGGAGTTTTGACCGCCGGGCTTTCGATCAGGCCCGGTCAGATTCTTTTCCGATTAATCGATTTTTAAAGATAGACCAGGGTTGAAAAGCCGCTTCGCGACTTTTCAACCCTGGCCCCGTCTGATCTCAGAGATTCTGCCCTTTGCATAATTCACGCGATTTTCGATGACAAAAAATGAGAAACGCTACCTCTCTTCCTTTATATAGGCTACCACAACTTCCGGCGCATGCTAATTGTTTCCTAACAAAGAGGGTCCTGGATTTTTCAACAAAAACTTAATTTTAACGTCGAAAACAGTCAATTTTTGAAGATTTTTTTAGGGTGCAGTCATCCCAAGGCCATTACGCACCTAATGACGTATCAAACATACACTTAATTTCCTCCCTTATTGAGATACTACTGGAACACGCTGACGGAAGTTGCATGCAAAGTGGCACACACACACACACAAACACTATTTTTTTATATATCAACTATAATAATTTTCTTGACGCGTCCGTCCGTCTGTCTGTCCGAAGCCGAATTCAACTCGAAGGGGAAAGGAGCTAGAGCTTAGCTCTCTTCGGATTCGGATAGAGCGTGGTCAGAAACCCCCAAACTGATAAAAAAATTACGAAAAAGTTTTAGTTTAAATTATTAAAATTAACTTTGAAAGTTTTTTCCTTAGTAAAAGGAGTGGGGGCCCCTTTCCCGGGAGGCCACGCCCCCTTTCTCTTCGCCCATCTTCCCCAGGCCCCTTCCCGCGCCCAAATAGCTTTTTAAGTTACTTTAATACTTTTAATACTTTTTAATTATGCTAATTAATTATTTAAATCACCTGAAGCCATCAGGAAGGTATTTAGGTAGTTTTTGAAGGGGATTTCAGCCATGGGGGGTATTGATGGAGGTGGGAAAGGATGTGGTGGAGTGAGACATGTAGGGTAGCCCGAAGGCCAGATGGTTGCAGTCGCGAAGCGACTGTAACCATCTGGTAGTAGGATGCCGGAGGTATCGTACCTGTTTCAGGCTTGCCCTTTATACACTTCCAAAACACTTTATTGCCGAGCGGCCATGGGGACCATAGAAATCACATAGAAACAAGACGGGAGGGGGGCTCGCAGAAGAAATGGATGTGCATTTGCATTGAAACGAGAATATGTCATGCCTGGTACTAGTAGTCGGGGTGGGGGACGGAATTAGGACTTCTTCGGCTGCTCTGACGATTTTGGGGCTTCTGACGAGGGAGCAGAAGCCGGTGGAGCTGGGGTTTGGGGGATCGGAGCCACAGCCGGAATCGGGCCGACGTTCGGCAGGCCGATTAGGAGATTGGCAGCGAGTGGGGTGTCGGGCATCATGTCTGGAAAAGATAATATAGAGAAAAAGATCGATTGAGAGACGGAGAGCAAGAGAGAGAAGGATCTCACGGCTGCTCACCTCCAACCGGCACGTCCAGCGAGCCGTTCAGGCACGAGTCGAGGATGCCGGGCAGCAGCATCCCATTCTCCGCCTCGCGTTTCATCCGCGCGTACGACGGATGGGATTCGTGGACGCGGAACGCACCGGCCGGGTTCTAGGCGGTAGATGTTCATCCAGGTCCTGTACATGTTCTTACCCCCTTCTTGCGGTAGGCCGTGATGTGCCAGAGGGCCAGCCCGGGCACGAAGAGCACGGGCAGGAGGCCGAAGAACCAGCCGAGCACCTCGGACCAGACTGAAAGTGTAAGTATGAGCTAAGCCTAGTTTAAGCCCAAGTCTAAGCCTAAGCCTAAGCCTAAGTCACAAGGTACAAACTTGGATACAAATAGTAGCCTGGCTGGCCCTCGTCGCCGATCGATGTCCGCCCGGCCATCAGCGAGAACAGCGTCATCAACTGCAAAGAGGAATTGAGCGGAATCCAACAGATGAAAAAACGCACCGCTCCACCCGCCGGCGCGATCACCATCCAGCTCATGAAGAAGTAGTAGCCGGTGTTGCCCAGGTAAAGCTGGAAGTTGCCCAGCGGCTGGCCGAACATCGTCTCCAGGTCGTGCCGGAAGTTTTGCCAGCCTGGAACGGGGTGTTGGAGAGAGAGAGAGCGGGAGAGCCATAGAGCGAGAGGGAGAGAGAGAGAGAGAGAAACTAGAAGACACTACCATAGATAAAAATCACGCCGATGACCTCGGCGACACAGGCGAGGCACAACGCCACCGACGATGTGTAAGTGTCCCACAGGTTCAGCCAGTACATTCCGGACTGGAGTTTGGGGAGTTCACTTGTTGTAGATGAACACCTACCCCGGTACACATCAACACGCCGGGGATCATCTCCACCAGGGCGATGAGGAGGATGATGACCGGGCGCATCGGGTAGAGGTGAGGCCACTGGTCGAGCACGCCGCATGCAAGCGTCTCGATGTACACTGGAATGCAGTGTAGGCTGGAATGTACAACGAGGTGGAGCCGCTTAAGCTTGGCTTGAACGGTTCGTCAACAACGTGAAGCAGCTCAGGCTCAGACCAAGGTACCAAACTGGGTGCTCAGCCCCAAGCAGAATAGCATCAGGAAGAAGATGAAGCACCACACGAGCGAGCCGTCCATCCGGGACAGCGCTTCCGGGTAGGCGATGAAGGCGAGGCCCTGGCCTGAAGGGAAAGAGGGTTTAAAGTGCGCGTGACAGCAGATTTTAGTGACTTTTTTGCCTCCGTTTTCGGCCCTGCGACGTCAAAAACCGACCACTAGCAATTGCATCTTCAACTTTCACGTTCTTAGCGTGAGCCAAGCTTCCAACGACCGAGAACACGGCCACCCCGCCGAACAACGACATGAAGATGTCGGCTCCGGCAACGACCACGGCATCCTGAAGCCGTACAGGTGAATACTGAGGTGAAAGCAAGCCAGCAGCGACCACTTTCGCAAACCCGGGCATACCCTGAGACAATTGTGGCTGCGCTCGTTGTAAGACGCCATCGCCTGCAGTCCGCCCATCCCGAGCGAGAGGGAGAAGCACACCTGCGCCAGCGCGGCCTTCCACGTCTAGAAGACGATGATATAGAAATTTAAAAAGTACCTTAGGATCCAACAGCTTGCTCATGTCCGGTTCGAGGATGTAGAACTTGATGCCCTTGTAGGCGCCGGGGAGGGACAGGCCACGCCAGAAGATGATGCCTGGAAAAGGCCGGACTGGACTTAGGCTTGGGTTTAGGCTTCGCTTGGGCTTAGGCTGGGACTTTGCCGACCCACCAATGATAAAGTACGGGATGGTGGTGGTGATCAGCGACGCCTTGCCGATAAGCTGCACCCCCTTCCACAGGATGAATACTTCGATCACCCAAACGGCGCACAGTGACATGAAGTTCTGAAGTGTAGCTTGCGTTAGAGCGAGAGAGAGCAGGAAAGAGAGCGAGAGAGAGAGAGAGAGAGAGAGAGAGAGAGAGAGAGGGACCCATCCACTTACATCCCAGTTCATGTTGCCAAAGTCGTCGAGCCCGGTGGTGAGGTTCAGCACTTGGTTCCTAAATTACGTTGTTCCTGGGTCGACGGCTTGCTCAAGACATACATAAAGTACTGCTCGGTGGCGGTCTCCAGCGTGGTGTTGGGGTACTTCTCGACGCAGTCACCGCGGAACCAAAGCCTCCTCTCGGCCAGCTGCATCGTGTCGTTCATGCACCACTTCAAGTTGTCCTTCAGGGAGGTGCAGGCTGGAAATGGGTAAGGGAGCTTAGGCTTAGGCTTATGCTTACTAGTTAACTATGTTTCCCACCGTCATTATTCCAGGGATGGCCGCACGTCGCCCACTCGTCCACCCAGTACGTCTTCACCAAGTACAGCCCGATCCTAGGTGGCAATTCAACGGAACTTAAGCCGTCCGCACCACGATATGATGACGTTGTAGTACATGCTGATGAGGAGGGAAACCATCGTCATGGACCAGCCGATGCCTTGTAGCACCGGCTTCAGCTTGAAGTAGACGAGGTTTGGGCCGGCCTGAAGGTAGGTTCTGATGGTCAATTGTGATCAAAACCTGTAAGTATTGGCCGAGGCTCATCTCGAAGTAGAGCAAAGGCATGCCGAATAGAATGTTGCAGCAGATGTAGGGGAACAGGAAGGCGGCTGAAAACGAGTGCTGAGGAGTGAGAGAGACAAAGAGAGAGCAATACTACCCACCTCCTCCATTCTCAAATGCTACATAGGGAAATCGCCAGACGTTGCCGAGACCGACGGTGTAGCCGATACAGCTCAGCAGGTACTGCACGTGGCTGGCCCAGCGGTCACGCTCGATCTCGCGCTCAAAGTCTAAAACTGAGCTACTTCGATTTGAATTCAATTGACCTTCTCCATCCTGTGCGCGGTTGGAGAGTCGCGACGACGAGTACTCCGAGCGGACACTAGACGGGAAACTAAAAGAAACCCGCCGATCAGCAGGGAATACGTGGTCTTACCTCATTTAACCGCACTACCGGATACGAGAAGAATCGGCGTTAAGAATGCGGAAAATGTGGGGTCATGCGACTAGAGATGAAAATATGGAAATCATATATGCATAAGAAAGAAATGCATATGGATACATATGGGTACATATGCAAAAATAGGCAAATTAGCTGCGATAAATGCTTTCGATTCAAAATTTTTTTGAGAAAAGTTTGAAAGGAAAAAAGGCATAAAATTTCCGAATTTTAATTAGCTGTCGAAAGAAAAGATGGATCAGGGGTGACAGTGGAATCGATATTCGGCAATCATTATGCGAATTAGGTGTTGAAAAGCCAATCACGAATCATCCGGTTTGATTAGCAAAATGAATTATTGCCATGCAGCTTTCGGATTAAAAAAGCTGGCCAGTATGCAAATTAGTGGTTGAAAAAGTTATAATTTCCTAACCAGCGCCCAAAACCCGCTTCGCGGGCCTTGGGCGCTGGAATGTGGCCCTTGCATGAGAAATTTGCCTTCCCGATAGCTCGGGTCCTTCGGACCCCCTCCCCGCTTCCGACCACACGCGCGCGTGCAACTTGCAAGAATGAGGAAATTTGTATTTTTTCACATTATGCAAATTAGCCCTCAGGGATCCCAAAAATGAGTAAAACCGGCTTTAACTTTGTAAACTTGTATTTTATCGAAATTCTGCGAACGCCATCGGAAACAGAAGGGTCGATTCCCCCAAGTGACGGAGAATTGGGACGTTTTGGACACGGGAAGGCCCTCAAATCGGGTCTCGAAATTGACATCCACACACACACACAAAGATACACGCCAAAATTATATAAGGTAGGATTTCTGCTTTCCGCTTGCCCAAAGAAGGCACCCTAAAAATATCGTTCTTTAAACTAGCTCGACCTTTGGACCAAGAAAAGTTCAGGCTCACAATAACGTTTCCAAGAATTTTACCTTCAAAAAATGTGCCGAAGGTAAAATTCCAAATCAAGAGAAGCGTGGCTTCCAACAAATTTCCTCGATCAAAATCTGAAGCGATAATTGCAAAAATCGTTTATTCGCACGCGTGGGGGATGACACACAGAGATTCGGATTGTCAGTTCGGAAATCGCGGAATAGGATGAGTAGGGGAAAGCGAAGAAAAAGACATTTGGTGAGGTTACACGGAGATGGGCTTCTCATCAGACAGCCTCTCGTGGGTCTCCGGCCTCGGGTCGAACTCGACGCGCTTGATGGCGTGGATGGAAGTGTCGCTGGGCTCGGTGGTTGGGTGCGTCGAGTCGGTGGTGGTGCCTAGAAAAGCGAGACCAGAATGGTACTGTACTATTAACGGGGGGGGGGACAAAATATTTTTTACTTTTTCCCAGAAAAAAGGTGTCATAACGAAAGATAGATCATTTTTTAATGACATTTTGGACACTTTTTAGCCCGAAAAAGCATAAAAAATTTACACATTCCATTAATTGACTTTCCAGTCAAAATTTATGAAAAAACCAAAATATGAAAAATACCAGTTTCCTAGAAGGTTTTTCTTTTTCAAAAATCGATGAAAAAAGCAAATAGGAAAAACCAAGTATTTCTAATATATGCTGCCTCCCCGCTACAGCTCCATTACCGTGAAAATTGCATTTCAAGGGAGCATAACAGGAGATCGTATCTTTGAGCAAGGCTATTTGTATGTGTCCTACATCTCTAACCTCGCTCGCTGATCGGCTCGAGCGTGCCGTTCAGGCACCCGTCGAGCACGCCGGGCATCGAGATGCCCGCGTTCGCCTCGAGCTGCAGTCGTCGATAGGAGGTGTGCGTAGGGTGGACGCGGAACGCTCCGTTCGGATCCTAGAAACGTAGAAATTAAGGCAAACAGGTAGGTAAGTTTATAAGGTAAGCATTACGGCAAATCACAGTAAACACTCAGCAATTTGCAGCTCCAAAAAACCTACTCCCTGATTACGGTAGGAAGCAATGTGCCAAATCGCAAAGGCGGGCAGGCAGGCGACTGGGGCAAGTCCGAGGAGCCAGCCGAGCGTCTCCGTCCACATCGGATACGGGTGGCCCTCGCCGTACTGCAACCGATCCTGCGTCACCGAGAAGATGACCATCAACTGAAAAGAGCGGCGTTGTTGAGCTTAGGCTTAGGTTTAGGCTTAGTCTTAGGCTTACAAATGACATGCAGGGGCCGATGGCGAGGAAGACCATGAAAAAGTAGTAGCCCGTGAACCCGAAATATTTCCCGAATGTCGACTTGGGCGGGCCGAACATCGTCTCGAGATCGTGCCGGTAGTTTTGCCAGCCTGGAACGGAATGTTGGAGAGACAGAGAGAAGGAGAGAGAGAGAGAGAGAGAGAGAGAGTGAGTGAGAAATACCCAAAAACCAACCGTAGATGAAAATGACGCCTATAATCTCGGAGACCGCGGCGGCGCAAAGGGCGAACGACGAGACGTACTTGTCCCAGACGCCCAGCCAGTAGATGCCGGCCTAAAACGAACCTTTTTAGACGTTTTTTCCCTTTTTTACCCCACTACACATCAGGACTCCAGGGATGAACTCTAGGAAACAGATGGCGATGACGACAATCAGGCGGTACGGCTTACTCCGTGGCCATTGATCAACGACAGCCGTGGCGACGGTCTCCAAGAATACTGTAGTTTGTGGCCTATTAAAAACACGATTTTTAGGGTTACCAAGCTGGGTGCTGATCCCGAGCAAAAAGAGCATCAGGAAGAAGATGCCGGCCCACAGCCACGGCCAGTCCATCGTCGAGATGGCCTCGGGGTAGGCGATGAAGGCGAGGCTCATGCCTGAACTCCTCGATGACGTTTTTCTACAAATAGGCGTACCGTCCTTGATGGTGTCCTTGACGGCCTTGCCCTGGGCCGCAGCCAGGCTTCCGACGACCGAAAAGACGGCCACGCCGCCGACTAGTGACATCGACGCGTCGGCGCAGCCGATTAGAAGAGCGTCCTGAACGAAATTTTGGTCATCTTCGACCCGCTTAATTTTCAAGGTTTTCCGAGTTATAGGAAGCTAGTAGCTGCTCAGAATTCAAGCTGCGGGCCGACATCAGCAAGCGGTTCAGTCTGGTTATCAGAGTTTTTGTGATTTTCGCGGTCAAAAATTTTGTTTTCACATTAAATTTGACCGTTTTCCTTTCGCTTCCCCTGTAGAGAGAATTGAGTTATTCCCCTTACAAAAACCTCCGCGCCCGATAATGTGTGAGAACGCTTACAGAAGGCTGAATATCTCACCCTCAACAAATTGTGCTGGCGGTCGTTGTACGACGACATCGACTGCAGCGCGCCCATGCCGACGGAGAGGGAGAAGCACACTTGGGAGAGAGCGGCTTTCCACGTCTTCGGATCGAGCACCTTGTCGATGTCGGGCTCGAACAGGTAGTACCGGATGCCCTGCCACGCGTTCGGCATCGTCACGCCGCGGAAGAAGAGGATGGCTGAAAACTGGACGTAGGTAGCGCTTAGAAAAGCCTGCGACATCAGGAACAGGCCTATTCTGAAAGCGCAGAATAGCAGAACATTTCGAAAAATCAATGCACAAAAAATATGTACTAGGAAGCGCTATAACACTGCATAAAAAGCATAAAAGTTACCGATGATGAAATACGGTACGGTAGCCGTAATGTAGGAGACGACGCCGATAATCTTCACCCCTTTCCAAAGAATCAGGATGACGATGATCCAGATTATCGACAGGGTGATGAGGTTCTGAAAGCGCGAGTAGCGTAGCGAATCGTATCATACCTTCCACTGTAGCCCCCCGAAATCGTCGATGGCGTTCGTCTTTCGGAGTATGTAGTTGCTGGAAATGGGTGGGTGCTTTTGCAGTATCGGGGGGGGGCAATTCTTTTAGTTTCCTGCTTTCCTATTTCAGGGCTAATGTCTCTAGAATGTTTTCTATCTAGAAATGCAAAAAAAATCATCAAGTTGGTTTTTGAAATACAAAAAAAATCGATTTTTGAACAAAATAAGGCGATTTCCAACGAAAATTTTTAGTTTTGAAGGTAGTTCCCCAAATTACCTTATTATAATGTCACGAACATGTAGCAAGTCAGTTTTAAGCTTCAAAAAATACCGACTTCAAGTACTGTTCCGTAGCCGTCTCGGTGCCGGCCGAGCCGTTGACACATTTGTCGATGTACCACGTAGTCGTGCCGCTCTTGCAGTGATTCAGGTTGTCCCGCAACGAGATACAGGTCTCTGGAAATGTACGGTAGAAGCAGGACGTACGGTAAATATCGTTAAGTGCGGAAAACAACATTATATTTCGTACCCCGCACATTCCAGGGGCCGCCCTGGCAGGACGTCCAAGTGTCGACGTCGTGCGCGTTGATGAGGTAGAGGGCAATCCTGGAAGGGACGTTATTAGGTAAGAGTCTAGCAACCCCCCCCCCCCCCCCCCACCAACTTTTGTATCTCGGCCCCCCCCCCCTTTGTGCTAGCGAGCTCTAAAGCATACCAAAATGTTCGCCGTAGGCTAATTAGTAAGAATACATTGCAGTTCAGTCGAAAAAAGTAGCGAAAAATAAAAATATGGAAGGTAGAAAAGTTGAAAAGTCGGCTGGGGGGGGTTTCCTAGACTTGAGCCCGTTATTATTCCTTACGTGAAGCCTAAGCATAAGACTAGGCCTAGCCATAAGCCTAAGCCTAAGCCAGAGCCTGAGCCTACCATGAGACGAGCACGTTGTAGTACATCCCGATCAGAAACGACACGCAAGTCATGGTCCAGCCGATGCCCTGCAGCACGGGCTTGTACTTGAAGAAGGACATGCTGGGGCCAGACTGGAAAGATATAAATTAAGAAATTTTTAATTTTCGATACCTGCAGGTACTGCCCGATGCTCATCTCAAAATACAGCAACGGCATGCCAAAGAACAGGTTGCAGCAGAGGTAAGGGAACAGGAAGGAGGCTGAAACCGGTTGAAGAGGTAGAGAGAGAGAGAGAGAGAGAGAGAGAGAGAAAGTGAGAGAGAGAGAGAGAGAGAAAGAGAGAGAAAGAATTATTCACCTCCACCATGCTCTGAAGCCAAGTACGGGAAGCGCCAGACGTTGCCGAGCCCGACGGCGAACCCGATGCATGTGAGGATGAACTGGAACCAGTTGCCCCAGCGCTCCCGCTTCGGCTCGTCGTTCTGAGTGGCGACTGGAACAAGTAGAATGTTCTAAAGGGCGTGCGAAAGCCGGAATCGACGTTTTCAATGAGTTGGGTAGCGGAAAAGTAAAGTTGAGTGCTACTTTACACGCCAAACTACAGCGTTACATCGAAGTTCAAACTCCTCGCTTAGCTGTCTCGATCTAGGCAGGCGAACGGTTAATTATAGCGCTTTTTAACCCGGACCAGAACAACTTCGCTTTCCAGCTAACGTACCATTCCGCCCGGACGGCCCCTCATCGTGATGAGAAGATGATAGCTGGCGGTCACTCGACGGCGGGACGGCGCGCTTTGAGTGGCTCTCGCTCCGTTTTGACTGACTTTGGCTGCCGGTCAGGCTGTAAAACATTCGAAATTTATTTGGTGGGTCCAAAATTGAATAAAATACGCCAGAATCTGTCGCAAATAAATCTGACCTCGCCATTCGTGCAACCGGGAGGTAAGGTGAGTACTCGAAAGGTTAGATAACGTTATTTCGTGTAATCGTTCACGGAACCCGACATCCGCATTGAAATTTTATGGAAAATTCAGAAAAATCATGCAAAGTGAAGAATATTGTCGGGTCAGTTCGTTGTAGTGTCGTCGGACAAGAAAAAAAAGTTCCTTTTTCCCTGTCTGTCTGTCTTCTGTTCCTGTCTTTGCATGCTTTCCATGAGCAGATCCAGCTCATGCAGCTCCCCTTTATTTCCGAAAATCACGCCACGTGGCGGAGATCGGCCCGGCGCCGGGAGAACAGAGCAAAAAAAAATCGAGGCATATCAACGAGGGGTTCGAGGGGATACAGAAAAAAGAAACGAAAGAAATGCGACGACAAGTGGTGGGAGCAGTGGACGGGAAAGATGGAAAACGATAGAAAAACGGAGCGAGAGGGGGAGAGTGGGTTAGATGGAGATGGGAGGACAACAACTGATGATGATGACGTTCTCGTTGCTGTCGATTGGTACGGTGCGTCCACGGGCCGGGAGGTGGGTACGCTGATGGTGGTGGTGGTGATGTTGTGGATGGTAGCTGGTGCTCTGAAAAAGGGCACTTCATACGTAGTCCAAGGTATCTGTTCATCCGCCGCTGTTCAACGACTTAGTAGGCTACCGTACTCTCTTGTACGCTACATTACGCAAGAGTACGGTGCAGTACGCTGGCAGCCCAACAGCACATTGCACTATGCTACAGAACGTTACAATACGTTACTTTTGCCATAATACAATACGAACAGTACACTAGAGTACGCTAGTGTACGCCTTAGTGCACCATAAGACGCTACCTTACACTAAACTACCTTATGATAAGCCAGAGTACGCCACCATACGCTAACATATAGTACAGTACGCTACAGTACGCCACGGTACGCTATCAAGGCGCTACAATACGCTATAGTGCGCCCTGGTAAGGTACACTAGAGTAACGCAAAGAGCGCTACAGTACGATGTAGTACGTGGACCAGCCTCAGCAGAAAAATTATTTTAAATCACTACCATCCAGTCGTTGCTCAGGCGGGCGACGACTCGGAGGGGTTGGCGGCGGGTGCGGGGCTGGCGGGCTCCGAATCACCTGTGGTTGCTAATGGCAATAGAACATCTACGGGGTCGCGTACGCTTACTACTCGACGCCGGCGCGCCATCCAGGGTGCCGCCAAGGACACCGTCAAGGACGCCGGGCATGAACAGGCCGGCGGCGGCCTCCTTCTTCAGCCGGCCATACGAGCGGTGGGTCCAGTGGACGCGGAACGCGCCTTTCGGGTCCTGAACGAAAAATTCAGGTTCTTTTGCATTATCGGGGCGAAGGGTGGGGTGTTTGCGACAACCCCCCACAGATAATGCCAAAGCTCCAAAATCGTGGCAAACCGACCCCGTTCGATTTGAACTGGTTCCAGTTCCACCACGCCATCACCGGGATCGCCAGCACCGGGATGAAGCCGAGGATCCAGCCCTGCACCTCGGAGGGCCCTGGAGTTGGAGCCGTTCGGGAAAGACTGCCGGAAACCCACAGGGGTAGTAGGCCTGGTTGCCTTTCGCGTCCTTTTCGTACTGGTCGCGGCCGGCCATCACCGAGTAGACGATGATGCCCTGTAAATGAGAGGCTTAGGTTTAGGCTTAGACTAGAAACCCACCGCGGTCAGCGCCGGCACCACCGCCATCCACACCATGAAGAAGTAGTAGCCGGTGAACCCAAAGTAGCGGCTGAAGGTCGTCTTCGGCGGACCAAACATCGTCTCGAGGTCGTGGCGCCAGTTTTGCCACCCTGCAAAAATTATGAAGCCGTCTCAGATACAGAAGGTAGTCCGAACCGTAGATGTACATCACGCCGAGGGCCTCGGTGGCGCAGGCGATGCACAGGGCAAAGGTGCCGCAGTACTTGTCCCAAATGTTCAGCCAGTAGATTCCCGCCTGCAAGGAGGGTGGGGTACACATTAACAACCAGTGGCTGACCCCGGTCATCATGATGAGCGCCGCGGTGAACTCCAGGATGGCGACGCCCGCGGCGATGAAGATGCGCTTCTCCTTCGTCTTCGGCCAACGATCAACGACGGCCGAGACGACCGTCTCGATGTAGACTAAAGGGAAGGTGACACGCAATCGCAAAGACGTCACCAAGCTGGGTGCTAGCGCCGAGCAGGAACAACATCAGGAAGAAGATGCCGGCCCACAGCCACGGAAGGTCCATTGTCGAGATGGCTTCCGGGTAGGCGATGAAGGCGAGGCCCATTGCTAAAATCCCCCAGATTTCCGAACTTGTTGCAGACGCCTACAGCTAGCCACGGCGTCCTCGACCTTGATGTTCTTCATATGGGCGATGTAGCCGACCACCGAGAACGCGGCGACACCGCCGAAGATCGACATGCCGGCGTCGGCGCTGGCGACGATGATCGCGTCCTGAAAATCGGGTTGAACAGCTTGAAGCGGGGGGGTGGTGGGCACTAACCCGCATTGTGTTCTGGTTGGGCTGGTTGTAGGAGGCCATCGAGCCGAGGCCGCCCATACCGACGGAGAGGGAGAAGCAGACTTGGGAGAGCGCGTTTTTCCAGGTCTTAAGGGAGAGGAAAGTGAGAGAGAGCCTGAGAGAGCCAGAGAGAGAGAGAGAGAGAGAGAGAGAGAGAGAGAGAGAGAGAGATGGGCCAGAATGGCTCGTTCACCGAAGGTGAAAGCAGCTTCTCCATCTTCGGCTCGAGCAGGTAGAAGCTGACGCCGTCTTTCGCGCCGGGCAGGGTGACGCCGCGGAAGAAGAGGATCACTTAAGGACGCGTCTTCAAGGAGTTATCTCCCAAAGGAGCAAGACCGGTGAGTCTCCTCCTGGTAGCTGCTCACCCATGATGATGTAGGGCAGCGTGGCGGTGAGGTAGGAGGCATAGCCGAGCACGGACACTCCCTTCCACATGATGGCAATCTCCAGTATCCAGACGATGGCCAGTGCGACCGTGTTCTGAAGGGGTAAGAGTTGGTTGTGGCTGCTCATCTATGACCTTGGTGATCGGCATGCCGAGGTCGTCCCAGCCGGCGGAGCGTTGCAGCGTATCCTTGCTGAAGATGAGATCAATTTTTAAAAAACGTCTTTTTGCATACGCCCAGAACTGCTCGGTGGCGGTGGCGAGGAGCAGTGGCTCCTTATTTGAGAACGTGTCGTAGCGCCGCGCCTGAAGTGGGGGTTCTTTCGCGTTATCGGGGGGGGGGGGCTTATCGCGGATGCAACGTTTATCCTCAATCTAAGCATCCAATTTTTAACTGAGAATAGAGGGGGTGTTTCTAAACCGTTGGTTACCATTTCAAAACAGGTACTGTTCTATTTCGCCGGGGGTGGGGTGGGGGAAACTGTGCGGGGGGAAATTTTCTTCATTTTGTTATAACTCTTTTATATGCTTCTATTTTGAGTTGTAATTAAAACTCTTAGTATATTTTTTGACACTCTATCGAATGGCATTAAAGGAATTTTTGAAAAATATCGAAAATGTCGAAAATTAGCTTTCGACTCCACGATCCCATGTGGAAACACCGTATAAAACTTGTTTTTGCTATAACTTTTTTATAAAACCATATTTTTCGATGAAATTAAAATTCTTAGTATATTTTTCGATGCTCTATCGAATGACAGGTTCACAATATCGAAAACCTGGCGAAAATGGCAAAAACTAATATTCCGGCACCAGTTTCAGTAGTTTTTTTTTTTGTTTTTGCTATAACTTTTTTATATTACAATATTTTTAGCTAAAACAAAAACTCTGATTACCTATCATTATCTCGAAAATCAACATCTCGAAAATCAACATATCGAAAATAAACATCTCGAAAGTTCATTATCTCGAAAGTTAATTATCTCGAAAGTTAATTATCTCGAAAGTTCATAAACTTGAAACCCGGTCCTTACCATTCTACTCCATCTTTTGTTATCAACCCGATATTGATGTCACAAATAAAATAAAAGGCATTTGTTCCGATATGTCATTCAATCGACGGTCTGAAAAATTCACTTGACGAAGCTAATGGTTTCATAAGCATCATAGCTCTCGCAGAGGGCTTGTTGCGCCTGGCAGTCGGGACGCAGCTCTTTAGCCTTGTATTCTTGTTGCTGCATTTCCAGAATTCGACTGTTCGAGATATTTAACTTTCGTGATAATGAACTTTCGAGATAATGAACTTTCGAGATAATGAACTTTCGAGATGTTGATTTTCGAGATGTTGATTTTCGAGATAATGACAGAACCCCAAAAACTCTTAGTATATTTTTTGATGCTCTATCGAATGGCGTTGCAAAAATCCCGAGAAAATAGCGAAAAGATGAAGTTTCCGCGAAGCATATTTTCCCCCCCCCGCACAGTTTCCCCCCGCGCGAAATAGAACAGAACCTCAAAACAAAACATGTTTCTTTAGGATTTCGGAGGGGGCGGAAACCAATTTTTTTCGGCACAGGCCTAAATGCCATGCGTTTCTAAATGGTTTTTAACTATTCCTGAGCATAAAAAATACCCACATCCTACTATATATATAAAAAAAATAGTGTATGTGTGTGTGTGTAGCTTTGCATGCAACTTCCGTCAGTATGTTCCGGTCGTATCTCGATAGAGAAAGGGTTTTAGAGCATGTTTGATATGTCATTAGATGCGTAATGGTCTCGGAACCACTGCACACATGTAAAATCGCCGAAAAAGTGCTATTTTCGATATTAAAATTAGGTTTTTAGTAAAAACCAGGGTTGAAAAGCCGCTTCGCGACTTTTCAACCCTGGCCCCGTCTAACCCTATGATTTTCTTCGTTTTGCATAATCGTGCCCCAATTCCGATGACAAAAAATGAAAAACGCTCCCTTTGAGCCTTCATATAGGCCACAGCGACTTCCGGCGTATGCTAATTTTATCGTAACAAAGTGGGTGTCGGAATTTTTGAGAAAAACTTAATTTTAATGTCGAAAACACCATATTTTACAAAATCTGATATGTGTGCAGTCATCTCCAGTCCATTACGCATCTAATGGCGTATCAAACACCTCCTCAAACCCATCTCCTCTCGAGATATCCTCTGGACACCCTGACGGAAGTTGCATGCAAATGCACACACACACACACAAACACTATTTTTTTATATATAGTAGGATTTCGGTCATCCGCTTTGTTAGGAATCAATTAGCATGCGCCGGAAGTGAGAAAAGCCTATATAAAGAGACCTAAGACGTATTTTTCATTTTTGGCACTGCGGTTCGCGAGAATTATGCAAATTGCGAACTCTCATTGGGCAAGACGGGGCCAGGGTTGAAAAGTCGCGAAGCGGCTTTTCAACCCTGGTTTTAATTAAAAAATTTAATTTTGGGTCGAAAAATCCTATAGAACCTTTAGGATTAGCGGGGGGGGAAGACCCAAAATAACTGCATCTTCGACTTTTTCAAACATTTTTCTAACTTTTTTGGAAGGTTTTTCTACTTTAAATATAGTTAAAATTGACTAAAAACAATGTGAAAACACTTTATATTTGATTACTAGGTCAACCGGGACAACCAGGAAAAAATTTGGTTCCTCCCCCGGAAATCCTTTCTCCCCGGAAATCCTAAAGAACCCATAACATTTTGATCAGGTTTGGTTAAAAAATCAAAAGTCGGAATTTTTCACGGAAAAGTGACTGGATTTCCCCCAAACTTTCAACTAAATTTTCTTGAAAGTTCTTTTTATTATTATTATTATTTTTGTAATGTCTTGCTTATTACTAAAAACATCATTAAAATTCTTCCGGCCACTGGACGAGACATTTTTGGGCTGCTAGACCTCGTAGAACCAAAAATGGTACTAATGGTACCGTAGCCTATTGGGTCCAAAGCCTTTCTCTCGCCCTCACCTTGTCTCTCTATCGCTCTCGCTCTCTCTCTCTTTATTTATTATTCCCTCTCTTCCTCCACTGACCTCCGACACGTTGTCCTGCTTCGAGACCCACTCGAGGGCAGTTTTGGACACGCATTTGCCCATGTGGTTGATGGGCGCGGACGAGTTTTTCTCTGCACAGTCCTTCGAGAGAAAGATGCATGTGCCTGAAAAGAGGTAGGTTCGTAATTTGCGAGATAAAAAGCAGGTATAATCGGGTATCCAAATACCAACGATTGTCATTCCAAGAATTGCCGCACTTTGTCCACGTTTCGATCGACGGGACCTTGGTGAGGTAGAGGGCAATCCTGAAGAGCAGAGACTAGAGAAAGCGAGAGAGAGCGAGAGAGAGGTAGTGAGTGAGAAAACGAGGCCCATACCAGGTGACAATGACGTTGTAGTACATGCTGAGGAGGAAGGAGACGAGCGCCATGCACCAGCCAATGCCCTGCAGGATGGGCTTGCACTTGTAGAAGGACATGCTGGGACCGGCCTAAAAAGATCGTGGACGCCGACTCGACGGAGTTCGGGCACCTGCAGGTATTGACCGAGGCTCATCTCGAAGTAGAGGAGCGGCATGCCGAAGAAGATGTTGCAGAAGATGTAGGGGAACAGGAAGGCGGCTGAAAATGTTAGATTGGAGAGACAGAGCGAGAGAGAGAGAGAGAACGAGAGAGATAGAGAGAGACTGCCCACCTCCACCATTCTCATACGCCAAGTAGGGGAAGCGCCAAACGTTCCCGAGCCCAACCGAGTAGCCGATGCAGGTGAGGATGAACTGAAACCAATTGCCCCAGCGGTCGCGTGGCGGCTCGCTCTCCTTGGTCTCCGTCGTCTCGCCACCGCCGGCCGACGGTTCCGGCGTGGTGGGCGGCGCTGAAGCGGGTGCGGCGTCTCTGAAACTATACCTGGTTACTGTACCCTAATTAGCATCCAAGAGCACGTCCCCAGAAAAATCAAAAAAATAATCCTAACGTCATCGAAGCGGCCGAGTGGGGTTGGCGGGGGATGAAAGTGGAGCACTTATTTTGCCTTGTGTTTATATACCCGGAAATGTATGCAAATTTCGGCAATTTCCGTAAAAAAGTGGGAAGCGATCAGATTTTAAGTGATTGGATTCTAATCCGGTTGGCGGTCACGATTTCGAAAATCACCATTTCGAAAATCACGATTTCGAAAAATCACCATTTCGAAAATCACCATTTCGAAAATCACGATTTCGAAAAGACACCATTTCGAAAATCACCATTTCGAAAAGTCACCATTTCGAAAATCACCATTTCGAAAATCACCATTTCGAAAATTACCATTTGGGAAACACAGGATTTAGCAATAGCCCATTTTCCAGTCGCAGAAAAAATGATTTTCGTTGGCTGGTTTGAGGTTCGGGGGTCTATTTTTCCACTGCAGATACGATTAATTTCATTATAGACACCACTAAAACAATTTCTATTACATCACTAGTCATATCCGAGAAAAACCGTGGTTTTTCGACACTGCAATTTTTATGCCTGTTTGAAGAACGGGTCTTTTCGAACTGGGGATTTTTTCGAAATGGTGTTTTCGAAATGGTGTTTTTCGAAATCGTGACTTTTCGAAACGGTGATTTTCGAAATGGTGTCTTTTCGAAATGGTGTCTTTTCGAAATGGTGATTTTCGAAATGGTGATTTTCGAAATGGTGATTTTTGAAATGGTGATTTTTCGAAATGGTGATTTTCGAAATGGTGATTTTCGAAATGGTGATTTTCGAAATCGTGACAGGGAATCTTCTAATCCAGATCAAATGATTTTTCACAAGACGTATCAGAATCTTTATCGAAAGCCAGAAAAAACGAGCGTGGCATCACAAGCGGTGAGCAAATCTCTGAGGAATCTATGTGGAAATTTCTATGCGTCGGGGAGAGGTGAGTGACGTGGTCTACATCTGCTGCGGCGACTCGTTGACGTCTTCGGGGGCCGGCGACTCGGCTTGGCTGCCATCGGGGTCTGAAATTTACTTGATAACCAGGGTTGAAAAGCCGCTTCGCGACTTTTCAACCCTGGTCCCGACTTAGCCAAAGAAAGTTCTCAATTTGCATAATTCTCGCGAACCTCAAAAAATGAAAAATACGTCATTGGTCTCTTCATATAGGCTTTCCTCACTTCCGGCGCATGCTAATTCATTTCTAACAAAGAGGGTGACGGATATTTTTAGAAAAATCTAATTTTAATATCGAAACTAGCCCTTTTTTGGCGATTTGGCATGTGTGCAGTCGTCACGAGACGATTACGCATCTAATGACGTATCAAACATACTCTAAACCCCTTTCTCTATCGAGATACGACTGGAACATACTGACGGAAGTTGCATGCAAAGTTACACACACACACATACACTATTTTTTTATATATAGTAGGATAGGATAGGATAGGATACCGGGTTATTAGAGGTACTGGCAAGGGAGAGCTAGGATTTGATGTCACTTGTGGGCATTTCGTGAAAAATAGGAGGAACTGCGTGGAAATCACGCGTAGCTGTCCACACCAAAGACACTTAGATCGTCGAATTTAGCCTTTGCTACCCCTTTAAACAATCCCACCTCCATTCCCCTCCATTTTCCGGGGGACTCCAGCGGGGAAGAGCAACCAGTCGATGATGCCGGGTTGCGCGATCCCGGCCGCCTCCTCTTTGCGCAGCCGTTTGTAGGAGGGGTGCGAAGGGTGGGCACGGTAGGCGCCGGAGGGGTCCTGTAGCAGAACATCTGCTTTATTGGCTGCTAAAGCCCTACCCCTCGGCTCTTGTGTTTGAAGATGTTCCACGCGCCGATGCCGGGGATGAAGGCGAGGGCAATCAAGGGCAAGCACCAGCCGACGATGCCGGTCCACGCTGAAGTATCGTACGTGTCGGTGCTTTTGCATTACCGGGTGGCGATTTTTTAGCTCTCTCTCTCTCTCTCTCTCATTTCTCTCTCTCTCTCCTCTCTCTTTCGTCACCTACCCGGGATCCACGGCGGCGGCTGGAAGCTGGTGATCACGTTGAAGACGGACAACACCTAGACAGCTCACAGCTTTTTCCCACTACCACGACGAACCATGTTCAAGCAGGGCCCGACGGCCATCCACGACATGAAGAAGAAGTAGCCGGTGTACCCAAAATATCGGCCGATGGCCGTCTCCGGCGCGCCGAACATCATCTCCAGGTCGTGGCGCCAGTTTTGCCAGCCTGTCGATGTCGCGTGGAAGTGAGTAGGAAGGCGTACCGTACACGTAGATGACGGCCACGACCTCCAGGAAGCAGACGAAGCACATCGCCATCGAGCTGTGCTGGTCCCACACCATCAGCCAGTAGCTGCCAGCCTGAGGATGTGGACTAAGGCGTGGCTTAGGCTTAGGCTTAGGCTTCGGCTTCGGCTTCGGCTTAGGTTTAGGCTTCGGTTTAGGCTTCGGCTTAGGCAGTTAGGCATGTCTAGGATTTGGCTTTGATACTCACCCCGGTGCAGAACACGATGCCGGCCAAGAACCCTAGCAGGCACGCGCTGGCGCCGATCACCGGCCGCCAGCTTTTCAGCTCCCAGCGCTCGCTGACGGCCGCGACGACTGTTTCCATGTAGACTGAAGTGCTTTCTCTCTCTCTTTCTATCTCTCGCCCTTTCTCACTTTTTCTCTCCCATTCTCTCTCTCTCTCTCTATCTCTCTCTCTCTCTCTCTCTCGCTCCCTAACCCACCAATCTGCGTGCTGAACCCGAGAAGAAAGAGCATCAGGAAGAAGGTGAAGCACCACCAGGGCGCACCCCAAGTCCCCGCGATCGCATCCGGGTAGGCGACAAAGGCGAGAAGTAATTCTGAATTTCTGTCTCACAAGGAGTGTCCTTTTGGTGTCATCGGCAAAACGATTCGAGACCCAGCTCATTCGATAGAGAATTGAATTCTGAACAAGGCTGTGTTGTTCATTTTTACGGAATGGCTGTCCCTGATTTTATAGAATTAAAAAACCAAGCGCGAAACCTTAACAACTCGCTCCCCAGGCACCAATGTATGGGCGTCGCCGGCAGTTTTTTAATTTTATAAAATCAGGGACAGCCATTCCGCAAAAATGAACAACACAGTCTTGTTCAGAATTCAATTCTCTATCGAATGAGCGGGGTCTCAAATCGTTTTGCCGATGACACCAAAAGGACACTCCTTGTCAGCTTTCCAGTGTCTGGCTTACTATCACTGACGATCTCGTCGAAAGGAATGTGCTGAACAGAAGCGAGATGGCCGAGCACGCCGAATACGGCCGTCGCCCCGAGCAACGACATCAAGATGTCGGCGCCGACGACGATCAGGGAGTCCTGGAAGTTTTAAAATGACATTGTTTCGAGCTTGAGGCTGTCATTTTGCATTCCCAGGAGAGAGCTCAAGCAGTTCAAGCCATTTAGGGTCTGCCGAACAGATTTTCGTGGACAAAGCGGATTTTGAACGACAGGTTCAAGAAGTTCAATGCCCAAAACCCACCATCAGCGTATCATGGCTCTGGTCATTGTATGAGGCCAAAACTTGGACGCCGCCCAGCCCGACCGACAGGGAGAAGCACACCTGCGTGATGGCGGCTTCCCAAGTCTAAAAAACTTTCGGTACTGGGGTGTTAGCGGGGTCCAGTGTCACCTGCTGCTCGAACAGCTTCATGTAGCCCTTGCCATCGGGGAACCAAATGAACTGCTGGATGCCCAGCCACGAGCCCTCCAGCATGACGGCGCGCACGACGAGGACCGCTTGAATGGTGTGTGAGCATCTCCCGTAACGCGACTCACCCATGATGATGTACGGGATCGTGCCAGCGATGTAGGCCAACAGGCCGATAGCTTTCAGCCCAAACGCTAGAATCAGGGCGACCAGGCCCCAGACGACGGCCTGCGCGATGATGCTCTGGTATTGGGCAGTTGCGTTTTTTTTCGGGACTAGCTAACCTGCCACTGGATCTCCCCAAAGTCGGTGATGCTCCCCGTGACGCCAAGCACGTTTTGGCTGGAAGAAAATTTTGGTTCTTTGCTCTTTCCTTTTTCTTTTCTTTTCGGGTCGTCGGGCCCCCCCCCCCCGATAAGGCAAAAGCACCAAAATCTATACTTTTGGGTACCAAAGCGCGCGGAGTTACGCATGCGGCTTACCTCAAGTGCAAGTTCGTCGCCGTCCACAGGGTCTCGGTCAGGTTTTGCGGCACGACCAAGCACGTCTCCATGGCGCTGGACCAGTAGGAGGACTCGTTGTCCGACCCCTCCCGCTCCACGCACTTCCGGTAGTCGAAGGCCGAGACGCACACTAAGGATAGGTTGATCCGTTGCTATGTGGCTCGCTTTCTCTCCCTCGTTCTCTCTTTTTCTCTCGTTCTCTCTACTCCAAAAAACCCACAATCATGATGCCCCGTCTTGCTGTAGTACCACTCGCAGCGACTCCACGTGTCCACCGAGAACGACGCCGTCATGTAGTAGCCGATCCTGTCACGACACCTTCAAAAATTTCCAGTCTTACCAGGCGATGACGACATTGTAGTGGATGGCGATGAAGAACGAGACCGCCACCATCGACCAGCCGACGCCCTGCATTACCGGCTTCAACATGTGGAACGCCGTGCCGGGACCAGCCTTCAAAGATCCCAAATCGCCTTTGCTAGCTTACTCACCTGTAAATATTGTCCGAGGCTGAACTCGAGGTAGAGCAGCGGCAACCCGAAGAAGATGTTGCATAACAGGTAGACGAACAGGAAGGCGGCTGAACGGACGAGAGTGGCTAGAGAGAGAGAGAGAGAGAGAGAGAGAGAGTGAGAGAGAGACTGCCCACCTCCACCATTCTGATACGCCAAGTACGGGAATCTCCAGACGTTGCCCAGGCCGACGACGTAACCGATGCAGGTGAGGATGTATTGGATGTAGTTGTGCCAACGTTCCCTGTCCTCTGGAGCACGAGGTGGAGCCTCAGAAGCGCCGGGCGCTGGGTTGGAAGGAGGTCGCGGCTGCGAGTTGGAAGGCTGACGATCGTTAGAGTCATCTCGGGATCCAGGCGGGGGCTGCTCCTCGCTGGAAAGGAGTCAGGATTAGCTTAAGTTAGGTTTAGCATAGGCTGATGATACTTCGGCTTAGGCTCAGACTTAGACTTAGGCTTAGGCTGGCTTCGTCTGGCTTAATGTTAGGCTTGGCTTAGGTTGGTCCAGGTTAGGCTTGGACTTAGGCTCATTCCTAGGCTTAAAGGGATGTCGACGGCATAGTCAATCGGTTACGCGCGGAAAAGAAAATTTCTCTGCGCCTCTGGCGTGGACGCGTTTTATCCCCTGTTGGCTACTTGCCAATTTGCTGATGAGGGGGGATCGACACATGCCGTCGGCAGCCCTTTAAGCTTAGGCTAAGGCATCAAGTCAAGTATAATCTGAAAAGCCCTACACCCCGGAGTTCCTGTTATCAGCCGAATCCTGCATTAAAGCTGACGTAAATGAGCTGATCGCGCTCGAATCTGGGTTACACTCTTTTCCATGGAATTCAAAGCTCTGATTATAACGCTTGGCAGTTGCTCAAGTTATGCAAATCACTAATGCACACTCCTTTATCGAAAAAACGCCTTCCGGCACCCGGGCGGTAAGCATGGAACGAGCAAAATCTACGTCGAATTACAATGCAAAAACAAGAGACAAAGAGAAGATACAAAAAAAGATAAGGAAAGGGGGCAGGAGGTGGTCAAAGAAAAATACAAAATCGAGTTCTTGGGGCGAGTCGGGGCTACGGTAGTAGGTAGTCAGGCGAAGCGTCTGGAGCTTCTCGAGTTCGGGTTGTGGCGCGTAGTCGATTTTGTTGACCTCATCGAATGCGCGGCCGCCAGCGACTTGATGGACTTTCCGGAGCTGGACGAATTGGTCGATTTGTTTGACTTCGTGGACTTGGTTTGATAGCTCGATTTCTCATCCGTTTCCGTGCTTCTCGTCAGAAGGGCGTCTGAAAATTGGGTTCTCGGTAATTTGGCGGGTATCATCCCGATCCGACGCTTCTCCGTCGAGTTAGAGGGGTTTTTTTCTTTTATCGGGACCATTTATTTTTGAATATCTCTTTGCATAGGGGTATCTCCAATACTTCCGGAATTTCGAGATTCCGAAATTCCGAGATTCCGCCATTTCGAGATTCGGAAATTTCGAGATTTCGAAATTTCGAGATTCAGAAATTTCGAGATTCCGAAATTTCGAGATTCAGAAATTTCGAGATTCCGACTATCACCCGTGCAAAATCATCGTCAACCGAGGAAAAATTTTAAAGTTTTGTTAAATTGTTTCAGACGCAAAAAACTTGGAAAAGACAAGACAAAAAACACGTTTACTACTGATTCATCGCCCAAAAATGATCCGTTTTCATCGAATTTAAAGTTTTACCTCATTTTCGAAATTTGTAGACCTTTTTTGACTAGGAGCACAGCTTTATTACTTTACCAAATGTAACTTTCTGTACTTTAGTATAATTATAAGTTGCTACATCACGAGCCCTTTCTCGCTAGAAGGAATTTTGATTTTGCAGGTCCTAAAGTTAAGCGCAAAGTCTTAAAATTTCATACAAGCGCTACTGAAAAATTTGACTTCACATCCCCTTTAAAACGATCATAATGAAGTAAGAGCTAAAATCCATACCATCATCCCATCCATCGGCTCCAGGCAGGAATCGATCCAAGAACCCGGGGCACGCCACGCCGGCGGCGGCCTCCTTTTTGAGGCGCGCGTACGAGCGGTGCTTCTCGTGGACACGGAAGGCGGCTTTTGTATTCTAAAAATCCTAAATTTTGATCCTCAACACTCAATTTTATTTTAAACAGCTGCCAACTACCGAATATGATGCGAAAACTGACCCCCTGGCTACGGTAGAAGCAGATATTCCATAGCAGGCACCCCGGGATGCAGCCGACGACGAACACGGCCAACGCCCACCCAATCAGCGTCACCCACCCTAAGAAATTCGCGTTTTAAAGGCGCTTGCAGATTTCAGACTCGACCCACCCACGTCTACTAGGTCTCGACAGTTATGTAATTGCTTTAAAAACAGCAGTCCGTAATCTAATCAACCCGTTACATATCGTCAGCTAGGTGTCGCGCCCAATCACGCGGAAAGCCGATACTGCTCAACAATCGTAAGTATGTTTTAGTCCCGCGTGACTGTCAGGACCTAGTCGATCCGCGGGGTCGATTCTGGCCGGTTCTCGGTCCCTTTAAAGGACCCCTGAAGGCAGCACCCACAATAGTTCTCGCCATCTTGAATTTCTTTGACGCTCTTCGAAACGGAGAACAGGATCATTAGCTGAAGTCGGCGCTTTAGACAAGTGAGAGAAAGAGTGAAAGGGAAAGAGCCAGAGAGAGAGAGAGAGAGAGAGAGAGAGCGAGAAGAGAGCGAGAGACAGGGAGAGAGAAAGTTCTGGCACCCACCGCACCCATACAAGGTCCGATGGCCATCCACGACATGAAGAAGTAGTAGCCGGTGTACCCGAAGTATCGACCGAACGTCGACTTGGGCGGGCCGAACATCGCCTCGAGGTCGTGGCGCCAGTTTTGCCATCCTATTCCAATTTAATGGACCGTTGAAGGCACCTACCGTACACGTAGCTGATGGCCACAATCTCGAAGAAGCACACAAAACATAGCGCCATCGAGCTGAAGTCGTCCCACAGCTTCAGCCAATGGACGCCGGACTGGAAGTAGAAGATCAGCAAAAGAGAGGGAGAGCGAGAGATAGATAGAGAGAGAGAGAAAGAGCGAGTGATACGCTACCCCAAAGCACATCAAGAACCCGGGCCAGAAGCAGACGAAGCAGACGATAATGCTGATGCGGAGACGCGAGGTCTTGAATTGGGGCCATCGATCGACGAATGCCGACACGACCGTTTCCATGTAGACTGAAAAAGAGAAATCGATTCCTTCTCTTTTCCGATTTCGCCCCTCCCCCCCCCCCCCGGTAACGCACAAATACCACTCACCAATCTGGGTGCTGATCCCGAGCAGGAAGAGCATGAGGAAGAAGATGAAACACCACATCGGGGCCAGGAAGATGGTCGAGATCGCTTCCGGGTAGGCGACGAAAGCCAGGGTCACGCCTGAAGTCATTGGGTGAGTATGAGTCTGAGCTTTAGTTGCCGTTTTCTACAACGTCTTCTATCTGGCAGCCCTTGACCATGGCGAGGTGGCCGAGGACCGAGAAGACGGCCACACCGCCGAAGATCGACATGCCGGCATCGGCCAGGGCGACGATGAGGGCGTCATGAAGGTGGGTTAGAGAGAGAGTGAGACGAGGGAAAGAGCGAGAGAGTGCGACTCACCCGCAGCGTGTTGTGCTTCGGCTCGTTGTACGACGCCATCGACTGCAGCCCGCCGACGCCGACCGACATCGAGAAGCACACTTGCGAGAGGGCGGCTTTCCAGGTCTAAAGCAAGTCTCGGATTTGATTTTTTGTCCAGAAGCTCACAGCCGCATCGGTCAGCTTGGCCATGTCGGGGCGAAGTAGGTAGTGCTCGATTCCGATCGACGCGCCGTCGAGCATGATCCCGCGAGCGAAGAGGATCGCTAAAAATTCTTTGAATATTTTTTAGGGACTAAGGAGAGCGAGAATTCAACCCTTCTGTTGACTGGAGCTCGACTGTTATGTGACGCTCGTGTACGTTTTCTACCCAACCTGTTACGTTTTTCATAGTTTTCAAGACCCAGAAGATTTGAGGGGTAGATTCTCGCGCATCCTGGTCCCTTTAAAGGTAGATGAAAATGGTGTTCCAAAAAAAAAAACCGGACGGATCAAAACCAAAATTCTCATCCCCCTGCTAACAGTCCAGTACCAAAAACCCACCTATGATGAAGTACGGTACCGTGGCTGTGACGTAGGCAACCGATCCAATCACGGCCACCCCCTTCCACAGGATGAGCACCACCAGAAGCCAGACGACGATCAGCGCGATCAGGTTCTGTAATTGCAAACCTTTTTAGAGGCCGGATCCCCACCTTGATCTGGAACTGGCCGAACACGCTGATGTCTTTCGTGTCGCCGAGCATGAACTTGCTGAAAAATGCGTAAATTTTTATGTCTTTTCCGCTTCAAACGATAAGCTCCTCTCCACTCACTCCAAAAATATCTGCGTCGCCGTGATCGTCTGGTTGAACGGGGCGAGGCTTGGCCAGCACGTGTGATTGTAGGCGTACGGCGTCTTGTTCCCGTAACGGTCCTCCGCTTCTCGGCACCAGATCTCGTTGTCCTGGACGGAGATGCAATCTGGAAAAACTTCATTGTCGTCTGAACAGCTTGGAAAGTTCGGGGCCGAATTTGCACCCACGTGGATTGTACAGCTCGGAGCTGTGGTCCCACTCGCATTTGGTCCACTCCTGAACGCGGGCGGCCTGCTTGAGGTAGAGGAGGATCCTGAAGAGTGAGGGTGAGAGAGAGAGAGAGAGAGAGAGAGAGAGAGAGAGAGAGAGAGGTCGTACCAGCTGATGATGACGTTGTAGTACTGGCCAATAAGCAACGACACGGCCGCCATGGCCCAGCCGATGCCCTGCAGGATGGGCTTCATCAGGAAGAAGGACATCCCGGGACCTCTCTAAATCGAGAAATAATAAAATTTCCTGCAAGATGAAACCTGTAAATATTGGCCGAGGCTGAACTCGAGGTACAGCAACGGCATGCCGAAGAAGACGTTGCAGCAGATGTAGGGGAGCAGAAAGGCGGCTGAAAATCAGAGATGAGGAGAGCGAGCGTGCGAGAGAGAGAGAGAGAGAGAGACTGCCCACCTCCACCATGATGATACGCCAAGTAGGGGAAGCGCCAAACGTTGCCGAGGCCGACCGCGTACCCCACGCAAGTCAGTATAAATTGCAAGTAGTTGCCCCAGCGATCCCGCGACGGCAGACGCTTCGGCTTTTCGAGTTCAGCTAGGAGGTACGGTATTTGGGACATGGGGCAGGAAACCAACTTGGGCTCGCCGAGTCCGACAGCAGCGCTAACCGGCTTTCACTGAAAAACACCGGTAGCGTTTGGCTTGGCTTAGGCTTAGGCTCACTAGGGAGGTATCTGAACTCGGCATCGAACTTTAAGAAGTCAGATACACCATTCGACGCGCCTTGTCGAGAAGATTCCAAATATATAATAACATCAACCAGAGCGTATAACCGTAAAAAGTTATGAGCATTCGAAGCCGACAAAATGGTGAAAAACAGTATCTTTGAGACCCTGTATCATCCCGCGGAATGGAATTTAGTCTAAACTGATTAGTGCTCATTGTTCAACAAAGAAAGCTCTTTCAAATGAGCTATATTACATATGGCTGCCAAAAATTTCCGCAAAAAATATTTTTGGAATGCAGTGTAAGGGCAGAGTATGGCCAGTTTGCCGAAGATGTTTCGAGAATTTCGCGTAAATCCTATGTAAGATAGCTCATTCGAAAGGGAATTTTCTGCTGATGAAGATGCACTGTTACATTTTTGACAAATTACATTCTTCGAATTCGTACAGAGTCTTAAAAGGGCGGTTTTTGACGATTTTGCCAACTTTGATATAGAGAGCGTCCAATCCTGGTCTTGTTGCCCGAGGTTATTTTATCATCGCTGGTGCCTCTTAGGGGCCACACAGTCAAGAAAAACTTATTCCCGAGTTTGGAAATGCAAAAAGTACGAACTGGTCAAAAAGCAAAAAATAAAAATCGTGAGCGGATCCGAACCCTGGTCATACAGGTCGGAGACCCATGCGCACACCACTAGGCCACGGGGCCGATGAACAGGGTGCGCTGGGAGGGGCTCATATCGCCGCGGCGGTTTTCGCTGCAAAACTTAAAACGCTCATAACATTTTATCGTTATAGGCTCTGGTTGATTTTATTACATATTTGGAATCCCCTCGACAAGGCGCGTCGAATGGTGTATCTGACTTCTCAAAGTTCGATGCCGAGTTCAGATACCTCCCTAGTCAGGCTTAGGTTTACGCACACGTCACAAGCTCCACCTGCTCATCAACGAAACTGGGGGCAACGGGGTGAGTAGAATAATGATGTCTATGTTTCATTTCTTTGCGTTCTTTTTGAATCCGTAATTCATATGCAAATTAGGCAGGAACCCGTTTATTCGTTCAACGCAACAAGTTAGGCCTCCCGGGCTTGGGCTTCAAGGATGTCTCGCACTTCCGTCATGATTTCGCGGATTGTCTCCTGGATTTTCGCCTTGGCGGAAGCGTGCTCGGCTTCTAAAATGACTTTTAATTATTCCAATATACTTTTTATACCTGACAAGCCCTTCTTGATATCATTTTCATGATTTCGAGGGTTGTAGCTCAAGACGATTAAGGCACAGGCAGGTAGGGAGAGTCGGAACGCTTTTTGGATCTGAAATGTGGATATTTTGAGGATGGACAATTTTTAAAGGGGCTGAAAAGCTTACAAGTCTGCCCCTTGTTCCAACTAGGTCTCGACAGTTACGTGAAATGCTCTACTGGCACTTCAACTTCAAAAAAGCTTCAAAACTGGAAGCTTGTGAGTACCATGAGCTGGCGGGGAGAAGGGAATAGAAGACGATGATATGGATTTCGAGACCCAGCAGCCAGAAGGGGTCGAATCTTTTGCTTACCGAGCTCTTTAGAGTATCTATGGTGCCAAAAGGAACGTGAAATTCGTCCTAGAAAACCAAAAATCGCTAAATACCTGCGCTTCGGTATATGCAGGTGTCTTTTCACCGTGATACTGCTTGTATTGGTTGTAATAGTAATGGAGCAGCTCGGCCCAACTATAAAGTCATCACTATTAACGAAATTTGAAGAAGAACGTACTGTTCCTTCCTCGACTCGTTCTCCAACGCGAAGAGGTACAGCTTGGCGAGATCTTCGCCAGGGTTACCCGGTCGCCAGCCCTAGAAATTGACGATCAGATGGGTCTAGAAGTAAAACTTCAGTGACCCTTTCAAGGTCCCTTTTTTATCCAAAAAGCCATAGTCTGATGCCACTCCTTAAAAAAGCAGGTATTTGTACCTGCCAGTCGAGCACGGCGTCCAGCTGGTGCTCCCCATTGGTCGAATCCGTCCAAAGAACGTTGCAGCGCCACAGGTCGGCGTGGATCAGGGATTGGACGGCGCCTAAAACGCATTGAATTTAGAAGCCTAAGCTAAGCCTAAGCCTAAACCTAACCAAACCTAAGCCTAAGCCTAAGATTAAGCCTAAGCCTAGGCCTAAGCCTAAGATAATCCTAAGCCCACGTTAAACCTACCCAATTTTTTGGGGACCCCAAGTAGCTGATCTTTCGACACAAGCCCGTCTTCAGCAGCGAGCTTAAAGATTTGCTCGAAAAGCTGCTTCGAGTCGTCGCCAAGGAAAGCCGCTAGGTTGTCGCAGGCACTTTTCAGGGCCTAAAATAGCAGGAAATTCATGCTGGATAATTTTAAAGGCTTTTGTAAGCGCTAGAATCGACGTTTCTGTCGAGTGCGTTCTGACAGGTACGCAAAACGCTTTTTTGGACATATAAACACCAAGAACCGACATCCTTGTTCAGCTGTATGTCTAAGATGCTCATCACCGCTGGCGAGGCATCAAAAAAGTGGTCGTGCTTCTCTTTGGTGAAATGAGCTACAAATAATGATTTCTCAATTTTCGAAGCGATACCATCAACGGCGTGCAGCGCTGCCAAATCGTCGAGGATCTTCTTGGTCGCCTCAATCCCGGCGAATTCATGGGTGAACGGGTTCTTCCCGTTCGCCAGCTCCATCACGAGGTAGGCTATAAAAAAGTCGCGTTCTTGTGTGTTTTCGGAGGGACACCAAATTTCGGACGTTGTTTTTCGTACCATTAGATGAGATTTTTTACACTGTTTTTACTATAGCTAAACGTTAACAAAATAAAAAAAGCCATCAACGACAAAAATCGTCATTTTCCATTTTTTTTGGCGCAGCAAGAAACCTCCACCGATAATGCAAAAGAACCGGAAATTGTGATTTTAAGAGCCTGTAGCCTACCGGAATCTAAGCCGGCCTCAAATTTCTTCGCGCAGACGAATTGCGGGGTGACGATCCGCCTCGGGATCTTTGGGAGGATGGCCTGGAAGAAATCGACCTCGCGGTTGTGCACCTGAAATTGCGGGGTTGAAAAAGACGGTGACGTCAGAATTTGAATCCTATAATGTTGGACGATAAACAAAAGAGCATTAAAAACTTAGATGTCAAGCCAAAAAGGAATGGAGAAAAATTGTTTTCCACTGACCAGCTTGACGAGCCCGGCCATCGAGTCGGCCGCACCGGCTCCGTAGAGGCTGACGAGCTGAAAAATAATTCATAAATTTTTAGAAAAACCATTCTTTAGGTTTTCTTGTCTGCAACAATAAAAAAAGAAAAAAATCCAAATTTATAAAAACCGACGTCTTTGCGATTTTTTTGTTTGCAAATGCTTTCAAAATGTTTTTCAAAGCACCAAATATTCGAAATTAAGTGCTTGAAAAACGTTTTGTATAAATTAGATGACTTACGCCATATCCAAGTCAGTTTTCAAATCCCCCTTACCTTGCTCCAGGTAGGGAGCTTCAGCAAATACTTTTTGCCTTCCCAGCTGAATGTAGCCATCAGTGAGGTGTTGCCCTAAAAGCTACATTAAATCCGCTCCATTTTTTGTGTTTCGCTACATGCATGTTAATAGACTTACATCAAAGTTCGCCTTCTCCGTCAGGTCGGACTCCTTGAGGTGGAACTCCGGACCGAGGCTTTTTTGCAAATCAGCCTCCAACTCCGAGATTTGCACTTTGGTGCCTAGGTAGCCATTGCCGGCCATATTCTGGAAAATACTGTTAAGCGTGAGAGAGAGAGAGCGAGAGAGAGAGAGCGAGAGCGAGCGATAGTGAGCGAGAGAGTGAGTGAGCGAAAATCTAGGAAACTCCAGTTCTTCGGGCTGGTTTTAGAAATTGAATCAAATTACGGGATCGTTATTTCGAGTGATAAGCAAAATGACATCTGCCAGAAGTGATAAAAAGCCTAGAGCCATAAAAACTTGATAGATGCATTAATGCCGACTGGCGGACTAAAAATGTCGTCTTTCTTGCACGTCTAACTTTAAAAATAATAGATGACTGAGAAACCCCACAAGAGATTAAAAAATTAAAGCGAATTTTATATTTTGTTGAAAAATCGAGCAAATTCAAAGCGAAGAAAATACTTGACTAGCCGGCGAAACCCAGCTAGTCGCCGTCCTATATTTGCCATCCTAATCGGTCCCAGCCGCCCCGGCCCAATGTTGTGCAATCGGTCGGGGAAAGGGGGAAGAGAAGGAAAAAACCAAAGACACAGCACAAAAACCACGCGAACAAAGTCGGGGCAAATCCTGAGATGTCATCGTTTCCGATGTCAGAAATTCGGGTAAAGAACGAATCGGGGTTCTAGATAAAATTGCACAATTTTGGGTTTATTTTTAAGCGATAAAAAGGACCTTGGACGAGGAAAAAACACCAGATGCGAGGGGTTCATCAAAATATTCCGACCAGGCATATGTGAAATTTACCGACGATTTGAATACGGGACTTTCCTCCAGACGTAATCGAACTTTAAGGACTGGTACTTGGCTGTTAACGGGGGAGGGAGAGGAAATTCATTTTTGTTTTTCCGATATATTTGCTATAAAAACAAAATCTAATTGACAATGATTTTAGCGGTTTTTTACTATGTACAAAAATTGATACAAACTCTTTAAAAAATGGAACTTTTCAAAGTTTTCGACACTTTTGGTGATTTTTTCCGAAATCAAAATTCAAAAATGATCAAACGTTATTTTTATAGCATATTTTTAATTCTTAATTGATCTAAATTTGCGTAAAATGCTATAAAATGCTGACGGGAACTACTCAAAAACTTGGTTGTACCCCCCTCCCCCCCCCGCTAACAGACGAGTTTCGGAGAAATTACCATCGAAGCTCAAGTAACTTGTAAAGTCTCTCTCTTTCTCTCTCTCTCTCTCCTCTCTCTCTCTCACTCTTGCTCCCTTTCTCTTTCTCTCTCTCTCTCTCTCTCTCTCTCTCTCTCTCTCTATCTCTCTCGCTCTCTCGCTCATTTGCTAATCCCTTGTCTAGTTTGACGCGTTTTCGCTCTCACACTTTGCAGCGGGAGCAAAAAACGCTGGAAAAAGTTGCGCCCGGATCCGCACGTGCCCAAATCATGGGCGGGTACACCCACCTCTCGGGTCCCAGCACGGACTGATTATCGCCGAAAAACGCCAGGAAATTGCTGGGAATTCGTTCTGAATGGGGGGGGGGGACTTGCACACTAATCAGAACACCAAACTCGTGCGCAATTCGGATTAGTCTGTTTAGTAGAATTTGATTTGGACTCCCAGATTTCACGACTTTTTTGGCACCTTCACTACCGTCGTCTCCGCAGGTTTCACGTGCTGTCGTCCGCAAACTTTTACATTTAATTAGGGAAAGGGATGACCGGGAAAATTTGTATAAGTAGTATGAGATCTGTGATTTGAAAGTGCATTTTTGAAACTGATTACTGTCTTCGGCTAGCGAATTTTGTTTCTTTGATTTTTTTCTTCGCTCTTATGGATTTCAGTGCGTTTTTAAAGAAGCTAGCAAGTCAGTTTTTCCAGGAGCAAGAATGGGTCCCAGCAGCGAATTGTTCAGAAGTTTTTAAAAAGGTTTTTAAAAAGCGGGTTAGCACGGGTTGCTCACGAAAAAAATCTCAGTTAAATTTTTTAATCGAAACTTGAGGCAAGCAGGAATTCTTGGGGACGGGCGGGCCGCTAGAAACCCTTTAGGAAGGGCAGGCTAGCAGGGATTATTTAGGGAAGGAGAGGTTAACAGGCCTTTTGGGCAGGGGCAGGCTAGCAGAGGCTCCTTACTGTAAAGTGTTTTTACTCAGGCTGGCGTTTTGGAATGGGACCAAGCCTATCTTGTGCAGAATTTTTCGCTGATTCAGAATCTGGTTTCCAAATTTGCTGCCGACCTTTATTTAAAAAGTTATTCGACATTTAGGCTAAAAAAATGGACTAAATCTGGATTTTTTGCGTTATTTTTTTAAGTTGTCGTCACCTCCGACGTTAAAACTGGCTCGGTAATAGTTTTAGAGGTCAAAGGACGATTTTATGCAAAAAATCATGTGTTTTTGTGCAAAAAGCAAAAGAAATTGTGCAGGGCGGGGATCGAACCGCCGCCTGTGCCTGGCAAGCGAACAGCTTACCAATGCGCCATGGTGCCAACTGGGAAGCGGGCTTCGGGAGGGTAGATAAGGGGCACAACAATACCTGGACCCAGACAGGGAATAGTGGGCCAGCATCCGAATTTATGCCGTTTTTAAGCTTAATTTAGACCAAAAATGACTTTTCAACGCGAAGTCCGCAGCAAATTTGGAAAACGGATTCGGAATCAGCAAAAAATTCTGAACAAGATAGGCTTGGTCCCATCCTAAAACGCCAGCCTGAGTAAAAAACACTTTACAGTTAGGAAGGACAAACTACCAGAAACGTTTGAATGGAGCGGCCTGGAAGCGGTTGACTAGCTGCGATTCCTTAGAAAAGGGAAAGTAGCAGAGTTTCTTTATGCGAGGGCAGGCTAGCGCTGATCATTTAGGAACGAAGAGACCAACCTTGATTCTCTAGGAAAAGAGGCGGCAAATTTCAGAAATTCCTTAGGGAAGGCAGCTTAGCAGAGATTCGTTCGGAAAGGGCTGGCTAATAAAGATTTTTAGCGATAGGTAGCCTGGCGGAGATTATGGCGGAGAGGGCAGACTAGCTGAGATTTTTGAGGAAAGGGCAAGTTGGCTAAGTTTTTTCAGGAAGGCAGGGATTCTGTTATTTTTGGGATCAAGGTTCAAACACAACCCCGAACACCCCCTCAACCTGTAGGTGTGCAGCTCATTTTTTGCAACTTTTCTGTAAACATTGGACAAACACTGTAGACAAACAACCACTTGACATGCAAAAAAATGGTACCGCCCGACTGGTGGGACGAAAGTACGCGTGAAAACCCCTGTTGCAAACCGTACTCGAGGGTCAGAAAGTCGTCAGTTTTCAGCTACAAACCTTGTGAAGCTCAAAGCGATCAGTTTTATCGTCATTATGGTATTTTATTTTCGACTTTCGGACACACAGTCAGCTTTAGATTTTATTTTAAAATTGCAGGTGTCTCACAATGATTTTATTTGGAATTTCAGACCGTTCTAAGAAATTCCAGATTTTTTAAGGGAAGACCAAGCTAATTTTTTTGGTTTCTAGATTTTATCACAATGTATTCGGTCTGTCCAGGACGTCTCCGTTACTTTTTTTGAGGGGAGTAGCAACTCGGGGTCGCCCGATTCCAGGAGTCGCCTCTCCCAAAGAAGCTTATCACCCCGAAAGGTCTCCTCACGGCAAGGGTCTCACCGCGGGAATCTTGGCTGCTGATTGTGGCACGTGTGGGCGGTCGTCTCCAAAATAGACCCCTGCTTTTGATTCCAGAGCTTGCATTCAGGGCTGACCCCGATAATCGCTTTTCCAGAACAGGGTTTCGATGAACTTTGGCTTTTTTACGTTTTTCAGAAAATTTAATTTGGAAAATAAGCTCAAGCCGAAGCCTAAGCCTAAGCCAAAACCCAACCCTAAAACTAAGCCCAAGCTTAACCCTAGCCCTAACCTAAGCCAAAAATTTCTGCGTTTTCCTAAAAGTACGATTCTCAAATAATTTTTGATCGTTTCAAACGGCTTTGAACTCACTAGCCCTTAATTCCGAACCCTGGTTTTCGGACGGTCACGTAGCCTACAACCTGGAAGCCCATTGGCCTGATGTAATTCATTATACCTTTCCGACTTCGTGATTAGCGTCCTGGGAGCTCCCTGATCACAGATTTAAATCAAAATTACTCTCTCACTTTCACGCTCGCGCTCTCTCTCTCTCTTTCGCCCTGTCTCCCACTCCGTCTCGTGCATTGCTTCTCTTTTTCTCATAATCCCGAGAATTTTTTAAAGTCCGTTTTTTAGGCTAGGATCCAATTCTTGCATCGGATGAACTTATTTAGGCCCTGAGGAGCGAGAAAATTTAGGCTTGAGCTGATGCTCGGGCTTATGCTTACGCCTAGGCTTAGGTTAAGCTTAGGCTTAAGCTTGGGCGTAGGCTTCGCCTTACCCCGCCTACTGCTACTGGCTTGCCACGGGTTCCGGTTTTTTCGCTCTCTACCAATTTTCCTCAACACCACAAATACCAAGTAAAACAATGGTACGCCGTAAAGACCTCTCAAAAAAACTGTAGAGCATGATTCCGTAATTCTACAGCTGCCCGAAAAACTATCAGCTGCGCCAAACTGTTTTTTTGAGCTTTGAGATCAGTTTTTTTGTTCAACTCGTGCCCTGTATACTTTTTACAAAGTGCCATCCTTTTTCTAGGCCTGCACTTTGCCATTAGGCTGTAAAAACTTAACTTTTACGTTTCCCCGCTTAATTCCCAGACATCACGTGTGCAAAATGTCACCTGGACTGTGTGTGTGGTGCTTTTTGCATCGAAAAATTTTTGCGGTTCCCCCGGGGTAGTGGAGAAGCCGCGGAAAGCGAGTGATTTGCGGGCCCACATTTCGAGCTATACTTTATCTTTGCCACTTAATTGTCCCATTCCAGCAGCAGAGTGGAGCGAGCGAGAGAGGAGAGAGAGAGAGAGAGAGGGGGGGAGAGAGAGAGCGAGGGAGAGCGAATCTAGAAAAATGGAAAACATTCTCTTTCGGTCTTTGCACCCCCTTTTCCGTTGGATTTATCGTGTCAAAACAAGGGGCCCGAGGGGCTATCGGCACAGAGTGCACGCTGCCGGGAAATATTTTAGATTCCGAATTATCTGGTTCTTAGTGTATTTTTAGTTTGACTGGAGGGTACTTTGATTATGCTTTTTTACGCTTGTTTTGAAAGAGAGCTCACTCGCTCGCTCTCGCTCTCTCTCTCTCTCTCTCTCTCTCTCTCTCTCACTCTCGCTCTCCCCTCTCTATCTCTCTCGCGCGCTCGTTCTCGCGCTCTCTCCCCTCTTTCTCTCGCTTTGTCTCTCTCTGATTGTTATTTTCGTCAATATTCCTCAATTTATGAAAGTGAAAATCGCGTTTTATCCAGATTATTTTGTTCCGGATCCGGCTTATCCAGCATACCCAGTCGTTTTTTGTTATTTTCGACATTTCGATGGGTTTAATCTCTGGTTTCTTGGCTTCCTATATAAGGCCAAACATTCAAACTTGACTTGCTACTGTTTCGCGAAAAATATCTATACGAAAGTTTTCCAGGTACTCGCTAATGCGGAGATGACGATCAAGCAGCTGCTCCTACTGTTGGCCTTCCTCGCCACCGGGCTGTGCTTTTGGGTGAGTAACTAAGGAGTAGGATACGTAGTTTTCTAAAGGCAAGGCTTTCACAGCTTTCAATATTAGAGTTTATTGCATAGAAATCTCGATTAGTTGGCGGGACGGCCGGTTGGACGGCCGGACGGACGGCCGGACGGACGGCCGGACCGCAGGTGGTGGGGCTCCAGATAGGGGAGGCGGAGGGGGACTGCCGCCTAAACTTTAGGAAAATTTGGTATTCGAGGCGAGCGATTGCAGAGTTAAGCTTTTGCTCAACTAACTGGTATTGTTCCTAACTGAACTAACCGTTCGGGGGAGGCGAGCCTCCGGGTGGCGGCGGAGGCTGAGAACCGCCGGGCGGAGGTGGTGGCGGAGGGTTACCTGAAATGAATGTTGAGGTTCCTGAGCGAGAGAAAGGGGGGAGATAGCGAGAAAAAGAAAGAGGAAAGGAGAGAGAGCGAGTGGAAAAGAGAAACGATTTAGCTGCTTTGAGCTAATAATGTTCGAATTAGCGATCACGAAGCTTAGAAGATTCGAAGTACTGGAATTTGTCTTTGCTTACGGTTTGGCGGCGATCCAGATGATGGGGGAGCTCCAGACGGAGGGGGCGGCGGAGCTCCAGACGGAGGTGGTGGCGGAGCTCCAGACGGTGGTGGTGGCGGCGCGCCTGATGGTGGCGGCGGTGGGGCTCCGCTGGGAGGTGGACCGCTTGGTGGAGGGCCGCTCGGCGGGGCACCACTCGGGGGTTGAGACGGCTGCCCCCTAAAAAGTGATGTCCAAAGTCGAACACCAGCAAATCAGATTAGAGGGTTGGTGACAGGATGCCGCTAAGCATCTAATTTCACTTACAAAACGACAGCCACCAGGGCAAGGCAGCAGACGTCGACCGCTTTCATCCTCGGCCAGGAGCTGATGGGCCTGGAATTCGGGGTTCCATTTTATATCCTCATCTAGCCATGATACACCACCGCATTCCAATAGAACACGGCTCGTGTACGCGGGACTACTATTTGCGCAGGCGCCGATAGTTGGACCCGATTTGTGGTAATGGGGGATACTAGGTCTCGTCATGCTAATTCTGGATCAGAATTGTGAGCCTGAAGTCTTGGTGATCAGTGAATAAAGTTTTGGCTTAGGCTTTTTTGCAGCGACTTAGGCTTAGGCTTCGGTTTCTGCTCTGGCTTAGGTTTAGATTTAGGCTTAAACACATGCGAATGCACTGGCTTAGCCTTAGCCTTAGGCTTGGGCTTCTTAGCTTCAGAGGCCTATGCTCACTTCCGTAGTAATTCCCAAAATTCAGAGCCACTCCGATTCCGCACGCCAGACCTTGGCCCACAGCAAGAGGTTGATTGTAAATGAGGTAAGCTCAAGGTTCAAGCTATAGACTACGAGTTTCCAGCTTCACCGGTGCGTGCCCCAGCGGCGCTACACAGAAACTGATCTCGACCGGATACTCGGCAAAAATTTGCAAAGGCACTGGGACGCGTTACAGTAAGTACTCTTTAATTTCTTGGGGTTCATAGGGTTGTGAAATCCAAAAACGGGACTATTAAAATCAAATTCAGTAACAAACCTTAAAAAATGCAGAAATCTCAATTTCTAAAAATCAATAGCAACTCGAACGGGCAGCTGAGAAGGCAACGCTTGTTTCAATGCTCAAAACTCTGGTCGGAACAAGATTGAATGTCCCCAAACTACAAAAAAAAACGCAATTTCCAGGATGGACCTGTTGGTCGAGGCGAACGAGTTGAATTACCAGAAAATCGAGCAGTGCCTCGCCCACATTCAGCGGCACATTGTGAAGGTACACAAGCAGCTGAAGAGGATGCGGAAGAACGAGATAAGAAGGTGTTGTTTGATAAAATCGATTTCTATAGCTAGCAGGTTTATCGCAAAAATTTGGTACATAGCAAACTTCGAAATTCAGACTCCGTGATCAGCTAGAAGACTCTTCTTCGGAAGTACACCAAAAATTGCACCGGAAGTCGAGGAGTGCTCAGAGTAAGTTGAGTTTATTGTTCTCTCTGCATCGCTCTCTCTCAAACTCTTGCTCTCTCACCCTCGCTCGCTCTATCTCCCAAAAACCTCAGTCATACTCTATTTCAGAACACGCTCATCCACGTGAGCTCCCCAGCGCAGCTCTGGAGTGGATGGGCGAGAAGGAGGTATGAAACCTAAAAACTCTAGCAATTTTCCGTATAATTTTGCAACTTTAAAAATGTGTTATGTAACTTTCTAGAAAGCCATGCTGGAGCGCTTCCGCCAGACTAACCCAGATAAATGGGATGTGCTAGTAAAGACCGGACAAATTTTCTATCGCTCCAGAAAGGACGTGAGGGCAAAATCACAGGAGTAAGTGGCGAAAGAGAGAGAGAGAGAGAGAGAGAGAGAGAGAGAGAGAGAGATAGACGCACGTCTATAAGCACACCGACTTGTTTCAGGGCGCTGGACAGCTATTGCAAGAAAAACCTGGTCGGGCTGTTGGGTGATGAAAAGTTTGAGGAGTTAAAGGTATGCAAATTCTTTTTATAGTATCGATTTCGACCTTAGGAAATGAAAGAAGACAGCGCAACCGTGGAGTCGATAGAAGCTAAATTCTCGGAGATTGTCTCCGAGCTGTCGGACGAGGAAGATCGTCTGAATGCAGGTTTGTGGAGGGAGAGCGAGAGAGATACCGAGCTAGAGAGAACTTTCGATGGAGAAGCAGCGCATCAAAAAATGAACAATTTAGAGCACTACGGCCAATTTTGTCGAAAAATCTTCCGCATCACCAAGTTCAAGCCGGACAGCCTGACGGCTTGGCTGTCGAACTCGCAAAAGAGGGCGATCATGACAATGATTCAGGACCCGAATATCGGAGACGCTCAGGTGTACGATAAGGTGAGGAGGAGCTATAAGACCTAAACTGTTTTTCTAGATGTTCGAGTACTACAGCTCGACGAGTGGCGCCGAGAAGGACACCGCACACGAGGCAATTGACAACGGGTGTCGCCGATTTATTGCACATACGTTTGGAGAGGATATTGAGGAGGTGGGTCTCACTTTCTCTAGGACTCTCTCCCTCTCTCCCACTCACGCACTATCTCTGTCTCTCTCGCTCTCTAACTCCGTCATCTTCAGGAAATCGACGTTGCCATCTCGCACAACAGTTCGACACGTCAACAGTTAGCCTCACAACTTGCCGTTCAAGCCGAACAGATTCAGAATGATCACAACAGAAAACTCGTGACGTACGTTACCTTAACAAGCGAGAGAGAGAGAGAGAGAGAGAGAGAGAGAGAGAGGGAGGGAGAAAGACCGAGAGTGATAGAGATGACGAGAGAGAGAGAGAGAGAGAGAGAGAAGAGATGAGAGAGATAGAGAAAACGAGAGCGAGATAGAGGCAGTGTTTTCCAGCGATTCCCTCCCGATTTGCACCCGAATCTACATTGGCTACGACTATTCTTGTGACTGTAACGGACATTCCGATGAATGTCATCCTTCCACGTATGCATGCTTAGCATGCGGAGGGAATTCGTACGGGACGCAGTGCGAAAAGTAGGTTGAAGCATAGGTTTGGGCTTGGGGTTTAAGCCTGGGCTACGGCAGGTGATGAAGAGTTATCGCATCTAGTCGTATCTTACGCTTTTCCAGGTGCCTCGAAGACTTCGACAAGGACGAAAACGGGAACTGCGTCGCGTCCGGGCAAATGGAGAACAAGGACGAGAAATCGGAGGTGCCACAGTGTGAATGTAATGGCCATTCCGAGACGTGTACGCTGACGGGAAAGTGTACGGTAAGTAGTGCCAAGGCTTAATGCTTACCTAGGCTTAGGCTTGGGCTCAGCTTGGGCTTAGCCTAGGCTTAGACATAGACTTAGGCTTCGACTTAGGCTTCGACATAACATTTACGATCTTACAGAACTGCACCGACAACACCGGCGGCGACAAGTGCGAGCTGTGCCTGCCCGGGTTTTACGGCGACTCGAGAGAGGGTACCACGACCGACTGTACTCCCTGCCCTTGCCCGTAGATTTTGAAAACTATACGAAAAATATATAAAAAATCAAGCATAAAAAGGAAAAAATCATTTTTAATAAATCTAAGGCGCTAAAATATTTAATAATTTTGAAAAATGATATATTTCCATTCCAGAAATGGCGGTGAGTGTGTGGTGAACGAGTCGGGGTTGGTGGAATGTCTCAACTGCCCGACTGGCACGAATGGAATGATGTGCGAAAAGAAGGTTATTTAAACCCCAGGAGAAAACGGGATCCGCTTTTAGGACAGCAGCTCCAGTGAGGAAGCGGAGAGCAGCGCGTCGCGGCGACGGCGCTTTCGACGATATTTGTAAATAGTGAAATGTATCTAAACCCCCCTGGCCGTGTGATTCTTGCCCGTTGATAAAGTTATTTATTGAATGTTGGAGCCTCGGCTTTTTCTCAAGGAAAAGCAAGAGTGAAGATGAAGCGTATCAAGCTTCGGCTTTGGTCTCCAAGGTGCTTATGCAGAAGCTCGGGCTTAGGCTTAGCCCAAGACTTAGGCTGCCTAGGCTTAGGCTTAGGCTTAGGTTAGGCTTCGGTTAGGTTTGGGCTTTGGCTTCGGCTGGGCTTGGGCTTGGGCCTAGGCCTTGGCTTAAGTTAGGCTTCGGCTGGTGACGAGGTTACAACAATGTTTAGCGTGATCAGGGACGTAGCGTAATACAGGCCCCGGGGCCCGGCCCCCGAAATCGGTCGGGGCCCGAAAATTTTATAAGGGGGGACCCTTATGATTTTATTTTCTCAAAAATTTTGCTGCCTGCGGCGCTATTTTTTTCACGTTTTACGGTTATTTCTAGAGCTACGCAACCTTTTTTTCAAAAATTTTTGCCTGCGGCGCTGTTTTCTCGTGAATCTTTTGAGTTTTTTGGAAAAATTTTTGGGGCCCCCGAAATTTTTTTCTGGCTACGCCCCTGAGCGTGATTGATAGTTTTTGTTAGTATGCTTGCTCTAAACTTTTTCCGAAAGCTTGTGCTGCGGTAATAATACAGATGCTCAAAATGCTTTATTAAATCCCGTTTTAGGGGTTATTATCGTAGTCACGCTCCTTATTTTTAGTAGGCGCAGTTGGTGTTGTGCCACGTCTCGATGTTGTCAATGTTGAAGTACGTGTTGTGGTAGTTGAGGCCCAGGTCCGATACTTGGAACAGAGTGGTGCACGCTAGAAACTCGTATATCTAGGGCGCAGCGTCTACTACTTACCGGGATCCTCGTTAGTCTGGCAGATGATTTTGGCGGCCAGGCCGGTCGAGTTCATCCCAATCGGGTAGTAGACCTAAAAATCGGGGTTTCTCGAAAATTGGGGCCTAGACTAACCGGGAACTTGCTGTGCTCGATCCAAGCCGCTTGGAAGGGGAGGGAGCTGATAGCGTCGCGGGCATTCTTCAGACGGAAGTGATGAGGGGCCTGAAAAACTGTGTTTTCTCTCGGTTACTTTCCTCTCCCTCTCTCTATTTCTTTCTCTTTTCTGTCTCTATCTCGCTCACTCTCTCTCTCTCTCTCTCTCTCTCTCTCTCTCTCTCTCTCTCTCGCTCCCCCATCTTTTTTTTCTCGCACCTTCTGGTAGATGGAATTCTGGAGAGCGACAGACCCTAGACGAGGCTGTCCGAAAGTGATAGTCTGGATAGCATCCGGTCCGCGCCATCCCTTGTCGGCAACCTAGAAATTGGCTTTGCATAAGCTTAGATTCAGAATTATGCCTATCTTCAGGCTTAACTTCTACTTCAACTCACCGCCTTCGTGATGAGCAGCGAAACAGCTCCACCAAGGGAGTGCCCCGAGGAGACGAACTGGAAAAATGCGTCTCAAAATTTGGCTAACCACGAGCTACCGTATAATCAGCATAGGTGGAATTTTGGAGCAATGCGGTCAGGTTCGATTGAAGCCCACCATTCCAGAGGCTGTTGAACGCCGTCTGCCAGTAGATGACGGCCTAGGCGTTAAGGTATCACAAAATCCAAGCGATACTTACCCCAGTTTGGAGGTCGAGGAAAGATAGAGTGAGCGCGCCTAGGACTTGGACCAACTGAAAATGAGAAAGTTGCTTGATTGCTCGATTGCTAGCTTGCCTGGCTGGTGCCCTCGGAGCCGAGGGAGATGGCGGCGATCGTCTTGGAGCCAGGCAGCACGTAGAGGTCGGTGACACAACGGTCAATGGGAAGCTAAAAGCAGATGGATGGAGTGTGAGAGAGTGAGGGATAGATAGATAGATTGAGAGAGAGAGCGAGTGAGGTAGAGAAAGAGCGAGAGAGAGAGAGAATGAAAGAGAAAAATTGAGAAAGCGCGAGTGTCACCACGAATGAGAGTGAGAAACTATGCTTGAGAGAGCAAGAGCAATTTAGATTTCGAGAGCGAGGGAGAGGGAGAGAGAGATCGTGAGAGAGAGCGAGAGAGACCCGATAATATCATACCGGTACTCCGCAGGTCACGTTGATGCGCGCGATGAATTTTGCGCTAGGATCGGCGGCATTCACGCAGCCCGCGAACTGGAAAAGCTTATCGTATGCAGAAAAACACTAAAAACCTACGCCAGGATCGGAGGTGGCGACCTTGCCGGCGCCCTGGAGTTGCCACAGCTGCTTGGCGAAGTTCTCGTTGTAGACGGGCGGGGCGGTGGAGCATTGGTACGGGTTGCAGAGCTGCAAAAATAAGCCTAGAATAGAACGACGAGAAAACGACGATACCGCGGGGCCGTTTTTTAATAGCTCTGCTAACGGTCACCTACCAGTAGACCGTTGATTAGCCCGCCGTCGCCGCGGCATCCGCCCAAGATCCGCGATTTACATGCCGAGCCGTTCCAACTGAAAACATGCAAACACTACTAAAGTGGAGGTAAATACAATTTTTATGTCTCTACGACTCACGTAGCTTTTAGCGCGCGTATGACCTAACGACCTAAGCTTAAGCTATTCGCAGGAAAGCTGTACTGAAGTTAAGTCTAGCCAACGGAAGCTGGGCCGCAACAAACAGAAAATTATGGAGGAAACCCGTGATCATATTAGGAAAGCTGAGCCTAGGGATACGCGTAGAGCTTAGGGCTTAGGGCTTAGGGCTTACTGTAACCGTTTTTTGTTGACCGTGGGATTTCGATATGTGAGATAGCACATTTTGTGCAGAATTTTTCGCTGATTCCGAATCCGTTTTCAAAAGTTGCGGAACCCCTCTATATAAAAAGTTACAGCCGGTTTTCTACCCCAAATGACCGAAAATTACAAACTTTAAGTCCTTATAAAAAACTCGTGGAACATTTTGTGGGATAAAATACAGCACTCCTAGGGGTAAAAAAACGTGCTCTTTCGAATGGGCTACCTCACGAACCCGTAGCTCAAAATTCATGAAAAAAAGTTTTTCGGTGGACCAATGCCCTGGATGGCCAATTTTTGAAATTTTGTGAATTTTGAGCTACGGGTTCGTGAGGTAGCCCATTCGAAAGAGCACGTTTTTTTACCCCTAGGAGTGCTGTATTTTATCCCACAAAATGTTCCACGAGTTTTTTATAAGGACTTAAAGTTTGTAATTTTCGGTCATTTGGGGTAGAAAACCGGCTGTAACTTTTTATCTAGAGGGGTTCCGCAACTTTTGAAAACGGATTCGGAATCAGCGAAAAATTCTGCACAAAATGTGCTATCTCACGTATCGAAATCCCACGGTCAACAAAAAACGGTTACAGTTAGGCTTGGGCTTAGGCTTAGGCTGAGGCTTAGGCTTAGGCTTAGGCTTAGGCTTAGGCTTAGGCTTAGGCATAGGCTTAGGCTTAGGCTTAGGCTTAGGCTTAGGCTTAGGCTTAGGCTTAGGCTTAGGCTTAGGCTTAGGCTTAGGCTTGGGCTTAGGCTTGGGTTTAGGCTAAGGCTTAGGCTTAGGCTTCCTCCCCGGCCTATCATTTTTTCCAAAGACAGAGGTAAAAACCTAAAATTTTTGTAAATTGTGGTTTGTAAATAAGATTCACAATAAAAATTATTGTCATAAAAACACTATTTTTTACTTTTTACATTTGTAAAATTTTTACCTTTACGGCTAATAAAAAAATAGCTCAGAGACGACTGCGCCCTTTGCATTAAAAAAGATAAAATTCTTAAAAAACAGTTTTTCTTAGAAGAGCCCCCTGATAATGCAAAAGCTCCGACTTGGGCTGAATCATCTGGTAAAGCTCAGTAAAAAAGTTCGAAGTTTGGGTCGAAAATCGGCCAATTTTGATTTTTGCGAACCGGTCTTTACAGGACCCCCCCCCCCGATAATGCAAAAGCGGCGGCTTCGGCTTAAGCTTCTCGTAAAGCTTTACATAAAACTCACCCGCAGAGTGGGTCAGCAGTGCAAGCCTGACAGTTGTTGTGGTTGCACCCGAGGCCGGCCGAGACGCCGCTGGCCAGGGCGAGCAAGATGAGGGCTACGGTAAGCTGCTGCATTCCAAAAGATCGGCGCGGTGGCTACGGTAGCTGCCAGTCTATAGGGGCCAATCCCACTCCTCCACTTTTATAGTGATCAACACGGAACAAAATCCTTGCCCTTATCTGTGCGAAAATGGGGTGGTGTTCGACACCTTCGAGCCGGGCAGGTAATTCGAGGAGGGCCCGTAATGGACGGGTTGGTTTTCATAACCCCCATAAAGATTAGATGAGGGAGAAGCCCCGAAAAGCGGCACGGAACGAGGAACCTAGAGTCCCGGGACGGGGGCCTGTCACCGAAACGTGTTCTGCTCGGCGCATCTGGGCTCACATTTCTGCGAGCCGGGTTTTTTATGGGCTTCAGGCCCATTGGGAGGCTTCAATCGGCCGATCGGTGAGGCAGGCGCACAATCAGTACATCAATTTGGCACGCTCGAATGTTGACTGGCCCAAGACCAGGAAGTGCTTGACTTGGATTACGGAGCTTCAAAATTGAACCGGCAAAATTTAGGGAAATTTTAATTTGATCAAGATCAAGATTTGCTATCATAATGTCGAAATGCATAATGCCGCAATTTCATAACGTCGAAATTTCATAATTTCGAACTTCGTAATTCCGAAATTCAAAACGTTCAAATTTTTGCAGAGGATTCTGGGGTTTCTCGGTAAAATTCGCTTATGTGAATCTCGAGATTATGAAATTTCGAATATCTTATTTTTTTTGGACGAACGTTTTATAGGGGCTTTGGCAGTTTTTGGTGCCTGAAAAGTCATAAAAATTCTTAAAAAATTTTTAAAATTGGATGAAATTTTTTGGTAACTTTTAATACATTTTAGATCCGAAAATTAAAACAATTCATCAATTTTTTTAAGTTTCCGTCCATCAAATCCATCGATAAATTATTTCGTCCTGGCTAACATCGTTTAGCTCCATTTCTATGCTTTCTGGCTGGGACGGTCCAGGAGCTCGAAAATTGACGCGGGCCCAAAAAGCTTTTCAAAGATTGCGCAAGAGCGTTTTGGCGAATTATCTCTGCATAGGTCGATTTTCAGGCAATACCGTTGACGCCAAACGATAGCTTTCAAGAGGTAGATATCGACAGAGTTTTATAGATCATCAAAATGGACACCGGATAAACCGCAGCCTCCAGATTTGCGGTGTTTGCACCTGATTTGCTGTCCTGAGTTGGTCCGGAGTTTTTCACTGTGCTTCCTTGCTTGGTCTCAAGCCGAATAAATGCTCAAAATGCTTTATTAAACCCCGTCTTGGGTTTATTATCATGTTCGCAGTCATTTCGCAGCTATTAGTACGCACAGCTGTTGGTATGCCACGTCTCCACGTTGTCAATGTTGAAGTACGTGTTGTGGTAGCTGAGCGCTAGGTCCGTGGGTAGGAAGAGAGTAGTGCACGCTAAAATATTGGATATCTGGGGTGCTTCTTCTACTACTTACCGGGATCCTCATTTGAGTTGCAGATGACCTTGGCGGCCAGGCCCGTAGAGTTCATTCCAATCGGGTAGTAGACCTAAAAATTGGGTCTTCTCGAAGATTGTATTCTGCACTCACCGGGAATTTGCTGTGTTCGACCCCGGTCTGACGGACCGGTAGCGAGGTGATGGCATCGCGAGCATTCTTCAGACGGAAGTGATAGGGGGCCTGGAAAAAGGACTTCGTGCACTCTCTCGTCTTTCTCTTTGCTCTCACCCTACTGGCCTGGCTCTCTCACTCACTCTCTCTCACTTTTTGTCTCTCGCTCTCTCACTCTTTCTCTCTCGCTCTTTCTGTCTTTCTGTCTCTTTCTCTTTCTCTTTCTCATCCTCTCTCTCTCTCTCTCTCTCTCTCTCTCTCTCGCTTTCTCGGTTCCTCTCTATTTATCGCACCTTCTGGTAGATGGAATTCTGGAGAGCGGCAGATCCGAGACGGGGCTGTCCGAAGGTGATCGTCTGGATGGCATCTGGCCCGCGCCACTCTTCATCAGCCACCTGGATTTAGACTTGAGTTTGACTCGGACAACTTCTAGGCTAAAGCTTAGGCCAGGCTTTAGCTAGGTAAGGCTTAACCTTGGGCTTGGGCTTGATATTCTCTTAACTCACCGCGTTCGTGATGAGCAGCGCCATGGCTCCGCCAAGTGAGTGGCCCGACGATACGAACTGAAATTCCGAGTTGATTTGGTTGAGGTCTCCCCGAAAGAGACGAAATCCCGATTTTACCTGATAGTCAGCATAAGTCGCATTAGTGAGCAGGGCCGACAGGTTCGACTGAAGCCCACCTTTCCATACGCTGTTGAACGCCGTTTCCCAGTAGACGAGCGCCTAGGTGGAGTTGATCGTGCGCTAATCCAGACATACCCCATTCAAAGAGAGGCCTGGAGTGGTGAGGGTAGTCAGAACTTGGAGGAGCTGAAAAACGCGTTTTTCCGAAAAATCACGGCTAGCTTACCTGGGTGGTGCCTTCGGATCCGAGGGATATCGCGGCGATCGACTTGGAGGTGGGCAGGATGTAGACGTCGGTAACGCAACGATCGACGGGGAGCTGAAGGAGGGCGATAGAGCGATGGAGAGAGAGAATGAGCGATAGGGAGAGGGAGAAGGTGAGACTGGCGGGAAAAACAATAGAAAGAGATGGATAGGGAGATAGAGTGAGTGAGAGATCTGGGAGAGAGGGCGAGAGAGAGCAAGAGATCGAGAGGGAGGCCGCGAGATACCTTACCGGCGCTCCGCAGCTGACGTTGATGCGTGCGACGAAATTTGCAAGAGGATCAGCGTTCAAATAGCAGCTCGTGAACTGAAATGAATTTTTTGAACCAACCGTTCTGACTTCTTTACTTTATCGATTTTTTGATTACAATAGCCCAGCTATACAATGAGCAAAGCAGGGAAATTATATCCTACATTAGTTTCCGTGGTGGCCACCTTGCCGGCGCCCTGCAGCTGCCACAACTGCTTGGCGAACGTCTCGCTGTAGACCGGCGGGGTGCTGGGGCATTCATAGGTGTTGCACATCCAAAAAAAAAAACGGGATAATTTTTTACTACGCTGTTGCTCAGGCTCAATTTTGGCAGAACGTTGGCTTAGATCAACTTACCAGGCTACCACCGAGTGCACCGCATCTGGGAAAGAATGGCAAGAGTGTGGGCACCGTGCATGCGGAACCGGACCAGCTAAAAAGATGTGGGTGGTATGGGCTAGGCTTTTTTAATTTTTTTCGCCGCCCAAAAGCCGCTGGGCTTCTTAAGCTACTGTTTTTTTTGTTAGGCTACTGATTATTGAATTTACAGTTAGTTTGACTAATTTAATAGCCTTACAGATATGCTCCATCTCATAAGATGCAACTTAATTAATCTTAAGATTTGAACGCGTTTTCCGCATCTGAACATTAAGTGAAACGCTAGTTTCCGACATTTCTGAAATTTCGTCAAATTCCCAGAAAAATCATTTGGTAGAACGTCAAATAAATATCCTAAAAATTTTATTTTGGGCTGAGTGTAAAGTAAGTAAAGTCTTTACTTATTTATGGCAAAGCGAAGGAAAATTTGGCCGCCTGTTAAACCTAGCTAATAAATAAAAATTTTAAAATGAATTTTTTTGCAGTTTCCGGCCCGGTAATGCCTACCGAAATTACCGGGCCTACCGCCTTACCTTCGCAGCCTCTAAAAAATATTTGGGGGATTCCGGCTAGGGGAAGTAACCGCTAAAAATTACCCGCAAAGCAAGTTAGCCGTACAATCCAGACAATTATTATAGTTGCTACAGCCGGCTTGGGTGCCGAGGGCAAGCCCAAGCAATACTAGGGCTACGGCAAGCTGCTGCATCCCGGACAACGTCCAATGTGGTCGGCCCCTTGCCACCACCTCCTATTTATACCTTACCCCCATTCGGAACCGATTTTTGGGCCCTTATCTACGGGGGCTAAATACGGCTAGGGCCAAGGCGGGCCAGTTCGACGGGCATTCGAGAAGGTCATAATGGACGGCTCGCGCATTTCATGCCCCTATAAAGATTAGGGACGAAAAGCCGTGAAACTTGGACCAAAGAACCGAGAACGAATGGCTCGGCTTGTTTGTCGACACGTGTTCTGGTTCGAGAATTTGGCTCAAGGATCGGTGAGCATTTTTTTATGGTGTCTGGGCCATTAGGGGAGACTGATCGGAAGAGTTGAAAACCGAAGCCCCCTTGGCCAAGCCCAAGCCCAAGCCACAAGCCTAAGCCTAAGCCGGAGCCTCAGCTGAATTCTAAGCCTCAGCCGAAGTCTAAGCCTATGCCCAACCAAGACCTAAGCCCAAGTTCAACCTAATCATAAGTCCAAGCCTAACTAGGGAATGGTCTACGCTCGGCCTCGAATTTCGGGTTGAAAGTTAGCTCATCTTGTAGAGCTCGACGAGACGAATCGATTGATGTAACTTTTAGCTGCGGATACTCTAATACAACAAAGTTACAGCCCTTTAAAGTTTTCACCCGACCTTCATAATTCCTCCCCACGCTCCCTCCACCGTGGTCTGGTGGCCTAGTGGTGTGGCAGTGGGCGTGTGGGGAATCTAACGAGGGTTCGGACCCGCTCACGATTTTTATTTTTTGCTTTTTGGTCCGAAGCCTCCTTTTTACGTTCTGAAGGCCGTGAAGAACTTTTTATTCATCATTTCTGCACTAGGAAGTGCTCCCAATAAAAATGAGGCTTCAGCAAAAAAAACAATTCAGTAAGCATCGGCTGAATTCTATTCTAAGCCAAACCTCGACCAAAATGCAAATCCAAGGCCGTCTCACTCAAACCTAAGCTCGAGCTCAAGCCCAAAAACTGGGTCGTTAGGGCACGTCCAATTTCAGTTCCTGAAATCCCTGGGTCACTGCATCGAAAAAACCCGAAAATTTTAGAGCTTTTAAGAGTCTTCATAAATTTTCCTGCCTTAACAACTCTGAGCCTTGGATGCAGCTTCATGCTTTTTATGCACTTTAATCCCAAAGTTGTCAGCTTTCCGGGGTTTCTTATTTGCCTAGAGAAATCCCGATCCCAGGCATCGTCTGTAGTCCGTAGCCTGACCCAACTCCAATCACTCTGCTCGCTCTCTGGAGGGGACTTTCGACCCCCGCGGCTAGCCAGCCAGCCCCCAGGTCATTCTTAAATAGAACTTCCATCCCCCGATTTGCATACGGCTCTCCCCACCAGGAAGTATTCCTTAAAAATCATTTTTCGTGTTGGGCGGCCGATGCAACGCAGCTGTCACCCCGGGCGCCTTTATCGCCCGTTTATGCGGGGCATGGCCATTTACAGTGCGTTTTTCGGGGGGTTTTCCGGCGTTTTTGGGCGGTGATTTCATGGTTTATAGTTTAGCCGATCAGAAATTAGAAGGTGTTGTCGAAGGACTTTTGGCATAATTTCAATGGTGAAAAGTGGTCTAAAGTTTTTAATTGAATTTCTTCTGTTGGGACAATTTTCAGGAAGTAGTCCCTTTTATCACGGATTAAGATCGCAGAAAATTCAAATTAACATTTTTCATTGTTGAATTTTGCTATTTAAAGCATTGATGAATTTTTTAGATAAAGAACTACGCTTTTTGAGATCAATTTTTGCCTGAAAATTCAGAACCTGCGTGAATTAAAACCCTCGAACTCGAAAACTATGCTTCAAAGTGTTGAATTTAGCTATCTACAAGCTTAGTAAAAATTATTATGTGATAACTGCGCGTTTTCCATTAAATATCACCTTTTTAGAATTGGTTTTTGATTTATTTAAGAGGATCAGTTCAGAAATAGCAATAATGAAAAGTAGTTCAAAAACTACACTTGATTTAGGTTTAACGTAAGCTGATTTCAAATCAAAGCCAAAAACCTAAGATATCTTGCGGGCAAAAACGCTGACTCATGATAAATACCGAATTTAAAAAAACAAATGCTTTTTTTTTTCAGAAAACCCCAGCCTTCCGCGCGTTCCAAATGACGAGGACCTGTACGACGGAACCGTTCGTTTTCAGCACAAACAACAGGAATTTGAGCTGAACACGAAGTGGCAGGTGGGAAACACCTAGGTTTTTGAAGCAGACTTCAATTAATGCGCTTGGTCGTGCTCTCGTAGTGCTGGATTTTCTAGGACACGATGCCGAGCGGCTCGGCGTCGGGTACGGTAGTGACCCTGCACGGCTCTCCCGGGTCCCACAACGACTTCAAGTACATCACCCACTACTTACGGCCGATGGGGATCCGGTCGATCGGGCTGAACTTTCCGGGCAAGGGCTTCACGGATGGTGGGTGGTTAGAAGATCTGACGAATGGATGAACATCTGTTTTTACGCTACTAGGAATTTCTGGGATCTTCCAAACAAGCCCCCCCCCTCGATAATGCGCAAGCGCCAAAACGTGAAGACAGACGAGGAGGGCATTACTCCTTTTCAGCACACCCCGACTTCCGCTACGACAACGACGAGCGCGACGCGTACATCTACGCGATGCTCGACAAGATTGGTGTCGGCGAGCGTATCATTTGGTTGGCGCACAGCCGGTAGGTTCGGATTAGCTTATCGACCATCACCATTTAGAGGCAATGAGAATGCACTGCGATGCGCCGTTCGGACGGCCGACAAAACAAAAGGGCTCGTCTTGGTCAACGCCACTGGGCTGCAGATGCACAAGGGGATCCGGCCTCATTGGGTCATACAGGTAGGTAGATACAGGTAATTGTTTTTGTCCTTTTCTGCTCTCACTCCTTCTCTCTCCCACGCTCTCTCTCTATGTCTCTCAGTCTCTCTCGCACTCTATCTCTATCTCTCGCTCTCTCGCTCTCTCTCTATCTCGTTATCGTCAGTATTCCAGCTAGCCGCCTGGGCCGACCGCACTAACGCCGTCACGCGCGCCGTCATGAACCCGATCACGTATTTTAGTAAGTCTGGAAACCGGTAGAAAAAACTTCTCCCTAGTGGGCGGTAGTGCCAAAATACAAGTTACACCTCGTTACTGTACTTTTTTTAGTCTATCAACGAATGGGACTCCTGGCGCCGAACCAGGACGTCACGGCCAAGTGCGTCCAGACGATGACCACCTTCGAGTTCTCGGGGCTGCAGAAGCAGATCGATCAGTTTAACAAGGAACTAACCTTTCCGGTAAGGTTCTCGCTCTCGCTCTCGCGCGCGCTTTCTCTCTCTCTCTCTCTTTCTCTCTCTCTCTCGCTCTCTCTACCCCCGCTTTTCCAGATGGTTCAACTCATGGCCGGACGCGATTTCCTGATCGAGGACCACATCGTCAAGGAGTTCTTCAGCAAGTTTGCAAATGGGGAGGAGAAGGTAAAATTTCAGATAAATTTGTAAGCTTGTCGCTGTAGACCCTTCATCCGAGTTCCGACGACGAAGAGCAGGCCATCGAGTTCGTCAGGGAGCGGCTGAATGGAGGTAGTTTTATGGCACGGTCCCTTTAAAAAAGAGCGTAGCGTAATGTAGCGTATCATATGGTGCCGTAACAGTACGCAAAGTGGCCTAAAGTGACGTGATGTAAAACGTATCGTCATTTAGCGTAAGATGGACTAGCGTAACCTAGCTTTGCGTAACATAGTTTAAAGTAGCGTAGCGTAAAGGAGCCTGAATCGTTGCGTGGGCTAATGACGCATCGTAAAGTAACATAGCGTAGCACAGCGTAGTCCGATGTATGGTAGCGTAGCGTAACGCTAATGGGTAGGTTAAAGGTACCGCAGCGTAACGCCTATTCGGATCATAAAACAAAATGTAAAGTAGCGTATCCTAACGTAACATAGCGTAGCGTAGTGTAGCGTACCGTCTCACCAGTTACCGTACCCCTTTCCAGGCCACCGTGCGACCCTGTTGAACTTCCCGGAAGACGGCCATTTCCTCCAGAAACACCGCGCTCGACTCATCGCTGAAACCTGCCAAATGATGCTGAAGAATTAGACACCTTTTTATTTGCGTCATCGATATTTCGCTAGTTCATTGCTGTACTTTTCCCTTGTTTTAAGACACCAATTGTGATACCCGGAATCCATTAAGTTAACGCCAGATTTGCTCGATTTTCTCGATTTCCCGTTCTTTTCGGGCTCAACCTCGTCTTTCAAGGTCGTCGACATGTCGTGCTATTTCTAGAGTTTGTGCAGATTTATTGAAAATAAATAAATATATTTATTACTAATTACCACAGAAATCTAAAAAAACTTTGTAGCCAAAAAGGATAAATTAATTGGCAATTGTGAATTTCAGTCTGGCTATTTTCCGAAAATCAGGATTTTTATAAAAGCTACTCTGGGCGAACTTGCCGACATAAAACCTGGCAATTCAACCAAACGAAAAATATACCAGTTTCATCTCCGTAATTTGCTGTATTTTGTAGCCTGCCCCCGCTGCTGCCGTTGATAAGATCTCCCACAGCTGTGAGTGGTCGTTCGGCTACGATTTGCTGCAAAAATCCCCTTTCTATATTAACCTTAATCAGTCTCTATTTAATTAACATTATATTTTACTACCAGTTTCTTGAGTTTTAGCACATTTATTAAAAGTGTGATTGTATTAGAACCGTAACAATGCTGCGCTCGCGCGTCTTCGTGATCGGGCTCGGAATGACGAAGGTAATTTATCGGAATCAGATTGAATTAAGCATCTTTCTAGTTCACCAAGCCCGGCAGTTCGGGAATGGACTACCCGGAATTGGTGAAGGAAGCCGGTAAGCAAAAAAGGAAAAAAGTGCAAAAAGATATCTTTCGCTTTTTTTCAGTCACTGAGGCCTTGAGTGACGCCAGGTTGCAATATAAAGACATCCAACAAGCTACCGTATCCTATCTGTTCGGAGGTATGCTTTTTTAGGAAAGAGGGAGCGAGAAGCGAGAGAGAGAGAGAGAGAGAGAGAGAGAGAGCCATTCTAGGTACCTGTTGTGGCCAGCGAGCTCTTTACGAATTTGGGCTGACCGGCATACCGATTTTTAATGTGAGTCAATTTCGTTAATTCGATTGCTAACCTCTATTTTTTCCTCTCTCTTTTTCTCTCACTCGCTCTCTGTCTATTTCTCTCTCTTTCCTCCCTCTGCCTCCCTCTCTCTCCCTCTCTTTCTCGCTCTCTCCTCTCTCTCATACTCGCTCTTTTTTCTATCAGATGTCTTTTCAGATCAACAACGCTTGCGCCTCGGGGTCATCTGGCGTGTTTTTGTGCAAGCAAATTTTAGAGTCCGGTACTGCTCGGGTTACGGTAGCACCGTTCATTTTTAGGGAATGCCGATGTCGTCATGGCGGTCGGCTTTGAGAAGATGGCCACCGGGTCGTTGGATAAAATGCGGAAGGCTCAGAAACTTGACGACCGGGCAACTTCTCATGATCACTACATCGAGGTAAGCTTAGGTTTAGTTTTTGCGCGCTTTTGATCGATTAAGGTCATCCCGAGCTGAACGTGCAGGATTTTAGGTGATGGCAGACACGTATGGCCTAACCACAGCCCCGATAACCGCTCAAATGTTTGGAAATGCGGGTCGGGAACATATGGAGAAATATGGTAAGTCTAAGCATAAGCCTAAATCCAAGGCTAATACTAAGCCGAAGCCTAAGCCAAGCCTTTCGTCTAAGCCTATCCCTATGCTTAAGCCTAAACCTAAAACGAAGCTTCAGTCAAAGCCTAAACATAAGCTTATACCTAAACCTATGCCTATGCGTAAGCCCAAGCATAACCCAAAGCAAGAACCTTAGGAACAAAACGCGAGCACTTTGCCAAAATTGCCTGGAAGAATCATCTGCACTCCGTCCACAACCCGTGAGTCTTCAGTTTTTATATGCGTTGTGATTTGTCGAAGCCTGGAACTCTAAGAATTTAGAAAATCACAATTTACGAAGGAGTTCTCGCTTGATGAGGTGCTGAATTCACGCAAAATCCACGACTTTATGGGATTGCTGGAGTGTAGGTAAGTGAGAAATTTTTCCGAAGACTGGCGCTAAAAAAAGATATATAGTCGAGAAAGGGAAGATCTGATCTTTTTTAAATATGCAAATTAGCCCAACGTCGGATGGAGCAGCTGCCGTTGTGCTGTGCTCCGAGAAATTCCTCGCCAAAAATCAGCGCCTCAAGGCGCAGGCTGTCGAGATCGCAGGTAAGGGCTTGAGCGTGAGACACAGAAGAGAAAGAGAGAGAGAGAGAGAGGTAGTGAGAGATATCCATCGATAATAGGGATGAAGCTCGGCACCGATCAACCCTCCGTTTTTGCCGAAAAATCGAACATAAAAATGGTTGGCTTTGACATGATGCATAAATTGGCTGGGGAGCTGTATAAAGAAACGAAGATCGGCCCAGATGATGTTCAGGTATCTAAATTAATGGGACTAGCAAAGCTGTAGATGTTTTCTTGGCTACGATTAATCCATAAATATCACTTTAGGTCATCGAACTGCACGATTGCTTCGCGCCAAACGAGTTGTTGGCCTATGAGGCGCTGCGGTTATGCCCAATCGGTGAGCTCGGTTTAACTGCCTTTCTCTCGCTCACTTTCTCTTTCTCTCTCTCTCTTTCTCTCTCTCTCTCTCTCTCTCTCTCTCCCGCGTTATGTAGAATTCTAGGTAAAGGAGGCGAAATTGTCGATCGAGCTGACAACACCTACGGTGGAAAATGGGTGATCAACCCGAGTGGAGGCCTGATTTCTAAAGGACATCCGATTGGAGCGACAGGTACTGTCGTTTTCCCAAATTTTAGAGTGCTTTAGGGGTTGCCCAAGTAGTCGAGCTTTCTAACCAACTTCGAGGGCGATGTGGGAAGCGTCAGGTTTCGAACGTCCGACATGCATTGCAGCATAATATTGGTACTTTTTTGTGACAAAGAGACACAGAAAGAAAGAGAGAGAGAGATATAGAGAGAGAGATAAAGAGAGAACAACATATTGCGTTTTAGGAATCGGCGGCGCCGGCGTGGTGGCCATTTACAAACTGGCGGAAGAACGGGCAAAAGCGAAAATTTGAATCTATGTATTTATCAAAAAAACTACCCTGGTTTTTATCTAATTCCCGTTGCAAATAAATGACGTGTCGTATGATGACGTTCTAAAACATTAAAAAGTATAGTGAATTAGAGCGAAGATTGGTTAATTAGCATCGTTGCAACAAAAAGATAATATATCAATCAACTATAATAATTTTGCTGTGGTCTCCGTCCGTCCGTCTGTCCGTCTGAAGCCGAATTCAACTCGAAGGGGAAAGGAGCTAGAGCTTAGCTCTCTTCGGATTCGGATAGAGCGCCGTCAGAAACCCCCAAACTGATAAAAAAATTATGAAAAAGTTTTAGTTTAAATTATTAAAATTAACTTTGAAAGTTTTTCCTTAGTAAAAGGAGTGGGGGCCCCTTTCCCGGGAGGCCACGCCCCCTTTCCCTTCGCCCATCTTCCCCAGGCCCCTTCCCGCGCCCAGATAGCTTTCTTAAGTTACTTTAATACTTTTTAATACTTTTAATACTTTTTAATACTTTTTAATTATGTTAATTAATTATTTAAATCATCTAAAGCCATCGGGAAGGTATTTAGGTAGTTTTTGAAGGGGATTTCAGCCATGGGGGGTATCTAAAGCCATCAGGAGGGTATGTAGGTAGTTTTTGAAGGGGATTTCAGCCATGGGGGGTATCTAAAGCCATCGGGAAGGTAAAGTTACTTTAATACTTTTTAATACTTTTTAATTATGTTAATTAATTATTTAAATCATCTAAAGCCATCGGGAAGGTATTTAGGTAGTTTTTGAAGGGGATTTCAGCCATGGGGGGTATCTAAAGCCATCGGGAAGGTAAAGTTACTTTAATACTTTTTAATACTTTTTAATTATGTTAATTAATTATTTAAATCATCTAAAGCCATCGGGAAGGTATTTAGGTAGTTTTTGAAGGGGATTTCAGCCATGGGGGGTATCTAAAGCCATCGGGAAGGTAAAGTTACTTTAATACTTTTTTAATACTTTTTAATTATGTTAATTAATTATTTAAATCATCTAAAGCCATCGGGAAGGTATTTAGGTAGTTTTTGAAGGGATTTCAGCCATGGGGGGTATCTAAAGCCATCGGGAAGGTAAAGTTACTTTAATACTTTTTTAATACTTTTTAATTATGTTAATTAATTATTTAAATCATCTAAAGCCATCGGGAAGGTATTTAGGTAGTTTTTGAAGGGGATTTCAGCCATGGGGGGTATCTAAAGCCATCAGGAGGGTATGTAGGTAGTTTTGAAGGGGATTTCAGCCATGGGGGTATCTAAAGCCATCGGGAAGGTAAAGTTACTTTAATACTTTTTTAATACTTTTTTAATTATGTTAATTAATTATTTAAATCATCTAAAGCCATCGGGAAGGTATTTAGGTAGTTTTTGAAGGGGATTTCAGCCATGGGGGTATCTAAAGCCATCGGGGAAGGTAAAGTTACTTTAATACTTTTTAATACTTTTTAATTATGTTAATTAATTATTTAAATCATCTAAAGCCATCGGGAAGGTATTTAGGTAGTTTTTGAAGGGGATTTCAGCCATGGGGGGTATCTAAAGCCATCGGGAAGGTAAAGTTACTTTAATACTTTTTTAATACTTTTTTAATTATGTTAATTAATTATTTAAATCATCTAAAGCCATCGGGAAGGTATTTAGGTAGTTTTTGAAGGGGATTTCAGCCATGGGGGGTATCTAAAGCCATCAGGAAGGTATCGAAGTAGTTTTTGAAGGGGATTTCGGCTATGGGGGGTATCTGAAGCCATCAGGAAGTTATCGATGTAGTTTTTGAAGGGGATTTCGGCTATGGGGGGTATCTGAAGCCATCAGGAAGTTATCGATGTAGTTTTTGAAGGGGATTTCGGCTATGGGGGGTATCTGAAGCCATCAGGAAGTTATCGATGTAGTTTTTGAAGGGGATTTCGGCTATGGGGGGTATTGATGGAGGTGGGAAAGGATGTGGTGGAGTGGGACATGTAGGGTAGCCCGAAGGCCAGATGGTTGCAGTCGCGAAGCGACTGTAACCATCTGGTCTTCAACAATTTTTCAAATAGTGATCATCCTCTGCGTGCGACTTCTGTCCTAGGCCTGCTGCTCGAGATGCCCGCGGGGGGAGCCTTGTTAGGGGTCCCTTAGCATTCAAAAAAAGCCAAAACATGCTTGTCCCCTATCCCTTTCCCAGGCAAATGCCCTTATGCATTTTGCCCTGTGTGTTTGTTCGCGAGAATCCTGGGCTTTTCCTAGATACCTTGCGAGGTGTTTTGGCTTGAATTTCTAGTTGAGGCAAAAAATTGGGAACAACACGAGTGCGCGAGGAATTAGTCACAAGCTTGGCTAAGAGAGAGCACACTTTAGGAGATCAGAAGAACTGATATTTGCGAGGATGCTGGCACTGAGCCTTGTTTCGGTGTAGATAAGTGCGTTTTCTATTCTGCACTCTCGCCCTCTCTCTTTCTCTTTCTCTCTCTCTCTCTCTATCTGTCCTTCTCCCTATCTCTCTCTCGTCAGCTTCAGAAGTTATTCAGAAGTAATGTCGTTGATGAGCCGGTTTTCGGCTGAGTTCTCTAGGTCCCGATGCGGTTACCGTACATCTACGCTTACCTTTCCACTTCCGGCCAGACAATCCATTTTCCGTAGATCACAGCTCGCTGAAAAGCTTTTTATCGCTATGTTTTTCCAGACCCACAGCCAGATTTATGAATGTCCTTTCCGTGTCCGACATCCTGAATGGTCGAACGGGCGGCGAGTGTTTTTGCCCTCTCCCTCCGATATTCCGTTGCTCATCGACCGTACCGGCCTAGACCCGCCCGCCAAACAGCTTTTAACGCGCAAAACAAGTGGCCGACTTTTAGAGGCTATAAAATAGGGTCTAGGATCTTGCCAGGAGATCGGAAGGCGTATCATTTTGAAAATCGTGAGCTTTATTGTATATTGCTTAATTTAATTCAAAGTATGCCTTATTCTTTATTAAAAATGCCGAAAAACCATCAAAAACCTACGAGTAGTTTTTTTGTCAATGACTCCATCTTCACTTTTTTTTATTTTACTAAAGGTTTTTCTTTTTTTCCTTATGTAAGTTGAAATTAAGATTGCGAATATATTCTTTCACATCAGAGATAATAGAATTTCATAGATTTTTCATTTTTTCATTGCATGGTCTCTCACGCACGCCCCCCTCTCTCTTTATCTCTCTCGCTCTTTTTTCTCGCTCTCTCTCCCTCTCTCTTTCTCTCTCTCTCCCAGTCTGTCTCTCTCGCTCTCTTCTTCTGCTTTCAAAACAGTTACGTTACAAACTAGGATGGTTGTTTCTTAATTTTCTAGCGATTTGGTTGAGTTTTCGCGGTTCTGAGAGTCTCTTCTCTCTCTATCCCTCTGTCTCTGCCTCCCCCCTCTCTCTCTCTCTCTCTCCAAACCGTTTGCAAACCAGCCTGCAATTCCTCCCCTACCATGCCTTCAAAACATTTCCTTGCAAATTCCTTATCGGTTTGAACCTGAACCGCCATCCTTGCAGGCTCGCTCCAAAAAATAATCACCTCAGCAAAACATCCTCGCTCGGATTTCAAAGATACCCCTCCTTCTCCCCCAAAACCAGTTCATATGAGCCTCATCTTTTCAATGGGTATTGGGTGCACGTGTGTGGGCTTCGAACTGGGTGTCCTTTTTGCCTCTTTTGCCTTTTCCACCCGTTTCGGTCCTCTTTCCAGTCTTTTTGGCCCCAAAAAGTGGTGGTCTCTGTGGGGGGGGGGAAGGAAAGGCCGAGAAAGCATATGCAGACGACCCTCCGAAAAAGAAAAAAGCGGTCAACATGTTGTGTCGTGTTTGGGGTGGGCGCTTGGGCACTTGGCCAAGTCCGCTTTGAACTAGTTTTTGGACTAGCCTTTGCACTTTTTGAACTCGTGCTCTTTGCTTTTGCTTTGCTTATTTATGCGTTCCATGCTGGATGTAGGCCTGACTTGGCTTGGGCTTGGCTCTATCTAGGCTTGGGCTTAGGCTTAGGCTTAGGCTTAGGTTTGGTTTAGACTTAAGCCTAGGTTTGGGTTCGGGCTCAGGCATAGGCGTAGGCTTAGGCCGAGGCTGAGGCTTGGACTTAAGCTTGTACTTAAGTTTCGCTCTCAGCTTGTCTATTTCAGAAAAAACGGCATTTTTTTGAGCTTGGTGAGAAGAAAAAGTAAAAAGGTAAGAAGCTGTAGTATCTTAACCATGTAGGCTATTAAAGTCGAGACGTTCTTTTCTAGATTCTATGAAGTTTTCCGCCGGCTTATATGACTAAAACGCGATGAAAACTGACTCAACCCCCTACTTGCTAACCTTCTTTGATATTCCGCAGCCCGTTCATAATATTTTGGCGCCAATTCTGCAAGTATCTGAGTCGTAGACCACATAAAATTTCGAATTCTGCCCTCCCAAAAATACCGTGACCCGCTGCTGCAACTTTCGAATTGACCGGTCGCCCACCAGCCGGCCGCCCATATTGACTCAGACTTTGAGTGCTGCTTTTCCGGGCTTTGTGAGGGTGGCCAAGTATTTTTGTCCTCACTTGCTTTCATTTTTCACAAGGACATATTTTTCAGGACTTTTGCGTATTTTTTGAGCTTTTCTATTTTTTCATGGTTTTAAAAGTTTTAGGGAAAACACTCTGAGCGGGCTGGGAAGCCTCAAACTCGTCTGAATCGACTCTTCTGCGCGGTTAGATCTAGACATATCTAAGCTATGATAAAAGGCAGATGGTTGCATCTCTATTTCTTTCGTTGTCTCTGGCTTGCACGATCTCTCTTCCTGGCTCGCTCCCTCTTTCTCACTCTCTCGCTCGCCCTCTCTCTCGCATTCATTGTTTCTCTCACCTTTTTCTGTTTTCTTTTGTCATCTCGACGCGAGGCATTTTTGGAACGATGCGTAGTTGTCGAGGTCCAGCCAATCCAAAGATCGAAGCCGGCCTTTCCGGTTCTTTGAAAAACACGATTTTACGCCCTACGCAACTTTTTCTGCTTTTCTTGGTTATACATTAACACAAGTCCAAGCCGCAGGCTAGCCCTATTTCTTGCTCCCCTTCCTGCAGTTGATCCTCTCGAAAAAGTTGTGAAGGGATACAACCAGCCATGTTGCTCTGCAACCCTAGCTTCACGGCTGTCCCAGGTCATGCGACCCGAGTTCCCCGTCGGTTTACTGGTCTGTGGCAAAAAGCCAAAAAGAGAGCAACAAGGCATAGCAAGAAATATTTTTAAGGATATCTGCTTGCCTCCTGCTTCCTAAATAATCCATGTTAGACAGGAGCCTAAAGCCCGCCGTCACTAGTTTGCCCTTCCCCCAAAGCCCATGCTAGTTTGCTTATTTTTAAAGGTGGCTGCTAAGATCCTGCCTTTTAAAGCATCTTGGCTGCGTCCTATTCCATGCCTAAGCCTAAACCTCCATTTCCTGAATGATCTCTGCTAGCCTGCCATTTCCGAAAAAAATCGTTGCTAGTCTGCTGCTCCTCAAAAATCTCTACTAGCTCCTCAAAAAACTTTCCTGGCAATCCGCATTTTCCCAAAGAGCATCTGCTAGACTGAAGAAGTATTGTCCGGTTTCTCCACAAAAAATTCTAGGCGGTTTTTAAAGGGTTTGTGTAGTCAAATCCATAACCATGGGGGTCTGGACCAGATACGGTAGAAGACGCTGTTTACCTTGCAGCGCTTAAAGCTTTCAAAAAGCCTACTGTTTTTGCAAAGCTTTCCCTGGCTCCCGATATTTTATAGCTATTTGTCCCTGTTCGCTTTTATCCCGTTTTAAAGGACTTGCTAAGCCAAATCCATCGCTTTCGAACCCTGGGTTTTATCATCGAGAAATGGCTCCCCACCTCACGTTTTTTAGAAAACCTTTGCAACAATCACAGCCATTTTTGCAAAGCTACACCCCGATTTCCCAACATCCTCAGCGGCTGTTCCTTCACCGCTTTTCTCACGTTTTGCCCCATTCTTCAGTGGGGCGCCTCGAACAGGCGTGGAGATGTTGGGGTTTGTCAGCGACATCCGCCCCCCCCCCCCGACCAGTCTGTCTTTTCTGTATGTCTGTCTATGCGTGTGTGTGAGTGTGTGTGTGTATGTTTTTTCGGGGCCGCGGCTTCTCGTGGTCGTCTGGCACCCCGTCCACCTCTCAAACCACCACCATCCCCCCAGCTGCACTCACACGCAGCGACCACCCCCCCTAACCCTGGCTGGACACATTTTTTGGCGTTAGAAGCCATTCGTACAATAATTTTGCATCTGGTACTATCTATCCAATATTGAGAAGTTTCATCCCTCTCTCTCTCTCTCTCTCTCTCTCTCTCTCTCTCTTCCCTGGCGCACACTCACCTTCTTTGATTCTCTCTCGCTCTCTGCTTCCTTCTCTCTGTTTCGGTCTCTCTGATCCTGGCTCAGTCTTTCTCTACCTCACGCTCATTCATTCTAGCTTTCACTCTCTCCCTGCCTCTTACTCTCGCAATCCCCTCTGACCACTTCCTCAACGAGTTCAGCCGACTTCCAATTTCTCGAATGGCCAAAAAGCCCTCCCCTACTCTCAATCCCACGATGCCCAAGTAGTTTACGATGTACTCGCACATGTCCAAGACATCCCAATGATTGTCAAGGGTATCGTGACGTACTGATCCCAAGGGCTGGAATCTTCCATCTCGGCACATAAAAGGGAGCCGTTATTTTCGGACTTTTGGAGGGCTGTTTTCGGCAAACGAGAGTGCGTGGGAGTACGGTATTGCGAGATTCGTGGGATTTTGATTTCAGGACGAATTGTGCTATTTATTTTTCTGATCTTAATTCAGTTTTAACTGTTGTAAATTATAGTTCTGAATCTGCCTTTCCCTATCTTTCTCTCTCGCTCTCTCGCGTGATCTGTCCCATTAATTAGCATCAAATTTTTTCTCTATTCCTTTTCTCTTTTTTCTCGATTACACCCCACACACAGCATGTGTCCCCAATTAGTGACTCACAAAACGATCGGCCGTTCTTTGAAGATTTCGGTCCTCGGGGATAAAAAGTTTGGAACGCCATTTCTCATGACGACGACTAATAATAAATACACTTTTCGAGGGCTTCAGTGATTCCCGAAGTCTCTCTGCTAGCCTGCCCACTCCAAAAAACGATCGTCTCCTAACGAACGATCACGCAGATCCCGAGTTTTTTCAGGGTCATTAATTCCCGGGATTGACTGATACAATAACACTCATCAATCTCGAGAAAACAGCCCGAAGCCCACATGACCCCCGCGCTGTCACTTTTCCCATCAAAATTCGTGTGCGGTGGTTTCCCGTTTCACGTGGTATGTGCCGTTGGGGGAACCCGGGCAAGGAGGGGGGGCATCTTTATTTTTTATCAGCTCTTGCTCTCTCTCTCTCTCTCTCTCTCTCTCTCTCTCTCTCTCTCTCTCTCTCTCTCTCTCTCTCTCTCTTTCTCTCTTTCTCTCTCTGTTTCTCTCTCTCTCTCTCTTTCTCTCCGTCTCATTCTCTCTCTCTCTCGCTCGATTCCAATTTGCCCCCCATTCAATCATTTCCGCATAGACGATCGAACCCATTTTTTCTTGCTTTCGTCTAAATTTAGGAGTCTTGGGCTTTTCATAGATTAAACTCCGCCCACTGTTAGCTATAAGTGTTTCTGAGATCATCGTTATTCTGAAGATTTTCTACCTGTCACCCTCCCTTTAAAAGAGTAGACGAGAAGGTGGGCTTAAGCTTAGCTTTGGGTTAGCTTTGGGCTAGGCTTAGGCTTAGGCTTAGGCTGAAGCTTCGTTAATCCCACCATTTTTCGCCCGGCTATTTCTCGCATTGTCTTTCTAATCCCACAAAAACAACCCAACCGCCTATTGCATCCGGTTGTTTTCCAGCTATTTTAGGCTCGCTCCCACATTTAAAATAGCTCCAATTTGTGCCTATTTTTAGCCACCTGCTTATCAATCTAACCAGGGCATCCCCCAACTCGTGAGTATCGCAACTCGCAACCCGCTCCCCCTTGCCTGAAATTAATTCCCGTGATCTTCCCGGGTACAGATTAAAAACTTTTTCGGACCCGTTTTGGGTTGTACTTTGCTTTGTTTTCAGCGGCGGTGACGTTAGCGTAGCATGGCACGTTAGCATGTTGATATAGCGCGTAATTGAGGGCAGATATTGGATGTATATAGGGCCATTTGGCTTTGATAAGTTTGTTTTCAGTTTGTCCTTGATTTTGTTAAGATTTCATATTTCTTTCTTTCTCGCGATCGCAAAAAAATAGTTTCCTGCTTTTCATGTTTAGAATTCAACAACTAAGCTCATTTTTGAACAATGAAAATTAAACAACCCCGTTATATCGTTAATCCCAAATTTCAATTAATTAAATCAGATTTTGCTTACCTTTTTTGTTAAAAAGTTGTTTATTCTATTTTATATTTGTTTTATAGTTATATTTAATTAAACTCTGTTTGTTTTTGAATTTTATAAAATGTTCTTGAACGATTACATCCCTGACTAGTTTTTTCTCTATTGTTTGTTTTAAAAAACTTATTCATTCCTATTTTCATCCATTTTTTTGATTTTGTTAGATATTGGAAACTTTAGAAACCAATATTTGCAATAAATATTGCAAGAATTGATAGGGAACATTTCAGAAAAAATACGAAAAAAATGGATGTTTTTGATTCCCCAATCACATCACCATTTCCAGTCCCACCGCCAATTTTTTGCTCTTGAAAATTGAGGCTCGGCCAACCCCTGATCCCTCCCATATTTTCAGTTTTGATGCGGGGCGGCCTCGGAGTTTTACCGGGGGTCGGCCGAGATCCCTCAAAATCCCCCAAAATCCGCTCGCCGATTTCTCATTTCCCGGGCCAAATCACGGGCGGCCGGGGCGGTCGGCAAAGTGTTCAGTTGGCCAGAAATAACCTTATATACCATGAATTGGCCCTCATTTCCCTAATCCGCAACTCGGGGGTGGGCGGGGGAAACCCGAAAATTCGTACGGTTTCGACCAATTTGGGGCCAGAATCGGACGGTTCCATGTTTTCCGATTTTTCAGCGTCATTTTTAAATCGTTTTAAGCCCTTTTTCACCCAGCTCGGCTCTATAAAAGCAGCAGAACTATGTGTGCAAGCAGAATATTTCGCACTTTAAACTTTAATATCGCGCCAGTATCCAAAGATTTTCGATTACTACCGTATTCCCTTGTCCATTTTTCCTATTGTTATTTGTAGTTATCCTTTTTAATGTCGAAATTTCCAGAAAATCTGCAATCATACAGCCACTGGAATCACTGAACGCAAAAATGCCAGCCCAAGTTGCTGAACAAATTGGTGAGTCGGGTAGAGGAACTATCAAAAAAGTTCTTTGATCGTGCCCTCGTACGCTAGCGTATCGTCGCGTAGTGTAGCGCATGATATTGTAGTGTAGCTAATGGTATTGTAAGGTAGCGTATGGTATCGTGGTGTAGTGTATGGTATCGTAATGTAACGTTTGGTATCATGGAGTAGCGTATGCTATCGTATCGGGGTTTATGTTATCGTAGCGTAACGTATGTTATGGTAGTGTAGTAAATGGTATCGTAGTGTAGTATGTCGAATCGTAACGTAGCGTATCGTATCATAGCGTAGCGTATGTATCATAGAGTAGCGTATGACATCGCAACGTAGCCTTTGTTATCGTAGAGTAGCATATCGTATCGTGAGGTAGCGTATGCTATCGTAATGTAGCATCTCGTATTATAGCGCATTGTATCGCAGTGTAACGTATGTTATCGTAACGTAGGGTATGGTATCGTAGCCTATTGCATCGTAGTGTAGTTTATGGTATCGTTGTAGCGTATCGTACCACTACGTACTAACTACCCATTTCCAGTGGACGTCACAATCGCCAGCACGTCCATCTCGCCACCTCCGGCGAAAAAACCCCTCTGGAAGTTGTCGAAACACAACGGTGAACGCGTCGTTGACGTTGATGGATACAAGCAGCGTGCGGCCGCGCTTTGCCTTCGTCGGGGCCAGAAGTCGATTGAGGTATCCCTTGATCTAATTGAGTCATGCTCCACTTCAATTTGAAGAATTCTTCAAAATATAAATTTTTAGGTCCTTTTGATCAACGGAGGAAATGAGGGCGAGTGGGTCGTACCGGGAGGAGGTCTAGAACGAGCTGAAAGTCCTTTGGACGCTGCGATGTAAGTGACAGAAGGGAGACGGTAGAGAGAAAGAAAGAGAGAGAGAGAGAGAGAGAGAGAGAGAGAGAGAGAAGAGACTCTCAGAACCGCGATAACTCAACCCAATCGTTAGAAAATTAGAAAACAACCATCCTGTCTTGTAACGCGACTGTTTAGATCTAGCCGGCGTCAACGGTCGAATTTAGCGCTTCTCAGTCCCTTTAAATGCCTTGTACGCTTTTCTAAATTTGCTCGAATCCGTATATTTCCAGCCTATTTACCCAAGCAACGCCTGTTCCCATCCGGTGTCACCGATCAGCCCCCAAACTTCCGAGCCCCTTTACAGAGCCTTAACCGCACTTTACCCCCCTCGAACTTGAGCTTGTTGTAGACGCGAGCTGGAAGAGGAGGCTGGAGTGCGCGGTGACGTGCTCGGCACGATTGGAGTGTTTGAGGAGAGCCACGCAAAGCGGCGCAGCTCCCTCGTCGTGCTGTCGCCCAAGGAGGAGCTCAAAGTCTGGGAGGAGGGATCGTTGGTACGTTTTTGCCAGGGTTCAGGCTTAGACTTAGGGTTAGGATTAGGCTTAGGCTTGAGCTTAAGCCTGGGCCTAGACTTCGGCTTAGGCGTGGTCTAACTTCCAAATTTTTGAAAACCTGAGTTTAATCTTAATTTTCAGGGTCGCCGCCGGAAGTGGATGAGCATGGACGAGGCCATCCTTGCCGTCAAGGACAGCCATAAACCCCTGCTCCAGGCCGTCGTCATCCGATGACTTACGGTTTTCCTTGATTGAATTTGCATAATTATGTCTGCCTGTATTTTACACCTTTTGCCCTTTTTCCTCCTTATTTTGTCCATTTTTTAAAATCGACGCGGCGAACCAGTCCAAAACTGCGCCTTAAGAGTATTTCCCTCAAAATGGGCATTTTCTGAAAGTTCTTTGTTAATAAATGTTACCCCGCTTAATATACATATACTTTTCCCGTTGCTTTCCCTTCATTACCTTCGAGATTTTTCTGAAATAATAATAATACTGTCCTGTCTTCGGGTTGCCCCTTACTCTGTCTGGTACAATTGTCAACTTGACAATAATATTTGCTTCATTTTTGGTTTGTGATGAAAGAGCTTTTATCGACGAGATAAAGTTTTCCAGAACCAACACAAAATGCGCAATAACGTCAATAAATGTCGACGTGAAAACTGAAAATTCCAGAATAAGCCAAACGCTGCAAAATGTAAATCAAAGTTGTTACAGAGGCGGACAGCCCCAGAATCTATCCCAAGCCAAAGCTTGTGGCTTCAGCCTAAGCCTAAGCTGAGCCTAAGCCCAAACCAAAGCCCAAGCCTAAGCCTAAGGCTAGCCAAAATTTACTAACGTTTCGAAAACAAACCACCTTTCACTGAATCGCCGAAAAATTATTCTAATTTCCACGTCGCTGACTCACAAAGGCCGCATAAAACGTGCTAGGCTAGCCGAAATTGGTCCGTAAATTGGGCAATATCTCGGAGCCACGGTCGAAAAAGTCTGATAACATTTGTTAGCGCCTCAGCCCAAGTTTATGGGCCCGGTTTGCTAGAAGCTAGCAAATTTCAGGAATTCTTCGATTTTCGGTTCGGATCCGGAATGCGGAAAATCGTGTTCTGTCTGTATGTCTGTCTTCTTTTATTACCAGGTAGAGTGGGCGAAGCCTAAACCCTAGCCTAAGCTTAAGACTAAGCCTGAGCCCAAACCTAAGCCCAAACGTAAGCCTAAGCCTAATCTTAAGCCAAAGCCTAAGCCTTGTTCAGCGCTTTCCGCCCTCGACGTCTCGCTGAACTCCTTCGACTCGACGTATATGGCAGATGGCAACGCGTTCAAGGCGGATACGGTATTGCTAACCCGAACAATGCAAAGTGATTTTCAGAGCCTAACTTTGCTTACTGGCGACTGCAGCGATTGCTATACTCTTCTAACATTTTGGTTTAAGAACCAGGCGGACACCGATTTTACGATTTCGACAGATGAGGGAGTGAGACGCTCGTGAGTTGGGAGAGATAGAGAGAGCGAGAGACAGAGAGAAAGAGATAGAGAGAGAGAGGGATGGAAACCCTTTTTTCAGAATCAATCTCACCCAGAACACTCTCTCCAACCTGTACTCTCCGCCTATGACGCTCGATTTTTCACAAAATACCGATACCGATTTTGTGCTCTCCTTTCGGCAACTGGCCAGATCCGGAGGTTTTGAAATCGTCGGTGTCGAATCCAGAATTTTTAGTGATCACTATCCAAGATAACGATTTTTCCGTCAATCCAATGCCCGAGGAGCCGCAGAACATTACTTTCCTATCGACGAAAAAGACGGTGGCCACGTTTTATCAGGGGTCAAGCTCGAACACGGCCATCTCGTTTCGGCCAAATACCTTGGTTGGTTTTGTTTGTTTGTTATTATTTTTTAGTCCGCCTTTATCTGTTTTAAAGGGATTTAGGCCTGGAATTGCGCGCAATTTTTTGTTTATTTTTATATTTTTTTATTGCGCAACCAGATCTTAAAAGAAATAATCGTCACCTAATTGGAATCGCGATATAGAAGATTTTAAGTGATTTTTGCCGTTTTTTGGTATCTCTCGATGCCGAGCAGTAACGCTTATTTCTCGGTTCCCTAGCCATTTGAAAAGTTAATGAATTTCAAGGGCTAGACTTCTCTTCTTACTTTTTTTTCCTTTTTTCCTGCCCCTTCAGTTTATTAAATTCTATTAGAACCAGGGTTGAAAAGCCGCTCCGCGACTTTTCAACCCTGGCCCCGTCTGAGCCCATGATATCCTGCACATTGCATAATTCGGCCGAATTTCGATGAGAAATAATGAAAAATGCACCATCTCAGTCGTTATATAGGCTGCCGCCACTTCCGGCTTATGCTAATTTATTCCTAACAAAGAGGCTGTCCGATTTTTTAACAAAAACTGATTTTTAATGTCGAAAATAGCATAATTTGCAAAATCTGGCAGGCGTGCATTCATCTCCAATCCATTACGCACCTAATGACGTATCATACGTAGCCTAATACCCTCCCCCCCCCCCTTGAGATATCCTCCGGACACCCTGACGGAAGTTGCATGCAAAGTGGCACACACACACACACACACACACACACACACACAAACACTATTTTTTTATATATAGTAAGATTTTGAAATTTCCACTATTTTGTAAGGATTTTAGCTCCACCGTTCGTTAGATCATCAAAAAATTACTTAGAGTGCTAATTGGGGCTTATAATAGTGTGGTATAAAGAAGTTATGGCGAAAACATTTGAAAATTTTTAAAAGAAAGCAAAGTCAGACCATTTTTAGAATTGCACAGTAGAGCTGTTTTCTTATGGATGGCCAAGTGACGCCGGAAAAGCATCATATCTCCTATTCAGAGTTAGGTAACTTTTTCGAGGTTTTCGAAAGCGATTTTCAGCCCAGCAAACTACCGTAACCTCACCCCCAGCCGATATTGGGGCCGGGCAGTGACCCTAGTTTTACCGGCAAGTTGCGCAGCCGGATTTCAGATTGAAAAAATAGAGGGTAAATTTGATATGGTAAATTTAAGTAAAATATGGAATTTTTTAGCTCCCGAGACTACAAACTACACCCTGGGGGCCCGCGAGGATTTTGGGTACATTTCGAGTCGGGATTACCCCCTCGTTGGTGATGCTGGACCTTCGAAAATTTCAATAAATGTTTTATTGAATGAAACTGGTAAGATACTAACTGCAAACTACAAAATTCTTTAGTGCTTAACGACTCTGAGGTGCAGCTGAACCTGTTGGAATTGGTGGCATACGAGCCGGGCAGTAATTCCGACCAGTTGACGATCATCTTTGGCGAGGCCGGCTCGAAGAAGTGAGACGTTTTTAGGTCCAGAATTTCCCAAGGAATCTTTGCTAGCTAGTTTTTCAAAACACTCTAATGTATCATCAAAATTAATTTTTATGAAATCAGTAACTTTCAGCTTGAGATTCCAGTAATTTTTAACCTCTAATTATTTATTACAGTTTCAAACATCTGTATCCCCCCATTTCTCCCAAATAACCGCTGCTAGCGTGCCCTATAACCACGAGCGTGCATGAGTATTGGAGCATAAGCAGTGTGAGCACGAGCTTAACCGGCAGTTTCTTAGAGGATCTCGAAAAGTTCTAAATAGTCGTGATCCTTCCACAATGTTCTCTGCTAGTTACCCGTTTTTCAGCCTTTGCTTCTCCTAAACCTCACTTTTAGCTTCTCAACTCCGCAGAAAAATCTACAGCTTAAGGGCACCGGGCAAATGCAGGTATTGTGCCGAAATTTATTGATTATTTTGTGTTTTCCAGATAATTTTTGAACCCGCTAAAATGGACTCGCATTTTTTGATTCGATACGAGACGAAAGCGGTGTTAGGTTCGTTTTTCTGGTGTTTTTTTTTGGAAAGTTCAGCGTGTCAGAACGAAAGACCTTCGTGAATCTGAATGCAGTCGATTCGAGCTACACCTTAAATGGGAATATGGTCAAGGATATTGACGTAAGCTCATCAAAAACTTCCAAAAAAATCAGCGCGTTCAGATTTTCTCGATCTATGTCGACGGCCCGCCGACCACCTATGTTTTTCCATATTTTGCAGCCCAATCCCGGACTGATTTTGAAATCATCGATGCTGAAAATAATGTTTTTAGGTCTGACTATATTTTTACGTCTTTCTACTTCTTTTTCTGCTCTTGCAATCGACCTTTTTTTATTCATTTCCAGCTCCAAAGACCTCTCTGCCGCCTCGAACTTTACCGGCAACATTCAGCTCGATTTTACTGGGAATAAGAATTGGGACTTTGCCCTCATCTTTCGATTGGATTATGGAAAAATCGGTATCAGCGAGGTCGAGCTCAAAATTCGATTTTAGAGCTTGCAAGCGACGTAGATTTTGCCCTGCTTACGCTGGATGCCTCGCAGTCGGTGACGGTAGAGATTGGTTTGTCTTAAACTCAAGAAATTAGCCTAAGCCAAGCCAAGACGAAGCCTAAGCCAAGCCCAAGACTAGGCCGAAGACCAAGCCTAAGCCCAAGCCGAAGCTTAAAACCTAAGCCCAAGCCCAAGCCAAAGCCTAACCCTAAACAAAAGCCAGAGCCTTAGCCTAAGCTAATTTTGCAGTTACAGGGACCAAAAACCGAACCTCCGTTTACTCCTTCGTCACTCCATTCAACCGAACCTTCCCCTGTGCGTTGATTCAGAACATTTCGATGGCAAGTTTTGGAATTATTAAATCAATTGTTTTTCTTGAATTCTAGCAAAATCTACTATCCAAATTTAGAGTTGCCCTCAAATTTCGCTATACACGGGCGGTTACTACCGAAATCTGACCACGTCCCCGGGGAAGTATTTGCTCTATGAATTTGGGTAAGCTGCATCATCAGAAATTGATTGATGCTTATATTTCTTTGTCCCTTTAAAATTACTGTTTAGGGAAGATTATACTGACAACTTTTACGCAAGCCAAATTCGATCATTTTCCTTCAGCCTGGAAATTCCGGAAAATTGCGATGTATCGTTCGAGTTGACCGAAAATTGCGAAGGTAACCCAGTTCAAAATATTTTCTGTGACAAGTGGAGCTCAAATTAAATCAACTCATGCAGAATGAGGCTCTGCGAAGCGGTTGTTTTTTTCAGGAAATCCCGACCTTTCCTATAATACCGTCCCCCTCGGCGGTCACGGCTTCTTTATGAGTGACGCCTATCGGCAAAACGACAACTTTTGGGCGAATCGACCCTTGGAAATCGAGATTCGTGCCAATGACACGGAGAGTCGGACTTGAACCTTAAAAAATTATATCTTACTGCCTTTAGATACCACCGAAATCGCTTTGAATTTCGCTGCCTTTGATGCCGGCTTTGAAAATGGCGCATCGGTTTTTATTGATTTTTCCGGTTCTAACAGCACGTTGAAGTGGGGAACGAGCTCTATATACTACTCTATCTTTAAGCCTTACGGAATCGACGCAAAATGCAAATTTTACAGATTTGGCGGAGTCCGTTTTGGTAAGCCTATGCCTGAAGCCTAAGCCTAAGCCTAAGCACGGCTTAAGCCTAAGCCTAAGCCTAAGTCTAAGCCTAAGCATGGCTTAAGCCCAGGCCTATGCCTATGCCTGAGCCTATGTCTATGAATGTGCCTAATTACGCGCTGAATTTTCAGATATCTTTCGATGCAGGTGCTCCGACTTCCGGATTCCTGCTGAAATATTGGCTCCAAACCCCTGATCCGAATGCCGTTTCTACGGTACCCACCGGAATCTCGGAATCTACCGTATCAACGACACCCGTGATTTGCACTTGTCCAACTCTTCCGACAGCGGAGACCACTACGAAAGTGGCAACGAGCATACAGTTTTCCATTGTTTTGTTGGTAATTTTGTGTGAGAGCTTTGTTTAAATAAACCGGATTTTATTATTCCTTTCGGGTGATATCACACGTTGTTTGTGTTTCGACATTTGCAAAAATTGCATATAAAGGCTCCAAAATGTCAAAAATCTTTAATTTTGAACAAAGCGTATAATTGCTAAAATTTAAATAGCGTATTTCGAACTTCAAAAACCGCCAGAGAGAATTCAATGAAAGCTTTATTTGTCTAAAATTTTAATAAATTGAACTCTAAAAGCTAGGATTTTTAGATAAAGTTGATAAGTGGTTGTAAACCTGAAAAATGAATTGTGAAAAACTTGATTGAAAAGTTTTCACATTTTCTGAAGGGTCCGCAAACCCATACCGATCAACAAAACACGAACACTCGAGATTTTAAGGCACGAATTAGGCGTTTTCGTCGCGGATTCCAATTCGGCACGGCCAGCCGTGTTTATTGCTTTCTGAATCAGCAATTTCGTGTGCCGGGGACCCGGGTGTGGTTCGGGACAACTTGTGATAAGCCGACTCCTTGGCTCCACCCTCTACCCCGCAAAAACGACCTCCCCGTGACGCCACCTTCTCTGTGAAAATAGCCCGAAATTTTATTTCTGTTCTCGCGGCCCGAGGGTTTGATAACCATTTTCAAAAACGGCTATTCCCCTCTGCAAAAATGATGCTGCGGGAAGCTTGCCTATTGATTATTTGTAGTTTGTTCGCTCAAGAAGCAGGTATAGAAATGGCTAAATCTAAAAGTTCCAGTTTTTTTAGTTTCGGTAGATCTTACTGTCAATTTGAATGCGGTTGATGCTTCCTATGTGATGAATGGATACTTGTTTAAAAATACTAGTATTGACGTGGGTTATTTTAGGTCGGGTTAACCTTACACTTCGGGTTAGACCTCGATTTGGCTTAAGCGTCGGCTGTAGCGTAGCCTTAGGCTTAGGCCATAGGCTTAAGCTTACGCTTGAGCTTAGAACTCGACTTTGGCTCAAGCTTAGGCTTAAGCTTGGGCATAAGCTTCGGCTTAGGATTCGGCTTAGCCTTAAGTTAAGCCCTCGGGTTAAGTTTAAGCTTCGGGTGAGGCTTAAGCTTAGACATCGTCGTAGTCATATGCTTAGGTTTAGGCTTAGGCTTCGGTTTCAGCTTAGGCCCCCTTATCTTGTCTTAAAAATCGAATTTCCGATTTTTTAGCGTCTCCTGGTTACCGTCGACGATCCAAACCTCTCCGTCTATGTATTGTCCAAATTTGACTCGCAAAATGAAACAAACTTCTGGATTGCCGATGCCAAGACGGCGGTGTTGCAGTGAGTTTCAGAAGACAGTTTTAATCCATTCCATTTTCACAGACCTCACTTTTTTTCAGATCCAACGAGCTACCAGCCTACCAGGTCTTCCAAGGCGCCATCACCGTGGATTTGAGCGCAAACCAAAATTTCAATTTTGCAATGATATTCCGGAGGATAGGGGCGGATGAAGGTAATTTTCTTTACCACATAATCACGTAAATCTAGCCGATATCCTCAAGAAAACGACATTCACCGTGATCAGCTGGTTGCCAGGTGCAAAGGGGAGTCCAATTATGAGCGGTAAGTAATTCATTTCAAACATTATGAAGAGTTATGCGTTTTCGAAGCCAAGTATCGAACCTTTTCTTTTTAAGGATGGCCAAAAGACAGTGAAAATTTTCCGTATTTAGCTGGCGACGATCAGTACTCGGTGATGACTATCCTGGCACCGTTTGAACGCGAATACCCGACGCTGCAGGTGGAGCCTCTGCAGATGGTGAGTTCTACTCAAAAAATACTTAACTTTTTTCGCTTTTAAAAATGATTTTTTTGTAGAACCGACCCAACTGCAAAGTGGTGATGTACGCGGGAGGGCAACCAAGTGCAGCCGGGGCCGAGAAATACAGATTATACGATTTTACGTAGGTTTATCTTAAGCTTAAGCTTAGGCTTGGGCTTGGATTTCGGTTTGGATTTAGGCTTCGGCTTAGACTTCGGCTTAGGGATGAGGTCTTAGGTTTAGGATGGGCCTGGCTTACGAGCTTAGGCTCACGTGCTAAAGCGCAGTCAAAAGCTTTCTTCAGCAATGCGACGAGCGACTTCCAGCTCTCGTGCACGATCCGAGTTTTTGCGGTGACATTTGTCGTGCCCTCGCTTTGCGGCCTGATCGTTGCTTTGGAGGAGAATATTGGTGGGTTATGGTTACGAGCTGCTAGAATTAGCGTTGCAGGTCGTGTCGCGTGTCGCGTCGCGTGTCACTTGGCGCGTTACGAGGAGTAGAATCGTTTGTTAATTTTCAGACACCATCGCCCCAAAAGTCGTTGATGGCAGTCATGGGTTTGCGATGAGCAACGCGTACCGACAAATGGACAATCTCTGGCGCAACGATCGGCCACTTGACACGATTTACTCACTCGATGCACCAAGTACGTTGTTAAATTCTGGAGTCGGGCAACTTGCTGGCGTCACCCGGTTAGAAGGACCAACCCTTGCGTTCGACGACAGGTTTTTAATTTCCGTCTAGAGCCCAATTCCATCAATGGAACCTTTGATGTGACCGTAGCGAGCTTTGAGCCGGGAGTCAACAGTACCCTCACGTTTAACTTTGAGCAGAACACGAAAGTGTAGGTCTTCTAAAGGTGAGCTCCAGCTTCTGGTTGTAGGTTTGCCGAGAAGGCACAGAACGCCAATTTTTCGGATGCATCGACGGCGATGAGCGTGAGTTTTCTGGAAAGTGAGCAAGAGAGAGAGAGAGCGAGAGAGAGAGAGAGAGAGAGAGAGAGAGAGAGAGAGAGAGAGAGAAAGAGAGAAAGAAAGTTGGGGATAGGCCGTTGAGCTTCAGGTGAGATACGAACCCACCACTTCCGACTCTGGATTTTTAATACGGTATCGATTTTCGACGGGCGATACGGCTGCGACTGATGCGACCAGCTCAACGGCTGCAGGTTTTTTAAATTTTTTTAGCTAAACGTTTGGAATATTAGTAATAACTGCGACTACAACAAAGGATGGTGCTCGAGCTGCATTTTCTTTATCAATTTTGATGGTTTTAATCGGTTTTCCATAGCTTTATAACGAAAACTGGAGAAAACGAATTTCCGGTCGCTTTTTCGGGTTTTTTACACTGCTTTACGTTTTTTTTGTTTGTTTCCGTTTGGTTTTTATCGCATAAATAAATTTATTAACGCTCGTGGTGAGGGTGCCTAGCGCCTCGGAAGGCCCTCTTGGAAACAGTCGGCCATCGAAATACATTTGCCGTCTCTCCCCCTCCCGAATCCATCGTCGCACACGCAGCTGCGGCGCGGAGGCAGGGCGCAGGGCTGCAAAAGGGGATAAGCTGAGCCTAATCATAAGCTTAAGCCGAAGCCTAAGCCTAAGCAGAAACCTAAGCTTAGGCACAAGCCTAAGTCTACCAAGTTTTGCAGCCGTTGTTGGCATTTATCGCAGCCGATATTCATCCGCCATGAAGCATTAAAATCGCCACACGCGATCATTCCTTCGAGGTTGGCGGCCAGGAGTCCGAACAATGCTGAAAAACTTTAAGTAGCTTTAATGAGCTAACAAAGTCGAGAAGCAACAATTGTGCGTTTAGGTTTGGGCTCAGGCTTAGGTTTTGGCTTAGGTTAGGCTTAGGCTTAGGCTTAAGCTAGTGTTTTGTTTTAGGCTTTAGACTTATGATTAGGCTTACGTTTTCGCTTAGGTTTGGGCTTTGGCTTAAACTTGGCCTAGGTTTAGGCGTTATTTAGGCTAAGACCTAGGGTGAGGCTTAGGCATAGGCCGCGCATGAAACTCAAACTCACCCAAGAAAATCAGAGGAGACAGCTTTGAGGCCATTTTTGGAAGGAATGGCTTCTTTTCACTTTCCGAACTTATATTGCCGTGGGTTTTTAATATCGCTAGTATGCGCATTTTAATGTCTTTGGTTTCACAGCAGAAACAATTTGCCATGCGAATACGATTATCCGCCTACTTGCATTAATAGTCGGCTCGTAAAATTAAGGAATTCTCCGATTTTCGAGACGTTAACATCTTTTTCCGAAGAAACAGAGAAGGAAAATCAAAAATTTATCCATTACCATTCCCCCGATGCGAAGCCAGAAGCTTCCATCGCCAAGGTCAATGCCAAGGCCATGCCAATGCCAGAGCTTCCAACGCCAAGGTCGATGTCGTTCGACGACTCCACTCATCAACGAGCTAAAAACCGTCTCCATTTCCCAGATAAGCACCGGAAGCTCGACTACGCCGCAGTACTAATTCCACTGCTTTCGGTTGTTGTAATGCCTGTTCCGAGATACTACTACTGACGCACCGGCGCCGTTTTCTGCCTTTTTGGGCCTGTTTAGGACTTCTGGAGCTCATTTCCCTTTCATTCATTTTTATGCAGGGGATGACGTGGCGTGAAGTCCTGATAAAAGGTGAGCAAGCCACAATGCAGAGATATCGGGGAGTTTTTGAATTTTGCTGTTTTTTTGGTTTTCGTGAAGCGGTGCTTCGTGTTTTTTTTAAACTAGATTTCCTGGCAAATTTTTATCACGTAAGTGGACTTTCTATCAACAGAAACTTACAGAGCTGCGGAAATCTTTATTTTTCTGACCTAGTGTTCCAATCTTGGTAACAGAATTCGAAAAATTTTGAGTCGTTTGTTTTTTATATACCAGACTTCGTATGCCCTAGCCTAGGACCAAGCCTAAGCCTAAGCCTAAGCTTGAGCTTAACCCAAATCTAAGCCTATGCCAAAGCTTAAGCTTACCTAAACCACCAATGACGAAACCTCAGCCTTCAATTCTAGCCAGTCGTCAAGATGAACTTGCTGCTGTTGACGGCTTGTCCGGCGTTGTTCTTGCTGGGGCAATCGGGTATTCCATACGAGCAACTTTTGTATAAGTTTTTTTAGCGGACCCTAAGGAGCTGACCGTCACCCTCAGCGACGTCGACTCGACGTATGGCCTCAACGGGTACTTGATCCAGAATTACTCGGTACCTGCCTTCACCGTAGACGCAGAAAAGTCAAATTGAACCTGAAAAGGGCTAACAAGCGCCATACTCGACTCTTTTAAAACAGTTTTTAGAGCGTAGTCATCGACTTGGGCGGCCTGGACTACGCGGCGGATGTGTCGACGATCATCGAGAATCCAAATGCTACATTTTTTGTGCTCTTTAATCAGACTTGGTACATCAAGTGGGTTTTTCCGATTATGGCACGTAATCTTCACCTGTACTTTTCAGCTCGACAAGGCTGCCCGCATTTCAAGTGGTCTACCCGAAGGTTACCATCGATCTTTCGTATAATGGCAACTGGGATTTTGTGATGTTGTTCCGGCGTTGGAAGATTGGAGAGAGTAGGCCATAAAATTTATCGTTGATCATCTTTTGCATTTTCAGAACCGAAGGACTACAGCGAATACCAAATGACGCGGCTGCACGCAAACCAGGATGCCCGATTTAACGCCGACGGTTGGTTGGCTTGGTCTTACGCATCGACATAGGCTTAGGATTAGGGTTAAGCTCGGGCCTAGGCTTAGGCTGCGGCTAGACTTATGCTTAGGCTAGACTAGGCTTGGGCTTAGGCTTAGGCCTCGGCTAGGCTGATGCTTAGGTTCAGGCTTCGGCTTATACTAAATTTGACTTAGGCTTACGCTTAGGCTTGCGCTTACGCTTATACATGGGCTTACGCTCACCCCCATTCACATGCCCCTTTTAGCGACTAACGGAGCGGTTGCAGTCACAATCTTTGGACCCTATCGGCCGTACTATCAGGGCTTCACGGCCGTGTCGAATATGGTATGTTTCGTAGTTTTACTCTGACAGTGCCTGCTTTCTGGTGGCTTCAAAACTCATTAGCTGCTTTTTTTTAGTCCGCCAACTGCCCGCCGGTCTCGCTTTACGTCGGAGGGCTGCCGTCAGCTGCTGGAAAATCGAAATACCGCATCTACGATTTTGAGTATGACTTTCCCAAACCGAAGCCCAGGCCTAAAGCCGAAGCTAAGCCTAAGCCCAAGCCTAAACCGAAGCCGGCGCTCAAGCCCAAGCTAATTCTAAGCAGCTACAACTTCAAACTTAGCTCAACCAACGTTGGCTCGTTCGGAACTGGAATGATGGGATCGAATGTGTTCACTTACTACGTTCCGATGCCGTGCAAAGCTTCAATCATCGTGAAGCCAAATCCAGGTGCAAACTTTCGATATTCGCAATTTCGACGTTTTCGAAATTACGGAGATTTTTTCCAGTGGGTCGCTTCTACAAGACCATTTTAGCTGCTGAGGATGAGACAATCCTCTTCGCCTTTCGGCGTCCCAGCCACGGCTTCATGATGAGTACGGGGTACTTGCAGATGGATGGGCTGCAGAAGAACACGGCCAATCAGGCGGCGCTAGGGCTGTAGGATGATGGTAAGCGAGGGAGCGAGATAGGGAGGGAGGGAGGGAGAGAGAGAGAGAGAGAGAGAGAAAGAGAGAGAGAGAGAGAGTCAGATATATTTATAAACATATCGAGAGGTAGAGAGAGAAAGAGAGCGAGTGAGCGAGAGAGAGAGAGAGAAAGAGAGAGCGAAAAATTACTTGAGACCGCGAAACATCGTGAAAAAGTAAGAGAAAGAGAACGAGAGAGAAAGAGAGCGAGTGAGCGAGAGAGAGAGAGAGGGAGAGAGAGATCAATAGAGAGAAAAAGCGAGATGACAATTATACTACAATTGCCATTTTTCGAAAACCCGCTTTCCCGAGAACTCAAATTTTCGCCGTAGAAAACGTAAATTCGAAAGAAAACTTCTACAGCTAAATTTAACGCCAGATGCCCTCGAGGAGAACACGAGCTGGAACATTGACGTCCAGAATTTCAACGCGGGCACCGGCGCGAACCCGAGCAGCCTGACCATTAACACCAAGGACTGCCCCGTCGTCAGGTTTTTTGGCGCTAGTAGCGGCGTAATAGCAACTTTTTAGTGTGCCGGACGGGACACAAGGAACGAACTACACCTGCCATACTAATGATTTGGGGGTAGCTTGGAATAGAGAATATTATTAAGTGACTTGGTAGATCCACTACACGGCAGTGGCCCCAGGCTCGCAGTACTTGTTGACGTTTAATAGCTGGATCGATGGGGAACCAGGTAAAGAGAGAGAGAGAGTGAGAGAGAGAACGAGATCCAGAGAAAGCGAGAGAGTGAGAGAAAGAGAGAGAAAGAGAGCAAGATAGATAGAGAGAGAGACGAGGAACTATTTCTTTCACTCAAAGAGCCCAACTAACTTCTTTCAGCCACTCCCGGGTCAACTGTAATCCCATCAACCGTGAGTACCGTATCCGAAGCACCTACCTCTACAATCGCTACAGTTCCAACAACAAGCGTCTCAAGTAAAGAAGCGTACTCCGTACTAATTTTTGCGATTTCCTTGCTGTGCCTTTAAACTTTTGACTATTTTTGGTGCTGATTTTTACCTCTATCGTTGGGATCCGATAAAAATTATAGGATTTAATCGTTTTGATTTATTTATGAAAAACGTGGAAGAGTATCAGAGAGTGCCGTGAAAGTACGTACATAAAATCTCGGCACTATGCCAGATTTTTATAGGGGATGACGTGGCGCCGCACCCTGCTGATAAAAGATGAGCAAACCGCATGCAGAGATACCAGGATTTGTTGGAGACTTGGACCTAGAAAACGCCAAAAAGCTCTTTTGGAAGCAGGCTTTGTTTTTCTTGTTTTTTTGGTTTCATTTTACTGGATTGTCAACGACCACTATAATTCACTTTAAATTTTAATACCGTTTAGTTGAATTTTTTCAGATTTTTAGGCGTTGCCACGATGAAAACGCTGCTTTTTGGACTTTTCCACTCCTTATTAATGCATGCGGTATTTAAACGGCAGCCTGTTTTGGTGTAAAAATATTTCTAGCCAACCCACTACAATTGACAGTTTCCTTAAATGACGTTGACTCAACTTATGGCCTCAACGGGTACTTGTTACAGAATTACTCGGTAAGTAACGCACCGTTTGCCTATAGTTATTTAAATTGGTTTATCTTAACTAGATTATTATTATTTTTAGAGCCTGGTCATTGACCTGGGCGGCTTGGACTACGCCGCCGATGTATCACCAATTTTCGACAACCAAAAAGCTACATTTTTCGTGATTTTCAACCAGACCTGGTATATCAAGTACGTTTTCTACGTGCCCAAAATTTTTCATTTTTTTCTCTTTTAATTTCTTTAATAAATTTGGCTTTAAATGCTTTTCAGCTCCACTGACCTCGTAGGCCACCAAACGGTCGATTCATCCATTACTATCGATTTTTCCAAGAATCAAAATTGGAATTTTGCCATTTTGTTTCGGAGATGGAAAAAGACGGAACGTAAGTAGTACAGCATTTGCATTCAACGTGTTTTCTGTTTTCAGGGCCAAATGATTATGCTGAACATCAAATCTGGCAGCTACGCGACCAAAAAACTGAGTTCACCGCCGACGGTTTGTGGCGTGGAGCACCTTAGGCTGCTTAGGCTTAGTCTTAGGCTTCGGCTTAGGCTGAGGCTTAGGCTTGGGCTTGGGTTCGGCTTGGGACTTAGGCTTGAGCTTATGCTTAGGCTTAGGCTTAAGAGGATTTCAAGCATAGCATAATTTTAGCCACCAACGGCGCTGTGGCGATCACGGTCTTTGGCGGTTTCCACAACTGGTTCCAGGGCTTTACGGGCGCCAAGAATATGGTAAGTATGTTCTAACTTGAACACACGATATTTTCAAGGCAAAAATTATTCTCGGAAAGTCGTAAATTATTTTTTAGTCAGCCAACTGTCCGACCGCCACCCTGTACGCTGGTGGGATACCGTCGAAGGCCGGCGAGTCGAAATATCGTGTCTATGATTTTAGGTATGTATGAAGCTTTGGAAAACAAGATGGGTTATGGGTTATGGCTAAGCAACAAGGGTTATGCCCTCAAACTATCAGTAAAACATTTGTTTTGTTAAATTTATACGATTCTAAATTGTAAGGGCATCATTTTAGCCCCTCCACCCTGGACTCGTATGCCGCTGGACTTATCGGCTCCAACGTGTTCACCTACTACATCCCGGCGCCTTGTCAGGCGACGTTTTTCGCCGATCCGAGTCCATGTAAGTCTGGCTCAAAACTTGTTGCTTCTAAATTGGCCATTGGGTGGGGTAGGAAGGCATGAAACAGGCATTGACTTAAGTGCAGCTTACTCCCCCGTCCCTACCTTCTCTCTCTCGGCTCCCTCGTCATCTACAGGTGTGTAAAGTATACCAAAATAATGGCCAGAGCAAGATCAACCTTTTGGTATAATTTACACACCTGCAGATAAACAGGGGACCGAGATACAATAGTCCTTCATAATGCTCTTAAGTTAAATATGGTCATGCTAACTATTCCGGAATTTCCAGTAAAAGAAAACGAGCCGATCCTCTTCCCGCTCCGACGCCCCGCTCATGGCTTCTTCACCAACACCGGCTACCTGCAAATGGACGGGTTGCAACAAAACACGTACAACCAATTCTCGCTTGGGTTGTATGATGATGGTACTTTAACATTTTTAAGGCACAGCAGCTTTTTTCGACGTTGACACCTCTTAGTTTTCTGAAGCATAGTATTGGAAAACAAAGATTTAAATTTAGACATCCTATTTTTGAGATTTTTCGCCCACAAGATGGATTTGGGCTTGGGCTTAGCTTAGGCTTTGGCTTAGGCAGGGTTAAACTTAGGCGCGCTTAGAATTTTTGTGTCTCCATTACCAATTCAGACGCGGCCGAGCAAAACACGAGCTGGGACATCGAGGTGGTCAACTTTTCCCCAGGGACCGGAGCCGACCGTAGCAGCCTGAGCTTCATGGCGGATGGATGCGCCTACAGGTTTCCTGCAGTTCATGGTTTCAAAGTGCAAATTCAGAGTTGAGCTGCTCACCGAAAACCGGAACTACACGTGCCATACAAATTACTATCTGGTACAAAACAGTTACTTTTGTGAAAAAAATGTGGTAGATTCGCTATTTTGCCGTGGACCCCACCTCGCAGTACCTCATCAACTACTACAGCTGGATCGATGGAGAACCAGGTGAGGCTTAGGCCTAGGCTTAGGCTTAGGCTTAGGCTTAGGCTTAGGCTTAGGCTTAAGCTTAGCCCTGGGCTTAGGCTTAGGCTTAGGCTTATATCGGCGCGCCGAATCTTTGAAAGCGAAATAGAACTGAAATACTTTATAATTCCAGTCACTCCTGGTTCAACTGTGACTGCAGAACCTTCTTCCACAATTTCGCCGATTCCAACAACTAGTGTTTCCAGCAAAGATTCGTACGCTTTTCTTATTTCTGTTATGCTTTTGCAGCTGACTTATTTTTTGGTGCTTCCCGTGTGACATGTATTGTTGCTTGAAAATTAATTTACATCGATAATCTTGATAAGCAAGGCATTTCCGGCTTTTGGGTGTCAGCATTTTTACGGTCGGGATTTAGCCTGTCGGTATCTTGACTGTCGGTATTATGGCGGTTGGGATTTCGGTGGTTGCTGGTGGATTTTGGCTGTCGTCATTGTCGCGGAATTATACTTAATCTTGTGATTCGTTCTAAAAATCAGCCGTTTCGTTGGTGGTGTGGTTGTGGCCAGATGCAAATTAGGACAAGTTTGTATTGCAATGGTGCATCGTTCCCTTGATATCCCCTAAAAGATGCCCCCATGTATCCTGAGGCTCCACTCGGCCAGATGTGGAGGCAACTGATGTGCAGGTGTTTCAAAATAGCATGGATCTGCTTGGAATTCATTCCCGGATCCTCATTCCATACCAGCGCCCAACCCCGTATTTCCTCCACTTTTGCCCAAAATGCCGATCCTCGCCAACGTCGACTACGAAATCCTCGGAGGAGCCGTCTACGATCATCAGCACCACGATTATGAGAGTGATGGTATGTTTTTCTGTCGAATTTTTCATTAAACACGGATTGAGTTTCAAAAAAGTATTTAAAAAATTTTAAAAGAAAAATTATCATTAAAAAAGTAAAAAATAAATTTTCGTTATTGATATACGATATAAATTTGATGCCCTCCTTAAATTATATTAAGAAAATGTTTTATTATGTTTATTTCATAAACTATTGAAAACTGAAGCTCATACTTAATGCTGGTTTAAAATTAAGTGCATTTTAAAATATGGTTAAATTGTCTAAAATATGTTTTTTTTGTTACAATACACAGTTGAAACTATCTAAAGGTTAATTGCATTTAATTGGGTTAATTTAAAATCCATTTAAATCGTTAAAACTATAGGAAAAATCGGCTCCTTAATCATAATTATACTCAGTTTGTTTTATTAAATCAAAAATAGATGACATTTAATAAAAGGCCACTAACGTGTTTATCGTAATTTGTTTTCAATTCTCAGTAAGCTATTTAAATTTTCCAATGTTTTCAGCTGCTGGGTTCATTTTTAATTTTTCAAACATTTTAAAATACTTCATATTTTAAGACAACGCATACATTTTTCGTACGTTTTCAAAAACCCATATTTCTTAAAATAATTGATCTATTGATAAATAAATAATTGTTAATAATTTTATTTTTAACTAACTAAATCAAATAAAATAAAATTCCAATTGCCTGCGATCTTCATAGAAAAGATGTAAATACCCTGAAAAATCCAAAAAAATCAAATTCCAGATGCCCACCCCTATAACCGTGAGCCAGAGCTAGAGAGCGACGCCGAGTTCGTCGAGGTCTACCCGCTCTCAGAAGATGTTCGCGAGACGGTCGTCCTCGAGGAGGTCGACGTGGAGCGCGGCGAGTCCCGCCAGACCACACGCAGCCTCTACAACCCGGTGCAACTGCGCTTTGGCCCAACATCCACTCGACTAAAGTCGATTTTCGCGGCCATCTTTGCCTTTGGCGTTGTCGGCTTTATCGTCTATTTCTCCGTCGCCCAGTTCGAGCAGCGCAACATGATGCGATATTGAGAAATTTGCGTTGTTAATTGTCTTGCGTACTCACGGGATTTTTTTGTGCTGAATAAATTGGTTTTGTTTCAATTTTTAATTGGAGTTTTGCATTGTTAGATTTTACGAAAACACCGAAAAAGGAAAAACAAACAAAAAAAATTCTCATATTTTCTAAAAATTTTAAGCACAACTCTATTTTCTACTTCGAGAAAACGTTAAAACCCCCAAATTCTTCCGCAAAAAATGTAAAATCTTTTTTTTGTAGGAAGTTTTAAATTTTGCACCAAAATTTGCATATTAGTGGGTGGTTTTTGTTAAAATTATTTTCGAAAACGGATGATTTTTTGCACAAGTAATTTATTAAAACTTGCTATTTTTCTATTCAGGAAAGTTTTACTTAGCGCTAAGTAAAATAATATTTCACACTTTCATCTAAAATGATAAATTAATATATAATGATTTTTAATTTATAGAATTTAATTAAGAACTTAGCCATTTGTTGAGAATTGCACAAAAAACCTAAGCTTTCTTTTGATTTGCATTTTTTGTGGAGTTTTGCACATTCAAAATCAAATCAAAACTTTCTGCTAGACTTTGGACTATCGATTAATTTGATAGGTTTTTCGTTTATTCCTGCACTCCAGGCACCTTTTCGTACGTGAAAATGGAATGTAAATCCAATATTTCGCCCCCATCCGATGGGCCATTGTCAAAAAAGTACAGTAGCCTATTAATGGGAGCACTTTATAGGTTGTCTAGTGTTTCCCTATAAAAGGCACGTCTGCAAAAACGGCCTCACTTTTCCGCATTCACGGGGTTGAAAAATCGCGAAAATGCGAACAGCACTTTTGGCCGGCTACCTGTTGGGCTGTAGTTTGTGGTAAGACAATTGATAATTTAAGGGGGCTACAAAGTGCCAAAATCTCCACTACTGTCCTCCTTCCACCGATTGGATATCGGCAGCTACGCGTTTGGCCAAGTAACAGTAGTATGAGCGTTTCGCCAAACAATTTGACGCTTACGATCTAAGCCTACGTCATTTTTATATCAGTTTTCATGTGTTATTTGGAGCATTTCGTTACTGTTGAGACCTAGTCAACGGCGGGGGTCGATCTAAGACCTTAATGGCTTCTTTAATTCATCATTAGCATCAACGCGGCGCCGACAACGGTTCAACCTGGTGCTGACGGCAGCGTGGTCAACAGGTATGGGCTTAGCTTAGGCTTAGACTTAGGCTTTGGCTTCCACGATAAGCTTTTATATTTTCAGTGGCACCTCCAATGACTTCAACGATGTTTGGCGGGCCTGGATGATGTTCAATGGGTAAGTTATTTCGCAAATCGTACCAGAAAATTTTGTTAAAGATTTACACAAGATTTCTCCGGCGTCACCGCGCCACCGGGGATCGATTGGAGCTGGCTGATCGGCGGGAGCGGGTGAGAATTTTTGGGAGTATAGTGCCTTAGGTTTAGCTGTAACAGCTGTGAAAAAAAACTAAATTTCAAAGCATAAACATAGTCGTCTTCGTCGTCGCCGTTTTATAAACCCAAAATTCCCGGTTTTTCAGCCCCATAGAGATCGACAAGGTAACCCCACCGCCTGGGTTTGACTGGTCTTGGGCCTTGAACCCATCTACCGCCACGACAACACAAAAAGCGGCGACTACGTGAGTTTCGAGATATTGTCAAGCAAAGGAGCTTGCACGCCTGTCGATAGATAGTCGGTACTCGCGTGCCAATTCTGGTGCCTCCTAGTTCCTTTAGATTTGTTGCAAAATTGTGGTTTCAGGGACTCAACTACCTACTACATTTATCTGTGGCAAATGTGGCTGCGGGCGCAGGGGTTGGTTTTAGAAAGGGAACTTTGTCGCTCTCATTCACTCTCTCCCTCTCTCTCTCCCTCGCTCGCTCTCGCTATCTCTCCCTCTCACTCGCACTCCCTTTCTCTTTCAAAATAACTTTTGTTCAGCTACACCGGTGACGTCTCCCTCGTCACCCCACCACCAAACATGGATTGGAGCTGGCTGGTCAGTGCCGCAAAATCGGCCAATGGCGGGTATGTGCCTCAAAAATGATTTTTTTACGCATTACCCTTGCAATTTTTGGCTTACTGTAACCCTCGGAGTTTAATTTTTTTCTAGAGTCCCCGACTTCTCGACGGTAACCGGACCGGGCGGCCTGAACTACCAGTGGATCGTCTCCCAGGCCACCGCTGCCGCGAATGCCAACGGCGCCACACAGTGGGCGGTTACGGTACCCGGGTGCAAAACAGATTCCAGGACGACTACCGTCTCCTTGCAGTGGTTGTGGCAAATGTGGCTGAAAAGCCAGGGGTCGGTTTTCTCACCCGCTTAATGAACTCGTAGAGACGTAGAGCTACGTAGCGTATTTTAGTAGTCTCAAGTACGCTACGTTCCGCTGAACCCTCGAAATTAAAAAGGAGATACATCCTACCTTATATAATTTTGGCGCGTATGTGTGTGTGTGTGTGGATGTCACTTTCGAGGCCCGATTTGAGGGCCTTCCCGTGCATAAAATGTCCTAATTCTTCGTCACCCGGGGGAATCGACCCTTCTGTTTCCGATGGCGTTCTCAGAATTTCGATAAAATACAAGTTTACAGAGTTAAAGCCGGTTTTATTCATTTTTGGGGGTAATTTGCATAATGCGAAAAAATACAAATTCCCTCATTCTTGCGAGTTGCACGCGAGCGTGCGGTGGGGGGGGGGGGGTCCGAAGGGCCCGAGCTACCGGAAAGTCAAATTTCTCATGGAAAGGCCGCGTTCCAGCGCCCAAGGCCCGCGAAGCGGGTTTTGGGCGCTGGTATAGTAATAGTTTTTTGAGCGTTAATTAGCGTTAACTTCTCTGAACACTTCGATTTTTGAAAAAAAAAACAGTAGTTTTTAGCTACACCGGTGATGCCTCCCTCGTCACCCCACCCCCAAATATGGATTGGAGCTGGCTGATGACTGCCTACAAAAATAGCAACGGAGGGTACGGTAGTTCTAGCAACATTTATGAAGCCAGAAAAAAGTTGTGGCAAACTTTATTCAAATTCAATTCAGCAACCTCGATTTCTCCTCGGTGACGGCACCAAGTGGAATGAACTACCAATGGATTGTTTCTCAAGCTACTGCAGCTCAAAATGCGGCCGATGCCACTCAGTGGGTTATTGTAACGAGGCAAGGAATGTGTTTTAGAACGACTACCGTCTCCCTACAATGGCTGTGGCAAATGTGGCTGAAGAGTCAGGGGTCAGTTAGTTCAGAAACTTCATCTTTGGCATAAAAATGGTATATTGATGCCTTTTTGTAGTGGTTCGTTAGGAGTCCGCTAGACTCCTTTGAACACCTCGATTTTTCAAAAAATCAGTAATTTTTAGCTACACCGGCGACGCTTCTCTCGTCACTCCACCCCCAAATATGGACTGGAGCTGGCTGATGACTGCCTACAAAAATAGTAATGGAAGGTAGTTTACTACAGTGTACGATGGACGCAAAGTTTGAAGTATGGGCTAATAAAAAATGACAGACAGACCACAAATACCTTATGTAAGAGCCTTTCAGCCGGCCCGACTTCTCGGCGGTAACCGCCCCATCTGGCCTCAACTATCAATGGATACTGTCGCATGCTCAGAATAATGCTCCGTCAAACGGAATTGGTACAAAGGCACCTGGTCAAGCTCCTGGTGGAGGTAGCAGAACCTCAAGATTATGAACTTCGATTTTTGTAGATGATCAAGAAGCCGGAGGACGATCCGGGGAGCGTGAGAGCGGAGACGGTGAGATTTAGCTCTGGCTCATCGTCTTTATCTCTCTCCTCTCTCTCTCACTCTCTCTCACTCTCTCTCCCTCTGCTGCTGCCTTGTCCTAGCATGGGGGTGACTCCCGTATCTTTAGATGACAGCAACCCAGCGGAAGAAATTGGAGATGAAGGCTCAGGAAATGGGGATAACGGTGGAGCCGGAGGTATCGTTTTTAGTACTTTGACATTCTGTAACCTTAAGGAAATCCGGCGCCTGGTGCACCGCAAAACGATATTCCGCAAAATCCGTAAGCCTAGTTAAACTCTACTTCGATGCATTCAATTTTTTTTATTAGCAATGGCCAGAACCCAGGAGATGATGAGTCGGAGGGGGGTGGCAGCTCGGAAGAAGACACAGAAAACGGAAAAACCAAGGCTCCAGCGCAAAGCGGAAACGGTCCAGCAGGGTACGAATTCAAAGTCTAGCTTTTTATATTTTGCTTTATTTTGTACCTTATTCTATGGAGTCACTCCGCTTATATCCATTTGCAGAAACAACGACGCCGAGGAGGGCAGTGGCAGCGCTGTAGAAGACGCAGGAAATGGCAAAACGAAAGCTCCAGGACAAGGAGGAGACGCTCCGGCAGGGTACGGTATCTACAATTCTACCGTTATTTGTTTTTGTTTTTTGTACTTTTTTAAACTGTGCCATAAACTACGGTATCGTAAAACGGGTACTTACGATGCCCTTTTTTAGCGGCAACGACTCCGAGGAGGGCAGCGGTAGCTCGGAGGAGGGGTATCAAAACCGATTGCGTTTCCCATTCAATATTTAGCGCTTCAAATCCGGGAGGAGCAGCACCGGAAAATCCGCAAAATTCCGGTGGAAGCCCTGGAAGTCCAGGGGATTCTGGAAATTCCGGAAACCCTGGAAACTCTGTCCCTCAACAGCCAGGTGCAGGAGGTTGCAACAAGTAATTTTCAGCTAAAAAATTGTATGCTCCTGATATTTAAAGGGACAGCTCGTCGGAGAGCTCGGAAGAGGATTCTGGGACGGGTGGAAACGGAAATGTCGGAAATGGTGGTAGTTCGGAAACGGGCTCTGGAAATGGCGATTCCGGAAACGGAAATCCTAGCGGTTCTGGAGGCTCCGGTTCCACCGGGAACGGAAGCCCGTCCAATGGAGGTAGTGTGGAGCTAACTGGAGTAAAAATAATCTGGGAACTCCCGGAAACCTGAGCCCAAAAGATTCGGCGGCAGGTTCCGGAAGCGGCGAGTCGGCGGAGACTGGAAACGGCACCAATGGAAGCCCAGGAGCAGAAGGCTCCGGAAATCCTCACGCCCCCGGCGATTTGGGAAACGGTAACGGAAGCGGAAGCGACGAAGGATCACCGGCTGGTACTGCCGGTAGGCTTTCGGAAGGCTTTGAGAGAACGGAATCCTTATGAGACTCCGAGAGCCCGAATGGTGATTCCGGGCATGGAAATGGTACTGCCGAGTCGGGTGATTCTGGTAACGGAAACAATGATGGAGCACCAAATGGAGGTTCCGGAAACGGAAACGGCACTTCTGGTAACTTAAGAAGCTTTACAACGCTCTGAAACCCTAGGAGGCTCCGGGAATCCGGGCGGATCAGGTGATTCTGGAAACGGTAGTACAACCGGAAACGGAACTACCGTAAGTCCTGGAAACGGCACAAGCAATGGGACCGGCAGCGGAACGATCAGGTCAGCTTTTAGACGAAGTGCTCATTGAAATTTTAGCGACGACGATTATGCCAATGACATCGAGGCCCAATACCGCTGCAACCGGACCATCCAGGGGCAGAAGGGAACGGTGAGAGCGCAAGAGAGAAAAAGAGAGAACGAGAGAAAGCGAGAGAGAGAGAGAGAGAGAGATATAGAGAGAGAGAAAGAAGGAGAAATAGAAAAAGAGATACAACATCTAATTTCTTCCAGTTCTTCATCCGCAGCAACATCCGTCACTTCCGACGCACCGGCCAGGACTGGGCCAAGTGCTCCATCTTGTGCATCGCCAAGGCGGACTGCATCGGTAAGTCACACTCCAGATGCATTTATCCCATCTTTTACTGCCCCTCTAAAATCTACCTTTAGGAATCGAACGGACCGATACGGCGTGCTATGAAATTGGCAGTGCAGAGGCTCTCGACGCCAAGGAGTATCTGCCAGCTACCGCTATCGTGACTGTGGGAAGGGTCTATCTGAAGTCGACGGTTTGCACATGTACGATTTTCCGGCTTGGCTTATGTTTAGACTTAGGCTTATGCTTCGGCTTAGGCTTAGGCTTAGGCTTAGGCTTAGGCTTAGGCTTAGGCTTAGGCTTAAGCTTAGGCTTAGGCTTAGGCTTAGGCTTAGGCTTAGGCTTAGGCTTAGGCTTAGGCTTAGGCTTAGGCTTAGGCTTAGGCTTAGGCTTAGGCTTAGGCTTAGGCTTAGGCTTAGGCTTAGGCTTAAGCTTAGGCTTAGGCTTAGGCTTAGGCTTAGGCTTAGGTGTATGCTTAGGCTTAGGCTTAGGCTTAGGCTTATGCATAGGCTTAGGCTTAGGCCGAGGCTTAGAGTTTCGCTTAGGCTTAGGCTTTGGCCTTTGCTTGGGCTGTGGTCTTCTGCCTAGGTTTAGGCTTAGGCTTGCATTATCAGGCTTACCTTACGTCGACACCCTGATGCGCCAATCACTAGCCGATGGGGCCCATCGTTGGGGTATTGAAATTGCAAGCGCAACCCTTGAAGACAGGTTTGGTCACAAACTAAAAAAATCAAATTCGGGTTTTTAGTGGAATCTGCGTGGCGTCCTCAGCTCCAGAGGGCTGCAGTTTGGTGCCGCTCTACAGCAATGGTGGGTTTTACGGAACAAATTCGACTTGCGCTTATACTTAAGCTAACCGTTGTTGATCACCCCGTACAAAATTTAGGCACCTTCCTGTTCGCCCAGAACGCCGACGACCGCACGATGATCGGTTACATGTCGACGACGCCGAACAACTGCGGGGCCACCATCTCGATCAGGCCATTGGCGAAGCAGCTCAGTGGAGGTAGGCCGTGTGGGGATAGGGTAGGCAAACCACCCAACGTTTAGCTGCCGATCGGATGTATACCTATAGCAGCCGAACCGCACAGCTCGTCAACCTGGGGTGGAAAGATTCGGGGAATTTGATTGGTAGGTCGAGAATAAGGCCTAAGCTTCGGCTCAGGCTTATGCTTAGGGTTAGGCTTAGGCTTCAGCTTAGATAGGTCTACGCTCAGGCTTAGGTTTAGGCTTAGGGTCGAGCTTATGTTTTCAGGATATCTCTGGCCGGGTGGCCGGACCGGAAACTGTAATCCGGCTCCAGGAGCTTCCAAAAATGACACTGGGGCCGATGCTGATCCGGTGCTCACTTCCGATGACGTCTCGAAAAACGCTACCTGGCGCTGTACCGGGATTCCGGAACGCCAGGGGAAGACTGGAACGGTAAGGCGTGAAGGGACAGAGTGGGAGAGAGAGAGAGAGAGAGAGGGGAGGGAGAGAGAGAGATCTAGAGCGCCTTTTTAGTTTCTCATCGAATCCAACCTCCGCTACTACCGCCTCAACAACAATCATGTCGCCTTCTGCTTCTCGTACTGCATCAACAACCCGCGATGTGGAGGTGGGGCTCCAAAGCCATACAAAATACCATTAAAAATATCCTATTTGATGTTTTCCATGTTCTTAAGGTGTTGAGAAGACCAACGACAGCTGCTACGAAATCGCTTCCTCCACGAAATTGCGCGATTCTCTTGTCTTTGCCACGAACGCAACGCTGACAAGCGGCCAGGTGTATATCAGGAACACGATTTGTTCAGGTAGGAAAGTAAAATTTGCGCTTAACGATGTATTAAAGTTCATTTATACGTTTAAACCACAATTTCAGACCTGCCACCAGTCAAGCAACTCCGCAAGGCCTTCCTCCAAGGCGTCACCACGCCATACCGTTGGGGGCTGATTCCGAGTGGATTTGCGGAGGGGAACAGGTTAGGGGAAGGACGGAAGAGAGAGAGAGAGAGAGAGAGAGAGAGAGAGAGAGAGGGAGAGACAGAGGGAGAGAGGGAGATAGAGAGCGACGGCGGGAGGGAGTGATGATTTAAACTTTTATAGTGGAGCTTGTCTCGCCTCTGAGCAACCGACTAACTGCCCGGGTCTCGAGAAGCTGTACGCTTTTAATAATGGTGGGTTCCTGTACTCTATTGTCAAAATGGTACTTTAACATTAGCGCGGCGGGGGGGTAATCAGCGCGGTAACCAACTCATTTTCTTTTTTCTAATTTACTTTTTAAGTTTTTTCGGTTTTACGATTTTAACTATCACTAAAATTTATTAAAATTCCTAGTTCCGCCCGCCCCTCTTTCGCTAAAATACGCTCCCCAGCATTTCTGGACCTATGACAAGCCACAAAGGTTCTAAAAAACTCCGCCTCCCCCGATACTGCAAAAGAACTTAAAAACCTGTCTTTATAGGAAATAGGTTTTTGATTACGATTCTATGCCATGTACAAATGATTATTGATGTTATTCTGATACCTTCAGGCACGGCGATCACCTCAAACCAGACCGCCTACCCGGGCTCCACCTTCATCGGCTACTTCACGTCGATTCCGAACTACTGTGGCGCGACGATGCCCGTCAATGGATGGACCAGGGCTAGTGATCAAGGTAACGCGCATTGATATACCTAATTAATGACGCAAAAGGCAACTTTTTTACTCAAAAAAAGCATCAATTTCAGGTCGAATTTATACAATTCCGAACATCGCACCGGGCTGGACCGATACAGCTCTTGTAACGGCTGGCTGGACAAAAGCTGCTTGGGTAGGGACGAGAAAGAGAGAGGAGAGACAGAGAGAGAGAGAGAGAGAGAGAGAGAGAGAGAGAAAAGAGAGAGAGAAAGAGAGAGAGAGAGAGAGAGAGAGAGAGAGAGAGAGAGAGAGAGAGAAGAGTTCCAGAGATAGCATGGGAGCTCCCAACTAGAATTATCAAATCGCTTCAGGTCGGCTACTTCTGGCCGGGACTCAGAACCGGAAATTGCGATCCTCCTACCGTAGCCCCGATAGCACCCGATCCGGTGACCGGCAACGAGCCCTGGCAGTGCACTGCTGATCGACAGGGACTCGCTGGCGACGTGCGTATCTCGATGTCTCGTATCCTTCAGCTAATTAGTTTCCAGTTCCTCATCCCCACCCCGTACGCCTACTTCCGGTTGAGCAACACCACGCTGACCAACTGCGAGGATGGATGCCTAGCAAAAGCCAGCTGCGTTGGTAAGTGCCGAAATCGTAATCGCCCATAACCCGGAGTTTTCAGGAGTCGAGCGGCTCGCCACCGGCGACTGCTACGAGGTTGCCGGCGTGGATCCGATCAGCTCGCTGTTGGTGAACGTCGCCTCCACCGTGGTCACCAACGGGACCGTTAGGGTCAGATCCAGCGTTTGTACAGGTATAGTTAATCTTCGTGTAGGCCCGGCTTGGGCATAGACGAGGCTGAGGCTTAGGTTATACTTGCCTAGGCTTGGCTTATGCTTAGGCTTAGGCTTCAGCTTAGGTCTACGCTTAGGCTTCGGCTCAGGCTTGGCTTGGCTCGGCTTCGGCTTCAGCTTAGGCTTCTGCAATGAATTTCAGCCCTGCCCGGCTTGAAGATGTTGGTCAGAAGCAGGAGCACCACCGCCCCGCCGCACCGCTGGGGCGCTAAAGTTGCTGGGACAACGGCCGAGGATGCGTAGGGCTCACAAACCAATTTGCAAAAATTTCAAATCTAGCGGCTTCTGCCTGGCAGCCTCCAGCCCGGCGAACTGCACCGGCCTGAAGAAGATCTACGCCAAGCCCGATGGTAAGTTAGATGGACAAAATATCTAGGAGAACTATTATATAAATAGCATCATTACACAGATTCAACGCAAAAATCAATATTTTATTTTATTCAGGTACCGTACTCGCTGTCGAGGGTGCCAACCCTCCCGCCGACTACCAGCTCCTCGGCTACTACTCGAGCGTGGCCAACCAGTGCGGAGCCACTGTTCCCGTCATCACGTATTCACGCGTCACCGATGGTGATCGGATGTATGCAGTCATTGGTCCGGCCGACAACCTCATCAAGCTCGGATTTGTGAAAACGGCCAGTTGGCTTGCATATTTTTGGCCTGGTGGTGCGGCCGGAAATTGCCCGGTTTAATCCTTTGCGAAATTAAGTGAAATAAAGTGTTTTGATGCTTGGAAAATAATTGCGAAAGCTGTCAGCAAAGAAACTGAATTTTAACCGCTTTTTTCAAAGAGTTTTGGCGATTTTACGCATGAATTCCGTCGTTATTTGACTCAATTCGACGAAAAACGTGAGGAAAAACGTTTCTTTTTGTTTATTAAATTTTATTATATACCAGGGTTGAAAAGCCGCTTCGCGACTTTTCAACTCTGGCCTCGTCTAACACAACAATATTCTTCATTCTGCATACTTCTCTCGAATACCAATGAGAAAGAAAATAAAAAACGACACTCTCTCCCCCGTTATATAGGCGGCCGCCACTTCCGGTCTATGCTAATTGGTATCTAACAAAGAGAGCGCTCGAAATTTTTATAAAAAGCTAAATTTAATGTTTAAAACAACTTTTTTTTCTAAAATCTGTTAAGCGTGCAGTCATCCCAGAGCCATTACGCACCTAATGACGTATCATACGTACCTTAAAATTAAAGCCCGATCGAGAGATCCTCCGGATATGATGACGGAAGTTGCATGCAAAGTATCACACACACACAAACACTATTTTTTGTATAATAGGATTTATACCTCATTTTCAACCATTATCAATTAAAAATATGAATAAATAAATAGCGATGATCAAAAATAAGTATTTCCTCGTTATTTCAACCCATTTTTTGCAAGCACCGACCCTGAGATTATGCTTAGAAAAATCCTACGATTTATTTATTTTTCTCAATTTTTCTTATAGCCGAAAAAGCCACAAAACGGTTACAATTACGAAGAAGTTAGTGCACTTTGATTTCAATGTTCATCAGCTGTGCGGGGAGCTACACGGCACGCCTATGGACACATGTGCGCTGTGCCCCGGGGGCAGTTAGGGGCCGGGGCAGGGGGGACCACGGTGAATCAGGAGGGCTTATCGAGTCCACCCACCAGACGACAAGCTTCTCCTGTGAGGTTCAGTCCAGCCGGACCCTCAGAAATCGCAAAATGGATCGACCGAAGGATGGTCGACCGCCGGCTGAAGCCCAGCGACTGCTCGAGGTTTCGATTTGAGCTTGTTGTTTCCGCGAGAAATCGACCTTTAGAACCTAAGAATCAGTATACGGCTTGGATTGAGGCAGCCAGAGTATTACTTATTTTTTTTATCAGGCTTTATTATAGCGAAAAACTACGGATAATTCGAAATTATCCTATCTGAGTGTGATTTTTGCGTTTCTCCGGAATAATTGATCTTTAGAACCTGAGAAATCAGTTAAAGCTTTGATTTTGGCACCTCTGCGACCGGCGACTGAATTAGATATCATTAATAGAAAGTCACGGCTATAAACAATTCGAACTGGAAGAAAACAATTATGCTAAAAGTTGTTATTTGGGATTGTTTTTCAGCGAAAATTTACCTTTATCGCGCAATAGCCGCGGTCAGCCATTCATTTATGCGCATTTTTATATAGGAAAAATTATATTCAGCGTCAGAAAAATAACATTATGGCCCGATCAATCTCTTCTGGGAGAAAACGTCAAGAAAAGGGAGAAAGAAACCTCCACTTTTATATTGTTGTTTTTATCGCAGGAACAGCCCTGCGGCAGCAGCAGCAGCGCCAGTCGGCCGGACAAGCTAATGGAAGATGACGAGAATTTTGTCTACGTGCTCGAGGACGAGGACCTCGAAATTGTCGACCGGAACAACGAGGACATTCAGAGCCCGCTCAGATCGATCAATGTAGGTTCCAAAATTGGATTTATAAATATCAGGAAATCTGACCGTTGGACATCCCGCGAAATTAATTTCAAACCCTTTTCAGATTGTTCTCCAAGAGGCGCAAGATCTTCTTACGGATGGCCCCATGGACAAGGCGCCCAAATCAAAGTCGAAGATTTTGATGGACGAGGTTGACGTAGAATTCTCGTGAGTTTTTGGGAGTACTTTTCGACGACTGGAACAGCTGGCGGTTTTGCATTCGTGATGCGAAAGGGCTCGTCGCCGATCGAAGCTATCGATTTTTTTGGTCGGAAAACTGGAAATGACTGTTTCAGGCCGATGACAAAAGTGCAACCCGGGCAGCCGATTGAAGTAATCGTCCGCCACAGCAAATGGACGACGAAGGGCGAGCATGACGAGGAGGAGCAGCCAGAGCCCCAGCGCGAATCCCGCTCTCGGCATCAGCGCAAGCCGTCGAAATCTATGTTAGGAGTTTTGCGAGAAGGTGGGAGCTTGGTTTGATAATTTTGGAAATAGAGAAGAGCAGCAAATGATAAAGAACAACTTTTAAAAAACGTATTCCTTCGAATAAATTATTTTTCCAGAAACCGAGGAGTTCTATCGGCGCCGAGATCAGGAAGAAGGGCTCGGCTCATCAAAACAGGAGCCAGCGCAGCCGATCAGCCACACCGGGAGCTGGAAAAAGGTTTGAGAGCTAGAAAAAAAACTAAATAACTTTTTTACAGGGCCATCGCCGCGCCTTCAGCATGCCCAACGCCAAGGGGGAGAAGATGACGCTCGCCGTTATTCAGGATCATAAGGAGTCGGTGTGTGATTGAACGGTTTTCTAGGATTTTGGATGAGGAAAGCTATCGAATATCGATCAACCTAGATCGTTAATTCCTCCGGAATATCATTTTCAGGACGACGGCAATCTACACTCGCGGAAGATCGTGCGCTACAAGCTGCGCGCAAAGCAGGACGACGGCCCACTGACTCGCGCCATCTACATCGCCGACCAAAAGAATACGGTATACGGGACCGTAGCCATTCAGCAAGTGGGAGACGCATTCGTCTTTTTGGTGCTTTCACAAAATCGGGCGGGAGGAATACGATTTTTCTCCTCGCAAGCGGTTTTTTCTAAAATACCCTTTTTTGGATTTGCTATCACAATGTCGAAAATCGTAATGTCGAAATTCACAATGTCGAAATTTCATAATGTAGAATTCCATAATATCGAAATTTCATAATTTCGAAATCCAGAATTTCGAAATTTACATAAGTGAATATTACTGGTGAAACCCCCGAATCCTAGGCACAAAATTCGACATTTTATTTCACCACAAAATTTTGTTTGCCTGGGATTCGGGGAGTTTTTGCCGGGAATTTTACCTTACGTAAATTTCGACATTCTGAATTTCTACATTATGCATTCGGCATTATGAATTTCGACATTGTGATTGTCGACATGTTAAAAATCAGCCCTTTTTGCTACTCATAGCGTAAAAACGTAAAAAAACGGCGTTTTATGAGTAAAAATGGCAGATTTCCGACAAAAAATTCAAGTTTTCAAGCATTTTTCGAAGTTTTCTAAACATCATTTTCGCTTGAAATCGAGCCCAATATTATAGAAACTATCAAAATTCTTGCTATTAAATTACTAGGCTGATCTGGGCTCGTGGAAACAAAATCTCTCCCCCCCCCCCGATATTGCGAAAGCACCCTAATTTCTTGCATCCATAGCGGCTGGCGGTTTAGGGGTTAGAGAGCTTTTGCTTGGTGTTTTTGAGGTTTCAAGTTAATCCTCCAATTTTCAGCCCCGAAAGCAGCAGGTTGTCCGTTTTGAGGAGGTTGGAGACGATGACGAACACCCCGATCATGGACTAGAGGTTTTTACTTATTTTGAACTTTTAACTTTCGATGCGTTAGGTCGAAATTAATGAAGAAGAGATCACCTACCCGGGCGACCTCTCAACCGGCGAGGGCTCGCGGGTCGTCATCAAGAAGGTACGTTTTTGGACTTCAAACTAGCAAATTTGTTGGGTTTTTTAGTTCTGGGAGGCCAAATGGAAGGTGCAGAACTTTGAGCTGCTTCCGGTTTGGCTGCAGGACAACGAGTATTTGAAGTAAGGAATAAATAGATATTTTTTTGGCAAAATCGGTTTTTCTCGGTTTTTTTTCAATTTTTAAGTTAAATTAATTAGCGCATTCATGTTTTAATAATAGTTTCTGGCGTTTATGAGGATATTTTGAATTTTCCCTATTTTTATGCACCTTTTTCAGGACCGGCCACCGCCCGCCGATGCCTTCATTCAGCTCTTGCTTCAAGAGCATCTTCGCCGTCCACACCGAGACGGGCAACATTTGGACACACATGTATGGTGCGTGAACTTGTTGCAGTTGTCTGAATCTTAATAAGACCGAAAAATTTAAATCTTATGCTCTTCAGGTTGTGTCGCCTTCATCGGGGTCGCCATCGGCTTCCTGTGCCAAAGTGACCTGAAGGTGCAATTTATGGAAAAGGTGAGCAGCCGCGCGTTTTTCAAGAATTACAATTTTGTAGCTGATTTTCTCGGCCTTCTTCCTCGGCGCCGTCATCTGCATGGGCATGTCGTTCGTCTTCCACACCGTCCAGTGCCACTCCGACAACGTCAGCAAGTTCTTCAGCAAGTGAGGCTTGGATGGTCTCTGTTTCTCCCCTGTCTGAATTTCGTGAAGCCGGGTTTTTTTTCGGATGCCAAAATGGCGTAGCACCGAATTTTTATGATTCCCTTAATTTGAACTTTGAACAATTTGCAAAAAATGTCATATTGCCGATTTTTGGCAATTTATGAATTTCATAATGCCGAAACTTATTATCGTAATTTACATGATGCAGAATTTGATCCTATTGAGTTGGGTTTTCGCATTTTTCGCCTGAGAAGTCCTGAATTATAAAAATTCTGCTTTATATTACAGGTAATGAAAAATTCCGCTTTGTTAATACGGTCGGCGAAATGTCGGCATTATGCAAATTATGCGCTGCAAAAATTCGGTAGTTTGAGATTTCGATATGCAAGGATTCGGTTTTATAAAAATTTGACGTTCTTGAATTCGTCATCGCGAAAATTCGGCATTACAGCTTTTCGGTACGCTGAAAATTCGGTTTGGTGAAAATTCTCCATTGTGATAGTTCGGCGGTTTGAAAACCCGAAATTATAACAAATCCGCATTCTAGAATTCTATGCAGTAAAAAATACATACCAGAAACAACGGTATTTTAAAAATTATACAAAAATTTGACCCTTGCCCTTCAACTCACATAGCCCCTCCACCCCCCAATCGAGAAGTGCTCTTGGTGTATTGGTTCCGGCCCCAGCCGCCCACCATCAAGGCCCGGGTTCGACCCCCGGCCGCGGCGTTCTAGTGTTGCTTTCAGCCCCGCAAATGGGCTGCGAGGGTCAAACGAATGCCATAGTAAAAGACCTGTAACATAGCTGTGCCAGTGCGCTGATGCCTGGCCGGTTCTACAGCAGATTCGACATTATTTTTTGAATTCTCTATTTTGTATGATTTTCGAGAGAATTTGGGGAAAACACGATTTTTGGGTTCTTTCGCATTATTGGGGAGGGGGGCAAATTAAAAAGGAAGATGTTGGAAGTTGGAATATGCTTATGATTGATTTGTGAAACCAACGTTTTGTTGCGTAAAATAAAAATTTAAAAAGTTCTGCTGAGAAGCAGTTCGCGCTCTAGTTAGAAAAACTGTAAAATTATTCAAAAAAAATTTAGAAAACTGCGTTTCTAAGATTTTCTTTTATTCCTAACAAAATTTTTTAGAGTTCCCGATGCCTACAAGCGGAAAAAAGCCGTAGAAAAACTCTTGCTGTTTCGTGTAGGCTGGGTCCTATAAAAGGCTTTTTGCCCCCCCATAATGCACCAGATGTTTTCGAAACGATCCTTTTCCAGGCTCGACTACACCGGCATCACCCTGCTGATCGTCGGCTCGTTCATTCCGTGGATCTACTACGGGTTCTACTGCCGCCCCCAGCCGATGCTCGTCTACATTACTATGATCACGATCCTCGGCATCTCGGCGATGGTCGTGTCGCTGTGGGACAAATTTGCCGAGCCGAAATTCAGGTGGTTCACTTTTTTTACACCCTGGTTAAAACGTCTCCATAAATCTGTTAGAAAAACGAAAAAATTTCATTTTCGACTAATCATCTCCCCCCGATATTGCAAAAGCATCCTTTACCTAATTATTTTTAGACCTGTTCGCGCGGGCGTGTTCGTGGCGATGGGGCTCTCTTCCATTTTCCCTGCAATCCACTTTTTCATCACCGACGGCTTCTGGGTGATGTGGAGAGAGGTGAGTGGCTTTTCTGAAGGTCACAGTGTGGAATCCCGACACCCAAAAAACACCGACATTCAAAAAAGTGCCAACCGTCGAATCCCGACTTTCAAAAATACCGACGTCAAAGCCGGCATTCAAAATACCGACGGCAAAATGCCGAAATTCAGAAGAAACCAGCACTGACCCTCCTCCCCCAGAAATTTGAATTTTGAATTGAATGCAAAATGTGGCTGAATTCCCGATCGCACGGACGGACGGACATTAGAAATTTCTATTTTGTAGATAGTAGATATCGACGGCGAAAATCCCGAAATTCAAAATGGCCGTCCAAAAACAAGTGGCGGAATGTTATTTCGTGGTTGTATCAGAAGGCGTTTTGTCGGGATTTCAAATTAGCTCCCGAAAAAATTATTTTCTTTTGTAGAAGTTTTCCCTGATTCCCGCGGGTTTGTTATTTGCCGCATATCGTAGCCAAATTGTTCGTGCATCCACTGCTTTATTAGCTGTTCCGAATCCCCGCCTTTTAACTATGCCTACCAATTAATATCTAGTAAAACGTACCTTCAATTTCGCGGCTTTGTCTAGAGGACTCTAACCCAAAATCTGGCTAAACGGGTTAATTTTTATTCCTTTTCAGGCGGCTTTGATGTGGTTGCTGATCATGGCCTTCTTCTACCTCTCTGGTGCTGCGCTGTACGCCACCCGCGTGCCCGAGCGATTCTTCCCTGGCCACTGTGACTACTGGGTAAGCGGAATTTAAAAGTTTAATTTCCGAATTTTAAAAATTTTAAATTTGCGGGTTTTAATGCTTTTTCCAAATATAATTAAAATGTTGGTGTTCCAATTTAAATTTTAAGCTTACGAGTTTTAATGCGTTTTTCATTTACCGTATCTACATACCTACGTTTTTTTCAAACACCGCAAAAAGGGCGCATCAATAAGAGGACTTTCGCCAGGCTATTCTTCGAAACTTGGCCGTAAAATTTTTTGATCGTGAGCAGTTTGTTTGATCCGTTTTGATGAATTTTAAGTGCTGAAAAGACTAGAATTTGATGGTAAAACATGGAAAGGCTCTAATTGGCCTTTTTAATTTTCAATACAATTAAATTAAGTAATATTAATAATTTATTTACGTTTTTTTTGCTTCAGTTCCAATCCCATCAACTGTTCCACACGTTCGTCGTCCTGGCCGCCTTCGTCCACTACTACGGGATGTGCGAGATGGCGGCGCAGCGGCTGGCGATGGGCAGCTGCTCCGAGCAGCTCCTAAGAAGGTGAATTTTCAAGTCTTTCAAATCTATTTTTTGCAAATTTACAAACCATAAAGCCAATCTTCTTTTTAGGTACGGCGTCGAGGCTAGCCCGTCGTGGCTGGGCACCCTGCTACATCTCGACGAGCCGGCCGGGACGATCAGCTGGACCCCGGAGAGCATGAAAAACGTGTAACAAATCCCCCTTTCTTTAGTAGTAAGTTTTGTAGGACATTATTTTCTGATCTTTTCTTTTTAAAGACCTAAATTTGCCTAATATTTTTATGCAAATGAATTTCGCGTGCCATTTCCAGTCCAAACTACAATTCCACACACCCCCTCCTTTGCCATTGTGATCACCACCGTCCCGAAGTCACCAGGGTACCGTCTTACTCAGCGTACTAGTATATCAGCGTAACGGAAAAACCCCGAGTCCGAAATTCTAGGGTATTTTTTTTGTTGGGCATTCATGACACAGCAGCTTCTCCTAATCTCTAGCCATTCCCGCGACATGTGAAAACGGTTTTAACATGGCTTTCAAAACATTTTTTCTGCGGTTTTTCGCAAAATCGTGACGCGCAAGGGTTATTTTCTTGTTTCTAATCATCAAAACCTTACAAACTTTGTTCAAAAAAATCGAAATGCTCGGAATTTGGACCAAAATCACAATATTTTCGAGTTTTAGATGTTTTCCTTTATGGGATTTAGCTAAATGTTATTAAAAACTATGAAAAATCCATTTTTAGCCTGAAATAACTATTTTTTTTTTGCAAAAATCGTTGAAGATTTTTCGAAATTTGGAGTGTTTGGAGAGAAATTGGGCTACATTTTATCAAAAACACTTTCTATTACATAAGTGGGGATATGGATCAATAAGAAAAAGTTATGTTATCCCTAGAGTCCGATTTTGCAAAAAATTCCTTTCTAGTACATTTCCGCCACTAGAGCTTTAGCAACTTGAGATGTTGAGCTTTCGACTCGTCTATCTATCCTCTATCTATCCTCCCCTCCATTTTTATGCGAAATTTAATGTTTTCGATTTTAATTTTTGGTCTCTTTTTTTAAAGCCACTAGCATGGCGTTCTAGGGTACTTTATCGTACGTCTCCTCCACCTTTCGCCCTGATCCTGGTATCCATCTGGTAGCTCTCGTACGATTCCATATCCACATACCGCCGCCACGTATTCTACAGCGATTCCACCAACTTATCGGTAGCTAGAGACACTTCGGTTCGGGTTCTCCTAGAATCCCATTTAGATCTTACACTACATGTACTTTGTACGGCCATAGCCTGTTTGTGTGTTTTAATAAATAGAATATACCATCGCTGACCAATTTTCTCTATGATACCGAAATTCAAAACATTGAAATTTCAGGATGTCGAGTTGCGAATAGTTTCCAAAAACCGTATTGTAGGTTTAGACATATTGAAATTTAGCTCGTCTCAAATTTCGGCATTATGAATGCCAACATCTTGGATTTATATATTTTCACAGAGCCTCAATTTCCGGTTTTGTAGAATGGCTACACAAAAGAATGAAGATATTTAATAGATTTAATACGATAAGAATTTCTATTATAACGTCTTGTAAAACTGGTCGAATAAGCATCGTTTTATAGATTTAGAAAGAACCAACTTTGATTCGGTGGAATTCAGGTGATCGTCAGCAAAAAAGATAGCTTTTTGGTATCGAGTTAATAAGATAATGATATCGATTATAACATTTTTTCGAGTAAGAAAACTGTTATTAAAATTGTAAATTCTAACTAGATCAGCTAGATTTGCCTAAAGAAGGGCAACAACCTGGGTTGGCATCGATGTAAGGAGAGCATTTATAACTTTGGAGTCATTTTTTCAAGCTTTGGATCGCTAGAGAGTTTATTTTAACTAGATTTAATGCAACATAGGTATGTTTTTATGCTGTTCCTTGAAAAAATGGTTGAACATTTACTAAACCACAAAAAAACCCTCACAAAGCCCCTGTTTGTACCCATAATCCAATGGAGGTGTACCCGTGCACAAATCACATCCGCAAAAGGTTGGCCGCCTGGTTGGGGTTGATCACAAAAATCTGGTCTAGTATTTGCACTACGCGCTACCGAATAGACTACATAAAAATGCGTGAAATTTACATAGATTCAGGCGTTTTGATCGAAGACTACTGAAAAAAGACGTCGACGGCCAGCCGGCTGGCCATCAGCCCGCCCGTGTTCATCGTGCAGCATTTGCCGATCAGCGGGGCGACGCGTTGGGCGATGCTCTGAAGAAGTGGATATTTTACCGTTTCTTAGCGTTAAAATTAAGCGTGGCTTGAGCTTGAACTTGAAAATGCGAAAAACTCACTAAAACTCGGCTCCGCACCGTCATCAGCAGGGTATACTGCTCGAAAACGTGTGCTGAGTCGTTGCTGAGGCGCGTTTTCATCATCTGAAGGGAACTGTTTGGACTTTGGCTTAGTCTTAGGTGCACAGCTTTTAGCGTTGACAGGCATAGGCTTGGGCTTCGCTTAGGCTTAGTCTTGGGCTTGGCCTAGGCTTAGGCTGAGGTCTAGCTTGAGGTTACTCTTAGGCTCGGACGCACCTGGAGCAGTTTCGCCTCATACCGATGCCGTCCCCGCCGGATTATATCGGCTCCCTCATCGCTGAGTCCCACTACTATAAATAATCAATTTAATTTTTCGATTAGATTTAACTGATTTTAAAAAGCTTGGGGAACGTAGCTTTGGAGCTTCAGGCTCAGTTTTTAAAGCATCGAACACCAACCCGACGTGAAGATGACAATGTTCTTGAAGATCACATATTCCTGCTGCGTGAGCTGGATCTTTTCGAGGGGCGGGAATATCATGGTGCGCGCGTAGGCACCGACCTTGGTGAAGTAGTCGGCCAGGCTGAAATTAGCATTTTTCCGGGAGCTGACTGACTTTTTGAAGCAGCATGAAAAGCTTATACGATGCTTTAGGCCTAAGACTAGTACAAACTTCAAACGCACATCGGAATCGTCGGGATGCCCTCCCACTGGATGTCCGTGTTGAAGCCGCCGGCCATTCCTTTCAAGCGATTCTTGAAGGAGTAGTAGAATGCTTGGAGGAGGGAGGTCACTGGGTAGAGGGAGACGCCGAGCGCGACCTGGAAATCATGTTCAAGCTCATCGAAATCAGAGCGAGAGAGAGAGAGCGAGAGCGAGATACAGAGAGAGCGAGAGAGAGAGAGCGCGAGAGAGATAGAGAGATAGTGGAAAAGAAAGCAAGCGAGATAGATGCTAGTTACCCACCCGATCCTTGACGTCAAGATCCCGCACTTCCGGTGTAGCCCTCAGCCAATCGGTTAACTGTAGGATCCCCCTCGCAAAGCACATCCCCAGAAATTTCTCCGGAATTGCCTCCGTAACGGGTGGGAATCGATCGTAGCCAGCCTAAAAAATTTGAACTTTATTTTACATGGCAGCTTAGGCTAAGCCTATGCAGAAGTCTAAGCCTAAGCCTTAGCCTGCCTAAGTTTATGCGGGAGCCTATGCCTGAGCCGATACCTACACCGAAGCATAATCCTAGGCCAGGTCTAAGTCTGCGTATAATGAATTCTAAGCCTAAGCCTAAGCCAACTTACCGGCACCCTCGGACACACGAGCGTCGGGTTGGCCATCAGCTCCCCAAAGTGCATATCGGTGTTCCAGTCAAAGCTCAGATCCAGTGGCGTGTCGGTGTCGTCCTGGAGGCAAAAACTGGAAAAGCCAAAGCTAGGCACTATCCTCTAATTGGCTAGTTATAGGGGGTTTGTTTGGCTTGCGGAAATTTCAAAAGGGTTATTGTGGGCTGGAATCGGCGGTTTTAAGTAGCCGAAAAAGCGGGACTGCCCCTATTTTTTTCTGGCTCACCTCTCTAAATGGACCAAGCTCTCGACGCAAATGGTATCCGTGTCGTCGAGCCGTACTTGGAAAGCACTGGGGAAGATGAGGGCGCTCATCTCGAAGTCCTGAATCTAAGAATCGGCATTTTTAGGACCCCGGCTGGAACTGAGAAGAGGTGTTTTCCTGAGCATGGTCTCAAAATGTCGAAATCGAAGATTGTCCAAAACCAAAATGTTGAAATTTCGTGATCACGAATTTTTTTGAATTTTTCGAAATTTATAATCCAGCCTTTTCTAATGTCGAATTTTCATAATGTCGAAATTTAATATATCGAAATCCATAGTTATGAAATTTCCAGATTTCAAAAATTCGATATGCCTATAATCCAGAATGTCGAAGTTATAAAAACTAGCAACATTTTGCTTTCAAACTTTAGTAAAAATATTTAATTCCGTTCAGGAAATTTTTAATATGCTAGTCTTTAAAGTTAATGACTTCAGAAAAATTGATTCCCGGAGACGGCCAGTTTTTTTGGTCCTTACTAGCCGAATACCTGCAATTTTGCGCTAATTTCATTAATTAAAGTATCAAAGCACCTACCCTGATAATATCGGTGCCAGCCACGAGACTCGCCACGGCATCGCTCGCCTCATCCGGTGATTCCTTCCTCGGCGGTGACTCCTTCAGCCCCCGCTTACAATGCGTCCTCCTTCCGGCTACTGTAAGCGGGTCAGTTTTTTGGGGCCGGATTGATGCGAGCTTATTGGATTAGTCGGAGGGTTAGAGCCGGAATCCCGGCGGATTATGCTGAGCAGAATTCGGAAGAATGCAAGATCAGATGACAGAAGATGGGAACGACGAGGGCGGATTGGTCTTTCGGCATTCCGATGTCAGGTGAGTAGGAGTATGAAGTGATGGGAGGAAGCGAAAGTCATGGAAAAGCCTCAAGCCTAAGCCCAAACCGAAACCCAAACCGAAGCCTAAGCCCAAACCTAAGTCCATGCCTCTGCTAAAAACTTACAAAGTGGCTGCAACCCAGCGTCCAAGCACTTCTGATATCGGCACGCCACACATTTTGGAGATGATCGGCCGCTGGCTGAAAAAGATAGAATAATCTTCTCTCTCTCCTCCCGTTGTCTCTCACTCTTTCTAGCTCGCTCACTCCCTGTTCTCGCTTATGAAAACCTACAGAGCGAGCAGTTGCTGCCAAACTTGCACAGCATAGTCTTCTGCGGCACCGAGTGGCGAAGGAAGAAGATACGGCAGCTTCTAGAAAGCTCTGAATGGACTCCATTGCTACGGGGACCAACCCACAGGCGATGGAACGGTAGATGGGGATCCCGGGCGCATTCTCGCACACTTTGCATAGCCGTGGGCCGGAGCGGTAGGAGGCTTCTGGAATTGGGACGATACATCGGGATTTTAAAAATGACTGTAACTGGATTTTTCTTCAGGGGTAATAAGTACGATTTACGAGTTTCGGATTAGTAACTAGAGCGTGAAAAACGTGAAAGCCCGTGTGGATCGGCTAAGACTTTGTAATTCTTTTAAAGGCCTTTGGTAGCCAAGTACGGAATGGTACTTTTGCGTAATTGAGGCATAAATAGTGGCCTTGCTTGAAAAATGAGCATAATAGAGCGAGATCCGAACTAGCGAGAATGCGAGTGAGGAGGGAGCGAGAGAGAGCGAGCGAGATAAAAACAGAGAGCGAGAGAAAGAGAGAGAGAGAGAGAGAGAGAGAGAGAGAGAGAGAGAGGGATAGAGATAAAGCATGGGCTTCCTGGTCCCGTTAAACTAACACACACGTTTCTGGTCGAATTGCTGACCGAAGCTTCCAGTTCTGCCACAGTTCTGTCATTTTCAAAAAATAAGACAGGCTCCAGAAATCAGAAAATAGGCAATTATATCCAGGGGACGACGTACCATCCGATTTTGACGACGAGTCCGAGTCTTCCGAATACCGAATGCGCATGGTTAGTTTTGCAGGTCGAGTATTGAGTGGCTCAATCGCTTTGAGACTCGATATGGTCGATCCCCGCCCACTTCCTTGCTTCCTTCTCCTTCCTTTCTTGCCCTTCGTTTCACCCCTCCCCGCCTTACCGTATGATCAATGGCTCTACTTTCGTGGGATCGTCATTTAAGCGCGCCTGCAAGGCGAACGGCTTTCCAGAGGGGCTGATTTATCAATTTTTCTCCAGTTTTCCGGGGTCCCCCCACCCCGGGCACAAGGTTATCCCAAAAGTTGAGCTGAACGGGCATAAAATTGGTAACTATGTGTATCGTGTCGATATGGCGATATCTCTCTCTCTCTCTCTCTTTCTACCTCTCTGACTCTCTCTCCCTCTCTCTCCCTCTCTCTCTCTCTCTCTCTCTCTCTTTCTTTACAATTGTGCGTTTAAATTCGCGCAAAGATAAAGCCACTCTTGGTCGAAAAAAAATGAAAAAGCAACGATTTTCAAAACCTGAATACGCTACGCTCCGCTGAACATCCCACTGGAGCCTTTTCAGTAACCGTATTAGAGCGCACAAAGACGCAGAGCTTTCCGAGGAAAAATGCAGATCAGTACATAAGCCCAAGCCTAAGCATAAGCCGAAGCCTAAGCCGAGGCCAATTTGGAAGCCTAAGAAAGCTCGAAAAATTGTTATCCTACTATATATAAAAAAATAGTGTCTGTGTGTGTGTGCCACTTTGCATCCACTTCCGTATCGTTGTTCCAGTCGTATCTCTATAGGGGAAGAAGTTAGGGGTGGGTACGATACGGGATTAGGTGCGTAATGGTCTAGGGATGACTGCCCACATATCAGATTTATAAAAATCAGCCATTTTCGATATTAAATTTAAGTTTTTGTAAAACCCTCTTCGCTAGGAAAAATTAACATTGACCGGAAGCAGGAAGTCGCCTATATAAAGGGTCACAAGCGAATCATTTTCATTTTTTGGTCATCTGAATCCAGCGCAATTATGCAAAGCGTAGAACAGCATGCGGTCCAAGACGGGGCCAGGGTTGAAAAGTCGCGAAGCGATTTTTCAACCCTGGTTTTTTTTAATTTTTTAGCCTCAAAGATCTCCGATCCCTACCGCCTGGCCGCACGTTCGACAGTTATTCTTCAAAGGAGGAGCAGCTCCCCGCCCGGACCCGGAAATCGTAGTTTTTCCGTTTCTCGAACAAGGCTCGCCGTTTTTCTTCTTGGTAGGGGGAAAGGCTGGTGCTCAGGAGCTCTGTCTGTCTAGCTTTCTCGCTCGCTCTCTCTCTCTCTCTCTCTCGCTCTCTCTTCCCCATCCTCCTCCTCGGGTTATTGTAGGGCAGTTAGGCGGAAAGGAGCAAGAGAAAGGAGAAAGGATAGGGGCGGCGTCCACACTTCCGCGTTGATAAACCAAGCCACGTCAACCAGCAGCAGACCCACCCTCGCCCCATTAAAGGTGGAGAGCAGGAAACCTGGCGCGTGCGCGTGCAACACCATCACCAAGCAGCCGAGAAGCGGCCGGGTGCTGATCATCCGGAATCCGGAAGGGAAAGACGGTAGGAGAAGGCTGATCGTAAAGCGATAAGAATGCGGAAGGCCACTTTTTAGGTTACTGTCGTCATGGGCTTCAAGTGAAGCACAAAAACTCAGTATTAGCGCTAACCGGATGCGTATGGTCTGGAATCCGGGAAGTGAAAGGATAAACCGTTTCTCCGGAATTCGCAACGGAATTGCTGAGATGAAAAAGAATACGGAACAGTAGCTGACGTTACTATCGTTTACAATGTAGCTTTAGGAAGTCGAAGCGAGCACAAAATGGCGAAATGCTCCCTAACCGGAAGCCTCCGGAGCAAGCTTCCGGAATAACCGGAAGGTAAACCCCAAAAGTTCTAGGATAGCGGAGGGGCGCGAGAGACATATTTTAGTACGCGATTTCGTTGGTACTCTGGCCTCATTGGACTTCGCGCTCCAAACGGTTCCAGAGATTCCGGGATTACGCTCCGGATTGCTGTGAGCGGAACGGCAGCCGAAAAAAATTACAGTCCGGTTGAAGCAATCAGCACGAAATGTAAAATCGGGTCTTTTCGTGCTCATAATCTTCAAACAAGCGATTTTTCAAAATGTCAATTTTTGTGCATTCCTGGATGGTAACGAGCGGATCGAATAACCGAAAAGTTCGGCATTCAAACGTTTCATCTGATCACTCATAGACAGAAAGTGAAGCGCATCGTTGTGGAACAATCCACAATACTTGAGTTTCTGTAACCCTTGACCAACCTGACGTCGACTGCTCGTCTTCCGGGTTATCGGGCACGTCGGGCAGGGTGTGGTCGGACGCGGAAGAATCCTCGCTCAGCCTGCCCTTGCCTCCCTTTGGCATCCCGAAGTGCGCCGAAGGAGCCACGGCCTAAAATTTTTTTTGCTGCATTTGCATACTTTTTATTTGTTTCATTATTTAGGTATGTAAGGGAAAACACAAAATTTAAAGGGCCCGGTACGACAGAAACGGCGCCTAGTGTGCGAATTCCAGAGGATCGAAGTTTGCCACTCGTCTTTCCGTCGAGCCCTAGTGAGCCAAAGGGGGCGATTCGAGGGCTTCCCGGCCCTTTAAACCATTAAAATACTTCGCTGCTAATTTTTCCTGCACCTGCTTTGATCCCCTGAAAGATGCAAAACGGCGGAAAACTGGAAGCTGCGTAAAAAAAATTTGGGCAGCTACACCCGAATACCCGCCAAGCTACCGTACTCCCCAAATCCGCGGTGGGATTTGGTGACGACCCCGCGCAGCTTCTGCGCTTCGGGTTTTAAAGAAAATACCCCGGAAAATACGCAGCGAATTTGCCAAAAAGCACATGGCCACGGGGGGAAGCCGGGGTTTTGGTGACAACGGGGCGATAATGTTGGGTCAACCCCAGCAATATTACAACGCTTATTACCGAGTGGAATTTCGCAGTGCAGAACCTGGGGGTAGAATGTGGAGAATACACAAAAGGATAAGACGGCGCCTGGCTCGGGTGTGGCTCGTAGTGATTGACGCCGCTTTGGGAGATTGAAATTTCCTACTAGCAGTGAGAAATTTTTGTAAATTTTATCGCTTGTGAGTGAAGAGAGGTGGTGAGAGAGAGAGCGAAAGAGAGCGGGCGAGAGGGAGCGAGAGAGAGAGAGAGAGAGAACGAGAGCGACAGTGAGAGAGGAAACGAGTTTGAGAACCAAGAGCGAGAGAGAGAAAGTGATAGAGAGCAAGTGAGAGAGAGCGAGAGTGAGAGCCAGAGGCGAGAGTGAGCGTGAGAAAGAGTGAACGAGAGTGAGAGAGAGAGAAAGAGAGAGAGGAAGAGCGAGAGAGAGAGAAAGAGTTACCATGAGAGAGAGTTGACATGATATAGAGAAACTTAAAATGTCGAAAGGTCAAAGGCCTTTTTGGCTCAAAACCTTCCACAAAAGGGACGACATTGAAAAACACGATAATGACCGCAAAAGCGTTTAAATAGCTAAAAAAGCGGTTTTTGGCCAGAAAGCAACGCAGGGGCATTTTCGAGATGTAGCCTGATCAAGCGTGATAATATTCAGTAATTATCACCCCCCAGGATTTGCCCAGGTCAGCAAGATGGACAAAAACAGCTTATGGATCTTGAAATCTTGAAATTTAAATGCCACGCTCGCGAAAACACGAGCTTTAAGGGGTCACGATTTTTCATGACCTTTCCAAGATATGCAAAACGCACAGGGAAGGGCTGTGGCTTTTTGGCTTCCCCCGAGGTGCGTATTGAAAACAATAAAAGGCCGACAAAGCGCTATATTTTCGGGGGGAAGGGGCGTGGCCTGGTAGCGGCAAGCAGCTGTCGTGCGGGTTTCCGCGGAAATCGGACCGGAATCTTGCCCTGGTACGCTACTTGTGTACGGTACAGATGCGGTATTTTGCAAAAATTCGCCGCGACGCAGCACCTGCCCGTAAACGGCTCCAGGTGCGAAGCCTAAGCCCACCTTGAAACTGAGAAGGTTAGAAGACAAAAAACGGGCTGACGAGGAAAAGTAGGAGATCAGAAATTGGGAAATTCGAGATCTCGGAAATACGGAATAGCAAAGCTTCGAGTTTTCATGCCATGGTAGTGTAGCAGAATTTCTTAGGGAATTCAGAAATTCTGTGAATCCCCTCACTAGTATGAAGCGGGTATAACCGAATAGGCTTAGGCTTAGGCTCAGGCTTACTTGGGCTTAGGATGAGGTTTGTGCTTACAGTTGCAGCTTGGTAGCCATCTTGTTAGAATTAAGCGGAGGAGCAGTTGCAGAAACTCGCCCAGAAGTTGTGGCCGAAACTAGAAATTAAGGTCATACCGATTTGGTCTCAAATCGAGTTTGAATCTTTTCCCTTGTCATGACGATGGCCAGACGCTGATGTTTTTTTCAGCGCACAAAAACTTCAGCGCGCAGGCAAAACGTTTTTATGATGATTCGTTTAGCTTAGATAAAAAAGCCTTTACGGAACGCCTATTCCAGAAAGTTCCAAATTCCCATTTCGTCACCCCGGGGGTGTCAGTGTGTCAGTGTCCTATAAACGGATTAGGGGATCAGGAAATTGCGAAAAAGCCGCTATTTCGGCGCACACGACGCACGCGTATAGCCTTCGACGCGGATCTTTGGCCCTGGGGATTGCCCCCCGGAACTGCGGGTTTTGGGGGCAGACGAAATTGTGGGGTACGGTAGGCGCTAAATAGATTTGTGGGGAACATTAGTATTTGCGCAAATGAAGCTCAAGACGCTGAAAGCTAAGCCTAATGCATCGACTTAAGCGTCTATAACCGATTCCGGCCAGCCATCATGTTAAGAAAGTTGTCTAAATGCCACGGGTGTTTTGAAGATAATATAAATGCTGCGAAAAGTCGCCAATCACGCCGTTTAAGCACAAAATCATAATTATTCGTAAGCGCATCACTTGCCAGCCAAGCGTTAACGTTGCAAAATACAGTACCCGCAAAAATTGCATTACTAGCTTAGCCGCTTTTTGCCAAACTTTATGGGTTCAAGCCAACTCTACCTGATCAATTTTTGCACTGCTATAAGTGCGACAAAAAATACACTAATTACAAAATTAAACGCCGAAAAATAATTGTATAATTATTACTTGTTTACCGGATGAAAGCGGGGGCGGCTCGATTATTCTAATTGGCCACCGCGTGACCTTCGGTCCCCCTGGGAAGCAAAAGAGCAACTGCCCGGAAAACCACAATCGAAAACAAGCGCAATAATTTTTGCAAATTAACGCCCCGGGTTCCGGGATGGTGCTCCGCTTTGGGGGAATCAAAAAGAACGGCTCCGATTTGCGACCGGCCCGATATTACTGTACTTATAGGGACCAGGGCGCTACATGAATTCGGACAGGAGAGCGGTTAGTTATACATAAAATATTTGCTCATAGCTAGAGAAAACCTAGAGATAGTGAGATGCCGAGAGAGTGAGAGAGAGAGAGAGAGAGTGAGAGAGAGGGGGAGGGAGAGAGAGGGAGGGATAACAAGATAGCGAGAGGAAGAGAGAGAATGCAAGAGGGTGAAAGAAATGGAAGACGAAAGAGATAATGAGAGAGAGAGTGAGAGAGACATAGAGAGAGAGTCAGCGCGAGAGTGAGAGATCGCCAGAGAGAGAGAGAGAGTGAGAGAGCGATAGAGAGGAACAGACATTCGACCAAGCGCTACTGCGATACGCAACGCGCCGACGACGAGTTGAATGTCATTGCACATTCAAAGAAACCAGAATGCAACGTTATAAATTTCATTAGCTACTGATTTTCTAGGGTTTGACGCGCGGCGTAACGACTGCGTTGCGTGTCGCGGGTTTTGCGCGTTTTGTCGCCAATGCCCGCGCCAAGCAAGATCAAATCGGGGCTCTCGAATGCGGCGGATACGAAGAAATGATAGACAAAAAAACGCTCATTTCAACAAACTCCCAACGCGCGTGTGGTTCGTGATTCTGGAAGAATTGAAATTTCGCTATGCGACGTTGGCAAAACAATTGGGAAATTTTGTATCATCAAAAAGGGGGAAGTGCTGGAGTGGGGTTGGAGACTTTCGGGAGTTCGAGAGGGCGTAAGTGGTTTCGGCGCGTAGGTAATCAGCACTGCCCTAACATCACGCTCTGACCGTCGGTGGCCAGAAGACGTGGGTTCTATGTTTAGAATCTAGGTTAAAGTGCAGTCACTCGTCAACGTCGCCTATGGCTGGTCAAAACTAGTTTTTTTTTGTGCAATTTTAAGCTATTTATGGATCATGGCGGTTTTTGAAAGCGATTTTTTTGCAAAAACAGCTCAATCAAGAAATCAGCAGGCACGTTTTTAAAAATATCATAATTTTTCCAGAGCTTTTTTTTAGAATGTGGAAAATTTTAGCTCGAGGTTTGGTCAAAAAATCATCTTTTCTGCAAAAATTTGTAAAGTTTTTGCCTTTAGAAATCGCAAAAACGGTTTAGGAACATTTCCTGTATTGATGTTAAAAAAATCGGACATAGAAACTGATTCTTCCCTTGGACCTCTCCCCCCCAAAATCACTGGATTCCTTAAATGTTTTGTTTTCCTTAAATGGCCTTATCTTGCTCAGAAAAAATCATCTAACAAATGGGCGATGTTAATCAAAAACCATTGCAAATTGGAAAACATTGCTAAATCGGATGCCTATAATTTTATCAAAGAACTCAAAATTCCAAAGCACTTGAGTGAAGTAGCTTCGTTTATAAAGAGAATTTTTTTCCTGAATAAGTCGCATTAGCAGCTTTTTTAAAAACCTATTCCGAAGCCTTTTATGTCCATAGAAAGTAGCCGATTCCGGGCGTTTTTAGGTTTAAATCGTCCATAACTTTCGAGAAATCGCCATTTCGCAAAAACGGTAACCATACCCGAAATCAGCGAAAAATCCTGCACAAGCTGGGCTTGGTCTCATCCCAAAGTCCAGACAACACTCAAAAACGTCTCCTTGTTAGTTCGTTAACGGAATTTCGATTTTTTTTTAACATGTCAAAACCGACAAAACGGAAACTTAGGCTTAGAACTAGAACATCAATTTACGGTCACCATCGTCATGATCAGCGGCAGGGTACGGTATTTTCAGGTGACAATTAGAAGTGCGGGATTAGCCACGTCTATTTGTGTGCGGGTCAAAATTAAACCAGGGGTATCCGGATAGACGCCAGGGAATTGGCGTGTGCCTGGGCTTTCGGATCTGAGCCGCCCCGGGTTTGTCAGCCGTTTTCAGGTCACCCCACACTAATATTAGGTCCCGGAAAATGCCAAGCCGAAGATCCCGGCGCAAAAGAAGTACGGTCGCTTTTTAGGGCACAGAAAATGGAGGAAGCTCATAGTTTGGGGGGGGGGGGCAATTACGGTAGCTAGCAGGCCGC